TACCATATACGCTCTCTCTTCTGGCTCAGCTATTGGATGGACAAAGAAATGTCATTGCGCGCATGCCGCGAACCGATGATAAACGACGCAAGCTGCGACTTGGAGTTGCCATCCACCTACGTCTCCCAATCTTCAACTTATCAATTCCTACAAGCCCCGCTGTCGTCCGACATACTATTATATCCTTCTGACCTCCGCCTTGCCCTGATCAAGTCGAAAATCTATCGTCTGCTTCACTCGGAGTCAAGCCGTGAACAGCCCGAATCTGCCCGAATGCAACGTATTCTTGAATTAGATCAAGAGCTGAGTGCCTTAGAGTCGAGCTTCCCTGCACATTGTCAGCCCCATGTTTTCGCAACCCCGGATTGCCCTTTGTACGCGTTCCATGATCTTAGCATGCGTGGTGTGACCTTGCACTTGGACTACTACTATTGTGTGAAAAGGATCCACGAGGCAAGTGCCGCCTGCAACACGCAGTACTCCTTCTCGTCAGGAATGGGGCTTTCATACCAGACATCGCGATGTATGTTGCTATACATTAACCAAGTACGCTCTTTTATCACTTGGCATAGTTTCTGGTTCGTATCAGCTGTTATCTCCTATTCATTCTTATCCACAAGCTGACGATCGACCGTGGGCTAGGATATATGCTCAATGGCTGCTATCGGCTGTGATATCCCTGTTTCATCACTGCATGTCGAACCCCACGTCTCCAACCTTCTCGAGGGATCTTGAAATCCTCGAAAATACGAGAGACATTTTCACTTCGCTTATGCGCAATACCGAAGGCGGGAACTGTATTGCACCATTCTACATTACCGAGGCTTTTGTTGACACTCTCATTCAATTCGCCAAGCAATCTTACATGAGAGCGACTGCCATATGAGCATTAACGTGTACACTACTTTTTCTTCGAGACATTACAAAGTTTTCCGACTATAATGTGACCCCAAGAATTATCCGATGGATGCAGAACATGTACCAGGAATAAAGCTGCGACTTCAGCAGCTCAATATTCCGTAGACCGCATCTTTGACATAAGGGAAAAAGGATGAAAAAGGACCTTCTGGCTGCTCTAAGGGATGGGTCTAGATTCACTACTCAACCCGACGAGTCACACCTCGGGTCAGGTACGTTAAAGACGGAACAAATGCCGTTGCTTTAAATTACCTTCAGGTGCTCATTGGCAGCATTAAGCCGAGTGTAGCCTCATGATATACCTGCTTACGATTACAACCGCGGACCTGGAGGACTTCTAATTCCACCACAGGTGCTCAAAGGTATGTTCTTGGCAAAGCTCAGGTTCCGATTGACTTTATGGGTGGCCATGGACTCGCTTATCGGCCTTCAAACCCGTATGGAGAGGTAGGAAGTGCCGGGTGATTGAGGGACGGCTCCACCGTTGAAACGCTTAATAGAAACAGAGGAAAAGCTGCAAATGCGCCAAGAAACACCGGCATCTTTATCTGGACCCGCATTTTCCGTCCGAACCAATCATTGCAATGCCGCTGAATAAGCGGGCCGCTTTTGCGCCGAGACGTGAGGTGCCAAGCCCTGATAACCCAACGTGTGTAGTTGATGATTCTACGGAGTACAGAGGGAAATGCATTTTCACTACCTATGAGCGGAAGCGTCTTACTAACTGACTCAATGTGATCGGGTTCCTACATATCTGATGAGCTTACGGTGACCATCCCTACCTGAAGAGGCCTTCTAAGGTGCATCAGCCGTGAATAAAATGCTTGAACTGTTCCTCATCAGTTGCTCTACTACGCATGGGCCTCATCACAGGCCAAGTCATCACTTCGGATTGTATCTTTACAACATGTGCTCGGGTCTGAAAATTGCCAATTCCGAATTGATACTGGACGAATGATTTCATTTGTTCTCTACTCTCTGCGAAGTGGAAACTTGAATTGAAGCATACGCCAGCGAGTGCTCCGGCAGACATAGATGCATAACAAGCTGCGCCCCAAAACATAGAAAGTCTTGGCTGCAGATCTTCTGGCTCTCCAGATTCAATCCACTGCTCCCGCGGCCCCACTACACGGACCGTGAAGCCCAGTCACAATCGACCCATTCGTCATTCCAGGGGCGACTCACTTTGATAGGTCGCAAAATACTGTTGAATAGTGATTGACACGCTGCGTTGCCGTATGAAGAAGGTGAAATTATTTCTGCCTATATCTCGAACATTCAAGCCGGAGCTTGGTGACGACGATTGTGACGAACGAGGACGGATCCGTCTACCGGCAATAGACCTTGGTAGAACACGGAATTCCGTCTGCTAGTCGCTCCGCAGTTGGACCATGAAGATTGGGGTATATATTGGGTCACATTCCTCGCTTCCAGCATGATATTCACTCAGATCTTTCTTTGAGAAGCCCACCACCAGTAATACCTTCCTGTTGTGCCATACCTCGATATGCAGATTGTTTCCTTGAGCAAGTTGGCCATGCTAGGCCTAGCCGGCCTGGCAATTGCCCACCCCGGCGTCCACGAGCCCAGCTCCATGTCGCATTCCGCGAAGAGAAGCTTTCTCAACAATGCAAAACGTTCCCTCAGCCGATGCAGCAGCCAACTGGAGCGCCGTGGAATCAACGACCGGATCCAGGCACGCCGTGCAGCAGCGTACGAGATGTACCGCAAGCGCAGCATTGACGCTCGCGACTATAACCCCTCCGTGAACACCTCGCACCACTCGTCCCTCGACGTGACTTCCCAAACCACTGAGCAGGAGCTGTTCGCCAAGAACCCCGTGTGCATTCTGTCCCCCGAAGGCGAAATCGGACCCTTCTGGGTGAAGGGCGAACTGGTACGGTCTGATGTCAGCGACGGTGAACCTGGTATCCCGATCATCATGGACGGCCAGTTCATCGACATCGAGACCTGCGAGCCCATCAAGGATCTCTACTGGGACGTGTGGAACTGCAACTCTACCGGCGTCTATTCCGGTGTCCAGAGCTCCATGAACGGCAACGGCGATGACGACTCGAACCTCGACAAGACCTTCCTGCGTGGTGTCCAGAAAACCGACGCCGAAGGTGTCGCGCAATTCCAGTCCATGTTCCCCGGCCACTACTCCGGCAGAACTACCCACGTCCACGTCGTTGCCCACGTTGGTGCCACTCAGCTGCAGAACAATACCATCACTGGTGGCCACGTCGCTCACATCGGTCAGCTCTTCTTCGACCAGGACCTCGTTTACAAGGTCGAGGCTACTTACCCTTACAACACGAACAATGTCTCTATCACCACCAACGCTGATGACCATGTCGTCCAGGATGAGACTGAAGATAGTGCCTCTGATCCGTTCTTCGAGTATGCTTTCCTCGGAGACGCACTTGAGGATGGTATCTATGCTTGGATTACCTTGGGTGTCAATGTCTCGGCCAGTTATGACACTAGTTATGCTGCTACCTTGACTTCGTCTGGCGGTGTCTCCAACTCCAACAGCAACCCCGGCGACGCTGTGAACTTTTGATCTGCTGTACCTGCGGCTGGAAGCAGATTATTGAGATAATCTAGCGCATATGATTGTATCTGTGTCCATTTCACTCACTCTCCGTATCTGGATCCACCTCTTGTTAAAATAGTCACGTTGCTTTCTTGTACCTAAGCTTTACCAATAGTACTTGAAGCCATTTTAGACCAGTGCCTATTCAAGATATTAAGTTATTAACACCATGGGCAACTTCATGTGGATTGAGAGGAAAAGACAAGCTGGGGAAAAGTCGGACCGGATATCCCAGAAAATTCGTCCCTACTGTATAGCTAGTATATGAGGGAGATAGTATTTGGAGCGCGTAGGACTGTTCGATGTATTGCAACCGGGTGCGCAGGCAAGGGTCAAAGGAATGAAACAAAAGGTTATCGTTAGACGTTTATGATCGCTATAGGATAACTGAAGTGATTATACGAAGGAGCAACATACCGATGATCAATGGTACGACCACAGATATTACTAAGTCATTATAAATTCCAGGTCAAGTTCAAGCTTCACGTATGGATAAGGTTAAAATCTAGGCAACCTTTAAAAATCCACCCGGAATAGAAACACCCCGTTCTAAATAAATTGGCCCAGCGATATGGGCCGCACATCATATGTCAAGCTTGCCTATACCTGGCGGATCTGTTATCAAGCATCCGCCTGAAGCAAAAATAGAGGGCGATCGCGATCACTCTCGGGTTCGGGTTCGGGTTCGGCTGCGGGACCATCAGACCCTAAGTTGCTGCTTGCTATTCGTTCAGTTCAAATTAGACTTATCAGGTTTAAAATTTAGGCAGCATCTATACGCTTCATAAGAAATTTTAATTGAGATTTGTTGAACGGGTTTAGAATAGACGACGGAGAAGAGGAGAGTATGGTTTCAACTTTGAAAACAGTAAGGAATTGAACATGTGGATTGCATTCATTCTAGTACACTTGTATCCTTGACATCTCCTGGCGTCCTTATCTATCCTTGATGAGAATCCCTTATTTTGTAAAGAACAGTTTCCTTACATGTTATATCTATAGGAGTACGCTTTCTCGGTGTAAACCTTGTTCTATCGAAAACTGCCGGGCCAAGTGTCCGCAGGATCGACACGCTCTTGGCAGCTATGTATCTGCGCTGGTAGAGATATTACCAGATCTGGTTCTCCGTAACTGTTGAAGCTAGCTCCGTACAGCCTCAACATTACTCAAAAGCCAAGAAAAGTCTAAGGTGAATGTAAATATATCAAATCTGGCTGCCTTGAGCAAAGCGGATACGAAAGCCGACGTCCTCCATTAACAGCAACCCCCAGCATCTCTTGGCCTCTTTCAGGAAACATGTATATAAGGGCGAGCTTGAAGATACAAATATACATCAGTTCATCCTGCGATCTCAAGACACAAACCAGACCTCAGTCCTTACTATCCTCACACAATACCACCAAGCAACAAGTATAACACAATGAACCTGTTCGACACTCGCTGGAAACTCCCCCTCCATTGCTTCCAGATATTCCTCATCGTGATGGTGATCGGGCTTTCAATCCCGAGACTCTTCATGAAGAATCAGCCCCGCACGCGAGCTAGTACAATCGGTCTGGGAATGGTACGTCTCAACCCCTCCGTCCTCCAAGCAACCCACTATTAACCACGTAAACCCCAATACAGGCCGCCAAATCCCTAGTGATCATACTCTACCAACTGTTAACCGAGCACTTCGCCGCCCTCCGCAGATGGGGAAGTTTAAAAGCATACATGATCCTCAATGCCCTGGAGATCGTCTTCTGGGCCGCAGTCGCGGTCTTGACTATTCAGCTAATGTGCAGATCTGCGTGGCGCCGGGCTGTATCTTGGGGTGGGGCGTGGCTATCACGGGTATTAATTTAAGGTATAGTGTCTGATTGTGGGCAATGGGTCTCAGTATCATGTGGCTGATGCAGTTTGGGGATAGTGTTCTGGCGATCTATGCGACTGTTATATCCTATGGTGATTGGAAGCAGTCGAAGGGTGGGGCAAGGCCGGATGGGTATAAGAGGGCCCATGAGTTGAGGAGTGTTAGTCCTGCTCCTAGTGTGTGATTGAGATTTGATGGCTTGAGGTGTTTATGAACTTATGCCTTGTTCCGTTGTGTTTTGTGTCTCTAGATTGTTGATTTAGCTTTCGGGAATAGATGCTCCGTATACCGGTTTCATTTGTTACAAAGTGTGATAAAATATAAAATATAGTTATACACCTTTTGTGACATGTAATGTCTATTAGCTTTGTATAGCGGGCGGACAGGGGACACATTGCTATAAACGAAATTGGCATTGGGATAGACTGAAGGAAATGAAAGAATGATAGAAAAGGACTGAGAATGGAAAGCAGTGAAGCACCCAGAGCACTCCACATACAGGTCTGGATGCTACACACTGCGAGAGCACCGTTTGTAGCCTACTCTCGATGAAAATGTTAGCGGCAGGCAGCGGGTATAGCTGCAATATTCCACATTGACGAACGGGAATGTAGCTTACAATTTGCTGGAACACCTGTTGGTGCTGGTGGGGATCAGATTCAGAGGATCCGTTACTGGTATTGCTCGAAATTGGAGTACAGGACGCCGAAGAGGGCGCCACAGAGGCAGTGAATTCAGTGCCCATGAAGACATACTAGTCCGGTTGTATCCCAATGCATCGCCTACGGATGGGGCTGTGGCGCCTTGGTGGTACTACAGGATAGAATTGTTTTCTCGTGTGTGTTCTCTATTTGGTACTTTTATAGATGCTATTCTATTGTAACCCTTTACAGTGAGCTGCTCAAGTAATATAAATAATAGCCAGAATGTAAATATATTTTGATTATAGATACTATTTTGCTTCACTAGTCAGAATAACCTAAAGAAATATACAGGATAGAGAGATAAAGCTAGTCTATTTACTACTAGGTTTAGAGAGTTTTTGCTAAGCTTAAAAAGGGCATTAAGTGTAACTGGAACTACTGCAAGAAGCATGCCGAGCGAGGATTTGGTACTTTTCTGGAATGTTGCATTGATATGGTCGGTGCAAAAGAACAGAGTGCCAGAGGCCATTTTCGACATGCTGGCATAATCAGAGACGTTTGGGGTGCTTGAAGCTCTTTTGACCCCCTCCCAATCAATCCTCTGGTGTCCATCAATTATTGGTCCGGAAAGACCGCTCCAAGTCCCATTTCACCTTGGCCGCTGTTAGGATCGATGGCGCATTTTCCAGTTCCTGTGGCTCTCCTTGTTTCTCGGACGAATAATCTCCTGTTAGCAGTCGCAGATTATTACACCCTTGTCAATTCGGAAGTTCTTTTGATTGTGGACTTATGCAGGATAATGTATTAGACAAGACCCAAGTTACAGGGACATGACATTCATTTCTGCTCCCCAGACTCACACGGTCAGACCGCCCAAGCTTGCAGACTCAACAGTCAGTGTCGTCAATCCTGCGGATTGACAAAGACTTTCTTTCCACTGACCTTCCCAGCCATAAAAGCGTCAAGTGCATCCTGTACTGACTCTAGCCCACCCGGGAATATATAAGAAGGATTTGAAAAGATCCTGCCGCTAGACAAGCCTTTCGGGAGGTACTCTTGAAGATACCACAATTTGGCGTCTTTGTTTTCATCCCTTGACACTAAGACATCCGAGTATCCTGCCCATTCCTTCCTCACATTCTTTGGTAGGCGCGAGTCTGCTGGCGTGGGACTTGTCGACCAAAAAAGACCACCATTCTCCGCGAGCAAGTCTCCGAGAAGTTCTGTTACTTCTGAAGAGCCAATCGCATCAAAAATACCGTCGTAGGGCCCATTGGCTTTGAGTGCATCTCGAACCTGCTCTGGTGGCGTAGTATGGTCGATAATGCAGGCTGGACCACGTCGCTGTACCAAATCCCAGTTGGCAGGGGACGATGTCGTCACAACCTCATACCCAGCGTCCGTTGCATATTGAACAGCCAAACCACCAACCGAAGATGAACCGCCATATACCAAAAGTCTCTTGCCGTTTGTGGGAGCCCTTCCAGTAATCGGCGGATAATCAAGCTTCATACACACTGAAAGAGCAGCAACAACCGTCGCTAAGTTGGCCATCACGCCAGACCCTTCCTCCAAGGAAGTTTGACTATCTAACTTCACTAGGTTCTCTTCCAGCGCAAGGGGGTACTTTTGGAAAGCACCAAACCTGTTATCAACAGCTGCTCGACCCCAACAAGCAACTGCCACGCGATCGCCAACCTGGACTGTATCAACGTTTGGTCCCACCGAGCTGACCGTGCCCGCAAACGTGTATCCGAGAATTGCCGGATATTCAATCTGGAACATTTCCCATCTACCATTCAAAGATATTAGCCGAGACGTCAATTACACACGATTGTTCGAGTATCAAAAGCCGCCAAAAATAGCACAGAATGCCGCAACCACCCTTTTCTCACCTTTGGATCTTGGCTTCAATGGGGTTGAAGGCAATCGCCTCATTCCGCACCAGCACTTCTCCCGGGCCTGGCACCCAGGTTTCGATTTGATCAACCTCAACTGAAGCCCGCGGGCTCTTCACTATCGCTGCCTTGTTCACTTCCATCTTGCAGTATAGTAGGCGAACTCGACTTTGTATCCTATGGGAACCTCAGGTGTATTTATATCCACTGGCCCCACATGATATTTTTGTAACTCGCATGTGGGGCTCAGTATCATTATTAATCCATCTTGGAGATTATTCAGCTAATTTCGCTTAGAATCAAAGTTCCCACTGTCAACAGGACTACCGTGGGTGACCCATATCAAATATGATATGGATGGTAATGATCTGGCGGAAACGATCGTATAAATAGAAAGTACGGCGTTAATAGTACTCAGCACCCGTTGGCCAGTTAGACCTCCGCTATAGTTGGTTTTGGGGTGGGTTCGGGTTCAAGATCTAGGACCCACCCCCGACCCGGCGCTGCTACTGGGCTGAAATAGATAAGGTGTTGCTTAGTAGGTGCCTACGAAGCCAGGTGCCTTATCTATATAGGTTTAGGCTAGAACGTTAAATTGATTTCTAAAGCTCTATGTCTTGATTCTCTACTAATACTCACCAGGGGCCAAGATATATAATCAGAGTCGACAACAGATTCCCCTGTCTGTCCTCCGGATGTCTTAATGATTTGAAGCTTCCTAGACCCTATCTCCAAGAGCCCTAATCTGCATTGGATGACTCCAGAAACAATCCCTGCTTAGTTGCATTGTTTGCTATATTATGAACAACTAATTTCGACGTGATTATTACTTTTGAGCATTCTCAGCCGCCGATTCATAACTCTGCATCAAACACCAATATCCAGGGACGTGATCGCGCCAGATCGCGCCAAATCCACTGATGTCCCGACGCCAGTCTCGGTGCAACTCCGCAGCGACCGCCGCCCAGTTGAGGAGCTGCACACCATGCTGCACACAGCGCTTATGGGCTGCTTCCCGCGTGTGTTCCGCAAACGTGCCACTCGCGTCGGTCACCAGGAACACATCATATCCCTGTTCGACCAAGCTAAGAGCCGGGAAAGTCGCACACACTTCGGTCAAAACACCACTAAGAACCATAAGTATCACCGCAGCAGTACACCATGTCGTCACGGACGTACCTAATAACAACCTGCTTCTTTCCGGTCGCCTTGATGGCTTGGACAAAATCCTCGTTATCCATCGCGTTGATTTGTCCAGGGCGCCGAATGAGGGGAGCATCGGGAAGTTCATCGGTGATTTCCTTGGCAATCGGCCCATTGGGTCCCGTGTCAAAGGACGTGGTGAGAACAGACGGCGCTCCAAAGTATTTGGCGACCCTGACCAGAGCTAACACGTTGTTCCGGAACTCGCTCGGTTCAAAATCGCGGACTAGCTGGATGAGACCCGACTGGAATACTCGTCAACTCCAAACTCCCTTGTGTGATCATTTCGGGCTCAAGGAAGACCATCGAGGATGGCAACAGCTTACCTGGTGGTCGACAAACAGAAAGACACAATTGTCTCGATCCAGACGAGTATAGGTGGGAGGAGCCATGGTTGGTTGATTGTCACTGGGAGATGAACCTGCTTGATCTCTGTTCTTAGTGTTGTATGAGCACGAATGAGTTGGCGCGGATGTTGACGCGATTTATATGTGCGCTGTGTGTAGCTCTGCTACATTGTTCCATCAAAGCAGAAGCAAGCTCCGTCTCGTGTACGATTATGAGAAAATGACCAAGCTCATCATAGCTACCTTTATAACTAACTTTCCCCAGACCCGCGTGCAGGAAAGTGGAGACGGACATTCGGCATGCGGAGTGCGGATTGGCTGCTTATTCGGTCCTTCTATGGTAAAGTTTCGATAACGTTTGGCAGTTCCCTCCACGCCGATTACTAGAGAATTACAAACCCAGAAGTACCTCCAGAACTATGGCCAATTTTTACGTACCATGGAGAGCTCCACTAGTCCTATTGGCTATTTAATTGCACCGCAAAGAGGTCGATGACATCTAGACTTGACTCGAGTACCACTCGATGGATGCCTCCGATGATATGCGATGATGGCGAACCCCAAATTGTGGTGTCGATGGCTTGGACTCTGTACTAGTAGTAGTTGATCGAATTAATGGGTCAATTATGATTGGACGGTCATCGATATTTGCTGTAGGCTAGAGCGTTCGAGCTGCAACATGGTGACGATAAATCACCATCTGCAATGAATCCCCTACTGGCGACATGGGGAATACAATAGTGTTAATTATTAATAATGACCAATCATGACTACCATCGACCGTACCATAGAGACCTCGTTCCAACCTTGTCCATGCGAAGAGCATAAAGCTCTGGGTAGAGGTGGTTTGCAGGGTATGGTTTTCTATATCTTGTGGAATCAAACCTCCCTTTCCCGTCGCGAATCGACAGCGACAAATATAGCGCCGACGTGCAAAGCATGGCCCCTCGCGCGAGTTTCTGGCAACGCGAGCCAGACACATTACCTGCACCGACGGAACCCCCTCCTTTTGCTGGCCGCATCGGTGCGAACCAGCAGTTCTCTCTGGATAAAAACAACTGTACAAATACGGAGATATTGGAAAAATACCCCGATGCGGCCCCGTGGGTTCCATGGAGAGACTCTCTATCACCAAAACAATTCCTCGAGGTAGGGCTGTGGAAAGCAGCTGCCGTTGAAGGCATAGGTATGTGAGCATCGATGGAGCAATCTTTCACCGAGTCCGGAATTTATTGAGGTGTTCATGATTAGGGACCTGCTTGCTCGTGTACCTAACTATCCTCTTCCCTGTGGGGCTGGCGCGAAATATGAGGTGAGCTTTCCGATGCTTCTGACTTCGCACCGAGCTCGTTGATCTTAACCGCGTGGCGAAATAGCAACCTTGCGACCGGCCCCGTTGTGCCCACCTTAATCGGTAGCTTGACGGTGATGTTCATGCTTCCTTTATTCATCTACACCGTCGGTCCGGTTTCTGGGGCCCATCTCAACCCAACGATCAGTCTGGCTGCATTCTTCGGTCGCTTGACGACGTTGCCGAGATGCGTGCTATACGTTGCATTCCAGATACTCGGTTCGGCCATCGCCGGCTGGCTGGTCAGAGCGAGCCTTGACACGAGATCAGTACGTCATTCAATGCTGCCCCCTAACATTCAAGAATGTGGTTCTGGGATATTCTCGCGCCTTTCCAATCCTTCGTCCGATCAACGGGCCGGGCTAATCCGAATCGACAGTTTATAGTCCCCGGCTGTTATATGGACGTCAACCAGGTCTCAGCCGGTAGCGCGTTCGCGATTGAATTTGTCACGGACGTGGCACTAATCTTCCTCGCATTTGGCATTGGCCTTGATCCACGCCAGCGTGCAGTCTTCGGACCGACATTAGGCCCCATTTTCGTTGGCATTGTGCTCGGAGTGTGTATATTCTCGACTGGCATCATTCGTCCCGGGTATACCGGGTTCTGTACGGTAGTCCTAGTGACCTGTACTGGGAAAAGGAGGCAATCAATATGCTAACGAAGGGAAATAGCAGGACACCCAGCCCGATGCTTCGGCGCGATGGTCGGGTCGCATTTTGCGTCCTATCATTGGATACACTGGATAGGGCCATTGTGCGCGTCTATCGCCCATGGGTTATTGTACTATTCCATCCCGCCATACGAGCGGAAATAGGCCTGGGACAAAAGATCGACAAATTCGCGCGTCGCAGCAATGAGAATAACATCGCACATGCGTACATGTTTCCTGTCAAATACGATGCTGCATGTAACGGTACCATCATGTGCTACAGGATATCTGTTTTGGGGATAGGGTCCAGGTAACAATTAGAGTTGGTTTTGGGGGTTGAGGATCTAGAACCCTGACCTGCACCAATTTCGATCAGTCGGACCCGAAAAGTCTCCGAATCTCCGCCACGAGACCTAAGTAGGTTAGTACTTATGTCGAAATTAGATATCTTATTTGTATAGATTTAGACTGCAACCTTGATTTAATGACCGTCTACACTTTGTCAAGGATTAGTGCAGCTTGTGGACTCATTTACATAGAATAGTGAAGAAGATAGATGTTATCTGTTGCAATATTCCTGTACGTTAGACACCACGAATATGTATATGTGAGCAGGTGTAAGAAGAAATAGGTAAAAGTAGATTCATGCATATTTTCTAAATTCATCCTCGATATGCCTCTACACTTCGCGACCAATAAATGGCATGAAAACGGTCGGCGGTTAGGTATTGTCTGTGCTGATGTACGGAGGAGCCGTGGTAATACCCTTTCCAATGATCACGCTCGAGCCTCTTGTGGAGTTGCAAAACTGTCACCTTTAGCAGGCATCAAGGTGTGCTTTGGTAACTCAGTCCGTCTCAAGGACGAGGATGAAAAAACTGTTGATCGAACCCATGTTCATCAGGATGAATCAGTCCGTAGATAGGGCTGGATCTCTATACATTATGTTGCCCGACCCCGCTGGCGCAATATGTTGCACAGCAAGTGTGAAATAAGATCCCATGAAATTCTAGCTGTTTTGGGATTGTTAGTGGATGTAGCCAGTGGTTCACTTAGTGTTTGTCTCCCCCTTTGTTTGTTTCTTTTCTCTCTCTTCAACTCGTAGCATGTGAACGAATACAAGTGGGATATACCACAAAAATCTATCATTTGAAGCCGACACTGAACTAACTTGACTGTAGCCAAGGATCCTCCAGTAATTCTTTCGCAGAAGCTCGATCTTCCGGTTTCCATTGAAGCATCTTCCGCATGAAGCAGAGAAATGATCTTTGCTGTGTACCTCGCAAATTGCCTTCTAATGTTTCCAGAGATGTAGAGGGAATTTCGGCGTTACCCTTCCAGTTACCTAATTACATCCATCAGTCACACATAAACAGGGGTAATATGAGAGGGAAAAAAAAAAAGAAAAACTGATCATACTATCTCTATCGAAAAAACTGTTCGCATATTCGCTTTTTTGAAGCATCTCTTGTTGCGGCGCACCCATTACTGCTATCATCCCAGCGAGGTGATGACTGTCTGAAACGCTGCCGTTTAAATCCCGAGCATAGAAGAGATGCCTCTTCTGAAAAAGACCCCAGGCCTATAAATCGTTAAGGCTTGACAGCATGAGACTTAGCATATAGGATATACATACAAGAACCCCTACATTCCAAATATCGATCTTTGAGTCCCACGGCATACGCAGTACAACCTCTGGGGCACGGTAAACCAAATGTTGGACATCCTCCCATTGCTTCCCTAAACTCCAGCTAAAGCGAGCCTCCCCAAAGTCAGCCAGAATAGGTCGACCGTGCACCCTCGGAATCTGTAAATCCCGGGATGAATAGATCACTCGATCGCCAACAACTTTGCGGGGACTGGAACTAGATTTCTCTGCCTCCTCAAAAGCGACGAGAATGGACTCATCTTCCACACTAAGCATGATATTATTTTCTTGTATATCTGTTATCGGGTCAATGCCAAATTCTGGAAATAGGCACGGTTTCACGAGATTGTGATATTATACCGGTGTGAACAATCTTGGCTTCTGTGTGAAGGAAGTCGAGAGCAAGAAGGATATGGATTAAAGTTGGCTTCAGTAAGTCTTCTGGAAGTAGCTTTTCTATGGTCCGATTACGTAGCTCGCATAAACTCATAGCCAAAGGAGGATGCACAAGGCACTGATAGGAGTGGGTATTATCCGCAGAGCTGATTTGAAACTCATCGATGGTCCGTCGGACGAGCAAAGAGTCTGTGTGGCTTGACTTGACGTTTCTTAAGTGTTTGTATATTGCTTTTTCTCTTCGCCCATGAGCCGAGTCATGTTCATACATTTTCAATGTAACATAAAACTGTTGACTGCTACCTTTCAGTTGCCACTCCCACTGAGACTGGTACTAGAACTCACTGTAGGTCTCGACAAAGCGAGACCATGGAATGGCCACCATAGCCAAGTTTCCCAATTACTTGGTACCTTGAGGTATAAGCATCACCAATCTTCACAGGGTAAAACTGATCAGGTGTGTACCCTCGTAGGTTTTCCTCTTCTAGCTTCTGGTTTGGGTCAAGAATAATGCCTGCCTGAGAGAGTTTCCGAGACGAAGAAGGCGGATGGCCAACGATGGACTGTACCAGCCGACGTGTGAGGCGTTGCATCATTGCCGCACAGGACGTTGCTTGTAAACAAAGGGAGGATGAGTCTGGCAGAAGACAATCACGTGGGCTTGGACGGCATGTGACCTCGAGTTGATTCTTCCTAAATTCAGGAGATATAGAACCTGCGTTTATCCGTAATTTTTGAAACTGGTGGGGTGATCTCATCCGTTGTAATAGTCTGGCATTTCTCTAACCCTGCGGCGGCAGCTCGTTTCTGTCCGATGGCATTAAGGCTATTCGTAATTTATGAATGCTAACATTGTTATGGCCTTCCTGCTAGATCATCTCTCCTTTGCTTCACAGTTCCTGTATGCCAAAGGCTGCCGCTCGCTATCTTCCAAATGACCATGCCTTTCATAGAATATGCCCCCGGCCACCCAATAAATGATTCTCCTTCGGCTGATTCTAAGGTACAATTACTTTCTTCTACATGAAAATCGCAAATTCTCCGTCCGCTGGGGTACCAACATGTAACGAGACGTCCAGTCCAGCCAACTTGAACCCCATGTTGAGATAGCTCTGGATAGCGGGATAGTCGACATTCAATACTTCCAACCCCACATGGCGAATTGGCCATCTAACAGAGCCAATCCCCTTCCGCACAGCGGATGACATTCCGACCTATTCCTTGGTGTCGGTACAGCGGATCGATTTCGATATCAGTGATGATCAAACGAGCAGCTGGAGAGCTTGGCGGATATAAATGCGACAATTTTGTTAAGACGCTCGGTAGTATCAGGATCTCGTATCAGCGCATCCTTAGCAGATAGCGCATTGCTATCCTCGACAACCACTATGAAGCAATCCAGCCACTCGTCCTCCCCGTCCGAGTCCTCGTCATCTGGAAAAGATTTGTGCAAGAGACTATCAAATTGGACTCCTTTGTGTCGAGCCCAAATATCTAACCTCTTATTTTGAAATAAATATCAATACAACGGTAAGGTGGCCGAGTGGTTAAGGCGTTGGATTTAAGTCCCAATGACGCAAGTCGCGCGAGTTCGATCCTCGCCCTTACCATTGTTTTTTTTCTTGACCATGATGGCAAGCCTGAAGTAGTCTAACATTTACCCTAATATCGCTACTTCTACTTCAGTGAAAGCTTAACTAATAGTAGCACCTTGTTTTTATTAATAGCACGGTCAAAGTCGCCGACCATCTACATATCTTTCCAGAATACCGTATCGCTCTGCCCCTAACAGGGTTGTAGGCGACCAGGTGGAGAAAGTGTAGTGGGGCATATTTTTCTCGTTTCCTCATTAGTGGAGTTGAATACGGGGCGCATCAAGTAGTCAACTGTCAAGCCAGTATGGGAGTACGTAGCGTAGTGGCTGTCACAAGAATAGATATATGTAAAGATAACAAGTTAAGCAAAATGCCAAAACATTATTCAAGTGAGTTACTTAGAAGTATGGAACAGAATTCTGCATGATACTTGCGCAGGAGAAAGTGATATCCACACTCTCAAGTGAGATTGAGGATCTCAAAAATCTCAACTCAGAGAAGGCTGCAAAGCTTGCATCTGTATAGTCCTAGAGCCCGAGTCGGTCATGGCTCAAAGCCTGAGCAAATATAAGAGATACAACCTTATTATTTAGGAAACGATCGCTCAGGAACAAGTTGCTGCACAGCACCCAGTCTACCATCAGCGACATTTAAGCTAAGCACAAGTTACCGTACAAGTTGGCGCAAAATGCTATTCGCGAAGTATAGTATATATCAATGTAAGAGAGGCCTGATGGTTTCATTAAGTCGACGAGAGTCTTTTACTGGATAAATCTTTATGGCACCTGTTGTCAAAAGTGCCTTTATATCTGTTGAGAGGAGATGTATTTGTTCAGTAACCCTGGGGCTGTCTAGCTACACAAAAAGCAATCCATGACACAGTTTGCCTGCAGCCAACAAAGCAGGATGCATTGAGGAGAGATGTTTATCTACTTCGTCTGCGAACTCCCCTTTAATTGAGGCAATGCCCATTTAACCATCCACTCCGAGTGTAGGATGTCCTTCACTGTTGGTCGTTCTTCAGGCCGGAATACCAACATTCGATGCATTAAATCAATAATCGCAGTTGCTTCCTCCCTGCCAAACCCGCATCCACGTTTGCGTCGATACTTCTGCACGCGTTCCTCAAATGCCGATTCAATTCCAGGCCACACGTAACGGCCTTCTTTTGGGTGCCCGTTATTGTCAAAAAATTGGCTTCGCTCCCGCCAGTGCATCCACCAGCTTGAAGGTAAAGGACCGAGCACATCGACTTGTTGTGATATTAGTTCATCCGCAGAGGCAAATTCAGTACTGAAAATCGGCTGCATGCCAATAATCTCCCAGATTGTCGTGGCCAAGCTCCAGATGTCTGCTGAGTATGAGAGAGGCGCCTCTGGTTCAAATCGGGCTTCTGGAGGTCGCATTGCTAGTGGTGTGTGGCAGTCTTTACCGCGGCGAATTTCCAGGTCTGGGGCAAATGCCTCACCAAAGTCACTGAGAAGTACGTGCGCGTCAGATACTAACAAGTCTTCTGCATCTTTGCCAAGATAAAGTGGTATGACTGCCTTCAATGGGACGTTTGGTGGAAGCGGCTTCCCATCACGTTCTGTGATGGAGACTGTCTCAGGCTCGCCATACTCTTCATATAGCTGCTCAACGGAAAGGTGATCAAAATCTGATGATAGTTTAACTAGGATATTGCGGAGATGGATGTCTGGTTATAGATCAATCATGAAAATTAGCCGTGTAGATCAAAGCAGGTCACCGATGAACTCCATCATCATCATTGCTCACCTCCATGTACGTAGCCCCGTGAATGAATGTAAGCAATAGCTAATGCGAGGCCACCCGACAGCGCCCGCGTAACTTCGAGAGGGAAAAGACGACTAAAAGACGCTTCTCGAAGATTGCACCGCGCGGGTATCATGGTATAGCATAGATGTTTTCCATTGGGTCCATTGAGCTCAAATTCATCTAAAGGCGTGGTAATTGAATCATGTCCTGGGCTGGCGAGAGCTCGGAGAATATTGGTTTCGCGCAGAGGCGAATCCGCGGTACTAACTTTAATAGCGACATAGCGGTGTAGCAAGGTATCTAGGGCTAACCAGACAGTTGAATAACCTCCAAAACCCAGTTTGTCAACGATACGGTATCTCCCTCGAAGCACATCCCCTATCATAACTGGGTGATAGCCCCCTGGACCATACTTTTCAAGTGATTCCGCGCCGTCAACCCAGTTGTATTCGAAATGACAGCCTCCCGTATGTTCTTCATCGTGCGACATTCTTGTTGAACAAATGGCAGCACTCGGTCGCGCGAGAAATATATCAGGCTTCCAAGGACGGAAAACGGGTAGCGGACGTGATAATAAAGCAGAAAATCGAGACGCGCTTGGGGATGACAAACGAAGAATATTTCGAAGGGCTGTCTTGTGGCGGCGCGTCATGATAGACAGAGATGGTTAATGTCAAGGGAGAAAGTTACGTGTGTTGGGGAAATGCCGCAAGGCGAACCTCCTGCCGCTCAGCAAGGTTATCTACGGCGAACTAAATTGAGCTGGCAGGCAATACTTCTTATTCTGGGGCTTTTTTACCAGGATTCTAGCATTCTATATTAGTACCGAGTTTGGAAATAATTAATTTACTAACTCGAGGGTTCCCGGAAGACTTAGCACCAATTCTATGGCATAATACCTACAACCTTCTTATCTAACGATACTCTGTGTTTATATTAATAGCCCTCAAAATGCTCCCTGGAGTGAGCAGATTCATCAGAATGCATGCCCAACTCTCACCCTTTGCAGGTGCGTTTAATGTTTTTTAAGAGAATTTGACCGAATCCACTCTGTAGTGGAAAAATCATAGATTTTAGGCCGAGCGTCCGTTTTCAACTGGTGTTGATTAAATTTACGAATAGCGCCGCCGGTTATTACATCCTTTTCCAGCTCTAAACTTGCAGGCTGAGCCCAAGATGCAGCCATAAGATGGGTTATTGTTCTACTTGGCATATTCTCGTAATAGGAGTCAGTATGGAAACAGCTTTCGAACGTACGGGATAGGCGACTTTAGAAACAATGTTATACTGGCGGTGCTATGGTCTACTAAGCCTACGAACGGAACTGTATCCGTACAAGCCTTCCTTGCAGTTACTTCTATCTCTGGGGGCAAGTAAGTGTTCAATCATATGGATGCCCTAGTGTTCTAGAAGAATCGAGAGAATGTGGATTATACTTAGAACTCAATCCTCATAGTATTAGAGGCCTTGTTCGCGAAGCGGCCTCCCCTCAAAGCGGTCCTCTTGTGGCTAGATGCGCCTCTTAGACATGAGAGCATAATACATAAAAGGGTGTTCATAGGTTTGCTTGATATATAAGCCTCTAACTTCATCCGCTTGCCCCCAACAATACATGGACAAAATAAAATAATGATTGGATTTTACCAAGCGGTATTGGTCAATCAGTTCGAAGTACTATGGTCAGCGAGTGAACGAGTCGTCCGTCCCGCACTCTCCCTTGCCTCTCCCTTGCGTCTTTCGTACTGCAGAGTCACACTGGCATGTACTGCCGGTGAAGAATGGCCCACTGTATCCAATGATCTATCAAGTAATGCCCAGAAATGCGACCAGCACATCGTTATTATTCTTGAATAAGACCGCCCTGACTTCCGTTCATCTCCGATATACCCACACTATACCCTAGCGTGTTGCACTTGTTGCATTCCACGATAGTTTAATAGTTAACGGGAAGCCCCCTTGGCAGGTTGATGGGACACACATAAAGCTACCATGATCTACTCAGTGCTTTACCCAACTCACACACATTTAGTCCTTTTCGAAATACATCATGTGGAGAGGGTAATAGTTTTATGATTAAATCATGACATTGCACAGGTCAGGCGCTGGGGCAGACCAGCGCACAGAAACATTCCGCATCAACGTCTGTCGCGTTGAAAGAACCCTCACCACCTATCTCCCAGCGAGAGGACACCTTCGATACAAGGAGTTTGATTGGGTTAATATCATAATACTCAGTGGTATGCACCTTCTTGTGTGCATTGGTGCTTTTGGGACCCCTTTGCAACTTGAAACTGCGATTTGGATGTGCATATATGATTTCTTCATTGCCCTTTCTCTTACTGCTGGTATGTATATTTAGCTATCGTTCAACCACTCTGAATATCCGGAGGATGACCCTTTGTGTCCCAATGTAGGCTATCATCGCCTCTGGTCTCACAAGTCGTACCGTGCTCGTCTACCGCTCAGAATATGTCTGGCTACATTAGGAGCTGGCGCATTCCAATGGTCTATCAAATGGTGGTCATATAAGCATCGCGCGCACCACCGTTATATTGATACCGATTTGGATCCGTATAATGCTCGCAAGGGTCTTTTCTATTCTCATATCGGCTGGCTGTTTCACAAAGATGAAGGTAAACAGACTGGGAAGATAGATAGCACCGACTTGAACGAGGACCCCGTTGTTATCTGGCAGCAACGCATCTATGTTCCTCTGTCCATACTGGCAGGCGTTGTATTTCCAAGTCTGGTAGCCAGCTTGTGGGATGATTTGCCGGGAGGTATTGTCTATGCGTCCTGCCTGAGGATTGTCTTCCGTTGGCACATGACCTTTTGTACCAATTCGCTGGCACATTATATGGGAGAGCAGCCTTTTGATGATCGTCACTCTCCGCGCAATCACCTTTTCACTGCTCTTCTGACTTTAGGCGAGGGATACCATAATTTCCATCACGAATTTCCCAATGATTACCGAAATGGCATTCAATGGTATGACTATGACCCTACGAAGTGGAGTATATGGATATGGAAACAACTGGGTTTGGCATCCAGCCTTAACCAAACCCAAGTCAATGAAACCGAGAAATCACGTGTGCAACAACTCCAGAAACATCTTGACAAGAAGCGTGCGACGCTTATTTGGGGTCCCACACTAGATGAACTCCCAGCAATTGAGTGGGATACGTATGTCAAAGAAGTCAAGAATGGTGCCCGTCTTCTAGTTATAGAGGGGGTCGTGCATGATGTTACGGAGTTTATGGCGGTCCACCCGGGCGGAAGGGCGATACTGGCCGCCAACATTGGAAAGGATGCAACTGGTCTGTTCCTCGGTAAAGTATACAACCATTCCAATGCGGCGAATAACCTACTATCCACCATGAGAGTGGGTGTCATCATTGCTCGTAATGATGGTGATGACGGGGACAGTCATACCTCGGCCGTATCAACAAGTTTCTCCCGCTGATCAGGCAGGCCCCATAGACTGGTCGTGGTGAAACAAGTGTGGCTCAAGCCAGTTGCCTACCGCTTAGTCAAAGAGAGAGGCCAGGTGAACGCCAAAACAGAAAGTTGGAAGAGTTGTCAATCACCCTAATACAAGGACCAATGCAATAGCAATGTACAGTAGTGTGAGTTTCTACCAATGTTTCTCATAGACCCCGGCCACTTATGAACAATGTGTCTATGGGGCTATATTTCTTGAAGGTTTAGTCTACCATTACAGTGCACCGTACTCCGTATAATTGCGGGTTTATGAAGAGTCCTGCACGGGTTCCAATTACTGTAGAACGACTAAATGGCACTACGATGCGACAAAATGGGAAGTTCAAGTCTGGGAACACCTTAGCCTGGGCTATTGGTGAAGCAATTCCATCCCGACGGGGATGCATCCAGCGGCGTATCCAACGAGTGCATGCTGACGGAGGAGGCGGCCGAGGTCGAATGGATAAAAGGACAGGCGGCAGGGAACTAGTTATAACTAACTAACGATCAAAAACAAAAAAAAGAGAAAAACATACAACAGGAGGGATTCGCTGGTGGTCACCCACCCAACTACTAACCTCCCGGCGTGTGGCTTAAGTACGGCTGAGCGGACGGGAAGCCCTGTTCTCCACACCCTATGGTCGTATGTACTTATCCCTTCGTCGCAGAGGATTATATAGAGCAAGGATAAGTTCTTCTACACGTCCATCTCACATATCCTCGGCATTGAGTTCCACCTTCGAGTTCTGGGTTTGCCTCCGACATTCAGTCAATAGTGGTGAAGACAGATCTCGCCCATCAATGGGTGTCTAATCTGCGCATAGTCACCCACATACTTTGCTACATTAGGAGCCCCTAGCAGGAATAGCACAGCCCCAACAATCCTGCATTGAAAGTTATCCTTCTCTCAAAGCCTAAGAATGTGGTGCCAAAATTGTCGGCTCAAGAAGCTTATCATCTGGGTCTATTGATCGATTCCAGCCCAAAAATCGATAGTCCGTTGGCAGGTGTGCTAGCGCCAGTTCCATCACATTGTCAATTTTCAATTCCGACATCCACTCAAGGACAGAACGAGACTGGTTCGTTGGAGTGGGACTAAGACGCAATGTACATTTAGACTCTGAGTTTATGTGGTGAGTGGCGTAAATCGACTACGGCCGGATGGCGATCGGCACACACACACACGAGGCTTAAGCTCGAATATCCTTCCACTTGATGGATAATTGGTCGACCCGGACTTACGAGATGTGGATTTGCCACGTTCTCTCCACGTTGATGGTTTCTGTCATCGAACCTGGTTCGTTACATATGCAGGGGAGAGTTCTGAGTTCACGCTACCGTATCTTGACTTTTCCCAGAGTTGTGGGAGCGTCTGATATTTACTCTCTTTCCATAGCCATCATTTAGTACTGGGAAGCTGTGTGATTCACATATCAGAATAGGTAGTTGTTCATAGTGTGAGGTGTGCAGTGTAGCTTAAACGTCAGGTTGTGGGTAATAATTGATAGGACAAGATGCCTGAAGGTGAGAACCTCCGGAAAATAACGCAACTGTGTTCCATGGTTGGTAGCCATGATCTTCAATCGATCTTCAACCAGTGGTCAGAATTTGTACTACCCCCCGAAGCAAGTGGTCCCTGAATGACAATCACTTCCCGGGCCTAACTACTCCGGCCATACACAAAACACAGAACCTTGTGGGCCATAGCTTGGGCCTGTCGTGTGCGGAGTGGGGCCTCTGTCTTGACCTTGTCAAATTGGGGTGTGGATTATTCTGAGAGGGTCTGTCCTGAGCCCCTTGAGCTTATCTCGAAGCTGCATTTTATCTCTCACGATCCCCCTACTTGGCAATGTAGCATTATACCGTCTGCCTTACACTGAATCCTCCTGTGACAAGAAACACAATGGTAGCCCTTCGGGGAATGATATTCGGTTCCCTTATTTTAGCTGCCTCAGTTGTGGCTGCCGATACAACAACCGAAGTCCTTCCACAATGCGCGGTACGCTTCAGTGTCTTTGAACTTTAGAGCATTCCTAACAGCATAGCAGGCCACCTGTGAGCAAAGTGCACTCCAGCAAAATACTTCGACTTGTTCCGATAGTGATATGAGATGTTTTTGCACTGATCATCTGTATCAATCTACCTTGGAGGATTGTGTTGTTGCAAATTGCACGGTCACGGAATCATTCAGTATGTGTTTATATGGCCCTTCCGTGCTTCCTTCACACTCACCAATGTATAGCTGCCAAACGGCTGCAGTCTCAACAATGCAACCTTCCCACTCATCACGGACGCCCCGCTGCAGATCCCGCTCTCATTATTCCATTGTCCCTTGCGACAATCCTCTTTGTTACCCGGATATTTGCCAAGTACATGCGTATCAGTGGTAGTTGGGGGTGGGATGATTATACTATTATTGTGGCATATGTGAGACTGCTACTTTACCCACCTTGCTTCAATAAGACACACCTTTCTAATGTCCATTGAGATATTGGCCGTGACCGTATTCTCAATGAATGTGTCCAGTTAGTCAGAATGCTCAGATCCATGTCTAGCAGGAGATAACTAATCCGTTGTAGTGATCCATCATGGGTTCGGGAAAGACATCTGGAACATCACACCCTTTGGGGAAATAACTGAGATAATGAAGGTTGGTCTTTTTCATCACAGTCGGGTAAAACGCTCATTCTCATTTGCAGATCTTCTATGTATATGTGTTGGTATACAAAATTCAGATATCTCTTGCAAAGATCTCGGTCTGTCTTTTTCTATTGCGGATTTTCCAGTCGACAGCATTTCGCTACACGGCCTATATCATCATCGGTCTCAATTCTGCTATCGCGGTCACCTGGGTTCTGGTGGATGGCCTTCGGTGCACCCCAGTCCACCTGGCATGGACAGGATGGGCGAAGGAGGAGCAGGGGAGATGCATCGACTTTATCGCGGCGACTTTCGCAAATAGCTTCGTCAATATCATAGTCGACACTATTATGGTCGCCATGCCAGTGTACGAAGTGATTAAACTGAATCTTAGCGCACGAAAGAAACTAGGAGTTGGTGTTATGTTTGCGATGGGCTTAGTGTGAGTAATAGACATTGGCGGACTATCTATTTTCTTCCGGACTGACCATTCTCACGTCACCAGCCTCACCATTGTTGCAATACTCCGGGTCGTTGTCTTCTGGTATAACCGCTGGAACAAGAACCCAACTGGTATGTTACCTCAGCGACGAACTTGTACTTCTTCCATCATAGAGAAACTGACTTCGCACATAGTCGAATTACAGCCCATCAACGTCTGGTCGGTGATCGAGTGTCAGATTGCAGTGGTCTGTGCGTGCCTACCTGCAGCCAGGGCCGTGTTGGTCCGCTTCTTCCCCGGGCTGATGGGTGGTTCTGTTGGAGAGTCTGACGCACGTAAAGCCACGCGACCGAGTGCTTCTGGAACCAGTGGCAAAATCTCCCAAACGATGACCTATACCGTCGAGTATAGTAGAAGGGCCCAGGAAAGAGCATCGAACAGTGCCGTCAATCTTGTAGAGTTACACCGGGAGGCAGTTTAATTATATATGAATTGCGGGCAATCCGTTATGTTGCTTAAAACACCAGTACTAAATTCCTAGGCATAGATACTAGAGCCGCCTCCCTACTACTTATTTGTTCACCTGTGATATATGGTTCCGCCCTGAAACAGAAGCTCGATATATATTTGAAGCGGCAATGTGTCACCGCCTGTCCGTATGGGTGACCGTAACCTAGAGGGTTAACTGTTCACGTGGCGCTCAGTGCCCTAAGTTGAGAAATCAGTGCCAAAGCAGGACAGACTTGAAGCTATTGAGGAATATGTTAATGAGGTATACCGGCGGAAAGGATATCCTCTGAGCCTGCGAGGCCACTCAGGTGGTCTCACAGCAGAAGTCTAAGCTTATCCAAATCAAGCGCGCCCCGTAATCGGTACTTTGAGTCTATAGCCCCCACGCCATAGACGCGCTAAGACCCAAAGGCCAACGAAGGATGCATACAGGTTAGTGAGAATCAGGAAACGACACGAGTCAGTGGGACCAAAAGTGGACTAATTGGCTCCAGCCCCTCTTCTGATGTTTGGTGGGAAACTAAGAAAATAGTCTTTTCCTGGGTGAAGAGTTGACGCGTGCCGAATTCACTCTGCTTCCGATTTGACCATTTCCACTGTGTACTTTGCACATAATCATATGGGTCCTAGCTCTTCCCAGTATAATATCGCCCATTGATTGAACTTATGAACCGCACTACCTGTTATATCCTGTCAACTGAACGATCTACAACAGGATGGCACTTCGAAGACGCCTCGCCAGTATGGACTTCCAATGTTATCGTGCCGTGCGGGGCTCAGCTGACAATTCACGCTTATAGGACTTTTTCCTTTGCTCGCGTACCACCATGTCCTGATGGGTATTTGTTCAGTGATAATTATCCTCTTATGTAAGATATATTCGTCCTCATACTTGGTCTTTATGATTATTGTATCACATGTTTCCTGATATTACTTCCACGCGATGGACTAATGAATACACCAGCCGTTCTTCTCGCGGGATGCACATCCTCCAATGGTATGAACAACATCTATCTAGTGTCCCTCAAATACAGGAATGGCAGTACTTCGACGCCCAGTGATCCCGCATTTATAAATCCGAGCATTGCAGAAAAGGTCTACAACGTATCTCAGCCCCACAATACCACGATTCTAGAAGTGCGGGCGGCGTACATGGGCCTCTGCTTGACTCGGAGTGACGGCGCGCAATTTTGTTCCAGCAGTGCTGCAGCGTTGGCCAGCATGGTCAAGGATCAGGGAATATCCGGCAGTAATGACACTGCCGACCCGCTGAATCTGATTTGGATTGCTAAGAACTTCAAAGAGACCATTGTTTTTGACGGCTTGATGTGAGTTGTTTCCCGTGTCTCCTTTTTGCCCTTTTTCGATATCATTCCATCACCATCACCCTAGAGATACGCAAAGCTGTTTGATAAGTCTATATCATGCAGTATGAACCAAGCGGGTAGCCCTAACATGGAAAACTAGATTCGTTGCAGTTGTGGCGACATTCATTTGTTTCCTCGCATTATCAACATTCCCCGGGTGGCATGAAGAAGTCGATGAGGCCGGCTCAGAGCGCGAGGTCAAGCCCTTCCCTTCACGGCCAGTGTCGCAAGCTGCACTGGGTTTGGGTTCATTGGCGTTCATATTCGCCTTGGTCTCGATCCTCTGGCAGCATATCAATAGCAGTGCTGCAGGGACCATGGCGGAGAGCCTTACGTATGGGGCCGTCGAGAGCCATGTTGGGACTGCGGCAATGATTCTCGGGTGGGCTGCCGTGGTCTGCCTTGGGATTGTTGTTCTGGCTTTGCTAATTATGCTCATGAGTATTAGTCTTCTCCGACGGTTGACGGATGAGTGATTTAGTGTTACTTTCTATTCCCACTTTGCATTGGCATTTGTGCTTTCGTTTTCTTTCTCTTTTTTTTTTTTTTTTTTGCTGGTGGGGGTGGCGGGGTCTTTGGTATTTGATTCTAGAGAGTGTAGATAAAGAAGAAAGTATGATATGCGATTTACCAGTTTACCGAAGTGCAGTAGATTTTTAATTGCGAAAATACTGTGCGGTCGCCTCTCCGGAGACAGATGTCTCCTCCGAGGTCGTACTTCTCCACGAAAAGTATGCAGCCCTAAAATACAGAACCTGCGCCCCAAGAAATCCGACGCCAGTTATCAAAATCACTAGAATGGCGGCAGTCAGACCAGCTTTAATACCCGACGCCAATGGACGCGTCCATATCAATGCGAGTGGGATTGCAACTAAAGCCATAATTCCAAGAGCCCAGAGAACCAATACGCGGATCGTTGACGGAATACGCTCGAGCAGGCGCATAACCATCCTCGGGAATGCATAGCGAAAGTCTGGATTGGAACGGCGCCAATATGGTACGCCCACCAGGCCTAGAATGGCAACGATGACTACGCCGGTCACTGTGCCCTGCACGCCCTGATCCATACTCCGAGTCCAGAGTACAGCTATGGGTGCAACTGCAACAATACCGGTCATCAGAAAGAGTCCAAGCGGGAATCCCACCACCCTCCACAACTCGGTCCCAGCCTTGCGACTATTTCTGTCTATCCATACCCAGGTTGCCTTGCTACTCCGAAGGAGTGCGGTTCCGAACCATTGTAAGAGTAGCAACATCGATAGAGACCTAACCTGCACGGGAAGGCCGCGTTGCTCCGCATACCGTCTCACATCCAGTTTCACATTCTGTTTCAGACTTGCTAGCCATTGGCTGCGCATTGTTAGTCGCATCAGGTACGCGAAAGTTGTCACAGCGCTTGCGACAACGAAAAATTTCCACACCGGCGCTGAATCTTTGAAGGGCTCGATTTGCATTCCAAACACGGATGTTGAAAATGATAGTGGAATGAAGAGAAATGCTAGCTCAGTGAGTCGCGTTATGGCATGTGCCTCGTCGATGGAGCGTCGACTATCCAGGAGACCCATGTTGGACGTCAAGGACGAAGATGCACGTCGTAGCCGGGCGAGCATCTGATTGATTTGGTCGAAGAGATCTAATACACTTCGGACGATATCTGAGCTGCCATCCGCTGCTGCTAGAGATGTATTGGCTGGGAGTGTGATACCAAAAAATGCCAGAAAGGCCCTAATAGATGTAATGAGATCCGATAGCTCTCGCTCAGCTTTACTTATCAGTTGACGCCACAATGCCAGTCGGTCCTCCATCTTCGTGTCGTCGAGGATATCAACCTCCATATCGCTCAAGATCTCATTAAGTACCCGAAGTAAAGTCAGGGTGTCCTGGCGGATGGTCTCGAACAAGGTATCTAGCAGACTGACTGGGGTAGTCTTTTTGTCTACCATATGATGAATCTCCTGCCCGGTCGACCTGGTCTCGTTGAGTTCATCCTGCAGAGTCGCCAAGAAATCCCCTGTCACAATAGCCTCCTCCAGATCGATAGTAACGGTCTTCCGGGAAGCCATCTGCTTGACCAAAACCTGGATGGTTCTCTCGAGATTCACCTTCCTCTTGTGGACTTCATGCTTCTGTCGTCTGCGGAGCCAGTCTAATACCCGACGTCCAGTTGTCTCTCGCCGCGGGTTCTCGATCGGAATCGCAAGCGCCTCGACGCCATCATCACCCTCGATTATTAGGATCGGTCGAGTTCCTGCTCCATTATCATCACCAGTATCATGCTCATCGCGATTAACATCAGCGTAAGCAGCGATCATTTGGATTTCCTGCGTCTCATCATGACTATAACTAATCGCCGGTAGAGGATCAAGCAGGACGATCACTATACTTTCACTCAGTTTTCCAACTTATGAACCCATAGGCGAGGCAATTACCGACCGATTTCATAATCCCTACCCTCAGCCTTCTTCTTCCAAACCGATGCCCGTTCGACTAAACCAAACTCCCTCGTCTCCTTTGCTGTCCGGCGCGGATCCACACGTAGATCCCACTCGGGACGAAATATATTTGTCTCTGCTTTGAGACTGAAGATCGAGTTTCCGGATATGTAGTCCAACCCATCACGATTTAAATCTAGTAGGTCTTCCCGGTCGCGGTTGGAGAATAGTGGTTGGCGACGATACATGGGCCGAACCCACTGGATCGACACGTATGACTTGTTCAACCCTGCTGTCTTCCATGACCGCGCCGGTGGGTCATCATACTGCGCACCACTGTAACCAGAATTCAACAGATGCTCCTCAAAGAATTCTGGCGTGACTCCGAACGTCTCCCCCAAGGCGTGAATAGTACGCTCTGATAGGTCTTCGACGATAAACACGCGCCCGCTCAGTCCCTCAGGTGTGTCGCGATAGCTAGAAACCAATTCGGGGTTGTCGATCTCCACACTCGAGGCCGTGTTATCGTCGTAGTATTCATAGAGCATGATGGAGGTTCTCTCCACTCGTGGAATCTTGCGGATATTACCATTTGCGATGTGGTCGAACACACCTGATGCGCGGTCTATAATTTCAGCGTAGGATTGGAGCTTCTGTCTCGGCTTATCGGTCGCCTGTCGTTGCACTGGCCCTAGTTTTGGTGATGGCGGCAGTGATGGAGGCAATGGAATAGCCGACGGTAGTACAAAGGTGCCATCGCGATGAATTAGATCCAGTGAAGATCTATCTGCATTGGGGTCTCGTTCGCCAGGGTCACTGGCTGCCGACGACCCGTCGCGAGATCCAGGCAGTGGAATCAGCTGAGGGATGTTGCCAAACGCGGCTGGATCATTTTGTAGGGCGTCATCGAGCGAGCCTCGAGCTTTTGTCTTTCCAGTCTTACGCGTTTTACGTGAAGCGTCCCCCGCTTCGGCTTGTTGCTGCTTGATCCATTCGAGGACGCGCCGGGATGGTTGCTGCTGAGCCATGGAGCTGATAGGGTTATCAGGGCGCAGTGGTTATTTTCCCCTCTCCTAGATTGAAGCTTCTGTATGTACATTATCCCTGCTTTGCGACTACTGTTCTCGACACACAATGACTCGGTAAGCGCTGACAATTCGCGCGCTAAGTGGCGGCGCACGACTAGTGGGATAGGTGAGGCTTAGCTGCAGACTTGAGTTGTTGGATAATGGCCCAGACCCGCTAAACATGGAAAGAAATTTGGCGATCTCCTTCTTTACTTTTCCGATCCTAGGTTCTCTCTCCGTCTACTTTCTTTTTTACTATTTTTTTGGTTTCTCCTGTACTTTTTTCTTTGAAGCTCTGGGTTTGGCTTCACAACCTCTGCGTGACAAAGTTGGTCTACACGCATGATATTGTAGTACTAGGACTCGGGCTTATTATCCTCTTTTTTGATCGCTAGCGCGGCGGAGAAACACTAGCGTGCGCTTGGGGCCCCCGGCTGACATGTTGAGGCTTTGACATTGGTTGCGAAGAAAAGATAGAAAAAAAAAGGCCATTGCTTCTCCAATCTCACCTTGTCCGGCTGTTCACTCATTAACTTATCTAGAACTTTCAATCAGTGCCTTCAACATGAAAATCTCGCTTTTGGGTCCTCTTCATAGCTTTTATTACGGTACTATGAATAAATTTAGTCAATGGATTGAATTACAAAGCAGTATATATCTGAGCCAACTCATTACTATTATTTTAGCCTCGATGATTCCTTTCCCCGAGTAGTCATGAATAGAACATTAATCATGGCCCCAAATGGACTAAGGTATCCATGGAAGATCAATAACACCTTTCACACCAGGTCTAGTCTTCCTGAAAGCGCCCTTAAATGACGTTTTCTGCATTCACTATATGTTAACTAGTAGAGAGCTTCACTTGTCCCCAGCATCGTGCACTCGGATTCTTAACGTAAATTTATGAGCTATCCGTCTAAAGCTCAAAGAGCGACTTGTCGATCGTCCTGTCCGAAGAGATTCTCCCATTTTCTTACGGTGCACCTATGAGCGGGCGCTAAGGGGATTGGAATCGATGGATACGATGCGTGCGGAGTCGAACTAGCCTCTCGGCCCGTGTATTATAATGTTCGGGCCATAAATGAATTATTCTTTTGACAGTCAATTAGACTTGATATTAAGAGCTTCTTGAAGATCTGGCTGCACTGGATTCACAGCTTCCACTATAATCGGGAAAACCAGGGTGAATTTGAGTCAACTGAACAAAGGCTCTTCAGGTCTTAATGTAATAAGAGACAGAGAACTTCTATATTAACAGGCCGCTCCCCAGTTTCTTTTCCTACTTGCAGTTCAGTGCCCTTTTCGTACTGGGCGGTTTGCTGTCATACCTAACACACACCAAAATGGGCTTTATATCTATCGTTACCCGGCTTCTACTTGGGATATCTCTTTCTATGACAATTGTCCCCTTCGTAGTAGCAATCAACGAGGAGTTTGCCCCTGATGACATCGTCATCCGGGATGTCTGCATTCTTGGCGGCGGATCCACCGGTACATACGCGGCAATCAGATTGAAAGACAAAGCGAAGAGTGTGGTAGTTGTCGAGCAGAACAAGCTCCTGGGCGGTCACACTGAAACGCTCTACCTTGGCCACGAACAGTACATCAACTACGGCGTAGAGGGAGTTTTCAACGACGAGCTAAGTCGAAATTACCTGAAGCGTCTGGGAGTAGACCATAAACCACTTCTACCAAGTACACTGACCACCGAGTATGTCAACTTCAGAACTGGGAAGAAGGTGCCTCCCCCGTCTGGAATTCCATCCACCGTTGAGGCCGCAACAATGTACCGCGCGGCTATCGAAAAGTTCAGCTATCTAAAAGATGGGCTGTATAACCTGCCTACCCCAATTCCCGAGGAGCTTCTGAAGTCTTTTGGTCATTTTGTGGAGACAGCTGGCATTCAGGGTGCTCTTCAAGTCGTTAAGATCTTCGCCCATGGTGCTGGCAATCTCCTCCACGCCCCACTCCTTCGTGTCCTTCAACTCTGTGGTCTACGGCAGATTGATTCGCTCCTTCACGGCGGATATATCACACCAACGCATGGCATGTACGAGGTCTACAAGAGGGCATCGGAAATCCTCGGGCCAGACGTTCTTTACCAGACCATTGTGATCGAGGCCGAACGATCCGAACTTGGTATCAAGATCGTCGTCCAAAGTGAGAATGGCGTTCGCAAACTTATCAAAGCCAAACAGCTCCTCGTCACCTTTGTCCCCGTCATGGAATTTTTAGACGGATTCGACCTTGCTACGACTGAGTCTTCCCTATTCCAAAAATGGGACTGGGTCAACTACTACGTTGCTGTCGTCAAAAACACAGGAATCCCAAATGCCGTGACGCTCGTCAACGCTGACCCCGACAACACGCCCGGCAACCTCCCGCTCCCGCCTTTTCAGTTAGAGCTACAATACTCGGGTATAGAAGGATACCTTGTTAGTAAAGTCATCGGTAACCGGACTTTGACCGCGCAGCAAGCAAAGGACCTCGTACTTTCTGATATTCGTCGGATGGGAACAGCAGGGACGTTTCCGGGCGGTGATCCCGAGATTGTCGTTTTCGGGGACCATACGCCAACCACAGTGTCAGTTTCCAGTGCTGATGTTCGGGATGGATTCTATAGGAAGTTGTATGCGCTCCAGGGCACCAAGAATACGTTCTATACGGGGTTGGCATTTTGCTCGGATTACTCGTCGTTGCTATGGGCGTATACCGATACCATTATTCAGGAGATGATGTCTTCGTCCACAAGTACTTGTTCTCTCTGCGTACAAGGACAAGCTTAAGCAATTGTCGTATTTAAATCAGGGTTCCATTGTCACGTTTATCTCGGAGATTACGTTGTGTGAAAAGCGAGGTTAAGAGGAACGGGCGGATTGAATGTTGAAGGGTTAATATATCTATCCGACAACCTAGGCTGGTGTGATGATAAATACATTTGTCCTAGTGACAGCTGCACATGAATAAATTGAAAGGCTTACAGGATATACCTAGGTCCAAGCCCTAATGAAACTACCTGTAATATTGTACTTATCTTAGCGTTACATTTATAAGATCCGTGAACTGGGGGGGGGGGGGGGGGGGCTATATAGCAAAATTCGGCAAACTTCAGGTTTACTTCCGCACATATGTTGGTGTACTTCCCTTTCTTAACAGATATAGAAAAGTATCCGTAGATCTTCATTAATAACGACCGCGAGTCATGTGTGAAGAAGGCTCGACAGGCACTGAGCAAGGATATATTCCTCGCCATCGATGTATTCAACACTAAATTCTTAAATTGAGTAATGACCGTAAACAGTAGAGGCTTTTCCCGCCATATCAAACAGCCCAACGCCTCGCACAAATAAATCACACATTAGGATATCTAACATCTTGATATGATCTTCTCCACCCAAAGGTCCAAACAATGCCCTCAATAAAACACCCATAACCCCAAAGCGGTGGTCCCCAAGCCCTAACTTGGAACTCACCGCGGCAGCGACGGAAGCGAAATCAACGGACCCGACACGAGCGGGGAATCACCAGTGAGAGGACCAACAGTCACATTGGCCTTCTCCAAGATGCTGCCCAAGCTTGGCCTGTTGCTATTATCTTTATTGTCGCTGAATTTGACATCGGTAGAGGATGAATGGTCGTCGTAGGATACTGTCGCGGTGTTCCGTGACTTGTCGATGTTATGGTCGCCGATGGTGGTCTTGTTGATGCCTGCTTCGCCGTTTGCGGTGCCATTGGTGAAGCGACCCCATGCTGGGAACGCGGTGGCCGTCGCGGAGAGGGTTGCGAGAATTGTGAAGAAATGCATGGTTTTGCGAGACTGTGGTTTGGATTATAGATTAAAGTAGGAGATTGAAGGAATGGATCTCAAGTTGGATTAGAGTTATTGTGGGCGCGCCAGGCGCAGATGTTGTTACAGGAAGAACAGTCATTAGAAGTGTTTCGTTACACAAACGATGTTTTTATACAAGGAGTTCGTCTAGAGGATGGACGTAGCTTGAATACTTGGCGATATGCTAGGAATGTTGCTGTGGCTGTCTTCCTTGACATCCACAAAGCTTCCCACGTACTAAGCAATTTGGGGAAAGTTAAAACTGGCCTTAGAGGATGTCAGAAGTCTAATATAGATTTGGTTACATTTTCCTTTAACTGTTCGTTGGCTACTTCGTTGAGCAGGGAAGCAATATAGAGTGAGGAAAGAAGCTGAGTCAACGGGTCCCGATCGATCAGTGTAAGAGATTTCATGTTTTAGATGCATCCAAGGTACCTGCAGCGTACAATTCTTGTGTAGGGAGATCCTCCCAGGGGTCGTTGGAGAACGTGACACGAGTATGGGATGCAAGGGATACTGCGGAATGGCTGTTGCAGATCATCCGCCAATTCAATTGGTTTCGCAAGAATGTCAGCCAGCATAAAAGTATGCAGATAACGGACGGAAAGGCGAAAAATGCTGAACGGAAAATTGCCAAACGCCTTACCAGCAAGACATATGCCACTCCTGACACAATCCTTGATTATTGGTTAAGCTCTATCTGTCGCGTTGACTGCCCAAGTCGCTGCCTCAACATAGCAGATCAATCAGTGAAAAATAAGTTGAATTGCTCTCAAGTACAGAAAATACTCATTATACTCATTCCTTTCTGTCAGAGCTTGGGCTAGTACTGATCGACGTCGTCTACATCTTTCACCCGACTAGAGCATTGTTGGCAGAAATGACATTGGTAACATTAGCACTGTGATCCACATAGCCTACATACCATCTTAGGTCCGTATACGCTAGACGCGTAGTGGCGCGTGTTGCTGAATTTTGCCGCTATAGGTAGATGGATAATTGAGATACAGACCTGTCCCCCTACTATATGTTCCTCTGTGTAAATATGAAAATCTCAGCCCTTACTAGCATCTATCCACTGTTTTCAGTTGCCATGAACGGCACTTCAGTTAATAAACATAAGCTTTAGACCCCCCACTCCGTTGTTTCCTATTCAAAAACACATAGTAGATATGTAGCAGAACACACGAAACGCAGACAAACAGTAGTAAAGCAGCATTCGTCCAGTGACCCGTGGGGTATCCCCGACTAGCCTCGTTAGCTTTATAAATCCACACCCCGACAATTTGACCCGGTGCGCCGAAAGAGATATTGAGCGCGATCGCAAGTCCGGCTCCAGCGGTTGAATGAAGGTTGGAAGATAACCAGCCAAGAAGAGGAGGAATGCACGAAAAGGCACCACTGGCCGCCACAATTAAGCAGCCATACCGACTCTATCGTACTGTTAGACGCTTAGCCTTTCTTGACATGGAATTAGCCTACCTGATATGCATCTGCGGATAAGACAGCAGAGGCTAGGAAGCCTACAGCACCAATGCACGAGAATATCGCCGCGTGGATTCCGCGTCTGGTACAACGCGATAACAGTGTTAGTTTAAACATTAGAGTCTAGGTGTATGGGTAACATACGCGTTGAAGCGGTCGGCCGACCATGAAACGGCGACCGTTACTACATATGCAACGGCATAAGGCGGGACGGTCATCAGTTGGGCTTCGAGGTTCTCGTACCCCAACCCGGCAGTAATGGATGGAGTAAAGAGCGAAAGACTCGAAAACGGAGTTGAAATGCCGAAATAAATCTAGTATGTCTCAGTAAACTGCTATTGAGTGAAGCATATAACACGTACCGCATAATGACAGTATAATCGCCAATCAGTCAGCACAGCTTTCGCGTCTGACCAGCTCATCGTTTTCGCACTGCTCTTTGAACCTTCTAGTCGGAGTCTGTGTTTTGCCAAATTGAGCTCTGCAGCGTTCAACCAACATGCTGTTTCCGGATAGTCCGGTAAGAGAAACCAGACAAGGATCGCGGAAGCACACGACGGGGCTCCTTCGATTATGAACAGCCAGCGCCAGGCCGACAGACCATGAGCTCCGTTCAAGTAGCCAACTCCATAAGCGATAGCACCACCAAATGCCCCGGCTAGTGTAGCAGAGGCGAGAATGAGTGCCACACGTATAGAACGCTCAGAGACGCGATACCAAAACGTTAGGTAATATACGAGTCCAGGGAACAACCCAGCTTCAATGACCCCGAGCAGGAACCGAATACCAGTAACATCTCCAAAATTTCGAGAGCCACCCAAACCCATTGTGATGCCTCCCCAGGAAAACATAAGGAACGCAATCCACCTCTAGGCCAAGTTAGTGAGTCATGGAAGACAGCCGATTAGATGATGTATACATACGCTGGGCTTCAGCTTCTTCAGCAAATAGTTTGAGGGTACCTCAAATATTCCATATGCCACAAGAAAGACCATCAACGCGATCCTAATAAAGGAACAGTTTATATATACTCAGCAATCTAAGAGGGCAGAGTACATACGTGTATTGGTAATTGCTCATATTTGTCTCGGAGAGAAGATCGTTACCCGTGTCCTTGTTCAAGACTTTGGCATTCCCTGGAGTCAACAAGTTTTAGCTTCATCTTCAATAGAAAGATCCTTCATGGGCATTTTTACCAATATTTGAGCGATCAAGGTAGCATAGTAGATAGACAAATGCCGACAAAGGCACGATACGCAGGTCTTGTTTCCATACCAGAGCCTTTTCAGCGGCAATGTCATAAGCGGGTTCCCCTTCTAGGCTATTTGAACTATCCTGAACCACAGTCAACATCATCCACTGTTCTGGATCGACAGAGAAGCACTGTTACCTACGTGCATGCCATTCTCAACGTCCTCCAGTTCATGCTCGTGGGGCTTTTCGTCCTGTGCTGTCATGTCTCCACGATCAGAACAAGAGGCCGGTGTGTCGTGAACTCTGACCTTGTTACGTAGCAGGTCTGTATGAAAAGTGGCCTCGAGGGGCTCAGTAGGAATTGACGATTATATATGGCGTGTTAGAATTGCAAGACTTCTGCATAACCCTAAATACAATGGTCCCGAGTCAGCTTCTGATAACATCGGCATCGGCGGCCGTCACCGACGGACAGTGTCCGAAGCCACTTTGCATTAGGGCTTCGGTTCACTGCCCCCGCAGCATTCAACCTGGAGAAGACGCGGGGTAAACGCCACTAGCGAAGAGCCGGGCAGCATTAGTCCGTAACATCCCCGCAGCCATTCTAGTTCTAGTATCCAGTTTGAGGGACTAGAGTCTGCCGGGTTACTTGACCGAAAACAACGGAGTTTCCAGCTTACTTGCCCACTCCTCTCAAGGTGACCGGAAGTGACATCGGAACATGCATGCATGCGATAGGTGCCATCGACGCAAATCAAAATGCGACAAAGCGCTACCGGTTTGTGGGCCATGCCAGAAAGCTGGGGTTACCTGCAGGTATGTCGATCGGACCAAAGGCCATCAGCAACTCCTGGAGAAATTGCAACGTCGCTTGAAACACGTCGAGGCTACGAATCGCAGCTTAGCGGCGAAGTTAGCTAGCCATAATTCTTCAGCCGGTCAAATTGAGACCAATGGAGACGGTAACGAGGTGGGATCAGAGATACCCGCGCTGAATGATGGCCTGGGAGGAGCTACTCCTAGACTGCATGAAAGAGAAGGAGACGAGAATGACGTTATAGAAGAAGTCACATTTCTGTCCAGTGGAGCAGGAGGTGAGCAGCACTTCCTGGGCTCCGCCAGCGGTGTATTCCTCGCCAGTCTCGTCAGTGCAACTATGGTCAGCTCTCAGTCCCAGGGCACACATGAAAGGGGTTCACGAGGAAGAAGATCGAGTAGATTTCCACCGGTGTCACCTCTAACTACTGCCTCTTCTGAGGCTTCGGCATTGCCTCCAGAGCAGGTCGCACGTAATCTACATCGTGCCTACTTTGAGCACGACCATCTCTGCTATCCTTTCCTCCATCGCGAGACCACGCTATGCGCATTGGACCAAGCCTACCAGGATCCCGCTTTTTTGGAGCAAGACGCCTTTGCCTCCCTTGCGTTTGATATGATCCTCGCTATAGCCACCGCTAGTGTGCATAAGTTCAACATAGAGGCGCTTCCTGATGCGGAGGCATATCAGATTCGAGCAACACAGAGGCTAAATGAGGTAATGCGTGATGGTGGTATACAAGCCCTTCAAGCGCTGCTGTTGCTATGCCAATATAGGATGACAAATTCGATCCAGGACACATCAACAAGTAAGTGACAGAATCTTCATATATCTGACTGCTTGATCTAACTTTCACTAGGTTTATGGCACATTGTTGGCGTTGCTTCCCGGATGTGCTTCGAGCTGGGACTGCATCGGGAGCAGACTTACCGACTGACCGAGACGACAGACGCCAGCAACAAAACTACAAATGTAACAATACTATGCGAGATCCGTCGCCGATGCTTTTGGTGTGTTGTTGCTATGGATAGGTACGAACACCTTTGCTTATGTTGGTTATCAACATTAATATTATCCAACCAGGATCGTAAGCATTACTTTGGGAAGGCCCCTTGCCATACACTTGCAGGATGTAGAAGTTGCCCTGCCTGACTCTAGTCTTGATGCTTCCTTGGATCGGGGCAATATAGACTGCGCGCCTTTTTCCCGCACGGCGTTGTTTGTTCACATCGTCCGTTACCGAATCATCTGTGGCGATATATTGTCTGCACTGCACAACACATCTAGTCGAACAAAAGGCGATGCGACATCTGCCTTGGCGGCTAGAGATAAACTTGCAGATGATCTTGGTCAATGGCACCATGAGACTGCGACGTTGTCACTTCCAGAAATTGACCTGTCTAACCCCCTTCTGGGAGGTCAGTCGAGCTACCGTGCCCGGGAATGGTATGAGCTATTGTATTATAATGCCCTCCTCATGTTGTATAGACCATCACCAGCGCTGTCATTGGCATCTCCTCATGACGCGGGCGTACTGCAAACTATTTTCGTCGCCGCGAAACAGGCCATCACATTATATTCCCACCTTCACCGCTCTCGGCGTATTAACTACACCTGGATAACTCTCCATTCTGTTTTCATGGCTGGCCTGTCCTATGTCTATGCTGTGGGTAGACATTTCCGATCACGCAAGCGCCGGACGCCTGGCAGTACATCCTCCCTTCTTCAGAGTGATCCCACCATAATCGAATTAGTGCATGACTCGAGAGCATGCTCGAATGTGTTGGTCGGTATCTCTGAGCGGTGGAATGTGACAAAGCATTGCCATGATGTCTTCAACCGCCTAACCGATGCCATGCTCGCAGATGCCATCGAATACCACTCCCACAGTGCAGCAGCCCAACCAAAGTCTGAAGCCCTAGGACCTAACGAGCCATTACTGTCGGTAGATGTTACAGGAGTCAGCGCCACATCGAACATTTCAACCTTTCCATCCTGGGATATAAACGACCCTACGCCGAGCTCGCTGGGCGTTGACTCCGTTTTGCGGGAATGCTTTGATGACTTGCGGCGATTCCAGATGCTTGAAGGACACGGCGACGATCCCGTCGGACGGTTATTTCATGATTGGTTAGGAGAGATTGGCGATATAGACATGAATTTAACACCTATGTGGTGAGGATAGAATTGTGTATCAAAACATCAACGTATTTATCTATCCAGTCTATATATTGTCTTAGTACAGGAATTGTGGAGTCAATCAGATCCAACCTCTTTTTAGAAACTTCTTCGGTACCTCCACCACTCGACTTCTCAAGTACTCCCCTATCCCTTTACCCAGTCCGTCGATCCGACTAGAACTAGCAATGCCACCATCTAAGAAGTCTAAGACCCTGAAGTGGACAGCCAACAGATTCATAAACTCGCATCGTTCCACGCAAGGCTCATTATCTCTTTGTGGCCAGTCTTCCCCAAGCAGCTTTTTGAATCGATCTATTGTTAAGAAGGATTGCAGCCAGGGGTACTCATCCGAGTTTCGGACAAAGAAGCCCACATTGAAATTGTCCCCTTTATCTCCTGAACGAGCATGAACTATACTGCCCAAGGGGGCGGCATCTGTGGCGCCAAACTGGTTTAAAAGCATGGGAACTTTGGTTTCGTATGAAGGTCTTTGTGTTGGGTATGTTCTTGTTATTGGAGCAGGCGGTGCATCATGTTGTATGCCGTTGGAGAGGATGACTCGATGGTGTATAAGATCAAGGGGAATAACTGCTGGAAAGATCTCCATGAACGGCTTTGGATCCATCATCCGAAAGTCAAGGTTCATGTGATATCCTTTCGTCCGTTAGAATATGGCCTATGAAAAGATATGAGGTAGCATACCAGGATAGCTTTGCATTCGCAGAGCATATATTAGTGTTTTGAATCTTTCCGCCGAGATATCCTCCAGATTCCTTGCTTGTGCAAACACTCGCAGAAATACCGTCCCTGCCTGCTGACTAGGCGGGTTAATAGCAGGTGACCCGTAGAGCTCAATAGACAATTTGCAGAAGTTATTACCACGGAGAGCACGATCGAGCTGATTGCGAAGCATCTCGGCCTTCTGGGCCACGTCCAGACCATTGATGTAGAAAGTTGCTTCGGCTTGGTAACCTCCCGGGGCTGCTATCATCGCTTTTGTCGTCGATGGTGGCGGTTGTCCAACGGTACCACAAACCCTGACACGATCGGGGCCGACCTCATCTACGGATACATTTCGCAGGTCGGCTGCAACGTCCGGATTGAGATATAACTCCCCTTGTAGCTCATAAAGCAGCTGAGCAATGGTGTTGAACTTAGTCACTGCTCCGCCATAGGTTTCACACTTAGTGATTATGCAACTGCCATCGGGACTAACTTCGGCGATGGGGAAGGAGAGATCGACAAGCTTCGGAAGCAAAGGCTTAAAACCGGAGAAGTTGGCACCTGTCACATACGGGCCACACTCAATAAGATCTATGTCAACTGCAATGAGTACAATATCAATCATATGAAATATGGAATCGTACATACGTCCAGCAACTAGTGCACCAGCAAGCTCGTCCCAAGCGTCTCGCTGCCACCTATACCACCAAGCCGCGGCACCGATGACTGGCGAAGCATCAGTGACACGGCCACATATGACAATGTCAGCGCCTGAATCAAGGGCTTCCACAATACCCCAAGCGCCAATGTATGCTACAGCGCAGTGTGGCGTCAAGGGCCAATCATTCAGCTTCCAGTCCATGTGGTCCAGATGGTGCAAGTCCCGGAACCCGGGCTGCTTGCTCTGGATCGGCTCCGAAATATCATCTCCCAGTACTGAAGCCACCACGATCTGGCTATAGCCCCTCTCTTTGCATAGTGCGCAAACCTTCTGCATCAGGGACGATGTATTCAACGCCCCAGCATTTGCAACGACTTTGATATCTTTTGCTACAACGATATCTAGACAGTCGCTCAACTGGGTCAGAAACCCAGACTCATATCCCAGATCAGGATCTTTTGATTTGGTTATGGCATTCCATGCAATGTTCATTTCTGATAACCAGTCACCAACAATGACATCGACATTGCCATGCTGCGCCATCCGCAACATTGCCTGTGGGTGGTCGCCAGTTGCACCGGAGACATTGCCGATACGGAGGGGGCGCTTGTCGAGCATTCTGGTGTTTTCCGGGTTAGCTTTTCGGTGTAAATAATGTAACTTTCCCCTGGCGGCAAGGTATATGTAGGATGTAGAATACTTTTAGCTGATCTGACTTGTAAAGGGACCCAAAACACCACGCAATAAGCTTCCGCAATGGTCGGATCAAACTGTGAACGAACACCACTCGGTCGGGTTTAACTATACCGACTGGCTATATGTAATTGGTCTTGCTCACCTGTGTCGTGCAATGATAGACTACGTTCCGCGTTTTCCGTCCCGGACACTATCATCGGTGACGGCGCCGACGGCCGATATATCGGCGATCCGGTCCTAGGCCATAGATGATCCCACTGAAGTGCTTTGTACAACATTCAGCCGGCAGATATTACCCCATAAATCATGAATCGTGAAATCTGCCGATCATCCCAAATGGGGAAGTCAATGTTCTAGGAACTTTGTGTCCCTCAGAACTTAAAAGAACCCGGCTGTGCGCTAAAGTCATAGGTGCAAGTCGTTGCATCTAACTGTCATTGCTTGTTACAATGAGAGCTCTGGTTATAACATACGTCTTTACGACCCTAGCAGTCGTCAAGGCCACCCCACTAGAAGGGAAACAGAAAGTCGATTGTGCAAATCTCGCTGGAATTTGGATCAATAGTGCCGCGCGTATCCATCACGCACAGAGTGAGCCTGTGGGAGGTCTCACTCTACCGAATAATGGAGACTCGGTCCTAAATGAGCTTCCTCTCTGCCATGTTCAAGGAACCATTAACTATATAGCTGGCGGGGATGCTACGCCAGATCCACGCGGGAATAATACCCTTAGCTGGGAACTATTCCTTCCAGACCAACCCCATTACAATGGACGTTTCCTTGTCGTAGGTAAGGGCGAACCAGCTATGGTTATATAACTGTTCACTAACCGAGGTCCTAGGGAACGGAGGCTTCGCAGGCAATATTGACAATGCCACTATGCTCACAAACCTGAATTCCGGCTTTGCAGTAGCAGGTTGTGATGGTGGACATCCATTGTCTGAAAGTGAAAGCAATGGACCTAACGACTCTGTACCATTCTTGGACGATATCGCGAAGGTGAAAACCTGGATCCACCATTCAATTGCCATGACCACCAATATCACTCGGGCCGTTACTGCCCAGTATTACGCTGAACGGCCGACGTACAGCTATTTCTGGGGCTGTTCAACTGGCGGTGCACAGGGTTACGCGCTTGCGCAATACCACCCTACCCTATTTGATGGCATATATGCTGGTAGTCCGGGAAATTGGTACAGTCATTTGATACTGAGCTTTTTGTGGAATGGACTGCATGCGACGGGGAACGGGTTTATGAGCCAAGATGTTTTGAATTTTATCACGAACAGAACAGTGGCTGCCTGCGATGAACTAGATGGTGTCAAAGACGGCATAATTGAGAACCCGTTGAGGTGTAACTTTGATATCGAGACACTGGAGTGCCAACTCGGTCAGATCCCCATTGTCAACAATGAGACTCTCTGCTTGACTACAGAACAGATCCAATCCGCACTTCAGATTTATGCCGGCCCGAAGGACCAACGCACGGGGAAGCAGATCTATCCTGGGTTTGACCTAGGCTCGGAAAACGGTTGGCTGGCTCAAGAAACATTTCTGTATTCCTCATACGCGGCTCCGATTCTTAGACAGCTAGTGTTCAAGGACGGGACCTATAATATTACATCGTTCAACTGGGGTTCAGATGTCGATTATCTAGACCACACCGCGTCACCGGCCATCGACGAGATTTCTCCAAATCTGTCGGCATTCAGTCAGAGAGGAGGCAAGTTGATCACACTTCAAGGATGGGCAGATCAGTACAATGCCGCCACATGGCCAATCGATCACCTGAAACAGATCCAGTCGGCTGTCCAAGGGCAAGATTTCTCTGATTTTATCCGACTATTCATGGTGCCTGGGGGTGGACACTGTGGGGCCAATTCAGCATACAGTCACGTACCAGCCACTTACCATGTTCTTGATGCTTTGTTGCCGTGGGTGGAAGATGGGATTGGCCCCGAAGAAATTATGACCTCTGCGCCTCCTGACGGGTCAAATACAACTAGGAAGCTGTGTGTATGGCCGAAGGAGGCGAGAATCCTCCATGGAAGCCCAAGCGATTGGAAGAGTTACACATGTGTTAGGTAGCATGGTCGGACACATCTCTTAGGCATCATTGCTCTTTCTTTTAATCCGGTTATTCGTTCTATGGCTGGGATTGAAACGCGTGTAGCATAAGATGGCCTCCCGTGTGAAGGCTCCCGTGTCGACCCTCTGGCCATACCACTACTTTACTCAATTGCTATCAAGAGCCTGGTATGGTTCGTACTCCACCAAAGCTGGTTCCAGAGAATCCCAGTATATCGTAATGAATCTAGGGGGAGTGAAATAAATAGTGAGCTCCAAACTGCCAAAGCCAAGAAGAGTTGGCCGACAAAGAAATAGGCTTTGTTACCTTTCGACATCAAGTCCAGCATGGGGTAAGGTGTTTTTGGCCAAGTGCAGTCCACTGGCCTTTCTTGGCTGGCATTTCTTGGTGTTGTCGGTAAAGTCTTTTTGCCCCGTTTGCCCAATTCTTTGATAATTTGGTTGCCAAAAAGGATTTTTAACGATTACAAGAAATGTAAATACTCTCGGCAAATATAGACCTCCTTTGTCCTACAAAAGTAGGAACAGCAGCTCTTGTCAAGCGATCAGATAACAGCTCAATGGTAACATCTGGCTTTATAACCCCATGTCTTGCCCTAAGTCACCACTCGTCTCTTCTCTTCACTGTAGTATCGGTCACTCATCCTCAACACCACAGAAATGTTTCAGAGTTATATTCTCATTGCTCTCTATCTCTCAGCTTTAGCTGTTGGTATACGAGTTGGACCCGGAAGCCAAGCCGGAGGCAGTGGAACAGGAGGAGCTACAGGAAATACATACCAGCCTCTACTTTCATCTACCCGACACATACACGACCAGTGCGTGGGAGTTAAGATACTGCCGGCGACAAATATCAACGCAGCACCACCGGAGCCGAACAGAGGTGGAGCCAGCAGAGCCGCTCAACCTGCATTAAACGTCATAGCTCCAGGTCCAAATTATGGAAATCTTGAACCGAGCACAGGTGAGCCACCGGTGCCACCAAACTCACCGATGAAGCGCGAACCTGTACCGCCGGCCAACGGAGCTGCACCACCTGCCAGCAACTTGAATCAAGCAGCCGGAAACTCAAATGTACCACCAGCACTGCCTCGAGTAAGGCTGTTCGGCAATTGCAGAGCCGCCGGTGGGAATGCACGCCCCACGGAAGTGGGCTTGGACACTTGCCTTGGTTGGGATGCTGTGAGCGAGTCATTAATCGCTCTACCAAAGTATGTATAGCACCATAGTCTCCCCGTTCATATTTCAGTCCATTCTAGCTTGCATGCTGTGGATACTAAATATTATAACTAGTGGACAAGGACTTGCGCGGGGCGGTTGCTGGGGCTGTCAGTACGTCAGGATCTCTCAGGACAGGTACCGAATCGATTGTTGGTGCGACAATGTCGCCCAGCGCCCCTTGGAATATGTTGCTCGGGGATCACAGCGAAGGGCAGCTAAGGTCTCGTTCAACCAAGGTGGGTGTTGAACCAATATTTGGCTGATTTGAGCTAACATGCTGTAGATGGGGTTTTTCAATTAGTCAATGGTCAACTCACCTGCCCTCAACCAAGGTCTTGAGAGCCAGTGCCTTTATTTCGCGAACGATGGTTGATTATGAGGGAGTATATATAGGCTGACAGGACAAAGGCGCCACAGAGTCAGGTTAGGAAACAGATGTATATACCAGATAGGATGTAGCTCAGAGGCTCGGGACAGGTTCGATGTCGCACGTTGAGAGGTGATGGCACCACTTCAGCAGCCTACTAACCATGTTATCCATCTATCTCATATTAACCCTAATGTGACAATACGAACATCTAGATCGTATCATGCACACAGAAGCTTATAGACTTCAGAAAGCTTTGTGCAGTGAATGAGATCGAAGATGGAATCGATTCGCCTATAGGTAAATATAATTTTGCATTTTGTCTCCTCGCGCTGTTGCCTTCATCACCGCGTATATGCAGGTAAAGTGGCTTGCCTGTCGATCAAGGCAACACAGGCCTGGGCCACCTGCCCAAGCTTCTACCCGTCCCGTTGGCCTATTGGAGGGCTAAATTCGTTGCGATGTCTTCTCCCAATGGCCCCCAATATCAATTCAAACGTTTCGCTTCTGGGAAAGGATCAGCGTGCTTACTCTTCAATCTCTGCTAGTTAACTAATTTAAATTAAACACGCTAAAACAGTAACTGCCTCGATTCTATTCAGGGTCCAATCCGAGCCCCCTCAAAATGTCAGCCTTGGCTGGCAAGGCACATGTCGATGCTAAATTTCCTTTCTATGTTAACTCTGTTATGGCGAATCTACCCCCGATGCTACTGAGTCTCCCTCACAATCACAGACCATGACTCCAAAAGAACTCGACCGGGCGGAAACGATCGAATTGCTTTCAATTCCGCGAGATGAAGAACCACTTGGACCCGACTCGTCGAGCGAAGCCGACAAAGATATGCGCGACCGGACGGCAGTTGAATCGACGCGAAAGCACGACAAGAAACGCAAAACAGAAAACTGGAAACGGTCGCTATATCTAGGCTCTCTATCGAGTGTAATTGTACTCTTATTTAATGTTTCCTTTGTCGCCTGGGCCGTGTCGCATCATAATCTTACGGAAAATCGCGGAGTACTCTACACCGGCGATTGTACCAAGACTAAGAGAATGAGTACTGGGATTCACTTGGTCATCAACATTCTAAGCACTGCTCTGCTTTGTGCGAGTTCTTATACTATGGTAGAGAGCTGTTTCTTTGACCTGCAGGCATGGTGCTTGAATCCTGACTTTAAGACAGCAATGCCTGTGCGCCCCTACACGTACGGAGATTGATCGCGCACATCTGAAGAATCAATGGCTGGACATTGGTGTGCCTAGCGTGCGGAATTTGTTTCGGATCTCGAAGATGAAACTCATTCTCTGGCTAACCCTAGCGCTATCGTCTCTACCGCTTCACCTATTGTAGGTGGACATTTTGTTACTCTACCTCCAAGTAATATACTGAGCACAAACATTAACCATAATAACAGCTACAACTCGACCATCTTCTCGACAATCACAAACGTCGAGTACGAAATCTTTGCGGGAAACAAGCCGTTCTCCGATTTCAATGCGAAGAACGTCCGGCCGCCTCCCAATGTTATAGAAACGGATAACACCAGGTACATGAACCCCTACTTCTCATTCTCAAGAATGCTGGAGAAGGGACAGAATGGCGAGCTCTACCGTCTGGAAAATGCCGACTGCATGTCCGCTTATGCCACGAACTTCCAAGATGAATACGGCAGCGTACTTTTACTCACCGATGATTTTCACCCAAACGATACCGACTTCGACTTTCTGTCGTTCCAGGGACCCTCTACCCCCGTGAGAGGAAACAATCCATACGCTTGGATGTGTTGCAACTACACCGTATATGCCTGTGATATGCAGGCATTATGCCGCGACCAACTTCCAGAGATCCGCGGGCATACCGACAACTGGATAGTTGGTGGCTACCGCGTGAATTCTTGCTTAGCAGAACGGATTCCGGGGAAATGCAAACTGGAGTACAGTCTTCCTCTAGCCATTACCGTTATCATTTTCAATATTGTCAAGGCGATCATTATTTGCGCCGTGGCCCTCACGATGACCGACTTGCCCATCCTCACCATCGGCGACGCGGTAGCTTCATTTCTAAAGACCCCTGAGACAAGAAAAAGAGAACATTGTCTCACTTCCAAGACACTAGCCAAGAATCCAACTCCCAGACCCATCCCTTACAGCCCAAAACCCCAAAGATGGGTCGCCGCAGTCTCAATAGTCCGATGGATCATCTGCATAATATGGTACGCACATATACCCCCAAGTATGCAACCCTACCAAGCCACCCCCCCACTAAGAAGAACCCACTATTAGCTACACCATTGCTATCGCAATCTGCATCGGGCTGCTATGTTTCGGGCTCAGCCAAATCCGCAACAAAGGCAAGATCTGGTCCGGACTCGGCATCACAAACACAGACACCCTCATCAGCGGAAACGCCTGGCCGCCCTCTCTAATCACCAACACCATCATCGCAAACACCCCCCAAGTCATCTTCTCCATGCTCTACTTCGTCTCCAACAGCGTTCTCACAGCTATGACCCTCGCTGCGGAGTGGAGCAACTACGCACTCCACCGCAAGGGTCTCCGCGTCTCCTCTACCCCGCAGGGCTCCCAACGCACCACCTACTTTCTCTCTCTGCCCTATACCTACGCCATCCCGCTGCTGGTCTTCTCCACCGTGCTGCATTGGCTCATATCCCAGAGCCTGTTCCTCGTCAACGTGGAGTCGTATAATATGCAGCTGGAGCGTTTCCAGTTATTCGATTTCGCCACGTGCGGATACTCCCCCGTCGCGATTGTCAGTGCGATTGTTGTCGGGGGAGTCATGCTTTTGGGTCTTGTGGGGTTGGGCTTTCGCCGGTTTGCGTCCGGCATGCCCGTCGCCGGGAGTTGTAGTCGGGCTATTGCTGCGGCGTGCTATCCTGGGTGTTCTGTCGAGGGAGATGGTGTCGAGACTATGCCTCTGAAATGGGGGGTTGTGTATGAAGGCATGGCGGATGGGGCGGAGGTCGGACGCTGTGCTTTCTCTGGTGGGGAGGTTGGGATACCTCTTGATGGGGTTGTCTATAGGTGATTGAGTTGCTTTGTGTATCATTGTGGCTTTACTAATAATATCCATTTGCTTTGTGGATTCGGGTTGTTTTATTTCTTCGGGTGTTAGATACTAGCTTGGGGGAGTTGGGATTGTTTTCTAGAATTCTACTACAGATCGAGACACTTGTAGTGGTATCTAGAACCAATGCCAGCACATGCATGACTTGGTTCTCAAGGTGAAAATTAGATTCACTGATCGAAATATTGAATCGACTCATAATACCACGATATATCCGTACCATTGTCCGTATATTCGAAGGCTAGGCAGAAGCCCAAGAGAGATGAAAAAGGGGGTAGTCAGAGAAAGAAAGAAGGAAAGAAAGAAAAAAAGAAAGCGCACGCTGCACATCAATAAAATGAACAGGTGATAAGACAACAAGCCCTCCGAGTCTGGGAAGCCCCTTAACAAACTGGTATCCAAGCAAAATCCAACATAAAAATCAGAACTCATACATATACAATCAAAACCGTCATAAACTGGGCAAGGTATTAGAACATATGAAACACACCGCTTGCGTATATACACTGTGTATCCAAGCACATTAGCATATTAATATATACAGGCCTCGACAGAGTAGATCTCGTCGCACGCGCCCCAGAAGCCGATCAGACAGCCTCCCCCTTGATAGAAGCAGCAGGGGTTCTACAGCTCTTGACAAACTTGGGCCATGTGTTGGTGAGAACAAGATACTTGATACTCTTCTCGGCGTCGTTAAAGACAGTTGGCCCGAAACTCTCCGGGACTTCACCCCAGAATTGCACGCGGTCATCTGAGGACACTTGGTGGAGCGCGACCTGGGAGCCGTTTGCGGAGCTGGGCGAGGAAAGAGTTTTCATGGGGAAACTGGGGGCTTCGAAAGGAGTGACAGGATCGACAGCAGCGCGCTTCTCGCCGTACAGGGCACGAGCAGGCCCTTCGAAGATGTTTTCGAGTTTTCGGAGATCCTGGGAAGAAATATTCACGGGAAACTCGGCGTGACTGACGCTGATGAACTTGATGTAAATGTGCAATGCGCGGTTGAAACGTTCGTGAAGCAATTCCTTCATGTTGTCATCTATGGGGGTAGTGCTATCTCGGAGTGCCTTGGGCAACGAGTTCTTCCATTCGGCAACGCTGGTGAGGAAGGCGACATTCTCGCCGGAAAAGTCGTTGAGGGCGGAGAACTTCTGAAGAGGAGCGGGATTGCGTTCCAAGACATGTTCCAGGGCACCCATGGTTAGGATACTGTCGCGAGAGCCGGTGGTATCGACAGAGCCGTTGGTGGATTTCCAGCCGGACATCATGGATTCGACCATGGTAGGGATGGAGCTGAGGGACCTGGCTTCTGAGCCAGACGACTTCATTTTTGACTCCCACTGCTCAATCGCGTTGAACGTCTCCTGGCGGAGAGCGTGGTGGCGCATTACTTCCCAGCAGGGGAGAAAGACGGTGAATATTTCCATGATCCAAATGGATAAGCAAATCCTATACCGTGTCAGGAAGGCTGCGTTCTATACACATATATGTTGAAACACTTACCACTGCGGAGGAATCCAGTACTGGTTGACCACTTCCATGCCCGGAACGTAGAGAGCGATGAGCCACATCGGGGTAGCGTGGAGGCTGCGTAAGACGTTAATGATGGAAACCTCGCTTCTTCGCTTTTCATACTCACTTGGCGACAGCGCAACCAATTGTCTGAACTCGCCAGCCTTGGGTATCATGGATATGGCGAGATTTCCAGAGAACAACGGGAGCAACAAACCAGGCCCAAAAGAACTGCCAAAACACACCAGGCCACCTAATCTAAGTCAGCATCGTCTTTAATCGAGCGACCGCTTCGCATCTCCATCCATAGCATTCTTACCATTCCCAGCCTCGGCCCTGTTCCGTCGCCTGCTCCATCGGAGTACCCGTAACCTCAGTGCCGGGGATTCCCCAAGAGCTGTGCCACTTGCGGGAAATCACCCACATCAGGACGGTAAGGAAAATCTGAACGACCATGGCGATACCAACGAGAATGACGATCCGTTTGGTATACTCGAGTCGGCGGAAGCGGCCAAACAAACCGCCTTTGGGCTTCTCATCGGGAAGGGATTCCGTGAGGCGGCTATCATGATGGGCATATTTCCGCTGATGCTTTGCGACGTGGAGGAATCGGCTGTTGGAAGCGTGGAATAGGGCGATTCCGCAGGGCAAATAGGTGCCCATGATCCAGTACTGGGCGTCTCCTGGCATGATGGCACCGATCATAACCCCGAATTGGACAGACGCCCAATACAAATGAAGGAGGACGATCGCTGATAGCGAGAGACCAAGGCCGCGTATTCGGAGAGTCGGCATGTTGCGATTGGCGATGAGATAGATCATGCCCAGCACCACAGCGGTAGTCCACACGCCGGCCCAGCATGCCCACCATATGCTGACTGGGGTGTATGCGGCCTGCGGCTTAGACTCTGGGGTGATTCCGAGTTCTGATCCCATGATGACGGTGTTTCGCTGAAAGAATGGCTAAAGGAGCGTGGTGTAGTTGGGTAGCGCTTGTCAGCGATCGCCAGTCAAGGTTGACAGGTTCGTGAGGATATCGAAGCCATGAAGAAAAAGAATAAGTCAATGCGCCTGCAGGGCAGCAGTTGGGCTCGTGGCCAACTTAATGGGTTTGCAGCATCTTAGATTGGAGATATCACTTGCAGATCAGTTCCAGGACGTGCATCCGTAGTGACTCTATAGGGCCATCTCATTGGAGGCAGCCTAGCCTAGATTGGAAGTCACAATGACCCACTATTGGGAAGATTTCTTGGATTTTAATGGCGACCCATCCGAACTAACGATCGGTGATTTGGAATTCATGGCCCACATCCCACGCTAAAATACTACTGTCCATTTATCACGTTCAATCACCTAAACAAAGCTCAAAAACGAGCTTCTGCAGTGGAGACGTGGGATCAGAGGGATTGTCGCAGGCAGACAGTCAGATCATCAGATAACCAATTTTGGCCATGGAGGCCAACATGGCTGGCACCCGCTGGTGTTTCTGAGCCACGTTAGGTGGGATTGCGACGGGATCAATCGGCGATACCGGTGACCGTCGGTGGACCCTACTAAAAACGCTAATCCGCGGTCTGGGTCGCAACATCAGACCGATTTCCACGTTGAACTAAACCGATCTAGCACACTTGCACGATATCCTCCTGCACGAATCATACAGTGGATAATGCTTTGGACCTGCCTAGGTGGGCAGGAGTACATCCTAGCCGAGCTGGTGCAATCTGCCGCCGGGCCAATATTAACACTGCTTTAAGGTTTTCAACTTAGTCAGTTTGATGAATCTTTGTAGCATCGCAATTTGCGATCTTTTTTTTGTTTGCTAATGCTTCTTCTCTTGGGTCGTCCCAATTCCTAGCCTTGTGCTTTTAGATCTTTCGTCCCTTGGTCGGGGATATCCTCACTAATCTCGGCTACACGCCAACTCATTCAATTTTTACACTCCGCACTCTAACAACGCGTACTCCGGCAATTGTAGGCTCGGCAATACCGAACACTCTATGATCTCTTCGCTTGAGTACAAGAAGTATCATAGATGAATCTACCCACTAAGAACCAAGCCGATCGGGGGAGAAACAGAAGGGGTTCAAGATAAGCGCATACTCCGTGGTGGAAGCCACGAACACGGGGCACACAGCAGCACGTGGATGTTGTCCTGTAAGGTACGGACCGTGGAATAGGAAATGGAATCCTTCCGTACATCTCAGTACATAGAAACGGCCCATAAACGCACACTCCTACGTCTCTTGGCATTAGGGCTGGAAGTTTTACGCCAGAGTCAACAATGGCTGGCTGAGCGGTGTGGTGAAGTGGGTACGTGGCACGGCTTAAGTCAGTGGACCTAATAGCCGGTAAATAAAAAGAGGAGCTGTGATTTTAACTATTGCTCCCTGTCTCACCTCAAGGTTGAGGTTCTTGAATCTTGAAAGTTGAGGGAGTTGCTGATCTTTACGGTATCTAGTATAGGTCACGTGATATAGCTTGCGGACAGTCTACAGTCGGAAATCCGGAATTAATTCTCGAAAGCTGAGTCTAAGGCCTCTACAGCTTCTGCCTGGACCTGTTTGAAAGCTTTGGTTTTGTCTTGGCCGTTCCGTATAACAAAAACAAGACGAAGCTATTGATAGTACGGTGGTAGAACTCAAACCGATCGTAAGTGGGTTTGCGGATCTTTTATTGACGAAAACTCTGCTAGCCCCATCTGCTTATGCTTCTTGACATGATTTAGGAATAGACAACGAGATCCTTCTTGAGAGGGTTATGATATTCAATGAATACAATGTTAAATAACCTCACATCACTACCGCTGTAGGAAGCGGGGCAGAAGCTGGAATCGCCACAGTGGCCCTAATCGTCCCACCAACGTTCTTTTTACAGCACGGCATGACGACATCTGGTGGAGTGGAAGGATCAGCAAGCTCAACTAAGGAGAGCATTCTTCAGGGGCCAAAAAACCATCACCAACTACAACTTACGAGCAGGTACCCGCCCTTCTCTACCCCGGAGTAACTTCTAATAGAAAACTACGGTTGATTCTACGGAGTAATTGAACGAGCCAGACTTCAGCTTGTGAAGTTTCACCGGGCTACAGTAGCAGATTCTGGGCTTGAGTGCATTATTCATGTACGCGAAAGCTTCCGACAATCATTGCCCTTGTTCTGGGTTCTTCGGCTTTTTGCAAGGGCAATGGTTACCTATCTGATCACCTCGTTCTCACTTTCCCCCTCGGAGTTGATTAGAGTTGTGGAAGGAGATTTTAGCTTCAATATCCAAGTCTGGACCCAGTGCCTAGCTGCTGAATCCGTGCAAAAGAGGGACCTAAACTTTCCAAGGATGCGCTAGCTGCGAGACATCCCGTCGGATATAGACCGAGGATACACCGAGCCATGTGGCAAGGATAGATGGGTGAGTCGGCAGGTGGTCGAGCCACAGGAAAGGAGACACAATTACGGGGTTCTATGTCACGGGGGCGGTGCGAGCCCTGATTTCCGGGTGAGCGCGGGACATGTGATTGAGAATTGGTGATAGCCAAGGTGGTATCTCATGGTGGAGAGGGAACAGCATCCCTGTCGCACTATATGCAAGACAGGGGTAATAGCAACAATCATCAGTTGGCCAGAGAAGTTTATGATTGTTCCGGGCTGCATCACAGTCCATGCTTATATTTGATCTAAAGCCGAGTTATTATTGTAGGAAAAGTATTTCCGATTTATAGCAAACAATGGCATATGAAACCCAGCCATTTGTTGATATCCAAAACTCGTTCTGGTATTTCTGGGTGCCGCCAGTGTTTGATCTTTTATATCTAACACAATGGATACTCATCGATTCACATGTTGTTGCAACGACCTAAGCAACCGACAAAGTGCGTAATCAAGATTATGTCTATCAAACTGTTAGAACCGAATTTTTGGTTGTTTGCTTTCATGCCACCTAACCGGTGACACATATTTAGCTCCGAGGCGCTATAATAATTCGGAAGTCCAATACATAGTGCAAAGATAAAAAGAACAAAACGAAGTTAAATAACCATGTAAATCCGCCCACCATGTGAGCTATCCCATGTAGGTAAACCATCCTGTCTGCGTTCGTGGCGCCTCCTCTATCCCTCTGTATTTCAGTCCATGTTCTTTTATGTGATGAGACAGATTCGGGCCAAAGATGTCTGTCCTGATTAAGATGAGTGTCCAGAGAAAGGCCATTCAACTGAAAGGATAATATGAAATAACATGTTTGATAGACTCATATTCAGGGCAGTCTTGAAGGTGAAGGTTCTACCGTTCTCACTTCTTCCTTTTCAGACCTCTGATTCAGTGACTGGCCATATTTTGGGCCTTTGTTTCACCTTTGATATCCACATTCTGTCTTGTTGGTTCTTACTTTGCGCGTAATGCTTCTCACTTTCATTCTTTTGGCGTGAAACCCGGGCATCATTATTTTATCTCGGATGAGGTAAATATACCGATATTTGTGTTTCACATAAAATGCTAGAGCGATATCCAGAATTTTCACCAATAGTTGTAAATTACAGTAAAGAGATATCTACATCATGGATGTATAGCGGGAAATCTGTTAAGAATGGTGGACCATCCATATGAAATGATCTCGGCGTTATCCATTTTGCAGCGTTTTCGACTCACTACCGATTCTTTTTCTTTTTCTGTATTTTTAAGAGGAAAAAGGCTCATTAATTTAAAGCTCTTTACCGAGCTTTGAGAGACCCTCATCCTTCCATCCAAAACAGTGGGTTAATAGTCAGGCCGAACGATTTTCTCTCATTCATCTTGCATGAGAGATATATATCCGTACAGGGACGGCAAAGAAAATCTCTAACTGAGAGCTGCACTGCAGACAAATAGAGTTACTTTGATTCCAAGTTAATGCAATACTAGCCATATTACTAACTGCTCTTGTTATTCTGAACTGGTAATTAGCCCTGAGTAATATGTATAGGTACTCTGCTCTACCTCGATCTGAACCACGTATGTCCTCAAGATCAAACTTGTATATTCAGAATTAGATCGGCTTTCAACAACAAGCGGTTGTGTAGTGTAATGGTTAGCACCCAGGATTCTGATTCCTGTAATCCCGGTTCGATCCCGGGCACGACCTAATCTTTTTGCGATTTCTAATTATCGCCAATATCCCTCGGTGGACCCACCAGTGCCAAAATCTCCACCTGTGACCCGATAACTTTGTTATTTTCCAGAGACCAATTTATCAAACATTCCATGGAGTTTCATTCCGTGTTGAACCTACGGAATCACGAAGTCACATCCGCCGGCTTATCCTTTCCGAAACTAGTCGAAAATCAGCTCCACAGTTATCAGGACATTGCTTTTTTGTTAGATTGACCGTTACCAAACGCAAAGTAAAGACACATAGTTTCCCAAAGTACAATTTGTCTAGAAGGACTATTGTACACTATCCTTAAAACATAGCCATCACGAACCAAATAAAATGCCAAATATGTTTACCTTTCGCTGGCCAACTGTGGTCCTTGTCGAACTCTTCAGCGATAAGGGGAAACGGACGACCATCTTATTGAATGAGGAGAAAAGGAATGCACGTCTCCTATTATTAGTATCCGAAAGCCGAGGTACAACCCTGCCAACAGTTTACCATCTGGCCGCAAGTTGAGGGAGAAATGGTTATGTGTGAGGCTACCCTATCAAAAAGGAGAAGCTAATCCATTGAAATCCAGTGTATGTTCTAAATGAATAAGTCACAGCGAGGATCGAGTGCGCCGAGTTAAATAGAAATAGTAAGTACCCTGGGGACCAAACAGCTTGGGTGTATCCATGGCACCTGCAACCATATTGTCGGACACATAGCGAAAGTGGTCAAAAATTGGCTTTTCGTCGTAGATCATGGTGGTCGAGGTTACCCTTCGATAGACCATCTCCCGTAGCTATCCAGAGAGAACAGATTGTTAGCAGGGTTTGGAGCAATCTCAATTAGCAATATGCGTACCGAGCAATGCCCCCAGTCCTTCTTCCACACCCGATTGCCTTCTGCATCATAAACCATGATCGGATCACCGTCGTCTACCGACCGGAACTCCTTCCCAGCCCATCTCATTTCCTTCAAAAGCTTGTGCCCAATATGTCCAGTATCGATATCACCGCCGTCCCACTTGCCTATCAGGAAGGACGGAGCGACCGGCTTGAGTTGGTTGTACACTTTCTCAACTGTTGATTCTGGTACATGGCCGGTGGCTTTGGTGAGCTCAATAAACTGTTCCTCAGGTCTGCTATAGAGCGTGAGTTCTTCCACTTCAGCTGGCTGCTACGGAAGCAAGCATGCTGGAAGAGACTTACCCTGACATATTGCCTTAGCGTGTTTACCGCTTCTGTCTAAATATTCTGTTCGGTGCGCGATCAATATAACATAAGATTCAATTATTTGCAAGGTAATACCGATCAATGGCATCTTATATACTTCTAATTAAGCGGGGGTTTCCCCATGGGCATCGGGGGATTGGAAAGCCTAGGTCCGCGGGTCGATCTCCCCGCGGAGCTTCAGCAAACCGCCATGGGAGAAACGACGTACTCCGTGTATGTGATGTGACAACGTCAGATATAATTTTGTGCATATGCCATATGCTTCCTGTAGAGATTTGAAGTATCCTCTAGAGGATCGATCGAAGCCGTGGGCCTATTCAGTAGACATGTACTATCCAGGACACTTGGCGTCATTCATTTCTTGGATTAGGTATAGTGGCGACAGACGGCACTCACCAGCGAGAGCCGTGTACGCCACTATATTAGTGTGCTATGCTACGCTGGTTGGAGTACGAGTCAGCTTTCCCCGACCGTACTCAATGTTCCTCTCGTAAAGACTTAGAGAGGCGGATTGGTTGATTAGGTATCCCTCCTCCACATGAAGGTAGGGGGCAAGCCCTTCTCGAGACCACTTCATTATTTGTAAACTAATTCCCTTTCACCTAGTCACTGGAATTGGCTATGGGATAGCACGGTGCCGTAATGCTTGTCCGCGACGCTTCATGCCACACTGGCAATAAACGGTCAAGGGGTGGACTCGCGGCAGACACCACTCGCAATGTTTCGCTCGTCATTGAATTAGCTCTTTCAGCAGGACGAGAGTGAATGCCCTCTAGTACGAGGCGAATGCTGTGGACAGTGCTATGCCTTTGGGGTTAGCGGACATGGCTAGAATTGGCAAGGTGAAACATTCAATTACATTCTATTGTCTTGTCAGCTCAGAAACAGCAAATTACAATATTTTGTCGACGAACTGGACGGGACAGGCGCACCATTTGCATCGGTGAATACCGTGTACTTTGACCGGGTTATTAACTCGGTTGCTGCCAAGATGACATGGGCAAAGGTGTGTGTATGCCATGTCGACATTACTCTAACACCGCCATTAGGTCTGAGATCAAAATATATAGGGTAACATAATGAAAGCGGCATAGACCAATTCATATAGCCCTCGATGCGATAAAGCTATTGTATTCTTCTTTCACCATGTACCTGGCCAGCTGAATCGGAACTCTAATTTTCGATAGCTGGCTCCACTTTCCGGCAGACTGGAATGTCTACAGAGTATGCAGTATGGTATGCCTGTCCCCGAGGCTTGGACAGAGTCTCAGCGTCCCGCAGACAATGCATGGTTGGCGAGAGTAGTTTGAGATTCAATCGGCACATATTATCAGCTAAAAGGAATGGTGTCAGTAGAAGTGGTGCCCTTCACATCCAAAACTAGATCAATCCAAAGTGGATCCCCAGCGCGCCACAAAGCACAGATCGTTAATGGGGACGAACACCCCTTGCATATTTTAAGAGATTTATTGCACTGAAATCTCAGCTGGTGATCGGTTTCTCTTGTTTGCCTTTTTTTTTTTTCTTTTTCTTTTTCCCTTTTAGGTCTAGATCATAGAGTTTTCAGCTCAGCCCAGGCGTAGACAACCCATAAAAAGGCTCTGGTCGCGTAACAGTGTGCAAAAGAACAATTGCTTGTTCGACTATAAGCTGCAGAGATTTCTTTATTCGATTTTATGACATAGACGGGCTGACTATCACGTTGCGCATATCCTGTGAATGCTGGCAATATGTGGCTTCGCTCGACTGTAGAGCCAATGTTCTCGAGGCTGCCAGTGCTGCCTTTTCGGCAGCTTGCCCTATTGGGTGAGTGTCGATAAAAATAGTGACTATGTTCAATAAACTAATCAGTTTTACTAGCAATATGCCACTTTGCTGAGGCGGGTATGAAATGTCACTTCATCTTTCTCTGGATACGTGACTAATGAGGCAACTGACGTTCTATGAACAGTCGTACTCTCCTCCATCGTCCCGTATATGGTATAGTAGCCCTGCTTAGATTATTATCAAGCTCCCCACACTTAATAGAGCTTGAATTAATAGCTTCTCGCGCAGCCCGATATGCTCGAACATGCCGGTGTACCAAAGGACGATGTGCCTAAGTGGGTAGGCTTCAGCACTACAGCGACCGCTACCTGTGCGGGCGTAATGGGCATGGTATGGGGCATGGCCTCTGATTCCATTGGTCGGAAACGTGTTATCCTGCTTGAACTGAACCTCATGCTGGTTTTCATCCTACTGTTTGGCTTCTCACAACACCTCGCTTTACTGGTGCTGTTCCGGGCTTTGCTCGGTCTCGTTAGTGGTAGCGTCGGTATTATGCGCACCATGATCGCAGAGATGGTCCCTGAAAAGCTACTCCAGCCGTATGCTTTCAGCATCCTACCTACCGTGGAAACAATCGGGTCTGGGTTTGGTCCCGCCCTAGGAGGATTCTTGGCTCACCCCGCAGAGCATTATTCTGGCATCTTCGGCAATGTCAAACTCTTGAAAATGTTTCCATTTGCTTTGTCTAGTATAGCTTCTAGCTGCATTGTGGCTGTCGCTATTACTATGGCGTCTGCTTCCCTTCATGTGCGATTTACCTTTCCTCCCAGAAACTCAGACTGCTCTGACTGATTCCCTAGGAAACAAAACCGGGACTGAAGGATTCCCCTGACTCTGAATTGATATTTGGGAAGATTCTGAGGAAAGTGTGGGCGCTGCGGAATAGAGAGACCCCTGTCCAACCGGTTGGCGTTGATGAGACAACAGCTCTACTTAGTGATGCGATAGAAGAAGTAGAGGAGGACTTGCAGCGCATAGAAGAGGATTTAGAGCGCAGAGCAGCTGACCTCAAGCGCCGTTGGCTCAGCATTATCTCTCCACAGCCTATTCTCCTTTTGTCCATAACCGGTGTGATGAGCATGCACACCGTGGCTTTCGACTCATTGTTCCCGGTACTCTTGCACTATCCTGTACAACATCTAAAAGGAAACCCAGATGTGCGATTACCCTTCAAATTTAGCAGCGGACTCGGGTTAGGTAAGCTAATAACCGTTAAACCTGGTTATACCCTGCCATTCTGACTAATGATGCTTTGATCTCGTGTAGATACGAGTGAGATGGGCCTTTTCTATTCAATTGTCGGCGTATCCAGCATGATAGTCCAGCTTGTCATATTCCCATGGGCAGCCAAGAAGTATGGGATCCTCCAATGTCTGAGGCTGGCTTCTGCCGTTTTCCCCATACTGTATCTGGCGGTCCCATTTGTACCTCTCCTCCCGCAGCCCCTGGCCAGTGTGGCAGTGTGTGCACTGTTGATTTTCAAGATGGCCGGATCCGCCTTCGTTTTCCCCTGCTGCACGATTCTGATCAGTGAGGTAGCGGGAGCTATTGGCATGTTGGCAACCGTGAACGGAATAGGTACTAGCATTAACGCCTTTGGACAAGGTCTTGGGCCGGGACTCCTGGGGACAGTATTCTCGTTTGGTGTGAAACAAGGCTATATGATTCTTCCTTGGTGGTTACTGGCTGGGTTCGCGTTTCTGAGTTCGCTTCCAGTGGCCTGGGTCACGGAGATGGATATCTCGCCACCCGAGGTGATCTTTCCGCCCAATGAAGAAGAGCAGCGAGTTGGTGGCAGTGAGGATGATATGGACGCCCGCGGCAGACAACCAAATCAACCCAGACTAGTTAGTTTTCCGGGTTGAATTATCGCAGTTAGCCATGCACATATTACAGCAAGATTTACATTTTTCGTGGTCATACTGACTTGGAAATTCACGGGAGCACGAGTTTTATGTTTATTGCAACCAATGTGATCAATCTACAAGAACCTTTCAAGAGCGCACATATTTGATTATTGTTTAACAATTACTTTCCACATATTATTTCCTCCAGTATTAAGGCCATCCCCAAGGTCATTTCCTAAGCGTCACTAGACCGGGGAGACCGTAAAAGCATACCGATTTACGCCTGCCAAAACAGATCAAGCTTGCTGGTCAATGAATCATCATCCTCGTCGCTCTTGCAGCACGAGTAACAATGCTTATATATGTCATGTTAATAAACGTATTAGAGCTGGTATTGGTTAAGGACACTACTCACGCCGAATTTCTTGTCATGCTGTAGCCTAGGGTTAGCACTATTTTGAGGAAGTGATAAGATGCAGTGATGCTTACCCATCCGTCAGGACAATGTGGCTTCTCCGGAAAGCAGACCCTCCAGCAAATATCGGTGCTATGGACCTCTGCAAGACGCGGTACGGCGGCATTGGCACCGGTCAGGAGAGCTGTGGTTGCGGCAAGGATGGTGGAGAGCTTCATTTTGCGGGGTTATTTTGACCTGACTCGAATGATAAAGGGATCTGATTTGCTGTTGTTCTAGTTGACGCGATGGATTTGAAGAATGGTGCAATTTCGAGGGATGATGGCGCTCTATTTATCTGTAATTAGGTGATTCTAGACCTTCTTTCGGTCCGAGTTGTTCGTTTTGTACATATCGACATTGTGACGTTCATGATAGATGATAGACGGACGGTTTGGGCAACACCCTTATGCTTCTGGGATCGACTATGATTCGACTGCCCTATGAGTGGTTGTAAGACATAGCTCATTTGGTCTCCACAACTTGTGCGAGTAATGTATCCATTTAAGTTTATCTTTCCATGTAACCCTACCCAATCCACCTCTCCAAGTGTAACCCGTGAGCAACAATAAGTTTGCGGTTGACATTTCCGGCAATGAGAAGGTTTCAATTGTTCAGATCATTGTGTTTCAATAGGTTCTCGGCGTGCTGTCACAACGATCTATTGACTGGTTGGCACAAAGTTAATATATAGACTGGCCGAAAACGTCGGTGACAGCATCAATGTCAGGTTTCATGACGTCAACCATATCTATGCAATATATCTTCTGTTTTCAGTTGCCGTGAAGTGTCTGGATAAGCTCAACTGTGAATCTCGATTTATAACTTTCCCTAGTATCTAAGTCTACAATCGATTTCCAGAATAGAAACTACGTACTCAGGTTCTGAACACTAGGGATCAACCATTGGATGGCCCTTGCTCAAGATGGGTGGAAACTACTCGGTGGCTTCCAGGTCTAACACACCTAGTGATGGCACGAATTACTGCTATTTATAGCCAGAGAAATACAATCTAGAGCTATGCCATGTCTTACATACTTTATACCGGTATACGACACCGAGCGACCGAGAGCTGTTCTCTGTACCAAGATAGTGGCTCTGGCTGTATGCCAAGAGCGGGTGCTAAACACGGCCCGTACCCCGCCCGGCGTTCCGTACTATCCGACATGCCCTAACCACCATGACTAGTTACAATTGAGAGGATAGATGGCAAGTGTGTAACACTATTATGTACTCGATCGGATCCAAGGAGGACTGTAGTACCAGCTTGCCATCTGTGTCGGAAACATGATGAGCTGTTTGGCCATGAATAGAAAAAGCCTCCCTGCCTGGTATTGCCAACAGAGCAAACATTGGGCTGCGATGGTTGCCCAACATCAGCCCATGACCGTAATGCCGCTTTTTCGGGTTGGGAAATTGATGTATATACCCTCCTTCAAATGGATGTTGAGCGCTGGCTTGAGCAACTGCCTGCTACCGGGCCTATTCTGCCCTCAGACAATACATCATCGGTGGATGTGGCCACTCAAGCAGACACAACTGAGACAACAATATCTGGGTCCTGTCCCACCAAACGACAGCGCACCGATAATGACGACTCTGGGCGGAGGGGGTCGTTACTTCCATCGCTGATATTACATGCCGAATGTACTGAACCATGTTCAAGTATATCCACTAAGTCGCGCCAGGGTAGCCCAACCCGAGATGTCTTTAACCAACTCCGACTTTCAAAGCCTGCTATTATATGTGAACCCCAGGTAACTGGCCCTATACCTAGCAACGTATTATCTCTACGCAAATGCCTCGCCGATCGGTTTGGGCAGGGCATATATCGTAAAGGCCGTCACCAGATTCTTTTCGTGTAACTCGACCGACTGATTGAATCGAAGTCCTGGATCCGTGATTCCGATCCTGACGGTGTTGAAGAGATACCGGAGTCTGCATATTTCGACCCTGGACATTTGTCAGATGCAGTCCTTGACGTAATGTGGAATGAGCTCGAAGAAATACGTCTAGAAGCAAGACATTGTGACATACGGCAACGATGAGAATGCTTCGTGCTTGGACGTTGTGCAAACAATTCTTCGCAAGCCCACAGAAGGGACCCCTAAACTACAACTGACAAGTTTGTCTATATACCCTTTCTCCCCTGGACTTAACTACTTACCCGGTTGCAGATAATCTCGACAAATTGATGCAGACCTTCTGCCTATGGTGAGGAACAGCCTTACGCGGATCAACAAAAAAGGCAGACTATGCTTTGTCGTTCTCCTGTCGGGACCCGGAAGTCTCCCGTCTCTATGAGAAAGTCAGTCTAGGGGGCCATGGTTACTCAACTAGTCAGACCACCGATGCTTTTAGCAAGAGGACTATACTGTTCTCTGGTGTAGAAGTGAAGCCTGATGACGGCGGGAAAAAGGAGGCGTTTGCCCAGCCTGCCATCTGGCTCAGTGCGAATCTAGAGAAGATGTGGCGATTAGGGAAGTTAACCAAAGGGCTGCTAGATCAGGCTGATTGGTTGCTGCCGACCATTGGGTATACTGTCGTCGGCCATGAGTGATATGTTTATGTTGCCTATCGAGTAGGAAATGATCTAGTATGTCGTCTTTCTCCCTCTTTTCTTTTTTTTTCTTCTTCCCTCCCATCTTTTTATTTGCTAGTCTAGATGCGCCTTTCCATCGTCGTATCTTTCTTTCTTTCGTTCTTCTACTCGGTAAAATAGGTTGTAAGCTAAAAAGCACATCACAGCATGTCGTTGGCCTGATCAGCTCCGTCCTCGCCGATACACGGTCAACATGCGGCATCTTGAAGCTACGTGACTTGGATTCTCGGGTGAGGCAATACGCTCTAGATATATACTGGCCCTGGGTACGTGACGAGATTTTACAGCCATTAGCAATGCACACACTCTCCGACAACTAGGGCAGGGAACCGCAGCAGTGTATACCTGTATTGAATAATTAGGAAGTAGTAGGTGATCTGGCGAGTACATTCAATATTATAAGAGATATTAATAAAGATACCCAAATACCCCGAGCAGCTCTATCACATTGGTTGAATTTCCACTCAAAGAACCCATCACACGGCGAGTATATAACCAAATGCCCGCATTCAAATATCCTTGCAACGCTGCGAGAAAAACAATCAGCACTCAAGAAGAGTGCAGAAGTTGTATCCTTTGGAAATATCGTCGAGCATCTTTATGATGGGCTTCTGGACCTGCAAGCCATGAAAGACCCTAACCACCAGATCAGTCAATAGTAGACTAAGCAGCAACTGGCAAAAGTCGGTGTCTACTTAAATTCCCCAATAAAGTATAGCGCACATGCGACCGCTGGCTGATTTACCTGTCAGCCCCTGTGACTAGTGTGAACGTCGCATTGCATTGGATTTGGAGACTCGAAGGGCGGGGTAAAACGTTGTTGAAAGTCCTTAAGAGATAGGATGAGAAGAAGACCGCCAAAATGCCGACATTTCCGGTAGGAGCACTAGTGGCTTGAGCAGGAACTGAGTTCACGGCTGATTGGAAGACAGTCGCTTGGCCATGACCGGGTGGAGGTTAGGGTTGGATCCTCGGGAGATTGGGATTGTCGTGATGGCTGGGTCCCGTGGTGGAGAAAAATGCTTGAGGCGCCAATGATGGACCCTGGCCCCCACCCTAAGTTCTGCCTCGCTTTGGCGAAGGATCATCGCTGAAGAATTTGTGAAAAAAAATCGAAGCATCAATGGGTTTCCATGCGGCGGTAAGCTGACTGAAGTGTTCGGGTTGTCGGGCGCTGAGAAGGAAAGTCGTTCTATCCACCCACCACCTTTTCTTTCCGGGTTGATCCTGAGATGTCCTAAATGAAGTTACTTTATGGAAGTGCTGAGGTTTCTCCATAACATATTAAGCCAATTGCTGCGGCCCAATGTACGATCATAACCTGCACCAGCAGAGACCGTCTATACATGGAATGGAAGAACCAAGGCAGCTCAGTAGTGGTTGGTTGGCAATTCGTGAACTGGCTGGTCCGCCCGGCTTTCTAGCTCATATTGTATTTTCCTGGCCTCCAGTTCTGTCGGGGGCTTGGGAGGATTCTGAGCGCTAGCCATGGGAACGGCCTCTTCCCCAGCTGGCGGTTGCTGAGATTGTTTTCGGCCACGCATGAAGAAGTACCAAAGAAGGGCAACGATCAATGCGACTCCAGCAACGCCACCAACAACGCCTCCTGCAATGGCACCAGCATGATTACTCGAGGAAGAGCTGTTCGATGAGTCGGAGGCTGAGGTTGTTGTTGCGGCGGGTATCGCGCTTGTAGATGTAGATTCGGTGGAGGCGGTACTGGTTGAAGAAGTCGAGGAGAAAGCTAAACATCAAAAGATTTTCTGTTAGAGTCAAAGCTGAATTCGCATTGCCGAAGGTCCCCACTCACTTTGAATCTCCGTGTTCAGGATTGTCTCCCCGCGCTCGGTGGGCGCCCCGTCGGAGCAGCCAACAGCATCCTGGGGACTATCTGTCCAGAACCCTGTTTGCTCAGGCAAACAGCAGAAGAATCCAGTATGATTGAACATTATCCAGGTCTCATTGGCGCAATGCGGAGTCGCTTTCAGTGGTGCGGTACAGTCGGATTCAGTCGGACAGCAAACATTGTTCAAGATAGATTGTGAAGCCCCTGGGCACACCGAATCGCCCGGGCAGCAGGCATAGAATCCCCCCCATGTTTTACCGCAGCTTGTTTCACTGGAAAGACAAGTGCCATTTCTGCGAAGCGGAAACCCGTACGGTGGATCGTAAGAAACCATATCGAGAGACCCCAAGAGGTGACGTATATCCACGCAAGATATGGAAGTGTCAGAAAGAGAGGACAGAGATGGTGACAGCAGCAGGTAATCAAAGGAGGGAGAGGTCTGTCGGACACTTTGAAGGAATGGAAATAAGCCTCAACTCTATGATGGAGCTAACGTCTTAGCTTCGACGCGGGGGCCAGACAGAGTGGGGATCGAGCCCATTTGCTTCGCTCAGGCGGCAGTACGTCGGGTGAATTATGTACATATCTAGAGTGGCTGGGGTTATTCGGATGGGCAGCTGTTCCTCATAGCTTCATATTATATATCACGAGGGCGATATAGCAAGAAAAGATCTCTTGAAATCCGCTATACAGCTGCGTGCTGATTTGGGGATTGCTGACTGCGCACCTGTTCCTTCGGCTGATTATCTGAGTGGTGAAGATTGCTAGTGGCTGTGACCCTCGGGCACTCTACTGCTACTACTAGTAGTAGTCACTCGCATATTCGCTTCACCGTACTCACCTGTATGAACAGTCAAATACCTCCATTATTCCTTCCCAACCAGGCAGCAGCATTATGTCAGCAAGCCTTTCACCTCTTTTCACTTCCTTTCTCATTCCAGCTTTCCATGAACCACCCCGCCGTCCCACGGATCTCATAATCCCACCCTATTAACTCTCTTGTTTCTCCTTTCCTGAATACACAATCCAAATCTTCTCCAAGGCCCAACGAGTACAGACGGTCGCCTCTCTCACTCCTGTACATTCCCCCTGTGTCTCGTTTCCTGAGGAAACACTCTTATATCTCTTGGGGGGCACCGCTTACCGACGATGGCCTCTGCCGCCCAGTCGCGTTTCTGCAGAGGGTATATATCCTCTGCGTAGCTTCATCCTCTGTGTGACTATGTTAGGTCTGCGACATTTGGTAGCGATTGTACCTGAGATCCAGGAACGTTTCGGGGGCAATAATATGGCGGCGAAGATGAAGGGAAAGAGGGGGAAGACGGTAGTCATATCCTGCAGTGCACGAGTATCTGAGTTCTCTACTAATCTATTGATCATATAAACAGATTCACCCGATGCTGAGTCTCATGCCTACTGATTCCTCTCACCAAATCCTCTTACCGAGCATACTATAGCTCTGCCAGGGTTGTACTTTCTCCCTGCAGCTACCTGATCAGAATATTGCGTATCGTAACTTGTGCTGCAGGAATAAAATCTAGAAAGGTATAGCGATGCACACTGTGGCAATCACCACGAGCAAGAAGTAATTCGGAAAATTAAGTTCTTTCGGGGAGCCGCAACTATGAAGACCGAATTAGCACCTTGATGGCACCACATGTCGGATCTGCTGCGACCTCGAACGCCTTAGGCGCGTCCTCCAGTTCAAACTCATGCGTGACCAATTTGCTAAGGTCGACCATTCCGCTCTGCAAAACGCGAATAGCCCTTGGCCACATATTCACATATCTCTGCTGGAACTGGAGCTCAACCTCCTGAGCGCTCATTCTCATAAAGGGGATCTGCAAATGATCCTTTCCCACTCCGATCACGATCACCTTGCCACCGAACTTGACGCTCCATACTGCTGCGGCCAAGCTCGACTCAGTCCCGGTGCACTCCAAAGCAATTGCCACTTCCACGCCATCGCCAATGAGTTCGTTGACCCCCTCGGCACACTGCTCCGGACTCTCCGTCGGACGCACGAGACAAGTCCGTGCGCCGGGAACATACTCAGCGGCAAACTTTAACCTAGCCTCGTTGATATCTGTGATGACCAAAGGCCATGCTCCCGCTGCTCGACAAACCTGCAGTGTAATCAACCCAATTGGCCCAGCACCACAAATCAGCACCGGATCCCCAATTGTCACCCCGGCCCTCATCACACCCGTGAGTGCCACACTGAGCGGTTCCAGCAATGCCCCGTCATCGAAAGACAGCGATCCAATCTTATGGCACCACACCGCCGGGTGGTTGACATAGGTGCGTAGCAGCCCGTGAGAGGGCGGACTCGATCGGAAAATCAAATTCTTGCACCCGTTGTACCGACCCGTGAGGCAGGGCTCGCAGGCGAAGCAGACGATATGGGGCTCGACGGCCACGCGATCGCCTACTTTGTGGGTTGTGACGGACGGGTGGACGGCCACGACCTCACCGGCTGATTCATGGCCTAGAACGTGCGGAGCCGTTACTATCCAGGGGCCGATGCCGCCGTGTTTCCAGAAGTGGACGTCGGAGCTGGTATTTAATTTAGACGTGGCGTGCAGTACACCCATGAGAAGACTTACCCGCAGATCCCGCTACTTTTTATGGCGATGGTTATTTCTCCGGGCTGGAGAGTCGAACTGGCATGAATAGTGTCGGCGACATAAAGGTTGTGGGAGACGTCGGTGTAAACACCACGGTTGACGACCATCTTGTTCAATGCTTGGTCCACTATGACAAGAAGGCATGAGACTGGCAAGGAAGACCATACTCTTCATATAGACTTTAGATGTAGTAGTAATGTTGTCTGTTCTCCCGTCCATTATGCACTCCGAGTGGTGAGCCCATGTTGCATTAATGCCGTGCGTTGCTATCGGCACACTGCATATATCCCGCCAATAGACGTGGGACGACAGCACGTGCGGCATATGATTCGCATAAATTACGGTACCTGGTAATTCAAGCATCATCGACCGAGTACCTGGTTTGCGATCTCACAATTGGGTTAACTTGGTGTTGGAGGCCAGACCCTCCAAACGCGGGGAAAATGCGTGCGCTGTTTTCTAGCCACAGGCGAAAACTTTCGAAGTAACCGCAATAGGAAATTCATGCGATGCGAACTTTGATAGCACCCCAGCATTATTGTTTACTTTGGATGGGTTATTCTGTAAAATCATACTAGAAGTCATATGCATAAACCCCAGAATGCAAAGGGGCCTCATAGTCCACCAATTGGGGTGTGGTCCAGATGGAACACTTACCTACATTAGATGTCCCTTGGCGTGAACACTTCGTAGAAATCCATGGAATCTAAACAGTAAATTAGATACTAGACTAGAGAATTCCGAACTTTGCCATCCTTCTGTAATCCTAACTATGATGGTCAGCCCACGCATTGTCCTACGAAAATGCGCCCGCCATCAACGAACTACCATCCCGCAGTCAAAGACCCTAAACCATCGTTGACCGCTAACGCAAGAAAATGTTAACGAGGACCCTCCACATCAACTCATGTTGCCCCCCTTGGCAGGAAGGGAATGGAGCTTGTTATAGCTATCCGTCAATCCGAACGGTCGAATGCCAACGAGCACGGAGGAAAGCGTTTGCGGTAGCTCGGGTGAAAGTCACAGGCGCTACCGTCCGGGATAGTCTGGGGTCAAACAACGGTCCTTATCTTCCTTCAAGACTGCCACACGACGGCGGCGCCGAACCTGCACCCCACGGCCGAGGTCTTCTAGAAAGTCGTCAACAAAGGTGAGGCACCCAAGACCCTGAAAAGGACGTGGTTCACAAAAGTTGGACAGATAGCAGAAAATCACGGCGTCACACTGGATCAGCCATTGAGATATTGCCACTGCCCTGTGCTTAGCATACTTGAGCTCTCTATCTGTAAGCCTTCCATCCTTATCATAAAACAACAGTGTGTCTCGACCTGGTATCAAGTCGCCTTGGTCAACTCCATCGCCCAGATGCCCTAAGCGGATAAAATCATCACCAGCCTTGAACTGACCATTATCGACGTAAAATCGAATTTGTGAGACTACGGGACAAGGTGCATAGGAACGCTCTTCAATAAGGGCTAGATGGGAGGTGGGAGGTTGATGGAGAAGCATGCGCCTCCAGCTAGCCTCCTCTCGGAGGTATGCCTTTTCTTTGCCAGGATCAATGAGAGGAAAATCCTCCTGTATCTGCCAGGCTCTATCCGATGGATTGTGGAGGCGCTTTCGGAAGAAGTCAGGCCATATGCCTGTCTCAATAAACGGATTGCGGGTACGCTTTTGGTGACAATAGCTCCACCGAACTCCGTTCTCAGAAGGCTTGGGAAAGAATGCTGGCGCTTTGGCTGGCTTGAGAAAAAGAGCGGCTTGGAGACTGGTAGAGCTCTGTATGATACCATTCCAGGAGCGACATACCCGTGTTGCAGACGTTAGTAACGTACGGATCTCGGTCTGGAGGAGGATTGCTTCCAATATCGCCTCTGTGCGGAAGACTTCATGAGGTTGATCCATTTTTGCGTGTTGCTCGGATTGATAAGTGTACCGGCAAGGTAGAAGGTTGCGGTGGGGCAGGAGGGAAAGAAAACGAAATGATGTCAAAGAGACAGGCTGTAGTAAGTAATAAGTATGAACATCCTAGTATGTCATATCGTACGTGGGCGGTGGAAAATAATGCCTTTCAAACTGTTTGGGCTATTGGTTGATGGTGCGGAGGCTAACACTCGTGGCCTTGACCCGCAGGCACCACCCGGTCAGAAGTATACTTGTCACTCAGAAATTCGCTTCTCCATACAAATTTGTATGGAAGTTCGAACATATGGCTATAGATAGATACTCTTCATCGTTCCTTCCTAGCCAGGCAGCAGGGTATTATGTCAGCAAACCTCTCGTCCTCAACACAAAGTATGTAGAAGTTTACATCTCACTCCCTCAAGTCCAGTTCTCACAGTAATCACCACTATCTACCTACCTAGTCACAAGTGGTATCGTGATCAACCTTCGTTCTATTATATTCTAAAACACGCACAGCCATGGCTACCAGGACTCAGAAAGCACTCTTGAGGGCTGCGGAAATAGCACTGTCCTTTGTCAAGAAGTCTCCGGATACACCGACCGAGGAGGACAATCGTGAGATGGATAAGGCTTTGGCCTCCATAAAGCGATTGAAAGCGAAGTATCTACCGATCCCGACGGTAGCAGTCGGAGATCTAAATCTGGAAGAAGTAGAAGGCCTCTTTAGTATTAGTCCCGATAGTAGCAGTATATTCAACTGGGATAAGACCGCGTTTGAAGGCTATGCTGTGTATACGGATAAGGGTGCCGATGAAATGGGCCATGTTGGTAAGTTATTCTATTTTCTTAATATATAATTATCCACTTTAATACTGAGAGTTAGATTGGACCCTCAATGCATATGAGAAGACCCGTGACCGCGCCCCTTGGAACGAGCCTCTAGCAAGGACACGACTCGATACACTTCTACTTACGACGACCTACATCCTTGGTGCTTACGAAAAGCCCGAGACAATTGGCGTCAGTCTGCAATTTGAAACATCCCTCACCTGGATAGGCAAGAAAAAGAGGGTCCAAGGCCGAGCAGACTACACGCTGTTTTACGACCACCCATCCAAAAATGCGAGTAACCTTCTCATCGTTGAAGCTAAGAGAAGGGGAGAATTCGGCCGCGGCCCAGCAGAATTATTATCTTACATGTGTAAGTTGCACAATGTTCAAGTTCTTTGTATTCTATCCACTGCTGACTGGTGATTAGCTATGGTGGTTAAGGCTCGACATTCTGCTGGTGACGGAGAGAATGCGGGTGTCTTTGGCTTACTGTCCGATGGATACACCTTCCATTTTTACCGTCTATCACACGAGATGAAGGTAAAGAAAGTTCAGTCCTTGGAGGCAATGATAGCTAACTTCATATCAGTACAGCCTACATACGGTGCATTGGCAGATGGGACTTACCAGCCAATGCACTATCAAGGGCCTACTCTCCTTTATAATCCTGGAAGCGGTAGCAATGGCCTCAGTGTCAAGAAAGAAGACCCGCCACCCTTCCGATCTGTTGATGTCCCCAGTAGGGTCGATGGAAGTTGATTAGTCTTTTCTTTTCTTTTCTTACCTTTTTTTATTTCTGTCTTAGAAAGTTTCTTTGTTTCTTTGCTTTTTCTAGTTTCTTTTGTTTTTACATTGCAACCAGAGCAGGTCCCAGCCGGGAATTATTTTGCTCACTTGAAGAGTGATGTTATTCCCTCCATCGAATTCTCACGATTTGAGATTAACTACGAAAAAATGAGAGAAGAGATTTGAAAGAGAGGTGTTGTGGTTCTTCGAGTGGTAGTACCTTCCCGATTCGTGGACTCCAAAAGAATCTAATTCCAGAATGAACCTCGTCACCTCGCCTACGGGAAAGTGCTTGCAAGGAGTCCCGGTGATTCAGAACTGCTCCCCCCCAATGATAGAAGTGACAGTCTACCAGGGGCGAAGGCCAACGACGCCTGGGCGAGGCGAGACATTCTTGGCCCCGTCCATAGTCGTAAAGACCCACCGGCCATCGAGCAGCTTGCGGCCCTCGGGATCTAGATTGTCGAGGTGATTTTCGTGAATTCAAAGCACCACATCGATGGGAGGCAGATTGTGAAGGTCGACGGATGGGCCCCTGAGATTGACTAGACGTGGGGCGGGTGGAATGGAAGTAAAACCGAGCTGAGAAATGTCTTCCTCGTTGAGTTTCTGAGTCCCGTCATACTCGGTTCCTTCCTCAGCGCCGAAGTAAGGACCGGTCAGAAAATTGATACCGTCCATGTTTAGAATGGCGGTCGCCGTCGTGAGGTGGGTGATGGTGAAAGTAGAGGTGGATTCAGAAAACCATGGGGAATGTTTATGGCTGCGATGTTGGGGTACGGGCAGATAGAGTGAGATTGTGAAGAGAATGTCGATGTAGATTGCACTTATACTCGATCTCAACCACGTCCGAAACGACTGGACCTCTGCAGGTGGGATGAGCCGGCATTCTTTGCTCTGTCATCTTGGCAGCTCGGAACATCCCACCTGCATAATATAATCCTCAGCCAAAGATCCACTGCCGCTTCTTCTTCGTCGCCACTGTCTCAGAGGCGGACTGCCCGCCGGCATCCCTCCTACCCCATTATTAAGACAAGTCATAGTTGCCTCCGTGCTGTTCGGCGATTGGGGTTCGTAATATAAATAATCGGTTAGCATTCACAATCTAATCGTAAACTGTACATCGATTGTCCTTACATTCAAGTCCTCTATACCTGCTAAACCGATCGACTACTAAAATCTTCCATTTCCTTTCAACATGACGTAAGTTCTCTCTATCCTTCATCTGTGATCATCGACCTGACCGGTATTTAGAGACGGCCACCCGACTGGCGATGAGGCATATTTTAATCTCGGTCAACATCGTCGCCCGGTCACTACGTCGTCACAGCGCGCGCAGCTTTGGTGTGACCGTGGCCTAGTTTGGGCGTATTCTTTCAACGTCGGAGAAGCAGAGCGATGTTTCGAGCGAGCCGTCCAATACGATCCCAACTGTGCAATGGCTCTGTGGGGGATCGCCTATTCCGCGGGCCCAAACTACAACAAAGCGTGGAGATATTTCGATCCAAAGGACCTTCGAGACTCCATCGACAGGGCAAATAACGCTATCGCATGTGCCACTATGCTGGTTGACCAAATCACCCCAGTGGAACAAGCACTGGTCAAGGCCATCGCTGCACGCTTTCCACCCACGGAAAACATCCCGGACGACCTCAGCCCACTCGACCGTGCATACGCAGATGCCATGCGGCCGGTCTATCAGGAATTTGGCAGCGATCCGGACATTGCCGCCTTGTTCGCCGATGCACTCATGTGCATGACACCCCGCGGTCTGTGGGATTTGGATACCGGAAAGCCGACCGGCCCTCATACGGTCGAAGCCCAGCAGGTGATTGAGACTGGCTTATCGTCGGGCGGGCGTGACCACCCGGCGCTCTGCCACTTGCATATCCACGTTATGGAGATGTCGCCAAATCCGGAACTCGCATTGCCGGCGGCAGATCGACTACGACACCTGGTGCCTGATGGATCGCACATGCTGCACATGCCGACCCACATCGATGCGGCAGTGGGAGACTACCGTCGTGCAATCGACTCAAATCATGAGGCCGTGGTTGCAGACGATAAGTACTTTGCTCAAGAAAGTGGCACGATCTCGTACATAGCGTACCGTGTGCACTATATCTGTGCAAAGCTGTATGCGGCTATGATGTGCGGCCGCTTTGTAGACGCGATGTCGGCAGCGGAGAAGTTGGAACACATTATAGATGACAAACTTCTTTCCATCACGAGTCCTCCTGTCGCCGATACCATCGAAAGCTTTTTGGGTAGCAAGGCCCACGTGTTGGTGCGCTTTGGTCGGTGGGAGGAGATCCTTCGTCTTGAGCTTCCCGCCGATCGCAAATTAAGGTGTGCAACTACTGCGACCATACTGTACGCCCAGGGACTTGCCTATAGTGCGCTTGGCCGAATCGAGGAGGCAGAGGCCGTCCAGCAAGATTTTGAAGCTGCCCGTGCAGCTGTCCCTTCGACTCGTCTCAACAGTATACCATGCAAGCAGGTGGACGTTTGAATGTCTCATCGGCAATGTTACATGGCGAGCTGGAGTACCGGAAAGGAAACTACGAGGTTGCTTTCGCCTCTCTGCGAGAAGCAATCCAACGGGAGGACGCATTGCCTTACTCCGATCCTCCTCCTTGGATGCAGCCTGTTCGTCATGCCCTCGGCGGTCTGCTTCTTGAACAGAACCGGGTGGAGGAAGCTGAGGTGTTATTTAAAGAGGATCTTGGGCTTGCAAAAGACTTCCCCCGACGCAGAGCAAAGCTGAACAACGTATGGGGATTGCACGGGCTGCACGAGTGTCTTACACGCCTTGGTAAGACCGATGAACTGCTGTTTATCCAGCCCGCACATGATATCGCGGTCGCCACCGCTGACGTTCCGGTCACTGCTTCATGCTACTGTCGTTTATCGGCTGTGGGGATGTCTGAATGTTGTTCGGAGAAACCCAAATGCTGCTCATAGACCTATTCGTATCTTACAACAATTCCGTCGGAATATCATTGATTGATCGCGGGTTGCTGGTACAGTATCTTGAAATGCAGATTGAATAGAAAGAGAGCAGTTAATTTGGGAGATTAGTAAGGCCACTGGACAAGCATTGGTATTTTTTTCTATATTTGTCATAGAAGGATTCCTCCAACAAATAGGACGTCTCACGTTTCTCACCTGGAACGATATAATGACTCCACCCACACTAGGAGACCGTTTTGGATGAGGGCATCTGCTAGGATAGTTGGCCAGGCAAAAGTGTAGAAGATCGCTACTATGCCATATAGAGTTTAGATACTTATGTAGAATCTCGTCTCATCCCAATCATTGTAACCAGCACACGAAGATCCCATATGTGAAGCACGGCCAAAGTCCGCACACATGACACGCAGCTGATTTTTGAATTGTAATCGACCAAGAGTTTCCTTCCTTGAAATTAGTTGGTGAAGAAACGATGGGTTAAATATACAAGAACCGTGTTTTACCATTCATGAGAGTATCAAGAAATGAGCAACAATTAGGGTTTGTAGGTTGTCTCGGTCTGTTACGACGGCCAGGAGGGATGCCGGTTGATTGTGGATCCACTCTTCCAGACTGCGGTGGACTTCGCCAGATTTGTATGTAGTAGTTAGGTATCTGGCCAGAGCCTAAGACACCATAACCACCCGGGACGATATAGCTTCTTCGTATTTGATATTTTATTTGTATGCCGTTGTGACAATCGGCGAGTGCTGAGAGAGAATGGATATGCTGACTAAGCATTACTGCAACCACAATGATGTACTGTACCTCTTTGGTGACCCACGCTTTTCGGTTCCCTTAAACACTAAAGGGACTACGTAAAAGAAGACCACAAGGGCTAGAATGATAGAAGACGGATTGAACGTTATCGATCTGACAAAATGCCGCCTCGCAGACACTCTTGTATCTATCCCGGGTGTAGCGCCACGTATCAACGCAAAGAACATTTAAATCGGCATGTTGCGCAGAGCCACAGAGAAGGCAATCGGTTCTCTTGTCCATATTGTACGAGTACATTAGCAAGGAGGCATGTTTTTTCTTTTTTTGGTCTTTTTTCCCCCCTCTCAGCTTTCCACGCCAATGCGCATTCTCCGGCTAATTTCATAGAGCTAAGAACTGATGATGGATGTACAGCGATCTTTTGCGACGGCATATAAAGAATTACCACCAGCACCGTGAATTGCCGCAGTTTCGAGCGCAAAAGGCCTGCAGTGCTTGTCACGATCGAAAGGAGCGTTGTGAGGGGAATTTTCCATGCAAATCATGCCAGCGCCGAGGTGTCCCTTGCTCTGCTCCCCCAGGGGCACTAGCCCAGAATATGACCGCACAGGATAGCCAGGAACCCAATATATACCACAAACCCACTCCCCCACTAGGGTCATCTTCTCCGGTGGATATAACCCTATCTAACACCGCATTTAATTACGAGAACACGGAAACTATTGGACCGGGATCAGTCGTCCAAGAACACGTCGCTATCTATTTTAAATGCTTCCATCCCCATTGGCCTTTTCTCCATCAGAGTACATTTGATGTGTCGAAAGAACCCTACCTTCTCATCCAGTCAGTGGTTATGGTAGGGCTATGGGTGACTGGTCACCCGGCAAAGCGGGAGGCCGCGATAGAGCTGCATCGTAGACTAAGTGATGCTATCCGAGCACAAGAGGTAAGGGGCTGTTACCCTCGCCTTCCGTCACATATTTGGTTGGGTTGCTAATAGAGCTACTCATTGGTAGGGATCCTGGTCTATGTCCCATTCAGACTTGCAGCGAACCAGTCATACGCCATGGCCCATAGCGACCTATCAGAGTATCCTTCTCCAGATAATCATGGCCGCACTTCTTGCGAAAGAACGGGCATCAGCTGATCTTAGCCTCCGGGTGCAACTTGACGCAGATGACTATTATCTGTTGACTACTCTGGTCCGCAGCTGCCGAGAATTGGGTATGTTTTGCTACCCAAATATGGTAGAACAGCACAGCCCCGCAGCACCCCTAGCGATGATTTGGGTCAATGTTGAAGAGATCAAGCGATTCGGATTCAGCCTTTACAAACTATGTCGAGTGACTAGTCTGGTTGGCTCAACAGAATCGAACGCCGGTATGCGAACTGAACTGTTGACCGTAGCGGATTTGGAATATTGCATGCCTGATAGCGATCAATTTTGGGACGCCCCCGCCGTGATCGATGAAAATGAGCGCCAGCAGATGATTTCACAATCGAACCGGCGGGAGGGCATGGATCCCCATGGGTGGGTCTCATATGCTGCACGGGTGCTATGTGATGCCCAAGTCAAGTTTGAGTGGATATAAGTAGCAACTTGACTCGGTAATTTTATATAGCCAATAATAGAACTTGGCCGATGCCGGCGTTAACCGTCTCTTTGTGGGCAGCTTCAGCAAGAAGAGCTGGTCCGAGTGTATGAAACAGCATTGTTTATCATTCTAATATCTCAGCACCTAATGATAGTATACCGAATAGTTCAAGCAAGCATCGTTCGAACTTCCGGGTATATTTGGATAAATTCTTCATCAGGCTATAGTTGCGTTTCTGGCGCGCACAGAGTCATTGACCGTCTAAAGTTTTATCCTCAAATGTTTTGAATCACAAATAGTAGTCCTTGCTCCTGCAAGGATCCCCTTGGTTTCCATTCAAGCAATATTAATTAACGGGGATAAATTGGCCTGTGAACTCCGTGTTCGCGGTCGCTGTGTTACGTTTTATAAAGATCGTGGTATATATCACTTTACACAAGATTGTACACAGGAAGTGTTCAAAGAACGCACGACTTGTGTAAGATGGCCAGTTTATGCTAAATACAAGCCCGCTGCAAAATTCGCTGTGCACTGCTGAGGCCTATACAAACTCTTCCATAACATCCAGATCTGCTTTGTCAAAAGAGGAACAACTAACCAATCATGTAGACAGAACGTCGCAGACGTTTAGCTCTAGATGAATGGCCAATTACCCCGTCTTACATACAGAAAGTAGCTATCTGGCTGCCTTATCAAAACCTTGTATTATTCTTGACGGTTGTGGGTGGCGTAGTTACAACGCTGCCTGTCGATCAAAAGTAGTGCACCGATACGGTACAGCACCTAATCTAGCCCACCCAGCTCTAGAGTTGATCTACAATACGATGTTACCCAGCTATAAACGTTAAGACCCACTCCCTTGCTGTATCCTATACTGTTGCTGACCGTCAATGTGAGGGTTGATAAACAAATATGGATGAAGAAGGGGCTTCTAGCTGAAGGAACTAGCGCAGCGGCCGCCAGATGCCTCAGGCAATAGATGCTTTCCACGGGATGCATAAGCAGTGCGCTGATCTGTAACCTCCAGCCACCTATATTGCTATTTTGCTTCGCTGCGATCCATGGCTGGAAACATTTACTGTTATGGATTCTGACTGGCATAACCACGTTGAGCTATAAATAGGCACAACGGTAAGATGGCCGAGTGGTTAAGGCGTTGGATTTAAGCCCCAATGACGTGAGTCTCCTGGGTTCGACCCCCAGTCTTACCATTTAAGTTCATTTTTGTTCCTGCCTAAATGGACATAGTTTTTCAGACCGAAAGCAGTATAGGACGTCTTTTCGGCCGGCTTTGTGGTAAATCGAATCGCTGTAGGGAGCATGCCTGAGATCTGGTCTGTCCTTTTCTGTAATGGATTTGAGCAAGTAAGTTAAGGTCTCCTTGATCGGCGGAAACCTGACCGTGGGGCAGACGGCGGACGAGTCCTGTAGAAAGAAAGATTTGTTAGTAACATTACATACCATAAGACGATGATTGGCTATAGACACTGAGACTTACTGAAGCTGGTGCACTTAGGCTCCTATTCTTGGCCGCAGTTGGCTGCAACTGATTGAGGAAGCGTTCCTGAAAAGAGCTTCGTGGTCCTAACTTGGGCTTGGCTCGTGGCATCGATGGCAGTTGAGGGAGAGCTTGTTGCTGCATCTGTCTATTCCATCTGGCTTTCGGACATCCGGGGTCATGGCCTTTCAGTCCGCAATGTATGCAGATAGGGCACCGTGGGCAGTCTCGAATAATATACCCTTGCTGGCGACAGTGTCCTCAAGGGCGCTGTGGGCAGATAGCCTGCACATGGCCCTCCGTGCCGCAGAATGTGCAATGTCATGCATCTGGATGATACATCGTCATCAATCTAAATGTCGCATATCGATATGTTCTTATGGTAAAGTAGGTATTTTTGGTGATATTGCAAGAGAGTAGTTCTTCTGAGTGATGTGTGATGGGAGTGACAACGAGATATCAACAAAACTGGCAAGAGGTTAGATAGAAAAGCTTGACATTAAGGGAAGACATGAGTAAGGCTTGCAGTTGTGTGGCCCGGGGGAAGCCTTGGTTCTGATTTTATAGAGGAGCCTGTGGTGGCCGGGGAACAAGGCCACGGATGGAAAATAGTGAATCAAGTCCACCGGAGACAGTGAAAGAAGCCCACAGGTAGAAGATAGCAGATCACGGCTATAGATAGCAGGCAGCGAATCAAGCACCACTATCTTTGACAACTATTGTTCCAGTGCTTGCAACACTCAGAGCTGTGTCCTGTCTATGTCTAGGCATTGAACTACTCTTATTCTGAATAACTACGCAGTTCATTTAGAGGTGAGGCTGAGACGTACAAAAGGAGACACATGTGTGACGTGTATATGACTCTACCCTTTATGAGCCATACTAAAAGGCAGTTAAATTCTAAATTTGACCATGGTGTTAAAGAGGGGCTTTAGTAACTTACAAGAATCTGTAGTTTAGTAGTGAGACCAAGATTTAGTTTTGAAGCTGGAAAGACCAGCCCTATTTCACTCACAGCTGTCTCTTCCCGTTCACAAGACAGCATCATGCTTCCTTCGCTTTTTAGAGGCTCAACCGATATGTCTCTCTTTAAGAAGTTTATTGACCTAGCATGGCCAATAAAAATATGCCATTATATCATTCCAGAGACTTTCAACAATAGGTAACATCTTTACACCTTGGGCGAGACGTGCACAATGACTTTTCCTCCACTGGAACCCTTCTTCACATACTTCAAGGCCTCGATTGCCTGCTCAAATTCATACGTCGACTCGATAATCGTTGTTATAACCCCATCAGCCAGCCAGCTCGCCAGCTGCTCGTAGTCCTCCTGTACATTCTTGGTAAAGTACGGCACGAACTTTCGCGGCGTGCCACCCAAGAACGTCGGCCAGAATAGGCCCTCGACCATATTCTTGGCAGTATGTAATGATAGGGAGCCTCCGACACTAATATAGTGACCGTCTGGTTTGAGAAACTTGGGCGTCGTAGAGAAAAAGCTTTTTGGCGAGTTATCTACGTTATCCACTACCAGATCGTAGACTTGGCCCTCGGCTTCAAGTTTAGTCACAATGTTGTCGACGCGGTAGTCGATCACTGCGTCGGCGCCCAGTTTCTTGACGAGGTCGATCTTGGCGGTTGAGCAGGAGGTCGTTACGTGGCATCCGAGTGCCTTTGCAATTTGGATGCCGAAGGTCCCCGTTCCTCCAGAGCCGCCGTTGATAAAGATGCGATCCCCGGCTTTAACGTAGGGCTTGATACTTTGGTACGCTGTCATCCCCGCGGTGGGCACCCCAGCAGCGTGATCTAGGTCCACACCCTCGGGTAGCACGGCATACCCATCTCGTGGCAGCACCACATACTCTGACAGTGAGCCGTGCGCTTCAAAAGGTTCGAGACGGCCGAGGATGTTGTCGCCGGCCATGGCGTCCGTTGATCCCTCGGCCACGGCCACGACAGTGCCGCTGAGGTCCATGCCCGCCACCTTGGGGAACTTAGCGGCGGCTCGGGAGATAAATCCCATCTCCATGACTTTGTAATCTGCCGGGTTGAGACAGGCACTGACGACGCGGACGAGGATCTCCCCTTTCTTGAGGACTGCACTGGGGCGTGGGGCGTTGTGGACGAGCTTAAGCTTCTCCTCAATGGGACCAGGAGCGGCCTGCTGCCACGCCTTCATATTTTCTGTCATCGTGGTTTATTTGTTAATGGTGGCGGCGTGGCGCTAAGATGCAATATAGGTGAGCTAAGAAGTAGCCGACCGAAGTAGACCTCGGGCCTTAGTGAACCTGTGCGGTTGCCTCAGAATTCAAGGGCAAGGTTGTCCTTATTGTGACTGCTACAAGAACCGAAATGTGCAAGGGGTTCCAAAATATCAATCACCACGAAATTCTGCTATAGAGGTAGGCGGTCTGACGGTTATATACTTATAACTTTTAACTTATAACGTCATTATCCCAGCCCGTCATTCGGATAGACTTTTCCGGAAGACGGCCCCGTCTCTTCTCCGTACGGATCTACGGACCAACTGGGATCCGAGCCCTAATCCACTGGGGTAGTCTTGTTAACTCTATCCTGTGTTATAGAGCCCACTACGGCCATTTATCTTAATGTAGTTCGAATGTTTGAAATAGTATTATAGCTTTAGCTTCTTAATCTTTCTGCTGTTGACCAGAATATGCATGCAAGGTTACAGACATTCCCCGTAAGCGCCCGGTGTGCCCCCTTTCTTCTGGGAGGCTGGGGATCTGGCCATGCGTGAAGTACAGTACTCTTGAGACCTGTCCAAATTTAAAGCGATATATGCCTCCAGTTCTCAAAGAATGAGGATCAAGAAAGAGGGGCAGCACTTGAACCTCAGTCAGCCGCAGCACCGCAATCAGTATAAGAAATTGTGAAAATAAAATGCACAAACAACTAAAACTGAAACTTGATTGCTACAGATTGCCACGATTTGAAATTAACACACTACGCATCTACGAGGTTTAGTAGTAGGACCCGGATGCAGGCCACAGCTTCAGGCTCATGGGTTGGCAGTCCGGTTTCGAGTATAATAGACGGTATCTACATAAGACTTTGGTTCTGTGTACTACTCTGATCTTAACAAATCAAGTGCCACGGAGGCCTGTATTCGGCTCGACGGCAAAAATCTCATCAATCCCTGGATGACTGGGACAAGGCGAGCAAGTGTTCGGCTATGCTCCCTCCTGTTGAGCCTTCGTTCTAGCTCAGACTGCTCACAATCTTCCAGTTAAATTAGCAAACCTGACTGTATCGTGTCCATATTATGGCCATTCACTCACTCTCTCTCGGTTCCAACTTATGCTTAGAGTTCAATCGCATGCGTTTCCACATTTGCTGCCAGTCCTTTGGCAACTCCTCCACAAAGCCAATCATCTGTGCAACCAGGACATCATCTTCGCCTAGGTATTGGAATGGATATGTGCCAAATATAAACGCATAAATCTTCATTGCAAACCTTAGCATCAACCCTTCTACAGACAGGACATGGCGACTTACCATACAGCCTGCACGCCATAAGTCGACCCGGTGGTCAAAGCATTGCAGAAAAATTGTCTCGGGTACTCGCAATGGCCCTGGCTGAGCAAGTGCTCTAGGTTCGTCTCCTTGAAGGAATGCCTCTCCAAAGTCAAGAATCCGGAGGTCTTCATCATCTTCATCTATCCACTCGTCCCATTCTGTGGCTTTTACTATATGTTTCGGTAGGCCTTTGTCTAGCGCCTTGCCATCAAGGCGAACCAAGTCTTCTGACTCTGGCAAACCAAGGACTTCGAAGAGCTCATCTTTCGTCACATTCGAGAGGTGACCACAGCTGAAAGCGACGTTTCCACCGCTTATATCTGTCACTGTGTAAGTGCCATGACGTGGAGACAAGAATGAGCTATCACAAGGTATGGAAAGATAAATAAGGCCGTGTCTCACCTCCATGACCCATGCCAGCATCATGGATGAATCTGATGGCTTCTAGAAGCTGTTCTGACATCCGAAGGATAGTCTCCGACTCAAGGGTATCTCCAGAGCTGTAGTAATCGCGAAGAACCCTATCAACAGAGGGACCAAGCAACTCAAATACAAGACACTGGTGCGTTCCGTTGGGTCCCTGATGAGTGAAAGAGTCGAGTAACGGAACAATATATTTCGAGGGTAGCCTTCCCTGCGAACGCTTTTCCAGTAGTTGTAAATTGTGAAGTTCTTGGGATCCCTGGGAGGTATCTGCTTTCAGAACTTTTAGCGAAACCCACCGGTTTTTCCTGTTGTACGTTAGTAAAAGTCATATAAACGATCATTCGCAACTAACTCTTTGTCATTGGCAAGCCACACGGTGGAAAACCCTCCCCAACCTAATTTATGGTGTATTTCGTAGCGACCGTTCTTGAAGGTGTCGCCAAGGCAGACTGGATGGTACCCACCAGGCCGATACCTTGATAGCTGCTCCTGTGTATAGAGGAGATTACTTTGCCGGTAAATGGATAAGTCTTCCATGACCACGATTTGGGGGGGCAATGATGCAAAGAAGCGAAAGGATTGAATCCAGGGTTTGACTACGGACTTGACTGCAGTTTTAGTGATTGACCATGATACCAAAATCAAGCGCCTGCCAAGACGTGCTTATCTAACCAGTTTCAAAAAGCATATCATCCTAGACCTATCATTGAACACCCGCGCTCTATGCTATATAGCCTTGAACCAAAAAGTTTGGCAAATTGGCCTCGCTTTGCTAACTAGTGTGGTCACAGAAATGGTCTGCACCCGAAAGCCAGTACGTATGATCGCAGCCCAATTGCCCATGTGAGTATTCGTCTATCGAATCCGTCGCTACGAAGTCAGCGGATGTGGTATGTCCTCCACTGGAGCGAGGGCTCGATCATCCTTCCACGGCCAGACAACGAGGAATCAAATCGACGCAGAAGGGATAGGAGGAAAGAAAAGAAGCAAAGGAGGCAGGAGAGAGATAAGAATAAGAAACAAAAAGATGACCCCACTAGTGGAGACGGCGGTGCTGCTAATATCGACACACGTGGAGCAGACGTTCAAAGCAGAGGTTAGGGTATTGGAGACACCCTGCCGTTCCTACGTTATGCAGGGGAATCAGTTGCGAACATCAGACGAACAGAGCTAATGAGGGACTCTTCGTTGTATTGCATTTGATTATATGTTTGAAATCTGATATTGAAGTAATCGTTTTGCTTTCTTTCGTTAATCTCAGTCTATGATTGCAATACACTATGCTCAACCCTTCCACCTCTTGTTCGAAGCCAGACAACACACACACACAAAAAAAGAAAAAGAGGAAAGAAGGAAAAAGAAAAAGAAAAGAAAAGATGGGGGGCGGACATGCTCTGGGTATCATGGTGAAGGAGCTGACCAATCGAGATTCTCATAAAGGTGTCCTGAATAACCGCGCGCGAGCCATAAGCTGGGAGATACCGTTAACAACTCAACCCTATAGAAGGCATACATGGCTATGACTCCACCCCCCTTGGATAATCAGACAGGTGCATCATCATGTTTCCTCTGTGGCCTTTTATGAAGGTCGCTTGTACATGTCCATTCATAGAAAAGCACGCAACGGTTTTGGAGATATTATGAATGAAAGGTATGGCCTCTGCAGCTGGGCGCCAACCTTTGGCCGGCTGTCGATGGCAAGTAAATGGTAAATATTGTGAAGGAATGTTCACCCGTACATGATGTGGCGGTAGTTCGAGGCCCTTTGAAAGATATTTCTGTTCTGTTGGTCTCGTTAGGTGGCGCCTTGCCAGATTGTGCTCCGCCATCCATTGAAAATTCGATCCTAACATAACTAATCTATAAACAAGTAGCTGCAAGCGTCATTAAAAACAGCACATAACAATACTAGTATCATTAGTATGATGGGCTAGGTCGATGGCTTACACAAATATATACTCATAAAATTCTTACTAGTTGATACCTAATCCATATTTACCTGAATTTCTCTATCCATTAACCGGAATAACAAAACTCAAAACTACCGCACAGATGAGAACGTGCGTAGGATAACCCCGTACCACAGTTGGTCCTTTATTTCCTTGCGGGGGCGGAGGACCTACCTGCTTAGGGTCAGTCTCCGCAGTAACCCGAAGCGGATGGAGCACCCAAACAGGTAATCCTAGTATACCAACCATCGATTGACAGCGCGTAACTCATAAATAGCACGACACTGGATTGATGAATCTACCCAAGTATTTTGTATCAAACCTGGTGAGTCTCGTAGGCTGTCTGATAAATTTTGAATCGAGTGGTAACCAATTGCCGACACATTCTTAGTCCAGTCAGGAGCGATTTCCGGGTCAAAGGGTGGAAGTTCATCATTTAGCGTGTTACGGTAGATGTTCTTGGTTCTATCACGCCGCAGTCCCAAGCCCAACCGCCAGTTGAATGCATCGGCAAGTTCTTCTGCAATCGAGGCAAGAATGGCGTACCGAATAAGATCACGATCACCAGGGTCTGGTATGCAGCAGACTGCCCATGACTGCCGCACCTGGCCCCAGAAGTATTCTACTTCCGAGGATATAGCCGGATATTGGCGCGCAGTCATTGCTTCATATATTCGGTAAAGGGACCAAAGAGGAGTGTCTCTTGCGCGCCAGATCGGGGTAGAGCGCAGGTTGATCAACTCCGCAGGGGGTTGTCGAGATTCAAAAAGGGAAGTATCAATGAGAATGCCGTTGGAAGGAACCGGATCCGGAAGGCAAAAGTGCCATGCTGGCAGTGGAAGAAACAGGCGAAGTAGAGCTAGGAAGGGATATATCTGTATTGGTGGCGAAGACGGATGAGACTGCCCCGTAGACCGAGCGGTGACTCGTACAGGTAAATAAATCGAAGGAGGCGCATCCACAAACTGAGTCGGGGTCGTGGGCGACCATTTGATACCATACTGAGAGTAATCCTGACCTGAACACTTAGAGGCAGTACTATACAGGATTAACGGCTGGCCTTTGGAGCAAACTATTCTAATTTCCACCATGGCATTGCACGCTTGTTACTACGGTGGTCAGCTCATGCCACTGGTGCTACAGGCTCAGCCTCGAATCAATGGCCAGCTGGTTATCTGTTTTGCATCGTATCTACCCAGGACCTCCAATATTTAAGGACCAAATCAAGCTTCCGGACAACCTTGAATCGAAGATGTTTCAGTCTATCAACCAATTAGACCTGTCCATCAGGTGCCACTATCCTTCTTGACCAAGGATGACCAGGGTCTCGAAAGATTCCCACTTTCACTACTAGATAGGCGGACCCTGGCCTCTGTATTCAAACGTACGGCATTTATATCAGTTCAGCATGCGGAGATTTGGAGTACTGTGTATGTACATATCCGCTATCCTAGTCTTGAAAGAACAGGCTCTGCCGTGCTTACTGGGGAATTGCTCCGTGTGAAGGAGAATTATGAGGGAGTGCCAACGGGAACCCTAACTCGGGATTTTAATGCATGGACATACGGAACTTAGACCTTCCATAAAAGCCTTGTAGACCCTCAATCTAAATCCATAAAAGTCGAATACATAGTCATAGGAATTTAACATGAAGCTGCGTGGAGCTTCAATGCAAAGCTCATAGAAATTCAATACCATGTCGTAAGAATTCAACATAAAAGTCCATAGAGCTTCAATGCAAATCCATAGAATTTGATTACATAGTCATACGACTTTAACACAAAAGTGGGTGGAACTTGAATACAGAGTTGAGAGAAATTGAATATAAGGCAGCCTATAAAGCCCCTCCCACATCCCCTTGAGTCGAGCCAGGAGCCATCGCACCATCGCACCGATTTCATAATCTCATGATATTTGGCGTCTCTGTTCTTCTTTTCCTGGATCAACATTCTAACCATAACACGTACAGACCATATACTGGTACTGTGCGCTTTCCCTCCTCGTTTCCTGGCGAAACACCCTTGTTCTTCTGCGGGGGTCGCCCTATACAGACGGTAGCCCTTGCTCTTCAGTAGCATTTCTGTAACGAAATATGCATGCTGCATGGTTTTATGCTTTGTGTGACTATATCTAATGTCAACAGAGCATAATCCCTAATATCTGATCTACGGATCAATGCTATTGCACCGGGTGTTGTACTTTGGCCTGACGACACCCAAGAACAAGATGATGTCTCACAAAACAAAGTCATGGCTCGCACCCCCTTGAGAGGGACCCCCCGTTCCTGAGGATATTGCAAAAGCAGCCGTATCTTTCATTGAACAAGCGCCTTATATGATAGGCCATGTATCAGCCTTAGATGGGGGCCGTTCTTTACTCTAATGGCGAAGCTCTCCGTTTCCTCAGTTTAAAACGAAGACTTCCTCCCATCATCATCAGTCCTATACCGAGAATATGTCACTCACATGTGTTTCAGGACATAGTGGGAGTTACGGCTTCGCTATCGTTTGTGTATGGCTTCACACTCCATTTGGGGGGCCAATAATAGGGCCACCAATGTTTTGAAAAACAGGGGGAAAATGGTCATTATTAGCACCGGTGCACTGAATATCCAAACTCTTTACTGATTTCGTTGATATTATAAACAGATGTACCTACCAAATGTTTCGACCCATGCCTACCGATTCATATCACTAGATTATTCCCATGTCGTCCAGTGATCCGCTTGAGAGAACCTCTTTTAAAAGTCACCGATGAGTAGAGAGCCTTAGCTAAGAGCGTGAAATTTAAACATAGTCCGGTCGAGGCCATTACCTACAGGACCTCATCTGGACTACCCTTAACTGGGATGTTCATGACCGGATATTAGATTGGTTTATGGTCGGATTTAGAAGTCGTCTATTTGGACAGATATTGGGAAGCTGCTTGTCTATCCAGGTCAGCTGTATTAATCTCTTGGACATTTGTAGTCTATCTGCTACTCGGTGGTCAGCCAATAGTCATTGTTGACGCTGTGTAATTAGGCCTGGCGCCGTTGTTCTTCCTAAACGATTTCTTCCTACAGTCATGTTGATAGATTCAAGCAACTCAAGCAACAGAATAGGAATTCAACCACTTCATCTGCTTCAGATACTCGCCGAACCTGCTGGATTCCTGAAGGTGTCGTTGGTCCAGAGCCATTCTGCGGCCATTGCATTGTCAGCTAAAAGAGGATTGGAAAATAGTATCCCTAAATGGCTCCGGAATGCCTCCTTTGGACAAGCTTAGAAGTGGACTAGGAAGGGTTCTACAGTCTTAACTATTGTAGTCCACTTGTTTGCGGGCTAGTATGGCCTGATAGGGCTCTCCTTTACCCCATCGGGCTCCAATAGCACCAGTTATGTTCAGTGAGTTGTCGCGAGCGATCGTGTAACACATTGGGTCACACTTCTCCAGCCAATCAGGTCCTCCCATATTTCGCACGCTTTGGAGAACAACATGCAAACCTTCCTCCTGGCTACTAGTCAAGCAAACACTAGTCTCGCACCACCAACATTCTAATCGTGGCCACCAATATGAATTCAATATGAAAGGGAGGAGGTCGATATGCGGGCAGAGGTATAACCGTTCGGTAGAATATGGCTGGGTGGTGCAGTTAGGGATCACATGTGGCCTTGGTTCGTAGCTGCTCATACGCACATGATACCATGTCTGAGCTTCTAGCCGCTTGTTCTCGTTGAAAGTGACCGTTAGGGCAAGGTCAGCGGATACTCCCGGGATATTTGGTATTGAACATCCATGTACAAGAGATGGCTGTCCATCTATGAGCATCCGTTGGAAAGCATCACGGATGGGCTGGGAGAGTGTCTCGGTAAGTCCTGTGTGCAACCACCGTTCTAACCGGATTCGGTCGAAAATGGTTAAAGAGAGGCAAGGACACAGATCTATAGCTTTCGCCTCAAGTATGCACTTCCGGCTTAATGGTCGGTGGGGTTGGCTGCCTGGCCAGAACACTGCACGTGGCTGTAACTTTAAGCATTCCGCACAGTAAGCCCAGTAGTCATCTTCGAGCTGAAGCAAAAGTTGAGTCCTTGGAGAAATCGATAGGGGCTCTAATAGATCCTTGGACAGCCTGAATGTTTTACAGGCCAACAGACTGGACCACGCTAACCCTTCATCTTGAAGGGTGGAGCTAAAGAGTCTGTAGAACGGCTTGCAGCTGAGTGCGAGACAGACTTGCGACGGGAGCGGCAGCAGTGGGAAGATTTCGAAGATGATGTCGAGGGGGAGATTGAGAAGCGGTGGGATAAATACGTCCTGTGAATCCTGTTGTGGGGGGCTAATTATGTCTTGTACATCCTGATGCGCTGGTGGATGGCTCGACTTTGACTTTTCTCCAAGCAATCGAAGGAAACCCCGTATCTTTCGAGCGAGGAAAGGGCCCATTGTATTGATACCATTCCTGGGTTTCGAGTGTATTAAACAGCCAGGATGAGAGTAGAGAGAACTCTGACAGGCTCGTAATGATCGACCTACGAAGTACGTCAGGATAAGGAACGAAACGCCGTCAGAGGTTGGAAATATTGGCATCATACGTGCCGTCATTGTGAAGTCATCCACACAGATGTATAGACTTAAGGCCTTCACTAAACAGTCTGCACGAATGAAGCGGTCTAGTCAGTCGAACCTCCTATCCTATCAGTCCCGTGTAGAGTAGGGAGCTCCAGAAGGTTTTTGGAACTGTCTTTTGGCTCTCACTATGTATGTACGAAGAGTATAGATTGCTCCGTGGTTTCAGATCCTTTTGTTAGAAGTACGTTTGTAATGTGTGATATGTCTCGGTATTCAACCTTTTCAATGTACACTGGCTTCTAACCGGACCGCCAGTAAACAACACAACTCTCAACGAACCTATATAAATAAATATCTCCGAGACTTTGAGACTCGTATACTACCCTTACCCTCCCGAAATGCAGGGCTTCAGTAAGTTCATAACCCCCTCAGAATCTCAGATAAAGTCACTCTGAGCAAACAGAAAGGCAATATTCAGACAAGACACATCCTGTGCGGTGGGTGGATTGAGATTCGGACGGATCCAAAATTGAAACTCCGAGGAATACGGCATATATCCAATTTAACCGCTCTAGATGACTTTTATCAAGGGCTTCGACATGACAGCCATAGCTGGTACTGTGCCAAAGAGTATCCCGGTACCTCTTTTCGTCAGTGGTGGTACTGTCGCGCATGGGTGTCCTTGAACATCGAGACTTGTATCATACTCGAGCCCGGCCAAGTGCGGTCTGTTGGTGCTCAAATATGTGGGTATATTATATCGTGCAGGTAGGGGGGTTCTTGAAGCCCCTGAGAAATGCCAGGGCAAGTATACTGTGTGGTAGACAGTTGTGTGAGAATCCAAGACGGACGTCACCATGCTTGAGCGCTTCGCTTTTCTTCGCTACGGCAGGTGTCAGAGGTCGGCGGTACGAGCGGTCCAATAACCGACAACAAGACAGTCAATCGGGCTCAAGGGTGGCTAGGGTCACAAATGATTCTCTCTTCAACCACCAGCTGGGCGCACCGTGACCTCCAGATCCATAAGGATGGCACGTACTCTAGCTTAAAAGGCAGAGATTCAGCGTACTATGTACATTGGGCTACCACAAACCTGATTTCTCTCCGACGATCCACTAGCGTTACTTTTGTCTTTTAAAACGACGACTTTCTCCGATCACCATCAGTCCTGTATGAAGAATACGTAAACTACATCTACTTCAGGCAACCCCACCCTTGATCAGATTACATGGCACCAAGATTCTCGCGAGATGCAGGGTAGGTGCGGAGTCGAGGATGATACTGGACAGAAGAACTTGGATAGTGCACTGTTCACTGAACCCAAAGACCCAATGGACAGTGTGCATAGTGTACTATTCCAAAGCTAACCACCTACCAATCCAGTTCACAACCTTCAACACAAAGAATTACTAAAAAAAACACAGGCAAGGCATCAGGCAATGAAATTCATTGTCTGTATGACAAACTGGCGTAGGCACGGAGTACATAACACAAGTACCCGCCACACCCGCCCATATGCCACGCCCGGTATCCACTTCACTATTTATCTGCACCATGTTTGTCTACCCGATCTGCTAACCAGGTACTACCGAGCGTGTCCAAAATCATCGTGGTAGGGAGGAAACCGTGAACTCGTCTTAGCTTCACCGGAAGGTTACTAGTCATCAGCACTACGTAGAAGTGCGAGTTCGTTGCTGATGGGCCCTCCCCCGGTCAGTGTGGCCCCACCAACCAGGATCACTGGGCAGAGTGGATGTCGTTTGCTTCTTAGTCCCACCTCATCAGCCGAGCTGACTTCCTCTAGGGGCGATCTCCAGGACCCCGAAGAATCCCTTCGATGTCAGAGAGGAAGTCGTTGAGCACCCTGAGATTGCGCTCTTCCTCGAGGGTGGAGGCTGCCTCCCGTGCCCCGACCTCGTTCTCCCTTTCTGCAACGAGGGCCTCCCGCGCGTCCAAGCTGGTCTCCCTCGCTTTCACGCTGGCACTCCATTTGTTCAAGCGGATTTCCCGCTCGTCCAAACGGATTTCCCACGCGTCCACGAGGGCGACCCGCTCTTTCGCTTGGGTGCCCTGTGCTTCCAGGGAGGAACAGAGGTCACGGGCATTGGTCAGCAGTGGCTCCAAGTCCTCGAGGAGGCGAATCATCTGGGTGCCCTGCTCGGCCGCTGATTCAGGATTGACTTTGGCCTTATCCTTGGGCCAGAGGACAGGGACCATGTGCTTGAGCCAATCCTTAGCGGGACTGAGTCCCCCCAAAAGATCGGAGGTGGCAAACGACACCCACCATCGAACGTTAGCCCAGTCCACCATAGTAGATATGAGGGAGTGGGGAAGAAGTGTTTAAAAAGAAAATTAGTTGCTTAGCTTTGGTTGCTGTTTAGACGCTGTTGCGTAAGGATCCCATTAGGATGGAGAGAGAAGAGAGAAAGGCGACTCGGAGACTGAAGTTGGGACATAATAAGAAAGACTCATTCTCCTTCAACGAGGAAGGAACGGTCATCATAATAGAGACTTGACACAGCAGGTACGTTGAGGTACTGAAAACCGTCGACAAGGCAGGAGCGAGTGTGCTCTGGCCGCTACAAGCTTAGGCTATCTTCGAGAGCTTTGAGTATCTGTTTCAGGAGTAAAACATAGATATCAATGTCCTGATTTGAGTCGTATTGAAGTACGTTCATTGTAGTAAGCGCCTGAACAGCCATTCCTTGCTATTCTATCGTCTACACCGTGCACCTTTCCAAAAAGCAGGTAGCTCACATAGATATCAACGGGGAGGTGTCCGCCCATATAGAAATACAGACCTTGGACAAAAACACTCTTACAGGACTAGTAATTAAGATGGATGAAGAAGCTTTCGGATAGGTGCCATGGCGCCATGGAATATAAAGTGCGCAGATGGGATCATAAAGCCTAGTCATAGCGACCTTTTGGTCCCGGTGGGGAACGTGCTTGCCCGAACACGCATTCATACAGTAGGCACGAATTTTCATGTATTATCTAGTAAATGCATTATTATCTTACGGTATTGGAACTGGTACTCAATATACGTTAGGAAAGGGGACTTTCAGGATTTTGGTGGGTATACAGTATTGATTCGAGCCGGTGAAGCAATCAACACAGAAGGGTTAACAAGTTATTCTACCCACAGGTATTAACTAGAGTATCTTCGTTACATCCTAGTACATATGACCTTGAAACAAAGCATCCATTGGCAGGCTTTTTCCCAGACATGTCGTTCATTCATAGATGAGCATGCATGGTTGAAAGCGGAACGGATCAATGCAGCAAAGCATGATTCCCTACTCTGGCTTGGTTATTTTTATACAATAGCAAATGTCCCAAAACAGCTGGTTATCAACTATGTACAAGCATAAGATAATCATTCGCTATCTATTTCAATTATTATGTAAACTCGTAAACAGAGTGTTAAGGAGGAGTCCCCGACATGATTGATATAGTACTAACTGTTCTGCATCAACGACCAATAAGCATCCGGCTTGGCATTAAAGCCCTAACAGAAGGGCGGTGCACAAGTGCGGGACTATAATTTCCATATAAATCTTAGGTACTAGTAGTAGACTAAGGTGAGGCTGAGCATTGCGGTAGCCTAACTATCGAGGCTTAACTAAAGAATGCTCATTGGCCAGTGCGACTAGAATGTAAGCAGAGCACTTACCTGAAATTCGACATTGCCGTTTCTTCACCATAATCCTACTTGCCATCATACAGTCACATCATGTCGCATAAATCACCGCCCCTCTTCCTGCAATTACCGCCTGAACTACGGTTCGAAGTCTACCGGCACTTGTTTGGCATCGCCCCAGATACTCGACTGCGCGTCGGCGAGGCATGCCTGGACAGCGACTTGCCACACAGTACCGAGACCTCGATCCGTCTGTCGAAGGCATTCGAGGTCTACGTACACATACCCTCGACTCCAAATGCGAGCGACTACGCAGAAATGGATGTTAAACACTTCTCAGCAAAGGAGCAATCCAAACAACGTATATACCGCGAACACCGCCATCTATTCCTCGCCATTCTAGCGACTTGCAAGACAATATACGAGGAAGCAATGCCGTTTTTCTACTCGTCAGCATTCTTCGCAGTATCAGGAAATATCGCAAAGGCTACCAACTGGTTATATGACATCGGCTCCCGGAGAAGCAGGCATATCCGGAGACTCAGCTTTCACTTCCGCAGCAAAGCTTTGTCGGAATGTTTCTCGAACCAGAATAATATGCAAATCCTCGCTGAGCAACTGGCATATATGGATCGGTTTGATGTTGTGGAATTGCTGATCACAGACACACGGCTGGAGGAAGAGCTGTTGAGTTTTGCTGAAGCAGAGAGTCAGGGTATCCGACAGTATGCTGTGTCTCGAAGGCCGTGTGAGCCATTGGTACTATATGGTATCGAGCAATTGGAGGCAGTGCCGAGGTTGGGGTGTGTGCGGATTGTGGGCCGTCTTGATAAGTTATTGCTATACGCAGAGGATAAGGAATATTTACAGGCCATTGCAGAAGGGAGGAAGCCGGCTGGGCTTGGAAAGGAAGATTGTCATCGACCAGCGGTAGAGCTTGTGCAGTTATAGGGGGAAGCTAGATCTGTAGAACACCGTATTGCAACCCTTCCTGGGACTTCCGACCCTGGTGTAAGTAGGGAGAAAGAGATGCAGAAGGAGTGGAATAAATCAGATGGACACAAACCTCTCCAGTCTTGACATATCATTCACAAAATCACAAAACGCTTTCATGTTTGTAAACATTCATCACACTTGATAAAGATCTTCAGCAGACTGGGAGATGGGACTACCAAATCGATGAAGTCATATCTGGAAGGAAGAATGGTTGTTGAATGGTAAATATTTTATAATGCAACATGAACAGAACAACTCCGGTTTCGATAGTCACTAGCCACCAGTAATGTTGGTTTCGACGGATTTGCCTCAAGTTTGGTAATGATAGCCTAGTGACGGCCACTACACAGAGGATTCTGTTGAAGCTGCCTAAATAGGTCTAGCGCTGTTGTTCCTGGGGCCATTTCCTCTTCCACAATCATGTTGACAGTCGCCACATCCTGACGCGCGCGGTCAAGATTGATCGACATTCTACAAAGAAGTCTTAGCAAGGGTAAGCTCTTCTGTTGCTCTTACTAATAGCACTTTCGACTCTTTTGCTAACATCATTTGCGAGTCATTAGGGCGTGTGTCAAATGGACCATCAGAGCGAAGCTGACTCAGCTCGTGACTACAGGGAGCTATCGCACGTCCCCATTTCAAGTACTGCGTAGTAGTCGTATCGCCAGCATTGCCAAGAGAACTAGCAGTATTCTCATCGATATGCGTTCTTGGTTTCTGTCGCCTTTGCCCCATGCTATGGTGCCATCGATTCCACTCAGGGCAAGCGGGAGACTTGACGATAGGGTGACAGTGACGGCCTTGTCGGTATCCAAGCCCTTGGCATGGGCCCAAGGCCCGGCATTCTTTGATATAATAGATTTGCCAAGCAGCTTGGCCCTATGCCGAGCATCACCTATGACCCGTTTGGTAGGCACCAAGCTCAAATGAAAAGAATCTTCCGCCCTCTTGCCGTTATTTCATTGCCACACAAAATGCGACAACGCCCGGGAGGGCCAGGGGCATGTCCCCTCCCAGATATTCATAAACGCGCGCAATCTTAACATGATACACATGTGAGCATCAGGATTGAAACTGAATCTACAATCTGCTGCACCAACTGCGGCGACCATGGTTCTTGTGCCGTACCTGAAAAAGATCGCGGGATGGCTGGCACCGCCGCCCCCCAAGTCAGAAGATGGGCGCGATCAATGGCCCTCACGCGCAGCCTTTCTCCTAGCAGCTATGGGTGGTTGCGCAGGACAGGGAAACCTGTTACGGTACCCGTCAGTCGTCTATAACAACTATGGCTTGCAGTGGTTCATTCCGTACTTGTTAGCCGTGTTTCTCATCGCCATCCCTGCCCTCATTCTCGAAATCTCTATCGGTCAGGCCTACCGCGGAGGTAGCGTGATCGCTTTCAATAATATCAACCGACGGCTCAAGGGCGTCGGATTGGGCCCTATCCTGGTCAGCTTTATTGTCACGCAGTACTTCACTGTCAACCTAGCCTGGATTATGAACTATTTTCGCAATTCGTTCTACAGCCCCTTGCCATGGGAGAATCGCATCGAAGAGTTCTATATGGGAGATGTCATTCATAATGTCGATCCGGTGGAGGGCAGCTTGAGTGAAGGAAATAAGAACGTGGTCGCGTTTACCCAATATCCCGGGGTTGCCGTGATCGGAGAGACAGTGGGCTGGAGTGCTTTCATTTGGTTCCTGATTTGGGTATCGATCTTTCGCGGCGTGGGCCTAACGGGGCGCGTGGTCTACTGGACGATGGGTTTGCCAATTGTCACCACCATTATTTTCGTGGGTCGGTCGCTCAGCCTAGAGAACGCCAGCGAAGGTGTGCGCTTGCTCTGGGCGACTTGGCGAAGCTCACAGTTAGCCTCCGGAACAGTTTGGCAGACGGCTGTGGGCCAAGTCTTCTTCTCCACGGGCATTGGGTTCGGCTATTTCACCTCCTATGCCTCGTACAATGCGAAACACTCTAATGCGGTAATGGATGCCATCCTCATCTGTGGCAGCAATGTATTATTCGAAAACTTTGCGGCGTTCGCGGTCTTTGGCGTCGTGGGCTACCTGCGTCGTTGGCCCCAGGAGGGTGAACGGCTGGGTGCCTTCGTGGTCGGCTTTTTGACATTGCCTGAAGCCGTCCTTCACATGCCCGGGTCAAACTTCTGGGCACTTCTGCTTTTCTTTACTCTTGTGGTGCTCGGATTCAGTTCGGCCTTTGTGATGCTGGACGCGGTCACGACCCTCGCTGTCGATTCAGGGCTCAAGGTTTCGCGTCCGATCATTGTAACGACGCTGACTCTGATCTCCTTCCTGTTGTGTCTTCCCTATTGCACCGAGTTTGGGTTCTACCTGCTGGACGGTATCGACCGCTGGGTCAACAATATCGCCTTGATATTTGTGGTGTGGTCCGAGCTGGTCGGCGCCACCACGGTCTACCGTTGGACAGACGTGGTAGGCCAAACAGGGCTACCGGCATTTGTTGTATATAACTTTGGCTATTTCGGTGGACAGATTGTCGGTATCACGGTTGCTCACGGGGCTAACAATCCATCCGCTGGGGCAGGCGCAGGCTTTGGCTTGTACATTGTCTGTGTTGCTGTCGCAGTGGGTATTGCGACGACTCCGCAGGCTGAGGCTGCCAGCTTCTGGAATCGAAACGCAGTCCTCCGTCGGTTCTGGTTTTTAGTATTCTATTCGGTAAGCTAGCACGAGACATACCTGCCTTCTGTCAATGCACTCACTCACGTCGCACTTGAACTCTAGGGCAACCAACTACGACGTGACCTCAACCAAATTATCGGCGGCGGCCGAAACTGGAAGATACCTGTCTTCTGGCCAGTACTACTGCGATATATCAGTGCCCCAGTTCTCGCTATTATCTTCAGTTTTGCCTACCCGGAGTTCCACACGTTGCGGTACGATCCCATGATGATCGCAGGTTTTATCCTGGCTCACCTCTGTCTGCTGGCCATGCTCTTGGGTCTTATCCTACCACGCTACTATGATTGCTTCATCCCACCAAGCCGATATGGTGAGAGCACGCAAGGCACTATTCCAAATGAGCCACGGCCGCAAGATCTCGATCCACCAGCCACAGCTTCCTTTCACGGCACGGAGATTAATGCGCTCCCGGCTGGGTCCACTCTTGGAGACATAAATGTACAGTCCTTAGACTTCAAGTCACATACTAACCCTATGGAAACGAAGTTATGAGTATGACATCTTTAATGTGGGTGTAAAAATAGTGGAGTTAATTGCATTTTACTTTGCTAAGTATGTTGTTTGAGTGGCTCATGAGAAGTATATATTGAATGTAAACCTAGGGTCTAGGATGAGGTTCTCAACAAGAACACTTCGTATTCCTTGACGACATGACCCCAGGTATAAATTGTAATATTAATCAACATACATTGGGCCAAGATACTTACATCTGATTTCTATCTATTTACTTTCATGCGCACACTCTTTTGCCATATCTCGGCCCCGGGCATCGGCTTACATAACATCGCTCGGAGCTCATTCGGAGATAAGCATCATTTCTCACCCGCCTCCAAGTCTTCTGCGATCCCAAAAACATTTACTGGATATATAAGACAAATGGTCGGCCAATCCAAACAAACCAGAAAGCGCCGACGGCCCGCGTACTCCTGTGCCGAGTGCCGCCGTCGTAAGGTCCGATGCGACCGGGCGCAACCTTGCAGCCAGTGTACCAAGCAAGATGTGGCCTTCGCATGTACGTACGAGGAGCATCCTCGGACGGTTCCCAAGCGGCAGCAAAACATGAGACGGCAGCGGACGCCAGAAGAGCTCCCCTCCGTAGATGGCTCATCACACATATCAACCATCCCGAGAGTTATTCGAGGTACTATATCGAAGACACGGGTGTTTGGCCACGGGCATTGGATGAACACCGTTTCTATGGTAGAGTGCTCCTGCTTGTATTGTCATAGTTTCGTATTGTTATACTAACAATCATTGAAGATGGACGAACTCTCTGGTCTCCAGCCGCTCGGGGAGTTTTACGAATCAATGTTCCGAGCGGAAAATCATAGCCATCATGACAAGATCTCAAAGACGATCCTCGAATGTAAACAGCTCGCTCGGGAGTTTAAGAGGAAACGTCCAAGTAGATGGTGTCTCCCAGCTGACCTCCATCGGTCCTTTCCTCACCCGCACGTAATGAATGAACTGATTGAGATTTACTTTTCTACCTTTGAATCCTGCCACCGTATTCTTCACCTCCCGTCGTTCCAGGAGGAGTACAAGAGTTATATCAACTGTCCTGAGACGGCAAGGGGCCCCTTCCTGTTGCAGCTTGCTCTCCTCATGACCTTGGCAGGCGCATTACACGGAGGCGCGAATATCCGCAATGAGATGACGACGAAAGCCTCCACGTGGATTCATATTGCTCAGACATGGCTTTCTGCACCACTGGAGAAGGACCGCTTGACCTTGGATGGCATTCAAATCAATTGCTTATTGCTTCTCGCCCGTCAGGTGACTCGAATAGGATCTGATTTAGTTTGGATCTCGGCGGGCTCGCTGGTAAGGATAGCCATGCAGATGGGCTTACATCAGGATCCCGATTGTCTTGAGGAGATGAGCATAACACAGAAGGAGATTCGACGGAGACTGTGGTACACCATTTTAGAAATAAATGTACAGTCAGCCTTGGATTCGGGCATGGTACCGATGATTACGGGTGCAGACTACAATACGCAGCCGCCATCTGACGACGAGCCACAAGACAACACGCAAGTAACTATTTCGAACCGGATGTCCTTCCAGTCTCTGCTGGCAGAATCATTGCCTCTAAGGTTGCGGGCTACCAGAATTATAAACAGTCTACAGGAGGAACCGTCCTATGATGAGGTTCTAGCCCTTGGAAATGAACTAGCTTCAGCATGCGGCAAGGCTGCCATTGCGATTGAACAGGCTGTCTCCGAGAGCAACGCACATTCGATAGGGTTTGTAACCAGCTTCTGCAATCATCTCCTTCGGCGGTTTCTTTTGTGTCTCCATTACCCATATGCGGTCAAGGCCAAGAGAAGTCCGATGTATTGCTACTCCCAGAAAGCTTGTCTTTCGGCTGCCCAGGACCTAGTAGTACTTCTTGAAGATGATATTTACCGTCGCATCCTCCTCACCGGTGGTGGCATGTTCCGCGATCTCATCACTTGGGGAGCAATGCTTATTTTCCTCGAACTATGTCCGGAACCTGACGCAGACAACTCGATCTTCGCAAGGAGGAGTAATCGCGCTCGCCAAGAACCACTACTGCAAGATGCTCGTCGCGTGGTACAGTATGCAAGAGACAGGATGTGGCATGGGGAAACGAATGTGAAAGTCTACGTGTGCCTTAGTATGATGATGGCCCAAGCTGAGGCTCGTCTTGGCGGTATGCCCGTGAAAGAAGCCATTTCGAAGGCCCTACACGAGAGTCTGAATATATGTCATACTCTTCTAAAGGACATGGCTGCTGATTCTTCCACCGGCACAATGGATCCGGTTCTGGAATCTTGGGCGTCCAGCGGCTTGACCGTGCCTTTATTTGCCGATTTGGATTCCGACTTTGACTTTTTGGTGGACGGACACCTGGATGTGAGCTTCTTAGACAATTTGTTTGACCCACAGTAACTGGTTGTCGTACTATGAACAACCGTCAGAAGTTCGAAACATCAGTGAGAAGTAGTGGTGCTACCTTATTTGCCAATATATAGAGCCTTGAACAGTGCAACGGTCTCGCAGCTATATAATACGAAACAAACTGGCTCAATCAGCTTCGGTTATATTCGCAACATTCTGATGGGGCATAATAATACATCGAGTGGAGAGTATCTACAAAAGTTTTACGTGTAGGCGAAATCTCAACCGGAGGCGCAATCCATTATCCCCTGGTACTCTGGAAGTTTCCAACCCTTCGTATCTTCCCGCAACAACCACTTGGCAAGAAAGTCGAGTCTCAGCAGAGAGGCAATCCAAAAGAGGAGATACACCATCTGAACGCCGATAGGGGACGATGGGAACTTATCCATGTAATTTTCACTGTCCGTCAACCCAGCTTGAATTGTATCGATCAACGGTCTAAGCTGTTCTTCGTACCCAGCCAGAGCAACCGTGATGCTCTTCTTGGAAGCCGGCATCCCCCCTGTGAGTCCCTTGCCACAGTGCTTTCCGATTTCGCCAGCTAGCATATAGGCGCCTGTCATGGCACAGGTGGTACCCATGCCCGTCATAGCGGTCGGGCAGTAGGCTGCATCGCCAACCAGTACAATGCGGCCCTGGGACCAATAGTCCATCTGGACAACTCCCATGCGCTCACAGTAGAAGTCGTCTGCATCAGCCAGGCCGTTGAGGATCTCGTCTGTCTTCCACCCAATTCCGTAGTAAGCCTCTGCCAGCCCTTTCTTTTCGTCTTCGATATCGCCTTTGCTCGCGTTTTTCAGTCGCTCAGAGGAATTCTGGCTACAGACCATATATGCCTGGTACTTGTCAGGATCGGCACGACGAGTCATAATGCCTTTGTTGCCTGGAGCAAAAAATGCAGTCGCATTGTACCCCTCGCCCGGCTGAATAGGGCTTTGGATGGTAAAATACCCAGCATATACCCCGAGCGGATGAACTGGGTCTTTGGCGTTGTCACCCAGTATCATCTTCCGAGTATAAGATCCAGATCCATCTGCCCCTACAACAAGATCGAATTGCTCCCTGCTCCCATCAGAAAGAAGGACCTCGGCGTACTCATCCACCTGCCTGATCTCCTTCACCCACATCCCGAATCGATACTTGACACGGTGCATGGTCAAATCATACAGAAGCTGACACAGATCGCCTCTCATGATCTCAAAGTCGGTAGTGAAGCTCTGTAACCCTTTCCCGGACCGGTTAGCGGGGAAGTATCCCCATCTTCTACCATTGCGATCAACGACCTGTAGGCCTTGCTCCGAGACGGACCGCGCACGGAAGGCTTCCTCCAGGCCCATCCGTCGCATCACTTGAATGCCCGGTCCACGGAGGTCTACCTGTAGCCCACTCGCGCGTATTTTCGGGAATCTCTCGATGACGGTGATTTCGTGGCCGAGCTTTGAGAGCCAGAATGCGAGGGCGTTGCCTGCGATGCCTGCACCGCAGATGAGAACTTTCAGTTGTGGCATGTTGTGTATGGTTTCAATTGAGTTGGTTGGGGAGAGAACGACGATGATTGATGATGATGGTATGGTAAGCTATTGAAAGAATGGAGAAACGGTGTCCCTTATATAGTTATAGCAACCAGTATGCTCCAATTCTTCGGCCGGCGTGGTTCAAGTCTACCTTTGACCACCGATATGGCCGATATGGCCGTTACGCCCGACATACGCGAAGCCGCGTGTCAAGGATCAACAACACTAGCACTGGTGGTGACTGGTTCATGCTGCTCGTACACCCCTTTTCAGGTCCCGGAAAAGTTAGAAAGGCTCCTCGCGCCTCCACGGTTACACCGTTCTTCTTTCACGACGGGTAGACACAACACTGCTCTGAGGCAGAGGATCAAGAATGTATATGGCTTGGTTAAACTCACAACATGGTTAAGAAAGCGTCTCAACCACTGATCTTAGCCATTTTTAGGGTTGTACGAGGTGCCATACCACATATACAGACCTCCCCGCCCGATGCCTCATGTTTTTAATTTTTGAAGCCTCGACCGGATCATTGCAACATTCAACGCGAGCACCTCTATTCCCCAGCCCAAGCATTTCTAGGCTGCAGACAATTGAAACACCATGCCCCACCAACCGGTGCGCCAGTCCGTAAGCTCGTCATAAAACCGATATTCGATACTCTTGAGTCACGCGACAAGTTCTGCCCACACTCTCTTCCAAGAGCAGTATGGAAATGGAGTAGGACTTTGGCCGCGCCGACATTATCTCTCACGACAAACCCGCTCTTGGTCGCTACCGCTGCTGTGTGCACATGTGACGCTGCACCACCGACGTCTCCTCCTGTAAAGACGTTACGAACTTTCCGAGCCTACGAGTGCGGTGGAAGGCATCTAGGCGCAGTGGCGACAGATTGTGTGCTTCAAGGTCCAGGCAAGATGAAGCTTTGTGCAACCGAATACCATTATCTATGGGGAGGAGGTGAAGTCGAAGTTTTATAAAGAGAATAGCGAGGGGAGTATTCAGTCCAGGGCTGAGAGAGGCATTTAAGAGTCAGATTGTTTCATGCATTTTCATCGAGATTAAACTTGGTCGATATCGATATCCAGTCTTCAGCACGTCAGACAATCAAGATATGACAGCACTAATGGAATCCACCCTCGACAGGGATAACCTGCCCATTTATGTACGAAGCATCGTCACTCAGCAAGAAGGCAACCGTATTCGCTATCTCTTCAGGCCTTGCCAGTCTCCTCAACGGCACATTCTTAACGTAATTATCAACAAAAGCTGGAGGTGCTCCAGCAAGCAAGGGGGTATCCGTACCCCCTGGAGCCACACAATTCACCCTCACCCCTTTATCCCCAAAGTCCTTGGCCCATGTCCGGGTGAGCACCAGAACAGCATGCTTGCTTGCACAGTAGGACGCAATCCCCGGGGCTCCAAAAAGAGCGGCAGTGGATCCGATATTTACCAGGCTCCCGATCTCTTCCGGAACTGGTCCTTCCTTTGCCCTGCTGAGAGTGTCTGGGTGCTGCTCCAACACATAGCGCAGGTACGCCGTACCTACATTCCACGTTCCGCCGACGTTAACTGCCATCACTTTGTTGAAGTTCTCGACTGGCTCGAGGATGCTGGAGGGGAGCAAAATGCCCGCACAATTGACCAGGCCGCTAATCACAGGGGATTCTTGTATGATTGATTGGAACGTCTGCGCCACCTTTTCATGCGAGCTGATGTCGATGTTCGGATGAAAGTGAAGTCGCTCGGAGTCGATGGCCGGCATCTGTCCAGCTTTATCAATGGCGTGAACTGTGGCCGATAGCCCGAGGAGCTTTTTGACGACAGCGAGGCCCATTCCCGATGAGCCACCGGTCACTATATACGCTCGGCCAGCGTGCATTTTGTTGTTTTGTATTCCTGTGCGGGATCTAGGGGCGTAATAATATAACAGCGTAGAGATCTGCAAAAGAAAAAATAATGATAAAGGTAAGCAGCTGTTTGTGTTTATCTGCGGGGCAAGCTGAGAGAAGCTTGGTCCGAGCTTATTTTTGCGAAAGGCTTGCTAAAATATACCAGTAGACACAACCTCCGATGTGGGACAACTGGAGGGCCCCTTGCATTATAATGTAGGGATGGAATCCAGGGATGTACTTGTAGATATTATTGAGAATGATTTTAAGGTCATGACGCTTAATTCGGTAGATTCATGTACGTTCCTATCGCCCATTATTCTTGGTTGAGAATTCCCGGTTCAGCTATCTGACATGTCAATACTATCTATTCTCTTTACTACTCGTACTCCATAGTCCTTGCTTCTCTTTCTTTCATCCTTCATTATTGACCCTTTGCTTTTTTGAATACTCCTAACGATAGCCCAAACAGCCACTGTAGGTCTATGCACCCTCAGATAGATGATATGACCACTAATCCCGATATGAACACAAGAGAATCCACATAGGAATCACAAGTATTGCAGAGGTAAACTGACACAATAGACTTGAAAACAACAACAGCTTCTTTGGTCAGGAGTAGCACAGAGAGGTTGCTGTATGCCTGCCCGACGATGAATACGGCACCAACCCGGCCGCATATGTTGCATCTAATATGAGGCGAAGCCTCCGGTTCTTGTGATATTTAGCAACAATTACCCCCGGTGCCTCGATGATCGACCGATCCCGTTGTCCACTGCGGTACTATAGCATCTGGTAGTTATGTGATCAAGGACGCAGAGCAGAGGGACAAGTTGGCCACGCAGTAATCGAAGTCGCAGGCAGAGTGAACACCTTTTCTTCATGGGTAATCCGCGAGATCTGTGATTATGCTAACTCCCATAAAACCAGATGTGGCAGAAATATGCTGCTTCGTTCGCTAGGTTTCTTTTGTCTCGTGTGAGGAGAGCTCAGGACTCGGAGATGAACTCATGATAAAGGCATCTCTGCAACAGACGATACAGAACACTCATCATTGCTCTTAAATGATCGAATATGGATATGTAGTTTAGGACTCCCATGCTCGCACCAAGCACCTGCTACTCGCACAAAAAGAAAGACGAACTGCCTAGGCCAGAGCACAAGATCAATCAGTTCGCTATCGCAGCACCAACACTCGTTATAAGACTCTAGATCGTCCCACCATTGGTTTACCCTCCCTCGACCGGCCCTATTCTTGGCCTCGCACTAATCAGCTTCGCGGCGGATGGGCTGCCCTCCATGTCAAGCGGTTACATTGCCGACTCTTATATCATATATGTATTGGGGGATTGCACATCTTTGTTTGCCTATCAGATGTACAAGCATTATCGCGGCTGTTTAGATCGTATTCTGGGTGGTGCCATTTGTGTCTCTGAAGTTCGGTCAGCGACTCAGAAAATAGCCGATTTGCGAACATTAGCCCCGAGGCCCATGGCCAACAAATGGCTAATTGAATCAGGGCATAAATTGAGCCTATGCTTCTATATTGGGACCAGGGTGAAGCCTGACGGATGTCATTCTGGGCTGGTTTCCAGTATATCGACAATTGAATTTATGACATTTCGCATAAGTGCGGGAGATTTGTTTTGAAAAAATTACCTAACACGCTTTGCTGGGCTAGGAAATTAAGTGCCTCTGGAACGGTTGGTGCCTTGGCAATGCAGCCCCTTAGTCGAAAGGTTCAACCCAGCACAGATCGTAACAATTCAAACCCCTGTTGCTAAAGAATCGGCGCAGGAACTATGCGCTAGGCTTAATATGGTAGACTAACAGGGATAAGCTGCGAGGTTTGCATGGGATGTAGTTAGGTACTATCCTAACCAGGTTAGTCTTGTCAGTCAGAGTGAGCTTGCCGAGGTCACTCAATGAAACAACGCTCTAGAAAAGCAATTTTCAGAGCTGAGGGCTGAAGGCGTACAGGTTTCTATATGTACATCATTGTTGATACAAGATAAGATATTTTACAGGATATTGAAGCATTTCTGTGCTTGTAGACAGGTGTCTTGGATCAATAGGGGTCTACCACTCATGAACGCACAATATATATATATATAGATTGGAAGTAACTACACGTGTATCTTCGCCTCAATAATGAAGAATGAACCGCGCTATACGCGTTACTGGACATTTGTCTCAAATGATGAACAGTTCTGCTCTGCCTCACGTTTAGGTTTATATTAATTTCGATATGCCTTAGGGAATAGTCGAACTCCATTTGCAATTACCTTTACGGTCCTGGGTAACGAACCTAGACCCCTCTTCGTGTTACTGGATTGGCCATAGTACTTGACACAATACTGAAAAAGAATACACCCTCTACTGAGCGTGATACCTTGGAAAAAAAACAAAGAAATTATAATAGAATCAAATAAAACCAAGAACTGACTGAGTTCCATTGTAGTTGTATAGGGAATATGCCCGCCTATCTCGTTCCTTATATTTCCGACATTCTGTACATCACATCAAGATCACCATACTGAAAGGATTACCCCAAGGCCTCTACAGTGGTCAGATTTTTGGTTATGTTAATATGTTTGTCTTATACAAATTCCGAGCTAGACACTTAAGCAAGAGAACAGGAAGGGAGAGTATTGATTTACTATAGAAGGTATTATAGTACTACGTACATACATGGGCAGATAATCAAAATAGCACCTTTAAGAAATACATGATTGCACGTCACTCAATAGAAGCGTCGTCGAAGCTGTTCCAATCGTCTTACCCAACGATGATGCAGTGCCGATATTCGGTCATGTATGATCGTTCATACCATATGCGAGTTAATCATCTTCCAAAGCCTTCAGTTTTTCTTGCAACGCTGTATTCGCCCTCCCGTTATCCTTGGATATCTCGATGCCGATTAGTGTGGTAGCAGCTGTCCATACGGCATAGCTGAAAAATGCCACAACTGTGGATAACTTCGTCACCACGCATAGGGAGCCTTCGCGTTCGGAAGCATCTGCTAGGAACTTTGCGAGGCAGATAAATGCCACCAAGGATACGAAAGACACAAGCCAATATATGGCAAATGTGTATGCCTTAGTGAGGCCTAGATGGCTCTCAGTATGGTCCTTGTAATTCAGGAGATCGGACGTACCTTGCGAAGGGGAGAGGGATCTATAAGCCATATACGCGACGGCTGCGAGGGAGAAGCATGAGGAGAACATCGCAATAGATACTTCCCACGGAACATGGTCGAATGCGGTAAAGTAAGAATGAACGGCTGTAGCAATTGATCAGATTAGCCATATTTCAAAATGATACATCTAGTAGTGCAGTGGTTTACCGGCACACAAGAGTGCGAATGTAGCGACAGCGTATATGGCTTGCGAGACTCTCAAGGAGAAGAATACACCCGGCGGGGCCATGGTAGGATGCGAAGCGGAGCGGTAATCGGTAATAGTTTAAGGGAGATATGTAGGACACATTTAGATCTTGCCATACTGGAAAGGAGAGCATTGACTCTCATATATAACACGGGATAATGGTGGCAAAGTTAGGCTGAACGTTGTGGGCCCTCGCAATCCTTCCTTCCTGCCTAGTGACAAAACAGTCAAGCTTTTTAGTCTGTCGTCTCTATGAAGCTTACCCAGCGTTTGTGCAGATCATTTAAGCTATAGTTGTACTAGTTTAGGCTGCGGGAATATTATGTTCAGGGTTTAACCACGGGGAAAATTGCCTGGAGTTTACTCGGTGAAACACGATTCCTTCAAGCTCTGGAACTTGCAATATTTTTCTTATCAATGGGAATATGTTATTCAATAATGTTGCTGTTAGTGTGTGCCGATTTCCGGACCCTTCCTACTTCCGCGCCGTTAGCCAGCTCTCGTTTGACGTCTGATCTGCTGGCTAAGACGGTCTTGCGCCGTAGGGCGTACTTGGCTCATATAAACAGCACATCAGTTCACCCCTTCTCCACCATTTGACAGTCCTTGGCGGCGATCACTCTAATGGAATAGGGAGATGTCACATACTCCTTTTCGTAAGGCGGTGTTTCTATGTCCATACACGCATGTGGTTTTTCCTTTCTCTGCGCCTTCCCAAACATGTCTCATTCGGCTTCGGGATTAATGATCTTTGTCCCGAGGGTGACATCGAGGCAAAGGCCGCCGGCTAATATGAATGTCTCATCCTGAGAGCGGAGGGCAATGTTGAAAGTCATTTTGGCATGCCACGTGCGCCATCCTGAGCTAGGAAATATTCTCGCTGGGCCCACATACACAGATCAACGCCTGTACATACCACTATTGGGGCCCGGTGTTTGAAGAAACGTTGTTTTTACCCGGTCGTCTCACATTCCTCCACTGCGGGCCGTAGCGTATTATGCTGCAGTAGAGCAATACACCCGGCGTGTTCCCCCGTCTTGGCTCATGCCACAGTGTATACTTATGTAGGGGAACAGTGCATTACTATCTCATCACTGCTCTGCTTCAATCAACAAATGGGCTGGATGTGCACGTTAACATAAATACTCACTGACTATGTATGACCTTTGCTAGATAGGGTGATATGATAATGGAATTCCAGAGACATAGGCATCCACATCAGCTGTGGCTAAGCTTTACCAAGACTACTAGCCTCTACATGATTGATATTGATGTAATCATAATTGTTATCCGTATTCGTTAAATTGCCACCTGTACGAGTATCCGTATATGGTTAGAAGTTGGAGAAAACGGCTCGTAGTATATTCGGTGGATGCAACCACTCCACAGACTTAGTCGAATCGAGGCAATGCTTGGATGTGCCTTCCGCCATATCTTAGCGTTATGCATCTGCGTTGCATACAAAAGTTAATCAGAGTTTCAGATATAGATAGATAATGGTTCATTTCCTTTTGCAGAGTATCGTGTTCGATTTAGGGTAATAGGCCGTCATGGAAGATTTAGGTGGCTCCGTCAAACGCCGGATAAGTATTGTGCCAGTATCATATAAGTAATCATCAGACGTTTACTCCCTCATCAAGTCTAACATTCGATATCCATGGAGTAAATAATTCTCAACGACTAGTATCTTGGCGTATCTAGTACATTGACAAAGATCGGTTAGCATGTAAGGCACTTCGTAACCTCATCGGTTCTCTTGGGGTTGCTATCCATCTTAGTATATTCCTGTATATATCTTGCGTTATGGGAACACGTACGGAGTATAGCCTGTTACTAGACATGATAGTCTACAATGGACCAGGGTCCACTACTCCCGTGGCTAAAGGCAGCATGGTGTGAGGACTCCCACACGGGGCTTTTCAAGCTGCTGGGTCTAGGGAGGTCTGGCGCATACAGGCTATAGTCGCAATTTTGCGACGGATTGAATCCCTACAGTCTACCGATACATCGTATGAGGCAGCCTACCTATAACTCACACCATGGTCAAGATTATTGTAGTATTGCAGCTCAATCGTAGTGTCGGAGTATGGTCCTATCTGTCATCTGACATATATGCCTACGGTGGTAACCAACAGTGGCTATCCGTGCTTGATCACTGACCCATCTGTCTGTAATCACTCGTTAAACGCCCTCCACCGCTACGCTTATGCTCGATCCTTCGGGCAATAGATTAATACGTCCCATTAGCGACGTCTGGCTCTGTCTAAGACAAGCTCGGGATTGACAGAAGCGCGGTGATGCCTTCGACCTTCCTGCGCGGATTAGTATCGTGAGATATTCCTAGCTCCACATAACGAGCCAGCCTTCCGAAGTATCACGGACGAAAGTCCCGATAGCAAAGATTAGGGAAACAGCATGCACTCAAAAAGATATATAAAGGACCGTTTACTCCTTCCTCTGTTGCAGAGAATCAACCAGCGCAGTTCCTCCACTTCCAGACAATCTTCATCACTTGCAAGCTTCCGCTTCCTCGCCAATCTCATCCAATTTTCAAGATGCAGTTCAAGCTTTTCGTTGCCCCTCTCCTTGTCGCCCTGGCCATGGCTGCTCCTTCTTTCGAGGACGGCCATCTCGCCAAGCGTACCTGCGGCACCCTTACCGGCGAGAAGTTGAGGATCTGCCAGGAGGCTTGCAAGGCCCTCTGTGTACGTTGATGGCAGGCAAAAACTCACATCCATTTCACAGACCGCTAATTAATCTACAGAAGGCTGGAACTGCGGGCATTGCCTCGGGTCTCTGTGAGAAGGCTTGTGACCTTGGTGTACGTCTTCTTTTACATGATAATAACCCGTATTTCAGTTGCATTTTACTAATGACTCCTGAATCCAGCCCATGAAGCGTGAGGCGGCTCCCGAGCCTGAGCCTGAGCCCTCTTTTGGACAAAAGGCCTGTGATGTTGCTGTAAGTTAAGCACAGGTTAATCGTAACGATGATGATCTTCTTGATTGCTGATGGTTTCAACATAGTGTGACGTTGCGTGCAATTCTACTGTCCTCGCTCTGGAGCAGAAGAAGTGCATTGAGAAATGCGTAAGTATTATCGGCGTTCGTTTCTCGGTTTCAGCTGTGCTAACCGGATTTAATCACTACAGAAGGCCAAGTGTGACAACTAGACTTTGGGGTACAAATATGCTGGCCTTAGCCTCTGGACAATCTCTGTACTTTGAAATTTGTTACAGTAGATGGGGTGGTAATCGTAGTGGGGGAACATTGGATGCTTGACTAATCTTTATTGTATTCATGCTGTCTGCAAATACTCTCTTAAGAGCATGTAATATGGGTCTATTTTAGTCTATCCTCTCCAGGAGCTTCCATTAATTTCACCTTGTTACTATAGAAACCTTTAGGAAGACTAACTAATCTCACTTTGCGATAGTAGAATGGATTCAAAAGGTCAATGTCACAGGCACGATCACTAATACTAATGTCAAATGATCACTAGGGCGATTTACTGCCAATAAAAAATACGTTATACAAAGAATGACAAGAAGGAGAGAGGCAAGTCACACAGTCACGGTAGTTGCTCTAGTACAAACTGTCAAATATTTTGTAAGCCAGGCCATCGATCTATGGAGAAGGTATATGTATTCGGCCTAGAGTTGTATTGCCATTCATAGTACAATATCTTTCAGCCTCAGTATCTCTAGCATCATTTGGTGATTATCGCGGATCAAAGTAGACTTATGTGCTTTGTGTATAGCCGTTGCCGCTCATAGGGTTCGAGTTTGCAGGCTCTTCGTGACCTTCCTATGTTTGGGGCCATAAGATGGCAGCAATTTCGAGTTAGCCCTTTGTTTCTACCGTCTGGCATTAGGGCTGCCGATTTGTTCAAGTCGATCTCAAATGGGTGGAATGCGAGATTTTCTCAGGACATGAGCTAAAGGCACATCTGTATCTTTCCACCATGGTCTTGGTGTAGGGATAGGAAGGGCTATTGCTACCTAATAGTTCATAAATTGCTTGTGGTCGCTAGCATACGATGGCTCGCTGAATCTGTGAATCGTGACTGACGGATTCATCTATGCTCTGTTGGCGTTCCGCAGAACGGTTGCACGTTGCAGTCAGCGATTGGGAATAATTGATGCTTGGGGTCTATATTCTAGCTATAAGAATCAAACTCCACATAAGGAATGCCATGTCTAGTCAGCCCCGCATGTTCAGGCAGTTGCCCTCTGAGTCTGCCATTGTTAGTAGGGTGCCCATATACTGTTACAGATCTCCAGAGGGTAGGTAATAGAACACCACGTTACATTGAAGTATCTCATATGCATATTGTTCGAGAGCTGAAATTGGAAGCATCACCATATTTAAACAGCCAAGGTGGCCTGTACAGCAAGTACGCAGAGGGACTGTATTGTTAGGATTCAGGAATGAACCATGTCTCTTAAGGGCACAGTCAGCTCCTATGAATGCAGGATGTATATTTATGATGTCTTGTCTTCGGTCAGTAAATCTTGGTAAGCTATTGATGAAGCTTCCGAGGACCGTTCAGAAGAGACGATCCTACACAGAGCGTAACAGGAAACAAATCACGAATGCCACCACGGCCTATAGCTCCGAGCCTATCGATACCCTGAACATCGTTAATACCGAGGTAGAGTCGCGATATAAAGCCGGAACTCGATTCTTGCATTACAGAGGCTAATAGTCCATTGTTTCACGACCAGGCACTGATGGGCGACAACGCAGGAGTGACGTCTATTAAGCGCCGCGATACAGCAACCCTACGAAGATCGACATGTTTACGCTGGATAGCTTTCACTCTAGGATAACATTGGAGGGTGCTTATTACTTTGGCCATTGTAAGGCTCCTATGATGGACGTCTGCAGGACTGTGCTATGACCATATGGCTTATAAGTTTGATTCCCCACGCATATGAAAGCGTTGGACAAAGGGTGGAGACCTCTACGGGTGTAGTTAGTCTATTTTTACCATACATGGAAAAACAGTACTCCGTAGTAGAAGAGATGTTCTTAGTGAAGAGTACAGGCGAAAGCCGTTTTTGATTTTATGCAAAGATACACTATCATTAAATATGATAGTTTACCAGCGCAGGCCGGGAAACAACGCTCCTTGATTTGTACGATATTTATATTCCATCATTAAAGTCCTATGGAGTAGTACTTGTACGGACTATTGTTTCAGCGCCTCCAGATGGTGGGGGTGAGCCTGCGAAATACTTGACCCGCAGCCATCTACTATAAATACTACTGATATTAAAAAATAGGCACTCGTAGACTACATTAAATAAATCATTGCGGAAGACATGATAAATAAGATTATATATATTTTGGGCTAACATGGCTATCATAAGGCTGATTAGTGGTAATGATAGTTGTAGACAACCGGAAAGGATGTAAAGTAGTCGCCGTAGCGAGTCGAATGATATCCCACCTGGGTGGTGTCATATACTCATGCTAGTCCTCCTGGAACTACTAACCGCCCACCTGGTCGATTCTCACCGTCGCTGACTGCCACGTATCATGTATTTGTGGGGGCTGTCATGCAGGACCCTTGTCCTGTCAGGCAAACACATTCTTTCATTTATAGTATGCCCCACTATAGTAACAGCCAAGCGCCGCATCACCCCTCGTTGTTGCCCCTCCGTCTGAAGGGCAGGCTGGGATTTAAATCCCCCTCAGCCCCCGACTTTCTCACTCAAACACATCCCTCTCTCACTGCACATCTTTGAAAACCGTTCCAATCACCATGTCTTTCCACGAAAGCTGCGACCTCATCCGGATCGAAGTCCGCGACGATGGCACCTGGCTTCTTGCCGCTGCTGGAACCCTTGAAGAAGGAGAAACGGCCCCCGCCGAGCTTAGGCTCGACGAGAGGATCGGTAACAGCGACGGTAGGTCCCACATACATAGTCCAAGAACGTTGACATTTTATGAATGATGCTAACACCCAGTCCTTGAATGCACCAGGATGGTTTGCCTTCCCGGGTGAAAACTTCTCAGAAACCGCCCAAGAGATCGAGCTCGACTTCCGTGATGATGGTCCTTGGTTGACGGCTGTGCTGGCCGAGCACGATCAGGAAAACAGAGAGCGCCAGGGGATCAACTTGGCTGAGCACATTGGGAACGACAATGGTCGGCTTGTGTGGGTTTGATTCGGTATTCTCATCCTGACTCTGCTTCTGGATTTGTTATGTGTTTTGATTTGCAGGATGCAAAAACAGCCATGCAGTGGAATGGTAATTGCAATATGCACCTCTACAATCCCAATGGAACAATGTAAACTGTAAATAATGTAAATAATCAACAGGGCAGACATGTAGAACATCACATGATGATGAGCAGTCTTTCCGCCCGGAGATATTCAGGAACCAAGGCGGCCGCCGGACCAATCGCAACCGGGATCAGCGCCACCGCCGTACCCCACTTGAATGTTTGTGCCTGCAGAATCGAGGCCCAAAATGGCGTTTTCTGTCATTTTCTCGGGATGATTTCCCTTCTCCTATCTTTCGAATTTGCTCAGAATCAGCCAGAATGCCCCTCATCACAGGCTTTCCCCTCCCCACATCCCCAAAGCAGCTCGAGTTGCCCGAGGGCACCGACGCCAAGGCGTTTCTCGTGTTTGTGACTTCCGATGACCCTTTAACCGGCCAATCCTGGTGCCCGGATGTCCGTGCTGCTTGGCCAGTTCTTGAAGCCACGTTCTCCGGCGAGAACGCACCGGCCCTGAAAGTGGTTGAGGTTGGACAGAAGCCAGAGTAATTTTTATCTAGTGACGTACACGATTATCTAGGGTACTGACATGGTTCTAGATGGAAGGATCTACAGAATATCTACCGGACTAACTGGAAGGTCCCTTGTATCCCAGCCTTAGTGCGATACGAACGCGTCAATGGCGAGACAGTCGAGACAGGAAAGCTGGTCGAAGGGGAGATTCTCGATAGGAAGAAGCTGGGGGACTTTATCGGAGCGACGCTTTAATCTTTGGGGTTGATGTATATACGAATCCTTTCCTATTGAGAGACATGCCAACAATACCAACTAAACAACTTCCTGCTTTTAAACCAGGAGAGATTTTGGCCACGGAAAGACAACATTGGTAATCGGGCATCCATCAAAAAAGAACAACCCGTTAATCCACCGTTTGATAATCAGCCGTTTGGGGCCATTTCTTGGTGAGTTCAGTAACTCAACCTCTAAAGAGACATGCTTTTCAATGCCGTCTGGACGCGTTTCATCCGAACGGACTGCGGTGAAAATATACTTTTCTTCTCCTGTCCATGGGTGACCTGCCTCTCTAGTGAAAACTCCACGGTACGGATTACCACCGAAGCGGCTATCCTGAGAGATTAACAAGCCAAGCCGAAGGCGATCTGAGCCTCGGTCATCCATTGCCTTGACAATTTCCTCTGCCATGAGGTCCTTGTAGTACTTGGAAAATGTGATGTCCTTGTCTCCCCACCTTTTATCTTCGTCGAGGTATTTCTCAATAGCGCTGGCAATAACCTGATGGTCCCCTGAACCCAAATGTCTAGAGAGCTGTCTCAGACGCATTCTTTGGTAGCTGTTCAATTCATAATCGCGGCCTTCATGTGGTCTCCCCGTTGTCCTAGGGTCGCTGACTATTTTGCCTAAGCGCCAGAGGTGACCAGACGTTAGAATCCCTTCTTCTGAGAACTGGACGTCGGGGAAACGACAACTTTTGATAAAGGTAAGCTTTTGATTAACGTCCGGTGTTTGAAAGGTGCGAAGAGACTGGCCCTTCAAGTAATCGAATATATTACTTCTCGCTGCATCTCGAGAGTTATCCGGGCCATTCATGAGGATTTCCCCGTTCAGTAAGTATAAGAGCAGCATCGCCATGCTCAAACTGCATCTTTTTCGGTCCATTTGTCTGGTATTCAATCGATCATAGTAGCCTAAGCAGTTGGCAATCACTGCCAGACGATCCGACTCAACCGTGATCTTTCGCTTTCCGACATTTGAGAATACCAGTGGAGACATGGACCGCCTTATAGTGCGGTGTCCCTCGTTATCTGGCTCTAGAAGCTGAACATTGTATTTTGCCGCTCGGTCGAGAATTTTCTCGCACCTGGTCTTGTATCGTGGATCCTGTCGATAATCCATACAAAATTCGGTCGCTCGAGAGCGGAGGTCGACTGATTTGATGCAAAGCTCTCCAGCCAAATTCCCAAATAGCCCCTTGTATTTCTTTTTGAATTTGTCTAGGGTGGAAGAATGAGGAATCAAAAGGCACATTTTTGTTGACGAGCAATAGTCTTCCTGGAAAGTCCAACCTCTGTCCCACCATGGATCAGACGTGATATAATCCAAAAGGTTAAGAACGCGGCGGACGCGGCCGTTCTCTTGGTTCCTCGTTGGGCTTTTTCTCTCAAGGATGTATATTAAGTCTTGTAAATGACGTTCTGATTCGATTCGCACCGATAGTAGCGCCACTGGGAAGGCACTATTTGCGTACACGTACTCCATGGATTGTATGGCACGCTGCTGCATCGTTGCGTTCTTTTGGTCAATGCATTCCTGATCGATCCAGAAACCCCGAACAAATCCCTTCGTCTCTTTGAGGTAATTCACATATGCGATGACCCTATCCAGCACCTGATCTCGGACTTGACTAACACCTGCATATCTCCCGTCCCGCGATTGTACCAGATAAGAGCCATGGGAGCTCAGCTGGCTTGGAAGGGCTTGCCAGGTATAAGATACAGCGACATATTTCCTCTCATAGCTTGCATTGACATGTGCTCTCCGGAGCTGTTTCTGTTCATCATTGTCACAAACTATCTCACCATTCCAGCGCCTCTTCCGGCTTTGGCTAGAAGAGTTGACATAAAGGATCTCCAACTTCTTGATCCAAGCAGCATCCCGTTCGTCAAATATCCCGTGGTCTTGAAGGTCAAGCAATGTAGATACGATGGAGGAAGAACTTCGTCTTTGGATGTTTGCGAGAGTGCGGACGTGTCTGCTTGCATTTTTGCGACTCGGTGGTAGTATTTTGCGGATTTTCAGAGCGCCTACTGTTCTTATGTGGTCAGCTGTTGGACTTCAGTACCAGGCGAGGCTGAAATCTGAGGGCTTGCACCTAGGCTGATTCTAAGAGGCTCAGAGTCTCGGACTTGACAAGGATACTATGCATCTCGACCTATCAACTCAGAATAATGCATCATAATCAAGCCACCACTCAATAGGCAATTCCTACTAGCCCGGGAAGGAGGAATCACACAGGTACTCGCTACATACAATTGGTCACTGACAGTCACTGGGCACCTAAGTACTGCGCCGCATTTGACGCCAATCTGCTGCACATCGGCGATGTGGAACTAAATTCATTTGACGAAATAACTAGACATGCATGAAGGTCAGCATTCCACCACAGGATAATAAGTCTCGAATCATAGTTCATCCAGAACTTCCATATTTCAAGTATTTACGAGCTACAACATACGTGGGCGATATCATACCGTTAGGGTAGCCAGCAAGTGAGGGAACTGAGTTACCATCACTGCACTCTGGGATCTATGGGGATTTAGTAGTGGCAGGGAAGCAGGTAGATACTCCTTAAAGATCTGTGTCGACAGTTTGACCTTTCCCAGTTGCCAGATCCGACGGAGAACGTGTTGACTTATGCATAAATCAACACAATGATGACTACCTTCCTAAACCATGTCGATACACAGACAAAGCAGCGATATAATCCGGAACGCTCCTATACATAGCCGCACACAAAAATAATGCAACCACCGGATAGTTTATCCACTCTAACAATGGTTAGCGCATTTCGAGTGCCATGCTAACCACGATATTCACATAGATATAATAAATGTATACTACCGTACAGGGTAGATATCGTTGGAAGATGTGGATCAACATACTTGTTAACGGGAAAGCCCGACTGCTCTCCGAACCACAATAGGCTGCACCATATGAAATGGAACCAAATTTAGAACGTTTAGCTAGTTTACACTTTGCCACAATGCGCGAGGCTCCGGAGATGGTCAACCCTTGTCAGGTGACCCATATTTGGTGCTGCAACATTAGGGCTCTATATTATTGGGGTTGAACCATGGTTCCGACCCAAACCCTCACAGCTGACATCCAACTATGCATTGTTTCCCAGGCTCGAGCTTGCCTCCTGAAGTTTGAATATAGGAAAGTGCGCCTATTAGTAATACGATGTACGCGTCATGATTATTTAACACAGTTCAATGTTGATAGGTTATTAGTCGATACACCCAGCCTTCTGGGCCAGCTTTGCATATATCAAATGCGGGTGACCGTGAAGCCATAGCTCCTTCGCCTTCTCCAAGCTACAAGAGACTCGAATCATCCCGTTAATGTAAGCTTTCTCCTTCATGATCTCTCCATCCATTCCTCTCAGAAGGGAATCAAAATTCGAATTATGCAAACTAATCTTGACTGTTATTTGCTAGTCCAGAGCAACGCACAGACAACCGGAGTGAAGCCAGCGCCACCGATCTAGGAATCACACCAACTAGGCATATGACCCTTTCTTCTCAAGTATCTCTGCAACCCATCAAGCAAATCAAACAGCCATATCCATCAATCCAAAATGGAAGCAAAGAAGAATTTACTCTGCGCCCAATTAGCCGGTCGTGAATCTCCCGCCCCCGAAAGCCAGACCGCTGAACAGCAGGAGCCTTTCTGCTGGGGTAGAATGTCTCGCACATTGCAACAGCAGCGAGAGGTTAAAACCGAGGGGGCTTCTGACACTATCAAGGCCTTTGTGTTGGAAAGTAACCCTATTCATCCACTCGAGGGGCCTCTCATGAGACAATACGCGGGTGATAAATTGAGGCGTATGTCGTCAGATTGACGTCGTCACATGGTGTAATCTTTCTTTCTACGAAAAGAGCTGGTGACTGCTGATACTTATGGGATGATCATTCTGTGATTAAAAGCAATGTGTGGGAAATATTAATTACATGGCATGGCTCAAACATCAACGAATGTGTTGGGAAACTGCTCTACGCTCTACTGAGGGGACGAGTGAAAAATACTGCTGTCGTGCCTGTTATTGCCAGATTCTAGTTCCATGAGGCCGTCAGTGATAATTATTAACGCTGTATTTACTTAAGCCTCTCGACTGGATGCATCAAGGCATGAACATATTTTGAAATGGAGCCGGTATAATGATATAAGCACAATTTGGGGGCCATTTACCGAAACCGCCCACGACCTGTTAAAGTAGGCTCTGTCTTGCTAAAGCTTTCCAAAAATGGGCTTCTTTTTCGATACCATGGATGAAATAGCAACCGGAACATCCCTCGTTTGAACCGCCGCCACGTTGTAAGCTAGTTGGTATTGGAGTCCTGAATGGAGGAGAGGCTTAGCAATCTGTGCCAATGTAAACGCTGGAAGTAGACATGAAAGTACCTTCGGGAACAGTGCGATCTCGGCTGTAATCGAGGAAGTGCTTGATCGTCTGTACCGCAACCGGGCTTTTCCCACTTAAATTCCTCGCAACCCTAAAGGCTTCCTCGACCACGTGCTTCTTCGTTGGGAGAACAGTGCTCACAAACCCAACCCGAAGCGCCTCATCCGCATCGAAGTTTCTACCGGACATCGCCACATCCTTGACCCAGGTGTATGACCCGACGACCTTGGGTAGTCGTGCCAGAATCCCAATGTCAGAGGCAATGCCGATATCGACTTCCTTCACACAGAAAACTGTGTCCTTGGAGCAGATGCGCATATCCGTCGCCGAGCAGACGTCCATGGCCATCCCTAATGCATAGCCATGCATTGCACAGATAACCGCTGGCTCTTCTTGTCAGCGCTGGTCCAGGGGAAATGTAATCGAACTAGGTTATATCAACAGACAAGGAGTTCCTTACGCTTCTCACACTTCTCAATACTCGAGATACACTCCTGGAACTCAACCCCGAATCTCCGAAGCGTGGTGACTGCACGTCGGCCGGGGTCCACAGCCTCTCCTGGCCCAACCATAAACGGTGAATCGTTGCCGGACACCCATCTGAGATCGATACCAACCGAGAATCCCTTCTCCCCAGATCCGGAGAAAACAATCGCACGAACGGATGGGTCCGTGGAGAGACGGTCGAAGACGGTTCGCATTTCACGCCATCCACTGGGATATTTGAGCTTCCCATCCATCGTTACGATTCAGGGGCATATCTTTTGCTTACTCTTCCAAGAAGGCGTTCACTTGGCCTGGCCGATTGATCTCCACGTGGGCGATCCATGGTTCTGGGACAGTGACCTTGAAATATTGATAGTCTTGGTTCGACATGTTGAGAGTGGAATACCCAGGGTAGTGTCTGTGGGGTGGTGAGGATATTATATGGGAAGTTCATTGAATACTTATACGCTTGTTCTGGTTTACCCATGTAAGTGAACCAAGCCAGCGTTCTCGGTTGATGGTATGATGTACGGGGTGAGGGTAAGCAGCGAGCCATAGGAAGTCAGCCTACATGATATGATTACTACTAGCAGTACTTAGATCGGAGAAGTGATGCGCCGCCCGCTGCGGGATTCCCCCACAATTCCCCACTCCACCAGGGTTGAGACGCTATACCAGGGGCAGGTTAGGACAACGTCGCACCTGGTACTCCATATTTCTTCATGATATAGCTGGGCCGTGTCCTGGACCTCGGCTGCTAGACGGATGCTGCTCGTGCTGTTGTGCCCGGTTGTTGTTTATTAATCAGAATCCTGCGGCGCGGAACAATGCCAGGCCAGACAAATCTTACCTCCGAGGCAGGGCGATCATGTCTCTCCACATCCGACCCGGGTTCGGCGGGTCGGGATATCTGCTTTAATGTGGTATAGAAAAGTGTCATTTGTGTTTCCCGGGTGGCTATTTAAACGTCAATGAATAGACCCATTGTATATCCGTTTGTTTACTTCGAAGACATTCTACATGGTCGCATAGCAGACTACACACTTCCTATCCAAGATACGCCATCTAACTCTCTTGTCCTTTGAAGATAACACCCTGCATTCTATATTCATATCAAGTGACAAGACATAATGCCTTTCAGCACAGCGCTCACAAGGGCATTGGGAATCCAAAGTGAGTCGCCCATTAGTATTTCCCTTAACAGTGAGAAGCTAACAGCCCCAGTCCCCGTAGTGCAAGGTGGCATGCACTGGGTAGCTATGCCGAGCTCGCCGCCGCAGTCAGCAATGCAGGAGGACTTGGCCTAGTCAGTACAACTATCTAACCGCAAGGACCGACATGCCAGACTAACATAGCACTACATGTTACTGCTCTCACCCAACCGACCCCGGACGATCTGCGCAAGGAAATCCGGAAATGTCGGTCACTGACGAACAAGCCATTCGGCGTGAACATCACTCTGCTGCCCTCGCTCATGCCCCCGGACTACGGCGCCTACGTGCAGGCCATCATCGACGAAGGGGTCAAAATCGTCGAAACGGCGGGCAATAACCCAGGGCTGGTAATTAAGCCACTCAAGGAGGCTAATATTATCGTGATACATAAATGCACGACCATCCGGCATGCGAAGAATGCTGTCAAACTCGGCGCAGACTTCTTGTCCATTGATGGGTTTGAATGCGGTGGCCATGTTGGGGAGGACGACCTCACGAATTTCATTCTCCTTAGTCGGGCGCGCCAGGCGCTGGGCGTGCCCTTCATTGCCTCTGGGGGCTTCGCGGATGGACATGGCCTGGCTGCTGCGTTGGCGCTCGGGGCGGAGGGTATCAACATGGGGACGCGGTTCATGTGTACAGTGGAAGCACCGATCCATGTCAAGGTGAAAGAGGCGATAGTGGCCGCCCAGGAAACGGATACGGCGTTGGTGATGAGGCGGTGGAAGAATACGACGCGGCTGTATGCGAATAAAGTGGCAAAGGAGGCCCTGAAAGTGGAGACGGAGAGCAAGACCGGGAAGTTTGAGGAGATTGCGTCGCTTGTCAGTGGGAAGCGCGGACAGCAGGTGTTCATACAGGGGGATGTGGACTCTGGTGTAAGTTCCAAATTAACCCGACCCAGGTATGGTACATCCGAGCTAACTGTTGCATAGGTATGGACTGCTGGTCAGGTCATCGGATTGATCCATGACATACCTACGTGTGCTGATCTGTTGGTGCGCATTGAGCGGGAGGCTCTCAGCTCGATGAAGAGGACTGGGTCGATGTGGGTGGATAAAACCTCGTCGAGTAGACTTTAGAATACCTCTTCGGTGTATCGTACTTTATAGATATTAGTGCAAGGATGAATAGATCTGCTGCAAGAAAGGAGGCCTCAGTTGAATACGCCAACACGGCCAATATGTGATATTTTGATTTTCTAGCATCTAGAACTGCCTGCTATTCCATGGACAAGCCGGATTTGTTATAACCGTGAGAGGTAGCGTTGGCTTTCAAATCCCGAGATTAATGCTGGCTAGAGTACTGCAGTTCTTGAGATCTGCTTGGATGAAAGTAGGGTGAATACCTAGATCACAAAGCCTAACGATATGAATCCCATGGCCGCATGATGATGATAAATACTTTGCGACTATGTTGCAAGAAAGATCAGGTGAAAACGTCAGCCTGGCCCTGGAGTGCCAAAAAGGTTTCTTTATCATGCCCGGGAATCACCTGCCCCTTGGTGATCCGTTGGAGGTGCTTAAGACGCTGTGTACTCCTGAACCACGATGGGTGATCTCGAGCCAACCAACCCTGGGGGATCCCATCTCGCCACTGGTCCAAGTCAGTAAAGCGCGAGTGGATCACACAAGCATCACTCACATTCTCAATAACATGACAATGATCACTAATGAAAAAGAACGTTCCCGTGTTGAGCATGTTAATCTGCATACCAATGAGACCATCCGTATGCCCAGGGAGATGGTGCAGTGTGATGCCCTGGCAGAAGTCCATTGTCTGATCATTGAACGTCTTCCAGTTCCTGTATGCCATCAGCCTTCCACCACATCAATCAGCCAGTACAAGAACCATACAAAGACAACTTAAGATAATGTTCCAAGTAAACTCCCACATCCGCCCCTGTAGCAACCGACCAAAACGCATTCGTCAATTCCTTCTCATGCACCCAGACCTCGACATCCGTGCGATGCAAAAACTCATCAAGCCCACCCGCATGGTCCAGGTGCAGATGCCCAATGATAATCTTCTTGATACCGTCAAGTTTATGCCCCGTCGCCTCCACGGCGGCGCGAAGCTCATGCTGAGGCTCGTACTTCACCCGAGCAAAGATATCGGCGATTGCCGGGCCCCACACCGTTGGATAATCCTTTCCGCTCCCGGTCTCCCAGAGGATCAGACCCTCGTGCGGGTGGTCGATTAAAATGCAGTACATGGGCATTTCGCATCGCTCATTGACGAATGACCCGTTTTCGTTGGACTTCACGCTGGTGTTGCCACCTCTGATTACGAAGCCTTTGTCGCATTCGAGCCATCCCACTTCCAGCACGTGGAACTTTGTGCCTGGCGGACAGACGTTGGAAATGGCGTTGGGGACGGCGCCTTGGTCGAGCTGGGCTTGGATTCCGGACATTTTGGCGTCGGTGTCAATGTTGAATGGGTGTTCTCGTCCTATTTGATATATATAGTCAGGGAAAAGAGAACGTTATGTGTGGGATTGCAGGGGGCAAGGATGTTATATGGAGCCAATGGTGTTTCCACGTCTACGCTGAATTGGGACACCCCTGCAGGTCTTTTGTGATGCGCAAAGCAGCGAAGGAGGCCGATCTGCGGGGAAATATGTGGAGTAATGTACGTGTTCGATAGTTCTAGCTCTCGCCCTGCCTGTGGGGACCTATAAAGACCATAGTATAACTGTTGTTGGTAATTCCGTTGGTCCGATTGGGCCTAAACGAGAACAAAGACGCAGCTAGGGCAAATAATTTGGGTCTGTGAAGCGCCTCAATATCCAAGCATTCCCCGTTGATTGGTCGTATAGGACCAGTACTTACCCTAAGTGGCATGTTCGAAGTGACATGCTACCCTGGTCCACAGATTGCCCAGTTAGGTAGTAGACGTTTGTTGGCTAAGGGGCCCCGTCGCTGGTGGACCCTGTTGCTGATAGGTACATCGTACGATAGTCCCAATCGTGTCAGATAAGCAATCTGAACATCGACTGCAAGGATTTATAACACCTGGCTAGGAAAAGTGTCAACCCCGGCTCGGGCCAGAGTCTTGGCACGTCATACCTCAGGGTTCACGTCTTATTGGGTTTAGTCTTTTAGATGTGGTATCCATGTCCATTTGCGGGTTTACAAGGCTTGATTGTACAGCATGCTATAATAGTGACTTGAGCGTGTGTTCAGGGCACATCTTTGCGTTTAATGAACCGGGCTTCTGTGTAATTCAGTAAGCCAAAGCCTGACTCGGATGAATGCAACTAATTTGGGGACTCACGACAGACTCGGTAGCACTTCTTACCCCAATTTGGGGTCTCCAATTCCGCGAAACCCTTCCTGCCTAATGTACCCTCTGACCAGATAACAAATTTATTTGACCCATCCGCTTTGACTTGAATATCAACATAGAAATATTCGCTATTTATCGAGTTGAACGAGTTTCGCGATATCCGGATACACATCATGCCTCCTCTGAGACGTTATGGGAATTGCCATACGACTTTCCTTGATGGTTTCTGGATCCAACAGCGCATAAACAATGTCGTCACATTCCTTGGTCCCAGCAATAACTCGGCCCATCGGATCGGTCACCATGCTATACCCCCAGGCGGGATATGATGAATCTGGATCCCTCGACTGGGAACACAGAATGGTGTAGACTTGGTTGTCCACCGCACGGGCACGACCCAGCAGCTCCCAATGGAGAGGTCCGGTAGTGGTGTTGAATGCCGATGGGTAAATCAGTGCGAATGCGCCCTGTCGAGCGGCAATGGTACTCGGTTCGGCAAATCGCATGTCATAGCAAATTCCGAGGCCGATCTTCCCATAGCCCTCCAAGTTCACAATGGTGATTTGGTTCCCTGCGGAGAGAGTATCTGATTCATGGAACGACATGCCGCCCGGGACGTCGATATCGAATAGGTGCATCTTGCGGTGGAATGCAAGCAGCTCTCCTTGAGGGGAGTATACTGCGCAGGTATTATAAATTTTACCGGACGTGTCGCACTCCGGCACGCTACCACCAATGACGAATATACTACTCTCCTAGGCCATTTGTGCCAATGCGACAAAGCTAGGTGACTCTGAAGGGTTGGGCGATGGCGATAATGGCTCAGCATACTCGCGAAACCTCGCCGTGGAATACGGAGAGTTGAAACATTCCGGAAGAATAATGAGAGAAGCACCTTCGGACGCGGCCTGCAAAACCTTCTGTCTCGCTTTGGCGAGATTCTGGACCTTGTCAGGACCTAAAGAATATTCTGTCAACTATACATATTGTAGGGATATGACTAGCAGGAATGTCTTCGCACCGCTTGCTATTTGGATGCAGGCCACTTTGAGTGGCTTCCGGAGTAAATCACTGTCAATCTGCGACATGGTGGTAGTGGGCTGTTCGTCAAGCACGGGAGGATTGGTGGTTTTATTTTAGGGATAATCACTAAATGTCCTGCAGAGTGTTTTGGAGTCCTTCTCTCACATATTACCTAGTCGGGTCTTACTGGTGGTTTGAGGCCCTACTCCAATCTGTTGGGGGCATCCTGTTGGAGTCTGGAGACCCTACTCCAAAATTTGCGGAACCAACATGTGCTCCATCCCCAATTTCCCGATGGGGTGCGCAGGAACGAGCATGAGTCTCGAATGATAGGCAGGGCTATTTTTAACTGACAACAAGTGAGGTCCGCATAAACAGTGTGTAGACAGGGTAGCGACGAAGGGAGTTAGTTTGTCGCGGCACAGATATTTCGGACATTATCTCAAGCCACATAGAGAACTAATGAACCCGTTTCTAATGGCAGCAAACCACACAACCGCCGAGAAATCCCCCTTATCCCCGACCTTTACACCTGTCTGCAGCGCACCGAAGATACAATCGATGTTATCCACTGTTCACAGCCCATAGATTCCCTCCAGGCCAGTGTTTCGGGAGCCTTTGATCACCTCGCCTCAACACCCCGGGACAAACCCGCCCCGGAAGCAATGTGCAATCCGTGGGGGAATCAGTGCTGGGGAATGAAGAGAAGTTTGAAATCACTGTAGTGGTCAAGTAGCCAAGGCCTTCCATGTAAATCGAGAGTAACTTGGCTTACTTCTGCCTGCATATAATCCAAACGTTATTGAGTCATTTCAGCTACGTGGTATAACGTTATTCATATATGTGTCAGTCTAAAAGAAGGCACAATATATTGAGAATTACAGGAACAGTGCCTTGGGAGACAAGCTATTTCGAATATTGCCCCCTCGAGTAAGGTGGATACCTCTATCAAATACTTCATTTGTGAGTCACTGGAATCTATGATAGCAAATAATTCGAGCATTGTCAAGCCTGTTTGTCAACCTTGCCAAGTATAGTGCTGTTCCATCATTCTATGCGGATTCCAAAGCTGCGACGCACTCAATCTCAACATCAGAGCCGAAGGGCAGCTCCTTCACCGCAACGCATGTGCGTACCTGGTTTAACAGTGTCAATCTAAGTTAAAGGCAATAATAGGAAGTCCAGGACTCACCGGCTTAACGCCATCAGGAATGTTCTTAGCGTAAGCCTCGTTCATAATTTGGAAGTTCGACATATCTGTCAGGAAAATGTTGACTTTGACCTGGGCAGCCATTCAGTATATCAACTAAAATAGAGTGCGAGAACTCAATGATAGCTCACTATATTATCCAAGTTACTGCCTGCGGCTTTGAGAATGGCAGATATGTTACGGAAGATCTGGTCCTGAAGGGGATATTGTCAACAGGCTGAGCGACTCAGGAAAGGCTATGACCACGAAAACTCACCGTACGGTCGGCCACTGTGCCGTCAACAAACTTGCCGGTCGAGGGGTCGATGCCTAGGCTTCCCGATACATAGACCATCCCGTTGCAGATGATGCCCTGTGAAAGGACGGGCATCGGAGCAGGAGCATCTGGAGTGAGGACGGCGACTTTTCCAGGCATTGTTATGGGAAGTCGAAGACAAGTAAGTATCTATCCAGCTAGAGTATGGAAAATGTCGATAGCTGTTAGTTTACCTTGCCTTTTATAGTGAGCCAGCTCGCAGCTTTCAGTCTGAGTTCAGACTGTTGACCACAGCTGACCCGCAAGGATAGACGGGGTATGCCATCTCGCTCGCTCTCGCGCACTCAAACAGGCATCATCGGCAACCCCAATTCACGTTGACCACTGTCTCCAACGATAGATGCAAGCATTCTTTCTTTACTGTGAAGGTTTGGAGATAGCCTCTCCTATGCAGTATATTATGACCGGACATGATTGGCCACACAATATCTGCCTCCCACCCCCACCAACTAACCGCGTTGAGTGCGCGGGAGCGAGCCGACAAAATGATAAGAACTATATCGAACCATAAAATAGCATACCTTGGCAATACAATTAGACTATGTCTCACCAGCCTCTCTCCGCGACCAGATTACTATGGCATCCCAGCAGGAGTTGAGAAATTTTTATGTTGGCAAAGACGTTGGGGGTGTACCCAAGCCTGCCCTCGTTCTCGATGCCGCGATTATCAGAAAGCATTGTCAAAGGATGATTCGCACCGTGAAGGAGTTGGGTGTCGATTTTAGAGCGCATGTCAAGTCTCATAAAGTATGTCTGCTACTTGCACTCTAAGACCTGAACGCTATCTAACTGCTGAAGACCGCCGAGATTGCCAACATGCAAGTTGACGATAAGGATCTGGAGGGAAATTTCATCGCGTCAACCATCCTTGAGATTGAGACACTAGCCCCTCTCCTCAGGAAGCTCAGAGCAGAGCATCGTGCGGTCAATATCCTCTACGGCATCCCATTAGTACCATCGCAGGTGACCCGGTTGGCTAAAGTGGCCCTGGAAGTGGGCGAAGGAAGCACCTCTGTGATGATCGATCATCCAGATCAAGTAGCCTACCTTCCTCAGTTTTTTGCCATCACGAATTTCCCAGTAGGTATCTTTATCAAAGTTGACACGGGTTACCATCGGGCGGGGCTGCCACCTACTGCATTGAACAAGAATGGGCTACTTGAGACGCTCGCGGACGCAGAGAAACTGGGACACGCAAAGCTTCTAGGCATTTACTCTCATAGCAGTCTCAGCTACAGCGGCACAACCCCGAAGGAAACGATGGAACATCTAATCAAAGAAATCGACGGCTGTAAAGAAGCATTACAACATCACCTACAGCTATTCCCCCAGAGACAACTAGTTATTAGTGTTGGGGCAACTCCCCAAGCATTATCGTCGCAAAATCTGCTCCAAAACGGCTACTCAAGCCCCGAGATGGAAGCTTTGAGGGACTTGCTAGCAAATCCCTTTGCAAATGATCTGGATGCGAAGGTGAAGATCGAAATTCATGCTGGGGTATACCCGCTGCTTGATATGCAGCAATTGTCAACAAATACCAGCATTCAGATGCAAGGCCCAGAAGACGAGATTGCTATCTCAGTGCTTGCAGAAGTCTGTAGTGTCTACAACCATGGCGAGAGGCCTCGCCCAGAGGCGCTTCTTGCGGCTGGAACACTGGCTCTCGGAAGGGAACCGTGTCCAAGCTACCCCGGTTGGGGGGTAATATCTTCTTGGCGACAGCCACCTCCAGTCTCATCTGCTCGTCTGATTGTGGAGCGTATCAGCCAAGAGCACTCCATCATTTCTTGGGACAGCGAAAAGGCCGATTCAACCGGCGTTCCCTTATCTGTGGGACAGGTAGTGAAAGCCTATCCAAACCACGCTTGTGTCGCGACCTCATTCTACAATTTTTACTTTGTGGTAGACTCTGACCAGGATCCAGAGGCAGCAAGAGTCGAGGATGTTTGGGTAAGGGCGAGCGGTAGTGATATTACGGAGGCGCTTTTACTTTCACGAGCTCAGTAGCTATGTTTTTTTTTTTTGACAATGCAGAGAAAACAGTCAACCCTGCTGTGATTTCAAAAGCCCAGGTCAACTCGTTACCTTACCAAAGTATGGGGAACGGCCCCTTTGCACATACGTTTCGGAAGTGTGGTCTAATAGAAGTGCCTTGGTACAAGGGGTAGAGCAGCAATACACAATGTAGATGGACTTTAATTTACTCTGTGATATAGAATTTTATACTCGTAATAGAGAATATCATTTCGCACACCTTTGCCCGACAGTCGCTGCATATTCCTGAACGTGGAGAGGAGTAACGCCAGTTTTCTTCTCTTGAGAGATGTAAAGCGATCCCAAGACACGTATACAGGTTCCTAATATGTGGATTGACTCCGAATAACAGCGGATTGGCATCGGGCTGCGTACCATCACCCCGTGTCTCGGGTTTTCGGGGGCTAAGGAACCCGACAGTCCATGAAACGACAGAAAGAGTTAGGTTTCTATAGATACGCAATAAAACACAGCTGCGGGCGCCGCGGGAAGCGATGCATGAAATTATTCCCGCAGAACTCGCAATACCTTCTTCCTCTCTCTATCTCAACATTTCTCCTTGCCGTGAAAGTCTATGCCCCATTGCATCACTTCCCAGCGCAGCAGTGAGCTCCCTATGCGACAGAAAAACGGAGGGCTATAGTGAAAGATCCCAAAGCGCGTGATTGTTACCCTTTCAATGGCTTCCCAGCACACCAACTGCCACACCCACACGAACCAAGCTTTAGGGGATGTTAAGATCAATGAGCTTGAAGATGGCAAAGTCCCCACATCCACAGCTGATCGAAGCCTTGAAGAACTTGGCTACACTCCGGAATTATCCCGCAATCGTTCCACCTGGAATGTAGTGTTCATGTGCTGTATCCTCTCATCTGTACCTTATGGCCTATCGACTACGTTCACGTACCCCTTGGCGGGCGGCGGCCCAGCTAATGTGATCTGGGGCTGGGTAACTGTGTGCCTCATCGTTCTTTGCCTAGCAATATCCCTCGCTGAAATTACCTCTGTTTATCCTACTGCCGGTGGTGTGTACTACCAGACATTTGCGATATGTCCATCCTGGTGTAGACGTATTACCTCCTGGATCTGCGGCTGGGCGTACACTACGGGGCAAGTGATGATCACCTTGTCGGTCAATTTCTCTACTACGCAGTTTTTTGTCGCAAGCTTGAACGTCTTCGAGAAATCTCCTGGGGTTGGTATTACGGATCACTTCCAGGCTTACCACGTGTTCCTGATCTTCTTGGCCATCACGATTGTATGCCATGCTATTCCTGCCCTAGGGAACAAGTGGCTGCCTTTGTTAGAGGTAGCTATTCCCACTCCATACATCCGTCACCTTGCACATATGGCTCTCTAAACTGTCCACTTTGTTGTTTCTATGTCTGACAAATTCCTATCCGCCCGTGAAGCAATTAGCCATCTTCTGGACGATAGCCGGCGTGATTGCAATAGTGGTCTGCATCCTCGTGCTAGCTAAAGAAGGACGACACTCCGCAAATTGGGTCTTCACACACTTCGAGCCACTGGGTGGTTGGCCATCTGGTTGGTCATTCTGCGTAGGGTTATTACAGGCCTCGTGGGCCACGTCGGCTACAGGAATGATTACATCGTAAGTTCTATTCTAGAAGTGTATCGAAAATCATACTCAGAGATCGTGGATAGCATGTGCGAAGAAGTGCGCGAGCCTGCTGTTCAGGTACCCAAAGCCATAGTCGGCGCCATCGTGATCAATTTCATCGCCGGTTTGATACTCCTTATTCCGATCTGCTTCGTCCTGCCCGACCTGAATATATTGGTCGCCTCCGGCCAACCCGTTCCCTTAACACTGAAGTCCGCCACAGGAAGCTCCGTCGGTGCCTTCTGTCTACTTCTCCCATTGATACTGTTGGGTGTTATTTGCGGCGTCGGTTGTGCAACAGCTACAAGCCGATGCACCTGGGCATTCGCACGCGACGGCGCAATTCCCGGCTTCAATTGGTGGAAGATCGTCAACAAGTCCCTAGGCATACCCTTGAACGCCATGATACTGGGTATGGTCGTCGAGATTCTATTGGGGTTAATATCGCTCGGATCCAGTTCGGCCTTCAGCGCTTTCTCTGGTGTCGGGATCATTTTACTCACGCTCAGCTACGGCTGCCCTGTCGCGGTCTCTTTCATCCTGCGTCGACGCAAGGACATCCGCCATAGCAATTTTCATTTTCGTATCTTGGGCCCTTTCTGCAATGTCGTCACCATCGGTGAGTTTTCTTTACTGTGTAAAGCATCTACATTGACTGATTTATACCCCCCAGCATGGACCATCTTGGCTATTCCATTGTTCTGCATGCCGACCTTCAAGCATGTCACAGTTGATAGCATGAACTATGCCGCTGTGGTCTTTGCAGGTGTAGTTGTTACCTCGGCCCTTTGGTATTTGGTCTGGGGGCGGAAGAACTACAGAGGCCCTCCGTGCGACAGTAAGGATCCCGCTATGGTACGCTAGTAGGAGGGAAGAGCGAGCTTGATGGTGTCAGTGTCTATGACCACCACTGCTATTTGTTACTCTCTCTATGCTGGAAAGCCACCTAGACGTACGAATATCTGTAGAGCTGGGATTTATTTTAGGTACTGCAATGTTGGTTGCACGTAGCAAACAATGAAACTATTCCGCGCCTAGGTCCGGTTTTCTTAATTAACCGCATGAAAATCAGATTTAGGTACGTCTCCTTATGTTGTTCGACAGATGTAAACACTTGAGTGTCGCATTAACCCTAGTATGGCTCGAGGCCAACTTACCATGTAGGAGCACGAAGAAGGGAGCTTTGGTTCGCGGGAAACCATGTAGTGCAGTGACTGCGTATGAAGAATAAATATAAGATGACTTTCAGCAGTAACATTGCTTCCAATTGAAGCACGCATTCACGACTAAATCCATACATCCACTGCTCTCCTTTTGCCTATGAAGCCATCGCTATAACTGCAAAGTAATAGGCACCTCCCGTTTCCGGATCATCACCCTAGCGTTCGGATCAGTGCTCAATTCCTGTCCATACTGGAGGTCCTCGCTAGGGCCCTCATATGTGAACTTCCAATCGTACTCCATCAACAGGTAGATTAGCACAGTCTTGATCTCATTACTGGCAAAGAATCGCCCAGGACAAGCGTGCTTGCCATGCCCAAAGGCAAGGTGCTCCGGTGAGGTGGTGACGAACTGCCAACGGTTCTCATCTCCTGGTTGTTGGCGCATATCCAGGAACCGACTTCCGTTAAATGAATGCGGGTCATTGAAGACTTCCAAGTCGTGCATTCTGTCGATTCCGACCATCGTGAAGGCGCCTTCTGGAATCCGGGTGCCATCCGATAGTGAGAGTGCTTTTTCAGCTATGCGATACATTGCGGCTACACGAATCATGCTTAGTGGATTCTACATACGAAAAACATGGACGGGGAACATAATTCTTACCGATATCGCCAAAGTGGTGTCGCTGCGATTCCTTCATTACGCTGTCCATTAACTTCAAGTTATGTAGTGCCTGCTTAGTCCAACCCTTCCCCCCCAGGACTGAGGTGATCTCCTCGCGTAATGACTCAAAGTTCTCCGGGTTGGCACACAGGTCGCTCATAAGCCCTGTTACCATCTCACTCGTCGTATGGATCGCCGCGAAGGAGAGGCTGAGCTGGGCATTTACAACGTCATACTGTCGGCCTCTAGCCGCCTCATCCATCCAACCAATTGTGTCAGCCGTTTTCAATGTGGGTTGACCCTCTTCCTTGGCCAGACGATTAGCCTTGCGCCGTTCTTCAATGATGGGCATGGCAATTCTCCTGGCTTCAGCCTGTCTCCAACGAAGCGTGCGGCATTCCGGGAGAAACCAATGCACAACTGGACGGAGGAGAGGGTTCCATGTTCGTAGTGCTCGTCCCGCAATGAATGCCTCAATGGTATATTCTTTCGTAATGTGCAGCCAGTCTTCATTGGTACACAGCTCCGGTCCAACGAACACTCGAGCAGACACACGTGCAACAAGCTGTAATAGCATTGGCTTGTACGTGATCTCAGTCCACCCTTATCAAGTTGATTAGCTTGACGAAAACCACATATCACACCAGCTTTATCCAGATTCTGGGACTCTCTTACTGTCTGGCTTGCCAAAGAGCTCCTTCACGGCCTGTGATGTCTCGTCCGCCAGCTCTTCCGTAATAAGATCTATCCAATCACCCTCAATTAGCAGCCTCTGACGAACCAGAGAATGAAGTCTTACTCAAGGACTGCGTTAGCCTCCCGCGAACAACCTCAAGGACAATCTGAGACTCTATGCCGTCGGCAAACGGCTTGAACCCAGGATACGAACCGAAAAACTCCTACCTTCTATATTAGACAAACCATATCTAGACCACGTAGGCCGGACCTACCTTCGATATAGCCTTGCAGAAATTTAGGTCAGGATGATTCCGGATTTCGTCTGCGAACCGGTTTGGCATAATAATCTTGGGCCCAGCATCTGTGACGACCTGGAAACAGCCTACGCACTGTTGCTGTGTCAGTTGCAGTACCTATACTTCAGACTGATTTCACATACTGTCTTCAGCCCTCGGTCGAGGATCTCCTTCCCATGTAGGTACCAGTCATCGCGGGCCTTTTCGAAGCCCCTGAGGAACCCTTTTCGTGGATCGATGCCGACTGCGGGGAAACCGGGGTAGAGTTTTGAACTAAAGGTCCAATCGTATATGAGCACCAGGAGGCAAGCTACGAGAAAAAGGTGAAAAATAGAAGAGTTCAAGACTTCTAGGACTAAGCCAACGACCATGGTGGGGGTTTTGATGCTTTGATCTGATTTGGTCGTGCTTATGTTGAAAGTGAGACTGGTCGTATACCTAGATTTTTGGCATCGGGATGTGGTATTTTCTGTATGCTTCTTGGGTACGAATAATCGGAAGGGGATATCCAAAAAATTTTCTGTATGTATTGACTCGGTTCCTCAATATTGTCCGCATCGCGACGGAAAATATATCAGCACTCCTAGTCCCACAGTCGTTCGCCATTTCGGACCCGGAGAAACGGGCGGACTCCGTGGTATCGATCCGGCTTATGAGAAACAAGCAATGTTAATAAGATAGACGACATGACTAGCGCCCTATTTGCTGTTCATAGACGGTTGCGCGACCCGAGAACTCCGCCCCGACGCCACTATCAATGATTTTAGCTCGGCGTAGGTCAAAAGTGGAACGAAGTAAGACCTGCGCTCTCCACCGAAGACAAGGAAATGTTGTCGGTTGTTACTTTTTTTTACTTTTCTTCTTTATTAGCAATATCCCGTAAACGATACACTTGTCCTTTGAAGAGCCGGTGCCCTAAAGGGTATAATAGTTTAAATATATTAGTGAGCCAACCTTGTGTATGAGGCAGGCTGAAACTCCGCTATGATTGTTTAATACATGAAATTCAATCAATATTCTCGTTTGCGAAAATATATCGTATCAATCTATATATAGTTATTGACCACACCAGTAATCACGCCTGCGGTATACAGGGATTACTCGGTGGTATGCCTTCAGGACACTAGGGCCCAGCTAGACACAGAAGACCTAGCCTATACAAGAATATATTAGCGTTAAAGTACCGAGTGGAATAAATTACTTGCGATTTAACTTGCATATAAGCTGTCAGCCTGCGGATCGCCAGCAGTGTGCCACGTAGCGGGGTAATCCACGGCTGAGGCAAGGATCGTGACCAGCGGCTTTTCTATATCAAGGTGTCTCAGTTTCTCCAAGCAAGGGTCTTCTAGTATGTCGTAGGGGAAGAAGTTGTTGATTGATCAAGTGAGGTTCTACTTAGGCAACTAACTAAGGAAAGGGGGCTAGGTCTATTCGGGACCCCGCTATAGACACCCATCATCAAGAGTGGAGAAAAATCAAAAGATGACGGAGACCGCGGAGGCCGATCGTAGATATATACATTGACTATATTTAACCTCTAACGTCCCTGGACCGTTATTCATATGTGCCCCTCACGTCCGAAATATTGTTACGGACGAAATGCAGAAATCGCAAGAAGGGTTCGCGTGGACTGCGAAAGATGGCTTTCAGTATGGTATGTATCTCCGCACAGTCGTAATCATATTTGGCTGAGCGTGAAAGGATTGACCACTGCGGCTGTTGTGCCCTCGACCCCGAAGTCTGACCTATCATCGAGCTATGATGTTATTGTCATTGGTGCCGGCTTTGCTGGGCTAACTGCCGCTCGCGAACTTGCATTCAAAGGAAAAAATGTACTCGTCATTGAAGCTCGAGATCGTATTGGCGGTCGCTGTTGGACTGTGCAAACTGGAAAAGACAGCAAGGTTGAGATTGGTGGCACATGGGTCCACTGGCAACAACCTCACGTATTCAGCGAGTTGCAAAGATATGGACTCGATGACTTTGAGGAAACCGTGGCTTTCCCTGAAAATTGTGAGTCTGCGGCCAAGGAATCGCGATCCCAACCAGCTGTAGTGCAGGATCCCGCTGAAGGACGAGTCATGATGGAGCAGCTCGAAGGACTTATGATGAGGTTCTTTGATGTTGATGGACAGGGGGGGCGCAGTATAATACCGTTCCCATTCAGCACAGCGTCGAGCGTCAGACAGAACCCGGACTACCTTGAACTGGATAGACTCAGCGTCAGAGATCGTGTTGCGCAGCTCGAGGGCTGCACTCAAGAGCAACAGTCTATGCTTAGCGCGCATGCAGCTTCATTCTACGGCATCTCCCCTGAAAAGGCTTCACTTACGGAAGTGCTTCACACACACGCATTATGTAACTTCGATCCTGCGATGATCGAGACAGCCACCATGAAGTACAAGGTTGCAAAGGGCACCACTGCCTTTGCGCTAGCAATCCTCGAAGACTACAAGGGCGACAGGATCTTGAACTCTCCTGTGACATCAATCACTCAGGGAGATGGCGAATTTCCTGTTACTGTCACGCTCAAGAATGGGGAACGGTATTTGTCCAAAACGGTCATCTCGACAGTCCCCATCAATGTAATTTCCTCAATCGTCTTCGACCCCCCGCTCTCCACACTGAGAAAGGAAGCCTTCACCACCGGGGTAACTCCAGCAAGGCAGATAAGCTCCTTGTATGTACATCGACCGAGTTTCAAAACGGATTCAACGTTAGCTGCGAGGGAGGCGATATGCCCTATGCAAGTGGCTTTACAGACGGAAACCATGGCGACCATACCCTTCTCACTTTGCTTGTCCATCCTGATAACGGCCTAGACCACTCCGATGAGACTATCCGTCTTGTTGAAAGTCTTCGTCCGGCGGGCATTCAAGTTGAATCTGCCTATGCCCATCTCTGGTCAGATGACCCCTACGCTGGCGGAGTAATGCCAGTTCGAGGACCTGGATTTTTGCAAAAGTATAATCATGAGATACGAAAGCCACATGAGAATGTGTATTTCTGTGGATCGGACTTTGCGGATGGCTGGCGCGGGTTCATTTCGGGCGCCTTCGAGGACGCCTACCGTGTCACTAGAGAGATCTTAACACAAAACTAGTACTGAGAATCATTATCAATTTAGCCGTAGCCTATCGAATGTAAAAGCTGTTTTCCCGGCGTCTTTTAGCGAGTTCTCCAGCGAACCTTCCCTAGAACAAGATCAACCAAAGCGCCGAGTCTACAGAAGGAGATATACAGTCACTTATGATCTCGCAGTTCTGGTGGCTAGACCAGAGCAGTCTAAAAATACAAAATTTCAACTTAAATTAAGCGAGCAGATTAGTATATTAAGTTTAACCCCGACTCAGCTACTCCTGTCTCTGCTTACCTACAATGAGGCTCTCATGTGCACGTTTTACGTTGCGGTTGCTATGGCCAGCTTGTCAGTCTTTGGTGCTATTTTCATGCGCTGGTTGCCCTTGAAGTCTGAGGATAAAGGTGATGGCAATGGCGATGCAGAAAATATATCTGAGGATCGAGAAAAAGTGCCTGATATTGTGAAGTGTGAAGGCGGGATCCCATAGTGAGTCTAAGGGGTGTGTAAGGAGAACCACCGATTGTCTGATATGACGGGGTACGTGGCCGTCAACGATGTCGAATCCCCGCAAGGCCCGCAGCAAGACTACGGGTAATATCTGTTTCTGCACTCCTAGTGACAACAGTCTCGAACACTGCTAAAGCATATAGGGAAACATCTGAGATACCGGATAAACATAACTTTTCCTAGAGAAATCGAACCTTATTCGCAATACTGTAAAGCCTGACACGCTTCATACCTATTAATTCATTTCTTCCTTACCGATACAGCAAGATTTGAAATGCTTTCGGAAAACTGACCAGGATGTATATATATATTTGCGCTGCTGGTTGAGTACTACTCAATCTGTCTAGATAGTTTACTTTACATTAAATGCAAGATACAATAATTGGATATATTATTCTACTTCTCTTCATATATGTTAATCCTTACCTCAGGGGGATCAGCAGTTTGTCTTCAATTTAGCGGTGGACTCTGGATGCTCTGGATCCATCTCTTTATAGTAACGGAGGACTAGTGGCAGCTAGTACACTTATGGGTTCACCTTCTATTTTAGTTGATTTAATACTCGTCAGAGAGTCATCCATGTGAAGCAGATGGATGAGAAAACTCTTGGTTTTTCCATCGTTCTGGGGTATATATCTGATCAGCAGTTTCAATGCAGGTCAGTCACGCGATCGCGGAAACCCTGGCACCCGCGGGATATACTCCAAACGAGCTCAATCCTCTGGCAATTTAGTTCCCTCATCACTACCGCACTGTTATTGCGCAGCGGAGCGAAGCGTAGCAAGCAATATAGGAGACTGCTCAATCGGATCTGTGTTTTGATTGGTCCACAGTTCTGGATTCTGATTGGACAGAAATTCACCAGTGACATTATTCCTGTTTTATCTTATATAATTATCTCAAGCCAATTTCTAGAGCTTCTGAATCGCCTAGATTTCTCGAGTGTTTGAACAGCCTATGTAGCCTAGATTTCTCAGACTTTTAAACGCAGTGCAATGACTAGATTTGTCAGACTTTTAAACGCGGTGTAATAATTAGATTTCTCAGGCTTTTAAACAGTCTGCGTGGCCTAGATTTCTCAGGCTTTTCAACGCGGTGCAATAACTAGATTTGTCAGACTTTTGAATACAATATAATAACTAAATTTCTCAGGCTTTTGAACATCCTACATAGTCTAGATTTCTCGGACTTTTCAATACAGTACAATATCTAGATTTCTCAGACTTTTAAATGTGGTGTAATATCTAGATTTATTGAGCTTTTGAATCGTCTGCGTGGCATAGAATAGATAATCTAGATAGGTAATCCAGACAGTATAGTATAATCTATTTAAATACTCTTAATAATCTAGATAATATAATAAAAGATTATGTGATTCTTTCGCTGCGCAAGTATTCTGCCAGTTCCTTGAGCTGGCAGCCTCTAGTATAACTGTGCGAATGTAGTTGATTGCCATTGTGGTTGTAGGCCCTATCCGCTTTATCACATGTAGCAACTGGGACATGGTTCTAAAAGATCAAATCCTAGGATCATATAGAGCGACGCGGACTGTCCGTTGGCAGAATGGTTGCCAGTGCTTGACTTACTATCGAGTAATGGGGGTTGATTGTGAAGCGTATTGCGGGCATCGTTGGAGAGGTATTAGTGCAATTTCCGGCGGGTTGTGGCGATTGGATTGTCTGCACGAAAGCGGTCAGGTCTTGGTGATTTACCTTTTAACGTGGTAAGGCCAGAGAATGCAGCAACACCACAAGATTGTGCGGTAGACAAGCAAAAGCAAGTGGCCAAACCTTGACGATAAGGATTAGTCCAATAATCCTAATACTAACGACACCGAGAAAACGACCAGGAATGGAAGTGGGAAAATATACGTCGCAGAGGAATGTACGTTTCTGACACCGTCTGAAACCAATTATTGTTTTACAATATAACCTATTCAAGAAAGGGAAAAACGACTAGGTAGTGACGTCACCTGCCCGGATTACATAAGGAGAGCAGGAAAGAATAACGAAATGCAGGGCAGACGAGGGGAATACTAGTACTCACGGGACTGGAGAAGAGAAGATCCGGAGGTTGCAGGTTCGTGGAGGAGGAGCAAATGGCAGATCGAGAACTACATGGAAGGGAAATGGATTCACATGAAGTTAGGTGATAGTTATATCTTTCTCCAGAACGATTTTTGGGGCGTCACCAATTCGCAAGGCATACTGAATCCGGTATGCTTCGCACGCTGGCCAATGAAAGACAGGCGAGTGGAGCCTGGCAAGTAATGTGATTTCTCTCCTTTGGCCAAGACCTCGACTCTTAGGACTCTGACGGGTCTCGAAGAACGGATCATCGCTAGAACAATCCAGGTGGGTCTTGCAGATCTCTCCATTCTGCTGACACGGAAGAGAGATGCGATTGATTGATTAAAGACAAGACTGCGAACCAGCAACAGAAACCAACCTAATACTCTTCGCGGGGAAATGTTGGGGGGGGAAATATCCACGCCTCGGTTGTACGTTCATTTGGTTCACATGTCGAGCTGTTGACTAGTATTATAGAAGAGATGGAGGCACGCCAAAGGCAAAAGTAATGAACGCCAATTTTTGACCCCTCGCTCTTCAGCACCCCCCGCCTAGAGATGGCTACGATTACACGCAATCCGTTGGACTCGATGAAGTCCACCTGGCGTTCGTGGGACCGGACGCAGTGGAATGCAGCCCACTGGCTTATCGAAGCCCTAAACATACACCATATTGATATTGATAAAGAAGTTCCGGTTCACCAGAAAACGGATAAGGTCCCTTACGCCCCAGAGCTACAATTTCATCGTTGGGTCCTCATCCACGGCAGCATCCCACTCATCATTCACCAACTCTACATCAGCTATGTCGGCCAACCCTCGGCGCTGCTGGTGTTCCTTTTCTACAGCCTGTCTTTGGAATTGATCGCTATCAACGAGGTACATGTGCTGCGCCAAGTCGGGCATAAGATTGGATTCTTCGACGGCGACAAGCATCCTCGCGATGGTGTACCTGATGTTGGAGTACAGAAGACCGTCCAGACACTTCTGTCAGTTATATTTCTACGCCCAATGGCCACTGTGATGTTCTCCTATCGCGCAGATGAAGGCCCCTCCTCGATCCGGTGGTTGTGGCTCATCTTTGAAACCGGCGTCTACGCGGTCGTCCTGGATTTTTGGTATTATCTATTCCACCGCTCCGCACACGAAACAACACGACTATGGCAGTTCCACCGCAGACACCACTTGACAAAACATCCCAATCCTCTTCTGACCGCATACGCGGACCTCGTACAGGAGTTCTTCGATCTTGTCGGTACACCTCTTATCACATACGGCACCATGAAGCTAATGGGATTCCCCATGGGCTTCTACGAGTGGTGGATCTGTCAGCAATATGTCATCTTCACGGAGATCCTCGGTCACAGCGGTCTGCGGATGATTGCCCCCGCGGTGAACCCCTGGACATCGTTTTTAAAGCTGTTCGATATGGAGCTCTTGCTCGAGGACCACGATCTCCACCACCGCAAGGGCTGGAAGAGCAGCTACAATTATGGTAAGCAGACGCGTGTGTGGGACCGCTTGTTCAACACATGCACAACTCGTATAGAGGGGCACCGGGATAACATTGACTATGTCAACACTGCAAAAATCCCGTTGTACTGATTTGGCTCGAAACGCACGCCTGGTCTAAAGAAAAGAAGAGCGGTTATTCTGCCATGGCTTGAGTATATCTGGTTGAGATAGGTTAAGGGTTTTCTCTGAGATTTTGATATGAATAGATTATCTTTCGTCTGATTCTTAGATAGCCACGCTCCTTTACCAAAAGCACTATGTCTTAAGGCCATTCCCGAGCTGAACCATATAAGAATAGAGATCTTTCAATCGGGCCTAGAACCGTTCACACAGGCCTGATATAAATGAACTCTAGTCCTAGTATACCCATGTAGGTTGGGTGCAATACCACACCAGCGGTTATAGTCGTAGTATACAACATATCTTTGCCTTTATATCGATCAAATTAAGCCAACAAAGTCCTTTATTATTGACACTATATCCGTGTACCTTATATATCTCTTAATTAGTTAGAGAGTGATGGATGCTTATCACGATTCACCCAGAAAATCCCAGTCGACAGAAGAGGTATAGCTTGATATACCACTCCTATAGAAGGTAGCCAATTATTGGCAGGGAAAGTAAGGCTGATTCATGCACGGAGCGTTCTTCACGCAATGCAGTGTATATCTGGCATTTGTCTGGGTTCGGCGTTTACAGATGTGCACCGGTGTTGTAGTCCGAAGTAAAGGCAATCTTAGGGTTAAGAGTGGATGTATGACGTAACTACGAAACGGGTAGGTTGCCATTTAGTATATGGATCTGGGCCCTTTATAGTACTTCAAGGATATCAAAGTCTCGGTCGTTATACGGGGTGCCATCTTGGGCGAGCGTTATTCTAAACGCCGAATGCCGAACTCGGTACTCAGGATTTCCCTATATAAATGCATTTAAAAAGGATTACGCCTTTTACCTGACTCTTTCCATAAATGTATTAGAAACATCTTAACCATTTTACTGAATACTTGCACCTGACTATTTTCTCTCGTCATTACAAGAGGCCATATGTAGGCCACTTAGCCTCCTGTTTATCTGTCCTGGTTTCCATGGCGGGTTCGCCGTACCTGCTGAGCCAGGTGCTTTCAACCACACTCCGAGTTTCACCAAGGTAGCTGGAACAAACCAAGCTTATGAACTCGCCATAAACACTGCAAGGGGGATGGCTGTTGTCGGATAGAATGTCTTGTCCGATGATACTGTAGCGGATAGTATTAGAAATGACTGAGGAGGATAAGAAGACTCGGAAGGCGGCTCGTCATATTGGTTGAGGTATGACCGTGGATAGTGGTGGTGGGAGGAAACGATCTATCGCTACGTTCCATTGCTGGCTGTGAGTCGTGACCCTTATTTATACGGTTCTTTTCAGTTTGGCGTTGTTTCTACCGCTATTGAGAATTTCTCGTGGATCGGAAGCCTTGAAATCGTAAAAGATGGCCTATCTCAATGGTTTTTGGATGGTGCACGCAACACATCGAGTTGGAACAAGCGGCGATATGGTTTTCGAAGAACACCAGATTCTCAAGGGTCAGAAAGTAAGAAAGTATGTAAGAAGTGGAAAATCAACCAGCTAACTGAACAATTCTCTTTCAGACACCGTGACGGCGGTGCGCGTCTGGAATGTCTTGCCTATACTCTGTCGCAGCATGATGCGTTGCCAGATGATGTCGTCTTCAATACGTACCAGGAGAGAGAGGACAGATCCACGAGGATTGGTAATTACCAAAGAATATACTTGTAGTCTGCCGTTCTAACCTGTCTATGCCAGAAAACCCCTTCAAAATGCCTGAAACGCCCTTTCCAGACCTGTGCTTGATATACTAGGCATTATGGGAAAAGCTGGATCCTGGGGCAACGGTTTCAAACGTGCCAACAATTGAGGCTGCCATAGGATGTACAAAATAGCTTAGTGTCGACAGAGGCGCAGTCCATGCTTTTGTAACACGAAGCTTGCATTTGGTGGAGTACTTAATATCTTGCGGCCATAGACATACAACTCCCCAGTATGACTTTACAAGACATGGTACATTTGTACTTAGCTAGCAACTGTATGAAAGCCGGAGTATTTTGACCAAAGCTACTGTATTACCTCCGGAGTATGCCACAATATCCATATGTATTTTATTTGCTTTTCATAGGTAGGTGAACAATGATGAGGATATTATCTGGATGTTGATCTACGACTACTGGAGGAGCTGTAGTTCACAAGTATTCAAATTCCCACGAGCAATGTTAACATCATGCGAGGTAAAATGTATCATTGACACTCTGCCTGGGAGGGTAGGTCGAAAGGTTGGCCTTACATAAATGTTTAATTTATGATTTCCTGGATACACCCAGGACACACAAACTCCAGCTCTTTAGCGATATCTTCCCAGCTGTATCTCTGCCATTTTCTCCCTTCTTCATTTTTCACCCAATGAGGTACTATATTCCTAACGTGCCAAACACATCAGTATTGACAAAAGTCCAGTTAGATATCAAGCCTACTCACTCTCCACTTTCACAAGACTGAAGAAAGCGGCCGTGACTCTCTCTACCTGCCACAGCTCCATGAAGGAGTGTGCGGCTACCGTCCTCCGCAGTCCGCCCACACTGAGCAACGAAATTGGCAACGCTTTCTTGCACTTCAGCTGGTGCATTACGTCCTATATCGGTCTTACACAGTCCGGGACAGACTAAGTTCATGACAACACCCGTACGGTCCACAGGGGTCAAGGTTGCCAGATGACGAACCGCGATAGTGAGCATGAGTTTGGTAAGCGGGTATCTAGTGGCTTTTGTCAGCTTCGGACAGAGTAGTAGTGCGTGGGGACGGCAGGAATTACAGCTGCATCATATTCATGTCTTCAGAATGCATCTTGGCCAGTGGTTCATCATGAATATCCCTCCATGCTTCGTGACAATCAAACCCAGTAACACTGGTAACGAAGACCAGGTGAGGCATGGTCCCGTAGCGCTGAGCACTGTCTCTGAGCTTGGGAAAGATAAGCACTCCAAGGAGAAGCGTGCTGAGCACATTAACAGTGACCGGTAAGATATGGCCCTCTGCCTCCAAGCGCTGCGACAATGCCACACCCGCATTCTCAATGACCGCATCAATTCGATCAAGCTCTGTTGTCACCCTCTGTGCAAACGCCTTGACAGAGTCATAACTAGCAAGATCAAGCAACCAAACCTCAGCCACACCAGTCTTTCCAGTGCATGTTTCGATATCGTCTTTGGCTTTCTCGCCGGCGGTAAGATTGCGCACCGCAAGGATTACCTTTCTAGCACCAGCATTAACCAGGTGCCGGGCTGCTTCCAAACCCAGTCCACTGTTGGCGCCGGTCACTACGTAGGTCCTCCCTGCACAAGTCTCGGGCGTGACCAGGAGGGGAAGACCTCGACGTGAGTTGGAATATTGGCAGACATGATTGTAAAATGGCTGAAGGGGGGTGGTGTTCTTTAGGATAGGACAACTATGGGAGGTGAAGATATTGTTGAGTTTCACTCTTGGATTCTCTTCCAATCCCGCAGCTGCTGGAGGATTATATAGCATTGGAACTCCGGCTTTCTAGATTTTTACAGAGCTACTGAATCTATGATCAACAGATTTTGTTTCACACTACAAGTGACTAGCCAGCAATAAGCGCTGACGTATTCTAGACTTTTTGTTTTCTTTTCTTTGGTTTACAGCAACTTGTCCCAGCAAGTAGATCTGCCTCGGGCGAGGACTAATGGGCTTCGCCACGCACTGAGCCGAGAGATAAGAACATGGCTCGATACACACTCCGCTATTGGCTGGTTCACTGTGCCTTCTCGTATGAACGTTCGTTCCTTGGTTCCTTTGAAATGCAAACCTGGCCGGGAATAATTGGGATCCGATACGGAAGCCGGCAATCTACTCCACCGAACAAGTTGGATTTAGCTTATAATAACTCCAACTCCTATTAGATGGTTTTAGCAGGCTCCACCTCGCAGTTACAGCCCGTTATGGTTTAGGCGAAGGATCTCCAAGCCGCATATGAGCTTGGATTATGAGGCCACTATTAATAAGGTCCAAATCAACTAACGACCTAGTGACTCCGCGCTAGATTAGGGTTCAATTAAGCTTGTGGCAACTCACGCCCTCGACCTCCACCAAAACTAGGCTTTGTACACTACCCGTGTAACTCACTTTCTATTAAGTGATACTGCTCTGGCTTAGAAGCTAGTGAACCGATTGAAATACCATAAAAAGCTTCCTTTTCAAAATGGTCAACGCGGGCAAGCGATCAAAGTGTTGTTTCATGTGTCGCCAACGCCGAGTCAAGGTGCGGTAACTCCTCTGAGACGTCCCCTTAACCCCAAAGACTTGTTAGCTAGGTGTAGCTAACTATTTCAATCTAGTGCGATTTACAAAAGCCACACTGTCAGCGTTGTACGGATGGCGGACGTACCTGTCCCGGCTACCCGGAGGCCTGGGACGTCTTGCTTCGCGTGCAGAATGCTTTCGCCGAGAAGAAGGTGCAGCTGCGGGTGGAGAAATGCCTACGAGCGAGAAGATGTGAGCAGGTTGAGAGACGGGCAGTCACCAGTATCCCGCGTGGAGTTCACCTCCCTACCGAGATCCACAGCTGGAACCATTTCTACAGGGATTATGCAGCTGACTCGGGCTTTACGTTCTTCAACCTTCTCCCGAGATTTTATACCGACAGCTCATTCATGTGCTGTCAGGAAGCATTCCATGCCGTTACCTTGGCTAGCTTAGCTCGCCAACGTCACCAGTCCGAATTGATGGTTCGGGCCAGGTGGCACTACGGTAAGGCAATTACGGCGCTTAACTCTGCACTGAACGATCAGGTTATGACTGCTGATGATTCTGTCCTCGTGACTCTACTTACGCTCTCGCTCTTTGAGGTAAGGTATCCAATTCCTCCTGTTTGGTCCTGTGTTATCAGCTGTTATACTCCTCCCTTAATGTATACATTGCCAGTAGAGCTACACAGATGCCCCCCATACTAATCAGATTGGCTAGACGATCGTGCCAGAGTCCCTAGAGACAATGATGTCTGATGTTGACTTCCGCTGCCATATCCATTTCCGCGGAGCATTGCTACTCCTTCGATGGCGTGCTGAGAGGTGCCGGAATTCGGACCTGGATAAGCGCATCTTCGCCTTCTTCTCTTACATTTGTGTACGTATCCATATCTGACCCCATTCATGGCTAAGAAATAACTGACATGGATATTCAGTTCATGGGTATGTTTGTGAATCACGAGTCCGGTGACTCGAAGTGGTCGGCCTTGGAGGAATTCACGACTCCGTGGATGGATAGTCCCCTTCTAGAGCCAATTCTTCATCGGGCGGTACAGTTTAAGAGGCGGGCTCGACTTCGACTCACTGGACTAGAGAATTCCACATCTAAAACGGACACGCTCCTGAAACTAATTAAGGATGGGATTAGCATTAGCTATGATCTCGAAGCCGTAGCCACAAGTATTCGGTGCTCCTCCAGTGCAGGTCAGCAACAGCCAACCGCATTCAATGACCTGATTGAGGTCTCTACCCAAACCACAGAGGCAATTGCGAGGAGTCTATATCGAACCATCAGATATCACATCATGGAGCTGGTCCTGGGCTTGAAAATAGCCCTTGAAGCGGAAGAGAAGGAGCATGTGGGGATTACCGCTCGCCATACCCTCGTCGACCATCAGCGGTTCCCGCATGAAGGGCTTATAGTAATCCTTGAACAAACTTGCGATGATATTTGCGCTGTTCTTGACTTCAGCAGCGCAGCCGGTATGGAAGCGCATGACACAGGAGTAGCTTATCGATCGTTTGGCGTGTTCTTCCCTATGGTAGTTCTCTTATTCTCTTCGTTAGCCGGAGAGGAGAAGAAAGCCTGGCTCCAAGAGAAGCTTCGATTCATCGGTGAGAGGAGCGGACTTGGCCTGGCGACCTACGCCGCTGGTAAAGCCACGTTAATACATAGATTATGATTATTGGCCCAGGGAAAAAAATTCTTATTCATGTATACGACTGCCTAACTTCAATGGGAATCATGTCGATATTCCTTCGCACGAAGCACCTAAAATGGTTTGGTTCCGGACCCACAGCACAATTAACAAAGGGCCGTATATAGTATGGAGATCATGATGAATTCCTCGCACCAAGACCCAGATTTGGTTTGGCAAGCTTGGGTGCAGCAGCCCACATGAGTCCTGTCGGGAGTCGGAGGTTGCACCAGGAGCCGTGGGCATGTACACCAACAACCCTCCTCGCCTAGGGCCGACAGGCGTATGCAATACATATAAAAGGGGCACAGAGACTCCTTATGTGCTTTGTATTCGCAGATCCTCTCTTCAATTCTCCCTGTTCCATCTCCTTAACAACCATACATCGACAGCTTTCCAAAAGCCTTTGTCCTTAGCCACACTGACAACCATGGCACCCACTTGCAATGCGGAGACGAGGGCCAGTGATCTTGTCCGTCACTACAGCCCTCACATCTCCGGCAAAACCATTTTGATCACGGGTGTCTCCCCTGGAAGCCTTGGTGAAAGCTTTGTCAAACAAGTCGCCGTCGCACAGCCGGCCATGTTTATCCTAGCCGGTCGCTCCATCCCCAAGATGCAGCTCCTCATCGACGAGCTGCACAGCACGCACCCACGCATTGAGGTCAAGCCCCTCGAGCTTAACCTACTCTCGTTCAACGACGTCCGCAAAGCAGCCGAGACCCTCAATGCCTGGGCCGACGTGCCTCACATCGACGTCCTGGTCAACAACGCCGGCATCATGGCCGTACCTTACAAACTAACCGAAGATGGATTCGAGAGCCAGTTCCAAACAAACCACCTCAGCCACTTCCTCTTCACGAATCTCATCATGGGGAAGATCCTGGCCTCGCCAGCCCCACGCGTGGTCCTCATCTCCAGTGGCGTGCACCGCGTCGGTCATATCCGCTGGTCGGACTATAACTTCAACGAGGGCAAGACCTACCAGCGGTGGTTGTCGTACGGCCAGTCGAAGACGGCCAATGCCCTGATGGGCCTCGCACTTGCCGAAAGACTCGGGTACCGCGGTCTTCTCGCCTTTCCCATGTGTCCCGGTACCAGTTTCACGAACCTCTCGGCTCACGGGAAGGACGACCTGGTCTCCTTTGCTGCGGATCTGACGGAAATGGATAACGTCTATGGTAATAAGTGGATGTGGGGTATGGCAGAGCTGAAGTTCAAGGACTTGGATCAGGGCGTGGCGACGCATGTTTTTGCTGCGTTCGATACCGGCATTGTGGGAAACAACGGTGCCTTCTTGAGTGATTGCCATGTTGCGGATCCGGATAAGGAGGAGGTCTACTCGTGGGCTACGAGTAAGGCTGATGCAGAGAGGTTGTGGAAGTTGAGTGAGAAGCTTGTTGGTCAGGAGTTTAACTATTGAACAGTGGATGCTGGGTGAGAGCATTTTCTAGCTCCGGGTACAGTGATCACCCAATACTATTGGGTATCATGTCGATGTTCAGGGATCGTGAAGATACCAGATCAAGACTACTAAAACATCTGAAACTCGTGGGATGCGCCAGGACGCGGTATCACACATTTCCATCAAGATAGCATCACTTTGTTAGGTCTATTATCCATGTTAGTCTTGCTACTTACCAGCTTTCGATCTCGGTGGTTGCTTTCGGCAAGATAAATTAAGTATAGATATACATATAACCGACGTCTTGGAGTATCCTACATGCTGTTACTTTTTCCAATACGTAATTTCCAGATACATTGTATTCATAGCTGCCATCCCGGAGGTACCACGCCACCCCCCAGTGCACATGGGAGTGTCGGCCTACAAGGAAAGCGGACTTAACGTTAAACTTCTCATTTCAGTGGAGCTTTGACGGTCATCCTGTCGGCTGTCTATTGTCCTCCGTGTGCTTTGGCAAGAGCAAATATGAACATGTTACGCTAGTGATGATATTCGAATCCAGGATACTAAATGTACTTTCTATAAGACAAATACCCATTGGAGAAATGTTTACGAATTTACCGAATACACTATTATCTGTATCTCGATAGGCTAGAGCCAATATATTGATATCATCAACGGTTCTAGTCACATCAGGTCGCCAGCCAGGGTCTTGTATATGGCCAGCATTATATCAAACATTATGTAGGAGAAACATCCATGCGCATCAAATATCCAGCCCAGGCGGGTGTTAAAACAGAGACAAGAACACCATAAGATACAATATCAACAAGAAACAAAGGGTATAAAGCAGCCTGAATATAGACGGAACAGAAAAACACGATACTCCAACACGTATAGACAGGGAATGAGGGGAAATAGTAGCTCTGCCACCCTGTGAGCTGAATATGAAAGTAATATATAACTGGCACTGCTCATCGGAGCAGGATTTTCAAATCATATCATCATTAATCTGGTGGTTCTCCGCTCTGGGAATCGCCGGCCGCCATCGGGTGTCATTCCGTACGGCCCGTCGAATGAGCTTGGTGGCGGCAGACGGGTTGTTGGGGGTCCAGGTGGGCCAGGTGGGCCAGGACGTGGTGATCTGGGGCGTGCTGCATATCCGGGAGGTGGAGGACGGGGATAGCCGCGCGAGGGTTGACGCACATGGGGTGGCGGTCCCGGCGGATATAATCCCGGGCCTGGACGCTGGAAGCGAGGTGGTGGTGGTGGTAAAGCCGCGGCTCTGCGGGCATCACGCTCACAGTACACCTGGCCATTCCATTCGAAGTATTCCCCTTTCAGTGCAACTTGGCAGGTGCGGCATGTGAGACAGTCTGGATGGAACTTGAAACGATCGGCTGGCCCATGGCCCCGTTGCTCGATTGTCTCCAGATACTGTCCCTCGATGCCTGAGTGGCATGTATGGCACAGCGAGTCATTGCGCTGGTGGTAGTGCTGCGCACAATATGGAAGGTCATCCATGACGTAAAAGTCGGCCGTTTGGAAAGGGGTTTTGCAATCATAGCACACAAAGCATGCCCGGTGATACCGGCCCGTAAGACGGCCATCTGCGGATGAGACAGATTTCCCGACAATCATCTCACCGCAGCCGCGGCAAGGGCCCTTTGGGCGGGGGGCTGCACGGCCAGGCCGTTCAGTGATGGGACTAATCGTTGCGGGGGGCTCCGGCTGATCGTCCTTTGCCGGTTTCTGCATGGGCTTATCACGAAGAAGGGACACACTTCCCATGCTGATGGCGGGATCAGTTGGAGAGTCTGGACTGAAAAGATGTTGCGGCATCCGAGGAGGCTCGAGAGTGTCTGAGCCTGTCATTGACATCATTGTATTCTTGCCATTCTGCTTCTGTAGGTCCTCCACTAAGGTGCCTAGTTCGCCTTGATCGGACGGGTTGCGCTTTGACATACTGATATCTGATCCAATGCTTGAGAAAGAGGTACCGCTTCGTGTATCACTGGGTGATGAATCCGAGGAAGCTGTCGAGCTGTCCACCGCACTATCCGTAGTATCTAGGCCCAACTCCCGAGCAAAATTAGTGATTGAAATACCAGCTTCGCTGATGGCATCCGAATTCTTCCTCGGTGCGGGAGTAAGCCCATCGCCGTCGCCAAGCTCCTGCCCAGGCGGTTGGAGATGAGGGAGACCCGGGCTCCTGTAAGCTTTGTATTCAATACCCTGCATGTCTGCAGGAGAGGTTGACTGCTCCTGGGAAAGGTCAGGAATTTCCGACGGCGTTCCATGGGAACTTGGAGTAGGGCTTCTAAAGAACAGCTCAGCGGACCCGCGGTTACTGCTTAGACGGTCCGAGTTGGTAAGGGATGATGCACGGAGAGCACCTGGCTTATCCTCCTGGTTGTCCGCCTTGTCGCTGGTGCGCTCCATAGACGGATTGAGGTTACCACTGCCATGGCGCTTATGGCTATCCAGGTCAGGTTTGATCTCGCCGTGAGACATACTTGCTTCTGAGAACGTGGTCGCAGTTGAATCACGTAACAGCTTGCTGGGGAATGTAGATGGCACTGGTGGAGCATCCTGTAGAAATTTATACTGATGCGCCAAGCTACCATAGGACGGCCGCCCCATTGACACTGATGTCGATCGTCTGGAATCATAGCGGGAGCTTGCGACAGAAGTTCGGTAACTGCTTTTGCTTTCAGTGGAGTAGCTATATTTGTGAAAGGTTGGGAGCGGCCCTGCAACGTCGTCCTTGGGCAACGGTGGCGGCGGTGCTACCGCTTGCTCGCCTAAAGGTAAGCGAATACTCTGTCCTGTCGTACCCGTATCGCCAGCCGGAATTGGCAGCGCCTTGTACGGGTTGTCAAGAGGCACCATGTGCTTTGATGTTTTTTGAGACATGGACCGTGGAAGGGGAAAGGTCGGGATCTCATCCTGATCTGGAGATCGTGGTTGAGAGGGGAGAGGAGACGTTTGGCTCCGTAGTAACTGGCGAGGTGGGGATTGCTGGCCATCTGGAAACGGGGTAATATTGCCCTTGTTGCTGATCACAGCTTCCAGACGCATAAATGGTCGATCTATTGGGGTTACTCATAGTTCTGGGGATATACTAGTTGTCACTGATGAACGCACTGGCTTTGGAAGGATCAATCGGTGGGGGGATGCCTGATCTCCCTATACTTTTCGATGGACTGTGATGTTTCGGTGGTGGCGGAGGGGGTGTTGAAGATACTATTGAAACGGTCAGTGGCATGAACTGCTGGATCCTCGAGGCGAGATAATACCGGACATAGGTGCGCAGACATGGTCACCCATTGCCGAAATCTCGACATTCATTCCACAATTGGAGCATTTGATGGTGGGCAACAAGCCCATATTCATGGTCGCAGCCATGTTAACCGGTACGAGGGCGTCCCGAGAACCGTTACACGACAATTAAATCATAGAAAAGGGTCGAAGGGACGGTTCTGTGAGTGGATTGTGGATGGTGCGTCTTTGCTGCTCATAACGAGTCGCCGGGTGCTACTACTAGTAGTATTCAACCCCAGGAATCAACACCACACAACACACCAGCTGAAATACAGGGACTAAACTCAGTTAGAAAATCATGGGAGACTTGTTAGTGCTGGCGGAGGGTGGTTTTATGAATAAGAGCGAGAGGATAACGAACGAACTAACAAATGAACCAAACTTAGACAAGAATAGTAGCAATGAGAGTGGAGACGCTACTCTTTTTTTTCTACTTTTTTTTTTCTTTTTCGGCGGCAGAAACTCCTCGTGTGTCTGGCGATCCAAGACGGTTTAGTCGTGTGTCCACTTTAGGAGGTGGGCTGGGCCACGAGTCACGGGATTGGTCACTGACGGCGAGCCCAGGGCAACACGCGTTCTTTGTGACGGAGTATCGACTTTCGATAATACAGCGTACAGATACTATGGATATCAATTTCGACTTAATCTATTGAAATTCTATCTGTTGCTGACGGTCGGCCCCGAACTAACATACAATCAATCAATATTGATCTCAATTTCGTTTTAATATAACGTTACATCCTTCACCTCTCCCTCGCCCCCTTTCCGAGCGGAGTTTTGACCATGTCCAGTCTGACGTGATGCTGCATGTCACCACGCTGACCGTACGAACATATACTTTTGAAACCCCTGAACCAACGCAGATCTTCCTCAGGGGCAACGACCGTGACCCATAACACTACTACGGAGCAGCACACCCTCTTGTCATTGTCATTTGATCGCCCCGTTTCCTTCCTGATCTTGGCTCCTGTGGGAAGTGCACGCGCCCGTCCCAATCATTGTTATTGTTATTGTTGCTGTTGTTGCATTTCTTATTACTATTATTACTTTCATGATGACCATTTTTAAACTTTGCTTTATACCCTTCCCCGATGTCATCATCGAATCCCCTTCCCCTTGCTGGACGACTTCAATCGTGTCCAACTACACCCGGGCGATTCCATAATCCAAATCGTAGGACTCCAGCGTAGAAGATAAGCTACCCAGACCCCATTGGTTGGAGAAAAGTCCGGAGGTTTTTCCAGTAAGGGGCCAGAGTTTGTCGAGGCATTCCCCATGGTGCACAAAACCCCATTCAGACCTGTCATAAGACACAATTCCTCTTCTGAGTCGATGAAAATTCTCCGGCCAACATACTATGGCTTGTCAATTGGAACCCAGGCCGGATAGTGGTTTCTATCTTGGGCGAGACAGACGCCTCCCGGTCGGTCCCCTAGGATCTCCTCATTCTCATCTGTGTAGATCAACGATCCCTGCACCATGGCTCACTCGCTCATCATGATGGAATGATAACCACTCAAACTTCGATAGTCGTTGCCCATTCTTTGAGGCAGACCAAGCCACGCGACAACGAGATGCGAATCATTCAACCTGGGACACACCAGTCTGCCTGTACCATGGATCATGGAGCGGGCCCCCAGCGGTGGGAAACTCTTATCTAATATTTGCAACTTTACACCCGGTGGTCTCACTCTCAAACTTCGATGATTTGCGCCCCGGTTCAGACCCCCAATCTTTGGTCTTCGTTTCAGGCAATGGTGCGGAACGTTGGCTTGAAACGGGGGTAGAGCCCGAAATAGCATCGTGTTTTCTAGAATTAGTATTCGAACAATAGTCGCAACGCTAGTCAAAGAACCATGCAGTGGTGCGCCCGTCAGTCTTCAAAGACAATTCCTCAAAGAGCCAACGTTGACAAACTTGGACAGGTCATCCGAGAGATTTGGATTCGGTGGTCGCTGGGAGAAAGTTCAGCTAGCTTGACTAAGCACTACCGTCGCTGTCCTCGACGTGTCCCTTGCGTCATTGTAGTCTACTCTATTAGAACAAAGCATCATCAATGAGAAAGAATTTGGTACCGAGCACTTTGTGCGAAGAGAAGGTGCGCTGAATAGCAGCCAATCTATCTCGAGCCCTGAGAAGCCCAGAGAACGTCGCTGGGGAAGGATCAGGTTATACCTTTACCCACTTGGAAGGCCGCTCCGCAAACAGCAAATGTGCGGTCGCTGAATCAGGGGTAATATCGCAACCATGGGACGCCGTGCCGAGCTTTCCGCTCACCGCAACGTCAGGGGGATGAGTTGTCCTCAAAATGCAGCGACGGGCGCACTCCATGGATCCCAGGAGTTGAGTTCTTCGTGATTTCGGGCAACTCGCATATTCTCCCCATTTTCTTGGTGATGAATTGTCCTGAACTGAATGACTGGCCCAGTCACTTTTTTCTGGCGAGGCCGCCCTTAGCGGTCCCTGCGGAATGCCCCACCCACAATGGAAAACGCGCAGACCATTCGGTGCCCTGAGTCTCTCCGGCGGAGGAAAATCACATGTCATGGGCAGGAGCATCAAAGAAGAAAGGGCGTTGTCTTTTTCATAGGTATGGCCTATAAACCAACCCATTGGGACTGTCTTTTCTCTTCAACGGTGCGTGTTGGCCAAATTCTAGCCTGAGCGTTGACAGGGATCGGTGGAGTAAACATGACGGACCTGCATCATCAAGCGGTTAGCCGAGCGAACCAAAAAACGTTAGGCAACCATTCCGAGTGGAGAGGAAGTCATGAAATGTGGACACCGAATCGTGGACGACAGCACCACCACAACGTGAGGTCTTGATGCACTAGACCATCCAATGTTGTGCATAACATCCCCAGTATGCGTCCCTACAACATGCATGTTCCTTTGTTCGAGTCTGTAGGGTAGAGACAACTCAATGGCAGGGATCAACGGCCTGGGAGGGATCATGGAGGGGCAGACAATTCATTCCACTCGTCCACTTGTTCGTCCATCAATCTAATCTTGACCGCTTGTTCTTTTTGGTCGCTTAGAAAGTTAAATCGGCAAGGAAGACTGGACTAAGTAGAGCTAATCCTTCTTGGACGTTGGGGAGGGAAAATGCCGGGTGCGGGTGCGGAGGAGGGACGCCCGTGACTCCGGACTCAACTGTCCCGCTCTCTCCCTTAAATACTCTCCCGTGCACATTTCCTCCGCTGGTCTTTCTCCCCATTCACTTCGTAACTCTCTTCGTTTCGTATCAAGCTCACTTTCTCAATTCTTTGAGATCACTGTCTTCCAGGCGTACTCGCCAAAACCGCCAAAATTTTCGGCACACTTCTTAACTCGTAAGTCTCCCCGCAATCATGTCCTCCTAGAGCTCGTCTCTTGGTAGAGAACAAGGAGACATTCTCCTCGCATTGCATAGGTGCTCGAACTAACTCCAATGGCAGGCGTCACCACCCGTTCAACGGCCGGCGCTCATCCTCTCGTGGAGGGACATCGGCCTACGAATTACACACCCATTAAATAATTCACTCAACATCCCACTTTCGCCATCCTAGTCAATTGTCTGCTCTGTGAACGCAATGGCTCCCCACGCTAATTCGGATGTTGCTGCCAATGGCGCCGTGAACGGGTCGGCTGAATCCTCGCCTTTGTTTACCGTCAATTCCCCCAACGTCGAGTACACCGACAATGAGATCAAGAGCAAGTATGCCTACCATACCACCGACATTACTCGTACCGCCGACAACAAGTTGGTTGCTACTCCCAAGGCAACCACCTACCACTTTAAGGTCGACCGCAAAGTGGGCAAAGTTGGTATGATGATGGTCGGTTGGGGTGGTAACAACGGTTCCACTGTGACGGCCGGTATGATTGCCAACCGCCGCGGCCTCCAGTGGGAGACCCGTGAGGGCATGCGTGCTGCCAACTACTATGGATCTGTTGTCATGAGCTCGACCGTCAAGCTGGGAACTGACCCCAAGACCGGTGAGGAAATTAACATTCCCTTCCATGACATGCTGCCAATGGTCCACCCCAATGATCTCGCCATTGGTGGATGGGACATCAGCAGCATGAACATCGCCGATGCCATGGACCGGGCCCAGGTCCTCGAGCCCTCTCTGAAGCAGTTGGTCCGCAAGGAGATGGCCGAGATGAAGCCGTTGCCCAGCATCTACTACCCCGACTTCATTGCTGCCAACCAGGAGGACCGTGCCGACAACGTCCTCGAGGGAACCAAGGCTTGCTGGGCTCACGTGGAGAAGATTCAGCAAGACATCCGGTGAGTTCCTATAACCTGCGCTCACGTTCACTCCGCTAACAGCAACAGGGACTTCAAGGCTCAGCACGGGCTGGACAAGGTGATTGTCATGTGGACTGCCAATACAGAGCGGTACGCCGACATCGTGCCCGGTGTCAATGACACCGCCGACAACCTCCTCAACTCGATCAAGACTGGCCACGAGGAAGTTGCCCCGTCCACCGTCTTCGCGGTCGCCTGTATCTTGGAGAACACTCCTTTCATCAACGGTTCTCCCCAGAACACCTTTGTCCCCGGTGCCCTTGAGCTGGCCGAGAAGCACAAGGCCTTCATCGGCGGAGACGACTTCAAGTCGGGCCAGACCAAGATGAAGTCGGCTCTCGTAGACTTCCTCATCAACGCCGGTATCAAGCTTACCTCCATCGCCAGCTACAACCACCTGGGCAACAACGACGGCAAGAACCTGAGCTCCCAGAAGCAGTTCCGCTCCAAGGAGATCTCCAAGTCCAACGTGGTCGATGACATGGTTGCTGCCAACCACATCCTTTACGAGAAGGATGAGCATCCGGACCACACTGTGGTGATCAAGTACATGCCGGCCGTGGGTGACAACAAGCGTGCTCTGGATGAGTACTACGCTGAGATCTTCATGGGCGGTCACCAGACCATCAGCTTGTTCAACATCTGTGAGGACTCCTTGCTGGCTTCTCCCCTCATCATCGACTTGGTTGTGCTTGCCGAGATGATGACCCGCGTCAGCTGGAAGCCCGATGAGGCAGCCGACTACAAGGGCTTCCACAGCGTGCTCAGTGTGCTGAGCTACATGCTCAAGGCTCCTCTGACACCCCCGGGAACTCCCGTCGTCAACTCTCTCAACAAGCAGCGCAATGCCCTGACCAACATCTTCCGCGCCTGCGTTGGCCTCCAGCCCGAATCGGACATGACCTTGGAGCACAAGCTGTTCTAGGTATCTGATACCGCATTACCACACATTCTCCAACTATAGTCACTCTTTGAATGCAGACTGATTCCGCCATCTTACAAACTCATCCCCTGTAGTCAATTTGTAGATGCATGTATTCTAATTCGTAGTGTTTTAACATCATCACTTTTCCCCTATTGGGTGTCCCCAATGCGCGAATACGCGTTGAGTGCCAACTGCCCACCCAAATGCGCATACAGCACATTCCCCGTAATCTCTCCTTTCTTGATCAAGTCCACCATCCCGGCAAAACTCTTGCCCTCGTAGACCGGATCCGTGATGAACGCCTCCATGCGCGCCGCATACTCAATGGCCTCCCACGTCCCCTTGTCGGGAATGCCGTAAGTGCCCGCATGATAGTCCTCATTCAAAATCACATCGTCCTCGGTGATATCCTCTTCCTTCAATCCAATCTTCACCGCCGTGTTCCTCGCAATCCGCAACACCTGCGCCTTCGTCTCCACTGGCTTCGCCGACCCATCGATGCCAATCACCCTCTTCTTCTTCTCCCCGGGATACAACTTCTCAATCAACTTGAACCCGGCCACCATCCCCGCCATCGTCGACCCCGTAACCGCACAAACCACAACATCATCAAAGACAACCCCCAACTCCCGCTCCTGCTCCCGGACCTCAAATGCCCACCTCGCAAACCCCAATCCACCCAGCGGATGATCCGACGCCCCGGCAGGGATATAATACGGCCGCTCGCCATTCGCCTCACACTCCTCCCTGAGGTTCTTCAGCGTCTCCTTATGCTCAATCCCAAACCCGGCATCCTCCATCTGCACATCCGCCCCCATCAGCCGGCTCAACTGGATATTCCCCACAACATCATACCCGGGATCCTCCCAGTCCACCCAATGCTCCTGGACCAGCCGCGCCTTAAGCCCCAGTCGCGCCGCGACCGCCGCAACCTGTCGCGTGTGGTTGCTTTGCACGCCGCCAATGGAAATCAGCGTCGTGGCGTTCTGGGCCAGTGCCTCGGCGGCCAGGTACTCGAGTTTCCGGGTTTTGTTGCCCCCATAGGCGAGGCCAGAGTTGAGGTCATCACGTTTGGCGTAGATGGTCGCCTTTTGGCCCAGGGAGGAGGTTATTCGGGGAAGGGGGTGGATGGGCGAGGGGCCTAGGGTTAGGGGGGTTCGGGGGATGTCGGCGAAGGGGGGAGGGAGCGGGATGTCAGGCATTTTGGTTGGTTTTCTCTCTTTTGGTGTGTGGTTGATGGCAAGGTCGGTGACACTATAGTCTGTGTTGGTGTAGAGTCTCCAAATGCAGCGAGGAGGAATATATAGAACTGTCGGTAGATGTAGAGATAAGTATCGTCTATTTATATAGCGAGTTGTAGCCGGCCCATAGGACAGGCATGTATACGTACCCCTCCTTCTCCAATTCGGAGTACCTGTCAGGATCGCTCCCGAATCATGGTTGTCTTGCAGCCTGGGCTATAGTCTATCGTGCTAAGTCTGAGGGGAAGCTGTTCGTCCCCGCACATGAGATATCGGAGGTTGTCCGTTATCTTTGCTCCGACGGATCTTCAGCTACGTCTGGGGGACGATAAGATAATTGATTGTCCTGTTGATGTTGATCGGTTAGATACGTTACGTACGAATTTGACTTCTTTCTACTCTTCTTATGTTGGATAAGGCGGTTTTAGTTCTATATATAGGGTATGTGTCACGTCGTGGATGAAAGTTGGTCGTCGGATACCTTGCCGATAGCATGCCTGCCGTGAGGTGGGATGATTTTCCAGCCCTAGATTCCTTCTCGCGCGGTGAACTTGGTAATTGGTATTTAGGGAGATAATAATAAGAGAGTAAATATTTACTGCCATCGCGGTTTCAGTTCTACACAAGATCAAACTGTTAATGTTGTTGCATGCCGATGTTCTCACGTAGTTATATATTTACAATTTCAGAGCACACATATCCGATTCCTATCCCGACCTTTCCACTCAGCAACGATAGTTTGAGAATCTTCAATAATATCCCATCTCTTATATTCAATTGTAACACAAAGGAAGATTAATAATACTCGAATACCGAGGACTTACAATGGTCAAACGAACCGAGGAGGCACTATATCCAGAAGGAAAGCCAAGGGCACTAATCGATACTAAAGAGATAGTCCAAAACACCGCCACCGTTGGACACGTTTACCCCTGTTGACATGAAGAGCACCGTATGATTCAGTAACATTCATCGCCATATCAGTATTGCAAAGAAACGAAACACCATGACCAAAATCCTCCTCACCGGAGCCACCGGCTACATCGGCGGCACCGTCCTCGACCACCTCGTCAAGAGCCCAGCAACAAGCATCAAAGACTTAACCATCGATCTCCTCGTGCGAAGCAATACCGCTGCCGAGAAGCTCAGCCGTACCTATGGAGATCGTGTCAAGCCGATTCTCTGGACAGGATTCACCGACCTGCAATTCGCCGCCGACACAGCCGCCGACTACGACATCATCATCAACGCCGGAACGGGGTTTATCGCAGACGGCACAAAAGCGCTCATCGACGGCCTCGCCCGGCGGATCAGACCAGGCACGCCAGTCCCATGGCTTATACAGATCTCCGGGTGCACGAATCTCTCAGACCGTCCATTGACGCAGACGGCCTACCCGGACAGAGAATGGGACGACGCGGACGGCAACGCCATCTACGAGTTCCTTAGGAGCGAGGACGTCCGTGATCCGTACTCCCAGAGAACAACGGAGGTGGGCGTACTCGTCGCCGCTGAAGAGACAGGCGTGCAGGCTGTCAGTGTAAACGCGCCGTGCATCTTCGGGATGGGTCGCGGGCTTTTCAACACCCAGGGCCTCGTCCACATAGTCACCATGCGCTATGTCCTCCGCCACGGACATGGGTTTAAGTTGAACGACACGGCTAACTTTGACTGGGTGCATGTGGAGGATCTGGCTGATGTCTTTGTCCTTCTAGTCCGTGCTATTCTTGAGCGGGGGGACCGGGGTGTCGGATATATTCCCAGTGGGAAGAATGGGGTTGTTTTCCCTGCGGTTAAGCGTGTCCTTGTGACTCAGATTATGCAGGAGTGTCTGGACACTGCCTTTGGGGCGGGTGCTCTGCCTCGTGAGGGTACGCCCAAGGAAAAGGAGATCCGCTTGGTGGGGCTTCAAGAGGTCGCCGATGAGCTCATGGCGGGGCTTTTGGGTGTCACTGAGCGAGCATTTGCAGGCCATAAGAAGATGAAGGGTACCGTGGCCAATAGGTTGCTCGGTTGGAGCCCGACGAGACTGGAAGAGGCCTGGAGGCAGGAGTATGTAGATGCGCTTGAGTTGCTGCAGAGTGGGAACGGGCTGGATACTCTAGAGGCCTGTGTAGGCAAGTAAGATGGTGGCTCTTTTAGAGCCCCGTGGTATTGCAGCATCGCCACCAGCTGGGACGGTGCCATTGGATCATGTGTGATATGTTACTTGATTTATGCAGTGCCACACTGCTACTCTGGATAATCTTAGTTCGTGGCAGTAGACTAGCCTGTAGCTGGACACTGGTTTTGAAGTAGATATACAGTAGATATACTAATTAATGGAGTAGCTGACATGAATATGCTCAATATAGTTTGGGACCAACAACCACAGGAAGTAAAAATCCAGCAAGAACCGGACCGGGGAGCACGCCAGTCAACAATAGAGTACACCGGTTGGAGATCTAACTAAGATAGATACGCGGAAAGGAACCCATAAAACAAGATTAACCTACATTACTTCGTATATTGGCCGGATAATTCACTGGCCTGGGGCTTTAAATTGTCCCGGGCATAGGGCAATAAGCAGCCAGTGATCTGAAATATACTAAGTTGATAGAGGGTACAGCATCTAGCGAGATGACAGGTCAAAGGCAGCTCCTTCCGACTTGAGCGACATACTTCTGACCTATGCAAAAGACAAAATAGTTGACTAGTTAGTTAAAGTTAACTTTTCTGGTGCAGTTACTAATTCGGCCATGCTTGGATATAATCATCGCAACTGACCAAGCTGAACTGACACGTCACACAGCCAAACTGACACTGCTGAATTAAGAATGCTGAACGGACCAAGTTGGCTGTTGGCCAGATAAAAATCTTTACTTAAAATATAAAAAGAGTGCATTTGACCTGCTAGGTGAAATCCCCGCCATCTTCGACATAGCGACTCGAGTCAAAGATTGCTTCTTGCGATGGCTAGCCTAAAGATTCCTGACGGAGCGCTAGTAACCATTAAAGACAAAGTCATTTTGATTACAGGTTCGCTTATCCCGAAATTATACATGCAACAAGACTCATAACCTAAGATAGGCGGCTCCTCGGGCATTGGTAGAGCGACTGCCGAATTATGTCTCCAACTAGGAGCAAAAGTAGTCATCGGAGACCTCAACCCCGCTCCGGATGACTTGTCGAGCCTCAAGAGCCTGAAGTTTGTAACAGCGGACGCCACCTCCTGGGACAGCCTGCGAAACCTGTTCAACCAAGCCGTAGAAGCGTTCGGGCGAATAGACCACGTCTTCGCCAACGCCGGCATTGCCCCAAGGGCGGGTTTTCTGGAAGAAACGCTGGACGAAAACGGCGAGCTCGAGCCCCCAGACATGCAGGTGCTCAACGTCAACCTGAATGGGGTGATATACACGACCAGACTGGCAGTTCACTACTTCACGAAGTTCGTAGGACAGCATAACGGGGTAGTCACTGGAAGTATTGTCCTCACGGCTTCCGCGTCGTCATTCCAGACCTTCGGCGCTCCTGATTACGCCACAGCCAAGCATGGTGTCTTGGGCCTGATGCGTGGCCTGGTCGGTCAACTACCCCCGAGTGTCCGGGTGAATGCCATTGCACCGTCGTGGACGGCAAGTGGTCTTGTTTCTGCTGATTTCCTTGCGTCGCTGGGCGTGATTGCACAAGGCCCAGAGGTCGTGGCGAGAAGTGTGGTGTTTCTTTTTACTGACTCTGAGAGGAATGGCCATTTAATTTACAGTTGGGAGGGTAAATATAAGGAGATTGACAAGACAGAGGGGGGCTCCTCAGTGCGGCAAAAAGTATACTTGGGGTCCCTGTTAGTGAGGATGAAGTCCTCCAGAAAATGGCCGGACGCGCAAGCAATGGGAGGTAGTTAGCATGTTAGTGAAATATTATTCTCGTGCAAATATCACTATAAGTATCCAGGGGAGTTTGTATGCTAAGCATTACTTCGAGGTAGCCGACTCGGTCTAGCCTACTCTGAATGTTGTTAATTTGAAGCTTCTATATCGACTTCCTTATACGGAAGAACGACAGTTGCCATACACACGATCTACTGCTCAGCAACCAGCCCTTTCTCGCCAACCTTACCGTCCCTCCTCACAGCTACCGACGAACTCAACAACTTCTTCAACGATACCGCCGCATGACCCAGCACATAAGCTCCCAAGCTCAGAAAGTTCAACCACACCAGTCCGACAAAATAAACCAACAGCCGCGGCGGAATCAATTTAAACATCTGCGTCGGATTGAAGCCGACCATATCCTCAAATTTGTCCATCTCGACGGAAACAGCCGTTGTACTCTCGTCGCTATCCACCACGTTGTCTGTGAATGCATCATTGTATATAGCGGTAGCCATGACACTCCCAAAGATCGTCATAAAAAACAACAACACCGCCTGGTTAAGCAGCTCGTACAGCCATGTGCAGCACAAGCTGAACAGTACAACAGCGCCTCGACGCGATCCATAGTCTGCAGACGCAATCAATCGAGCAATAGTATCATCTTGGCGATTTGACGGACTTGAAGCAACGAGGAGACGGCAGATGAGAAAGGTAAGGAGACTGGTCGACGCGATGACTTCGAGGTAGGAGCTTTTACTATTGAGTACGTTGAGGGCGGTGAAAGTGAGTGCTGTCAACGTCCACGCGAGGAGCAGAAGCACAGCGAGCCCGGTGTAGAGGCCGCTGCTGAGCCGGAAGAGTCCATGAGCCATGATGTTGTCCTAAGCTAGTGACGAAAAGGCAACAGAAATTTTCAGTGTTACTTCTCCTGAGCAAGTCACCTGACCTTGAGGACCAGCAACTCATAGAACTCGATTAGTCTGTATTACGGATACCCGCTTCATCCGTCTTCCCCATCTGACCCAAAGTGAGCGAGAACTATTGCTAACTTAGGGCTGACGATGTAGCAATAGCAACGCCCAATCCGGTCATCGGTTCGGCTCTTCCCGCGCGGATATTGGTGCCTTGGTGCCTTGATGCCTGCATCATGGACTTTGACTACGCTGTGTGCTAGTAAAAGTCGCTCAAACCCGGATTACCACTATAGCTAGACAAGGTCGAAGGACACCAAACCCCTGGGTGTGGGCTGTCAGAGTCTTCATAATCCTGCAACAGTGTAGCATTCTTTCGTAGTCCTGCTCCCGCCTGCTCTGGTACGACGGAATGCTTCCCCACTACTCACTCACAGAAGCTATTCCCAAGATCTAGCAACTGAAGTGGGGTAATGCCGAGTATATATGATTAACCCGCATTCAAGGTCTCGCAATGTGGTAACAAGAGAGAAACATGTCCCCTTCGAGCGCTACCATCAGCGATGCACCCGTAACTGATGTTGACACCTGAACAAGATAGTAGACTGTGGCTGGCCATTGATGGTTTTCTACCACGCTGAGTGGTACATGTCGACTGTCACCGCCATCAGAACGTGGGTTTGCTTTGCCATTTCCACATAGCTGCCTGAAAACAGCCATTCCGCTAGAGCAGGTGTTAGGGAGATCAGAAGGATGCCGAGTATATATGGGTGAATCGTATTCATCTAGTGACGCAGATGGCGCATCGGCAGCGTCGGAGAGGGATTCTTAGACCACCTCAATCTCTCCACTATGGTACGATTGTTCCCCACACCTAGAGCAACTGAATATATACGACATTAATTGAGGTGATCTCCAGGCCCCACACCCCCTCACCCCAGATTCCACGTGACAGGGTGAAGTGCGGAGAAGGATCGTCGATAACCACCTCCAGACTTCTCCAGATAGTGGAACAAGTTGAGCTCATTCTAGCAATATACACCATGAGTACATCCGGTAATCAACGGGCCACTGCTAAGGTCGATCGGAAACGTATTACGGACCGCAGAGCCCAGAGGAACCACCGAGAACGTGTCAAGGCGTATATCAGTCATCTCGAGACCACTGTGGAAGAGCTTACCGAGGCGTCCCAGAAAGGTTCTGAACAAAGTCTGGTACAGAAACTGCAAGAAAAGCAGCTGGAGATCGAACAACTGAAACGGGCTATACGGCAAGCCAATGAGGTCCTACATACTGCCCTTGGCACACCCTCATCCAGATCACCCGCTATCGTCGAGACCGTGCATAAAGATTCCCCGGAGATACAAAACAGCTGGCCGCCCGTAGCTAGCAAAGATGAATCGGCAGAAGGACTCAATAATCGCAAGATACAGATGGAATCCACATTCGAGCCAGGAGATATCTCTCCCAGTACGAGCCGTGGCAGTCAATTCCTCAACGATAATAGGCTAACGAGTTTTCATTCACCATATGGCACTCTCGCCTGTGGGGATGGGCAAGTGAACTACTTTCAGGTAGTTAATGAGTCTCTAGTTCACGTACTCAGTGCTGGAGCACTGACCACTTCCGCCGATGATGACGATGACTTGGCTATTCGGGCTATCTTACACGGGTGGGATGCTGTTAAGCAGGATAAACCACTCGACCATGGTTGGAACTTTCTCAGAGCTCTAGATCAAGGACTATTTCACCGCGCTGGCGCCGTGGAGCGTCTGGCCATCCTGCGCTTAATGCGATCCATGCTAATGGTGGGTCGCAACAAGTAACTATTTGCGTATCGCTTGTAACCCTGAGTAGTCGAAAAAAGGATCCGCAGAGCACTCCACTGGCCAGATTCCGTCATTCATGTTCCCCACGTACGTACCAGCCCTCCTGCGTCAATATGAAGCTAAGTAGTGCGTAACACTAGCACCATGCAAACCCTTGTTACTCATGCGTGTATTATCGACTTTTTCGTGTGGTAAGAATTAGAAGGTAGGAACCTTCTTCAATGTTGCGTACTGATCAGAGATTAGGCCAAACCTCCGCGACCACTTAATCGCCTCCGAAACCTCCCATACTCCTGAAGCAGCAGCGGCACATTATGCAGCAGAAATTCAACTGAGTTGGCCATACCAGCTTCGAGATGCCTACAGGTACAACGAAGAAAAGCACAAGTTCCAATTTTCGATGGAATTCAACAACGTTTATTACGACTTAAAGTCATGGCAATTTCGTTCGAATCCTGCGCTCAAGATGCTTGTTGCGAACGGACCAATGTCGTCACTAGAAGGGCGCCTGCATGCTTCGACAACTGTGCTAATGAGCTCTCTGGATCCAAATGGGTTTATCGAAGCAGGGACGGCTGCTGGCTATTGACTAGGTTGAATTTTGCTCTTGCTGCCTGCGATAGCGTCTGTTAAAGAGGTAGCCAACGTCTATACGACGAATCTTATCTTAAGTATCATAGCAATAGTACATACTCCCACCTTCAACCCAAGGTGACTTGGTCACTTCTCCGCAGTATGCACTGTGGGTATATCTGCATGTAGCACCTGCCAATGATCGAATGCATCATCGGCATCCCTTGTGTCAGCTGCACTTTGTCAGTCTTGCGAAGTCAGCTTGGCGAAGTCAGCTTCTCTGTTCTATCTCCGCATTGCCATCCTTGCCTCGGGTATGAGCCGAAGATATTCCGAGGAATAGGAGTAACTACTTATACTTGAGCACAGAGGCTACAGTTTTACAGGACGTCAGGTTCAACGCAACTTACTCGGGTATATCATACAAATAGTGTCACACAATGACTGGGTTTCCGCTGAACGACAACGGAGGGGAGCTAAATGGCGGTGATCTCCTCGCGCAGACACTCAAACACCTCGGAGTCGAGGTAGCCTTTGGCCTACATGGTGGGCATCTTGATGCATTTCTCCAGGGTTGTGAAGCTTCTCAGATCCGGTTGATCGATACCCGACACGAGACAGTTGCTGTCCAGGCAGCGGAAAGCTACGCCAAATTCTCCAAGAAGATTGGCGTTTGTTTTATTACGGCCAACAGCGGGTGCGCATCTCAATCCTCCGGTCGACCTTTGAGTGACGCGAACTGACCTCATTCAAAAGCTTCTCCAACGGTATCCCTGGTCTGGCGACGGCTCTGGCCGATCGGTCACCAATTCTTTGCATAACATCCTCGCCGCCAACTCGCGATTTGGAGAACAATTCCCTTCAGGGAATAATTGACCAGGTCGTTGTCTCTCGTCCGCTAACAAAGTTTGCTTACCGGATGACGAACCCCGAGGATACTCCGCGAATCGTCAAGCATGCTATCGGAGTTGCAATCTCTGGAGCTCCTGGTAGGCCTTTTCAACCCTATTGCCCTTAAGCCATTTCGTAATTCGGATGTTTACCGGATATAGGCCCTGTGCTTCTTGACTTCCCGATCGATGTGTTATTCACGCCTGTACATAAACCTCTCATATCATGGGGGTCGGTTTCTTCACCCTTCCCATATGGACCTGGTCCACACACTGCGGCTATTGATGGGACAGCGGAACTGTTGAACGCTGCAAAAAGACCTTTGATTATCATCGGAACAGGAGGCAATTCAAAAGAGGTACAGAATTATTAATAACATTTGCAGATTTTGTGCTAACCATGCAAATGTAACGTGAACAAGGCAGGAGAGAGTCTCATGAAGCTATCGGAAACTTGTGGAATTCCAATTTTCGATACAATGAAGTGCAAAATATCTTTCATCCCCTCGCAGTTCTCCTTGAATGGAGGGCCCAGCAGCATCCTTGCCCTTCTACCGCGCCTTGGTATGCAGCAGCCAGATCTCATCTTGCTCCTCGGTGCCAGGACCGGAATGTTCCTTGGTGGTCGATCTGGTGCGGTTATACCCGAGAAAGACTGCAAGCTAGTCCAAGTAGATGTGGACGGTGCGGAAATTGGCAGGACACTTCCGGTTGACCTAGGCGCTATTAGTGATGTTACCCAGTTCGCTGCTGCGTTGAATCGTCATTATGATACCACCCCATTTCAGGGCTTTGTGGACACTCAGTGGGTGAATAACATTCTCAGTCTTAAAGATTTGGCTTCGCCTTATGAACAAGAACCAGAAGTCCAGCCGTCAGGACGCCTCCATCCATACCACGCGCTGAAGCATGTCTTAAGCTCAGTCCCAAAGGAAAGCATTGTCATCCTTGATGGTGGCGAAGCGCCGCTTTGGGCATCTAATGTGATATCTCGCTGCTCGCCCAGCGCAATAGTGAAATCGTCCGGGGGCCTTGGATTCTTAGGCAACGGCTTTGGATATGCCCTCGGAGCAGCCGTTGCATGCCCTGATCGGAGGGTCATTAATCTGCACGGAGACGGATCCGCGGGATTCCATTTTATGGATCTGGATACTTACAAACGACACGATCTGAATATTATGACGATTGTAGTCAACAACCACTGCTGGGGAATGAGTTCCAATGGACAGGACTTGATCTATGGTACCAAGACTCCTACACGTCCTGTCAGCCATTTGAGCCCTGTCACGGATTACAGCCTTGTGGCGAAGGCACTGGGAAATGCTAGTGTGAAGCTACAGGCAATCAGTGATGTGACTCCTGCGTTGGCGGGATTGTTGGACCAAAATGGGCCAAGTTGTATCGAACTGGTCGTGGATGATAAGCCTACTCATCCTGTTACTGTCTCCATGGTGGGCCAAACTGACGAGCCGGGGATGGTGGTCGTTCCATATTATGACAACGTTCCCAGAGCATACTATAAATCTTGAGAATATGTAGGCTGGCCTTTTTGAAATCGTGGTATGGTGGTCAAGTCGGTGTCACAGGGCACTATGGAATTATTCTCTGATGTGGTTCATTATACTGGCTTCATTCAGTTAAGGCTATTAACATTGCTCTGCTCTATAACCTTTCCCAGCTTGACCACACGGTAGTACAAATCTTTAGCCATCTATTAACTAATTGCATCAGTAATAATTTGTCATACATCATGAAGATAACCCTAGAGTACGTGGTTGTGTAGACCAACTGACCTCATTGGCCTGCAGCAGACTATGTCAGGACCGCTTTGTCAGTCAAGGTTGCAGTCTCCGCATAGAATCTGGGGTTCGGCTATCCGATTAGCCAAAATCATCAAGACCATGCTTGTACAACCATTTGTGGCCGAGGGCCGAGATAAATCTTGGGTTAGCCTAGTTTCAGTTATTCCTGGAAGGAGAGACTCTTAGTGATAATGCCATCGATACGCGTATTGCTAATGTGGATTGAACATATTTAACTTCCAATAGCCTATGATTAGGACGCCTTGATTTTAAGAAAAGCAGTTAACATACAACCGGCCAAGATGAAAGCAGCACGATTCTACGCATCCGAAGACATCCGCATCGAGGAGGTCAATGCCCCCGAAGCATCAGATGAAAAGGCCCTAGTTCAAGTCGAGTGGTGCGGGATATGTGGGAGCGACCTCAACGAATATGTCCACGGTAAGTACAGGGCCATATTGATTGCCACCCTCGATTATTCGACATCCACATAGGACTAACTAATTCCAAGGGCCCATGGCAATACCCCACGCCGGTCCGCACCCACTAACTGGTGATATTCTCCCCGTAACCCTTGGCCATGAGGTCTCTGGGCGTATTATTCAAGCGCCATTGACATCTTCACTTTCTCCCGGACAGGCAGTCATCATCGATCCTCGGTTCTATTGCTCATCCTGCACGGCATGTACTTCTTCTGTCACGAATTGCTGCCAATCCTTGGGCTTCCTAGGTCTCTCTGGAGGAGGGGGCGGCTTCTCTGAGAAAGTTGCCGTGCCGCCGGCTATGCTGCATCCGATCCCTGATAATATCGACATGGCCACAGCCACCCTTATCGAGCCTCTCGCTGTGGCCTGGCACGGCGTGAGATGCTCTGGCGTCCAGGACTTCAAGGGCCTGCCCATTTTAGTCGTAGGCGGTGGCCCAGTTGGTGTAGCTATAGTCTTCGTGTTAAGAGCATGGGGCGCAGATAGGATCTACGTCTCTGAGACCGCCCGTCGCCGTAGAGAGTTTCTTCAAGACCTGGTGCAGGCGACATTTGACCCGATCGAGGTCAATGTTGGTTCGGAGTGTAAGAACCTCACGAATGGAAGTGGTGTGGGGATGGTCTTTGATTGCGCAGGATCCCAGCAAGGACTAGAAGCCGCATCTGACGGCCTCCGCTTCCACGGTCTATACATAAATCTGGCGGTGCCGAAATCTCCAGTATGGCTTTCTTGATACCATATCGCTTCGTGTTCTATCCCGCTGATCGATGGTGCAGATCTCCCTCCCCGTTCAGTACTTTATGTTCAAGGAATTGACATACAAGGCTTTCCTGGCATATGATGATGCGGACTTCAAGGCCACTGTAACTGCATTCGTTGAAGGTATGAATGTCAACCATGTGCGTGCTATATCTCGCTGGACTGACTAGGTCATAGGCAAGTTTGCGGGAGTGGAGCGCATGATAACACGGCGGATTGCGTTAGAAGAGCTCGTGGACAAGGGCTTCAGAACGCTCCTCCAGAACGCAGATGAGCATATTAAAATTGTGGCGACGGCAGGAGAACTGCCACCGACGAAGCCGACACTTTAGCTGCTACCGTGGGTATTGACTTGGCTAGTTATGGTCTATTCACAATGTTTCCAAGTTGGCCACGGTAACGTGATGGGCTCTATCGCCAATATTTCAGGCGTTCCAGTGTAATAGTGTTTCTGAAATGAGCAATTACTTTGATACGGAGTATATAAACCATGGTCGCTAGGTTGACGAGAGGGGGGCGGCGCAAGAAGAATAGGAAATAATTGAATGAGAATACAGTACGTGGTCGGACCCCATTCCAGAGATTCAATGTGAGAACAGGCGTGCCACCCAAATTCGAAATGGTAGGAATAGGGAGTATATCCTGCGACTATTTATCTACTCTATATTATCGACTATAGATAGAAGATTCAGCATCGGCGGAGCTATGTTGCTGACGCCAATGAATTGCAGGACAGACTCGTGTATTAAAATGCTGTTATACTCCATACACTGGAAGGACAGTATGCCCCCAAGATAGTTCAATTCGTGTCCACACTACGTTGTCGGTATCATCATTGAGGTAAACCCACACCGGAAACTTGATGGTCCAGTCAACAAGCCCTGTAACACTCTAACTCAGCTCAATGCGAACGGCATATCTCATTTGCCCTTCTCGGGGTAAAGGCTCATTGAGGACAATGTACTGTGTTGCTATGGAACTGGAAGGCAAGAACTGTCGTGTCGACATGGACATCACAGGAATCAGTTGTCCCATCCCGTAGTCTTCAACCCTTGTGGATAGTTGTTATTCCTACGAAATCATGAATATTCACTTCTTTCCAAGCTGAATTACCATTACCTTATATAACCAATATTTACAGGGTTTAGCCCAGGAACGCCGTCTTCCCCATATTCGTGATGTCTTACAGTTCATGTAGAACATCCTATCTTGAATGTAATCCTAACTTGTAGTAATATTATTCAATAAAATTCTCTTTGATGTGTCTTTTCTGCAGGTGCTATGTTACTCCTCTGGTCTATATTAGTCGCCTAGACCTGTTCTCTAAATCCGATGCATAGACAATGCCAAATTGTAGCCCATATATACAGATACAATCCCCCTTTTGAGTTCAGTCCCAACAGTATCTTATTATTGCATTATGGTAATTCCACGAGCTCTGTTGGCCTCTCTTTCTTATCCTTTCCATGCTCACCTTCATTACCTCCCGAGCCCACTTTTACCTTTGTATTATCTTCCCCCTCTAACTCAGTCGGGCCCTTCACAACCGCGTCGGCGGGCATCTCACTCGGTGGCCCACTCCGCGGATCAGGCGACAATGCATCCGGATTCTGCTGCTGCCAGGGTCGCTCATACTGATGGGCATCGACCTTCTTCGACCTCCTCCTGATACAGAAAAACCAGACCAAAGCCCCCACAATCAGAAGTCCGCCAACACCCGCACCAACACCGATACCCGCTTTCGCACCCGTTGACAAGCCCTCCGAGGAATCTCTTTCGTCGGGCACCGCTTCCGACGCAGGAACCTGGAAGATGGGCTGCCGGAGGGTGACGATTTCGCCTTCTGAGGCATTCGGCTTATTCGTACAAGCTGAGACCATGTTGTCGATGACTAGATTATTGATTCGTTGTTAGATCGCCTGTATATGTCCAAGTCCGGGACACTAGATCAACTCACAATTCCCAAGAATATAAGTCCCGTTTTTACCGCGTAAGCAGGATTCACATTTATCGGCGTACTGCTGGAACCCGGCGTCGTCGCAATACGTATAAATCGGGGTGAAATTGCTGCCGCCGTACCAGTTGGTCTTGTACACGCTTTGTAGGGGAGTACATTCATTTTGGCAGCCTGATATGGAGCCATTGCGGTCGAAGAGGCAGGTCTGAACCGTGTATTTTTGAGTAGCTATTGTCCGATTAGAAACTGATATGATGCCAAAGGGCTCATTAAAAGACGTGGACAGGATGATGTGCACGCTATCCGACCACGTACCTAAAAAGGTATAGATGTCGTTTCTCTCATCGTTGATATATGCCGTCCCAGTGCTTTGACATAACAGACAATCCTTCACGGTCCTCCCTTTCTGGGTGTTATTGTACGCTGAATCCGGACAGACGAGGTCATCGGCGGACGTTTTCCGGGTGGTTCCGCAGTTCTTGATGCATTTCGACTTTTCAATCGTGGCTAGAGAATATACGGGCGTAAAAATATATGTGACGGCTAGAAGTCCGAGGAGGATCCTCGTCGTCCAGGATGATGGCCAGGTCATTATGTATACATAGGATATGGCCTAGGGGGTGTTGTTGTCGTGAAAAGTCCGCGACGGCGGGCTGGAAGTGAGATTGGGATTGCGAATTCGTAATAGATGTCGATCATCTTGTGACTTTCATTGGGCTCCAGCGAGTTATTTAGTTCAGTGTGAGAATAACAGTTGGCTCCACGACCCGCGCGACCCTACGGCGAGTGAGGGTTTCAGGGTGGAGACGGAGAATCTCCACCTACACGGCTGAGGCGCAGCATAAAGTGTCTATTCACGATGGAGCCAATCAAGATATGGGGCTTTCTCGAGCCCTTTCTTGGCGTTGGGGGCTCTTCTGGTGTCATTGGTTGGGTGGAATACGACGTTGATCCATTCTCGAATGAGCTGATTTGAATCTGATGTTTTTATGGAAGAGCACAGCCTTATCGGATCCTCGGTAGCCGTTGTCGACGTTGCTATTCTTCCTCACTGCCCGGTTCAGAACCTCCTTGTGATTTATTTATAAGTGGCTTATGCTGCAGCTGAAACATGGCGCTGGGTGTCGCACAATGCTTAATTATCCCCGTTTTCCGCGGGAGTCTGTGGATCCATCGTCATCCGAGTATGGAGCTAGTGTGTCATCCTCCGAGGCCAACAGGGGAATTCGCTGTCAACCGCGGTCTGTGGAATGATAGCACGTATGTACATGGATCCCCGAACATGCAATGGAAGTTAACGGCATGAGGAATTTGGGCTTCCGTGTGCAGTATGTACATAATCTAAGTGGCATTTATCCGTGCACCGCGTTTCTCCACTTATACAACGAAAGTTTGCCAATCATACTATCTCCATCGTGGGACCCCTTGCTTTCGTTGAAATATCTGGTTGCCTTTCTGGGTGGCAGAATCATACATAGCCATAGCATAGCGTACATGTACGCAGGCCTATCTCTCTTCGATCCTGGAAATTAGATTGTAGCAGTCTAGAGAGGAGATGCATGAACATGACGGAAAGGAATGTACATACATCAGGATTGAGCTTGGTGCTTTACGTACAGTAATAACATGGATTCGATGTTATGGATATAGTATTTTTACAACAGCCCAGGATAGGCCCAATCGCCTCTCAGTATAAGAGTCATATATTACTCCCTCGGTCGTCTTCTTAACAAAAAGCATTCCCCACTGCATACCTCACAGCCATGGCATCTACCCTGACGCAAGTCGTTGGTAGACGACCTTATACAGACAGCAGAAACTAACTCTGCTCAGTGGGACTAAAGCCTTGTTCCTAGTCATGACGAGCATATAACTACACAAGTGGTGACCGTCGTGGCGACAATCTCAGTGGGTCTTCTTCCTCTGCACGCCTGATAAACCTTATAATAGCTTATAAGACGACAATATGGTCAGTTGTTGAATTTTGACTTGGTCGATGTTACTTCCACGAACTGTGCAGCTATCCGACTCTTTCTGCCTTGAGTTGAGGTCTCCAGTCGAGGGTCACTCATGAATTGCATTTGACCGGGAGCCAAGTACTACAGCATGGACAAATATAGCGCTCCCCATTGCTGATCCTCGTCTGTGCTTTTGGATACCGACCCGGATGTATTACCGAATGGACATGTTCGATGCCTTCTCCAGGCTCCTTTCGTTTGCCATGAAACACTCTGTGATGACCGATGGCCTATGTCAGAAGGGAATTCTAATCTCAGTTTACGGTCACGTATATAGAAAGTAATAATGCACCGAAGCTCAATTAAAGTAGCCAGGTAACCATTAAACGGTGCATGCCCCTACATTCATCAAGGCAGCTCCACCGCATTATCTCCTCTCCTGACCCCTCCATTTCCACCATCCAACTCAGCTTTCGCCCTTTCCACCGCCGCCAACTCTCCAGGCTGCTTGACAACCTGTTCGACAGGCACTCCAGCACCGTACGAAACCTCCGACGCAGGTCCCTGCTCCAGTGGCGGCTCGTACTGATGGGTACCTCCCTGTGCAGCCCCTCGTCTCCTCGCAAGCAGGAACCAAGCCACAGCGCCCAAAATCATCAACCCACCCACGCCCGCACCAACTCCAATACCGGCCTTAGCCCCCGTCGACAGCCCCGAGGAACTGGCTTCGCTATTACCCCCATCATTTCCGGTCGCTGTCGCCGACGCCGACGAACTACTCGTCGCACTAGTATTAGATGTAGCAGTCGACATATCGAAAAGTGGCCGGCGAAGCGTAACGATCTCCCCAGCGGAGGCATTTGGTTTCAGTTCACAAGCCGAATCCATGGTATCCATGAAGTTGCCCAGAATCACGGAGCCAGATTTAGATCGGAGGCAGGTGGCACAGCCACCGGCGTATTGTGTGAAAACATCGTCGCAATATTCGTAGAGCGTCTCTGTATGATTGGGTTTGTACCAGAGGTCTGTGAACTTGGAGCGGAGCGGAAGACACTCGTCTTCGCAGCCTGAGATGGAAGTTTCGGATGTGCGGTCGTAGAGGCAGGTTTGGAGGGTGTATTTTTGGATGACTATAGTGAGTGGTTAGTTTAGGGTCTTGAGGTGTAGGATGGGGGTGGTTGGTATGTGGGTTTTGGTGTATGGGAAGAAGGGAAGGGAGACTTAGTCAAAACAGGACATACAGAGGAAAGTCCAGATATCGCTCGACCGATTGTTTACATATGTCGTGCCTGTGCTTTCGCAGAGCAGACAGCTTTTCATTGTGAGGCCATTTGCAGATGTGTTAAATAAGGAATCCTGACAGACGAGATCACTAGTGAGAGTGTTTTTCCGATCGCCGCAGACTGCTCGACATTTTGACGACTCTAGGACTTCCAGCGATAGCGCTGGTATGCAGAGATAGATGGCTGCAACGAGACCAACGAGGGTCTGCAGGGGCAGGTAAGCCATCGTGTGAAAAGATATGGCTGAAGTGTTTGGCTGGGTCAAGACATACGGACGGACGGTCGGTCTTACTGCGGACGCCGATCAAGTTATAAAATCATCCACTCTGGCAGGATCCTGCACGGGGCACTCTTCGCCTATTAAAAGGGTTCGCTTGTATCAAGATCATCTTGGGGCTAACTGTTTCCACTTGATGGGCTGAAATTGGGTGCTATGGGGGCCGAGCTGGAGGATGAACTAGTGTCATGGATGATCGAACGCACCAATTGTCGCCCGGGAAAGGAGCTCTAATTTTCCTCAGCCCTCCTTGGCGTTGGGAGGTTAAGGCTGTTGGGGCATAGTTGGCGCCGTTATACGAGACCTGACTAGTTTAGCTTGACACTTTGACAATAGGTTTACTTAATTGCCTTTTCCTGAGAGCCTCGTCAGATTCTCGGCAGTTGTTGGCCCATTCCTGACGGCCATGAGCCCCCTTGCGTTTTATGCGACCTCTGCTATATGATTAGGGCAGTACACAACTACCCAGACTCTCAGGGGCTGGGCATCTCTCTCACGAATATGTTCGTCAGAGCTAGCATCAAGCGACCCACAATAAAACCCTGACCTCTCAGGCGTGGGAGATTGCTGTTGTCCCACATATTTCTTATCAAGATAAGAACCTTGGGAGCCCAGTCCGTGAATCCGAATCAATCTACGAGACAACAATCACATCTCCATACCTGAAAGACTGCCCTTTGTGCTCCTCTATGTAAACAGATGAGTCAACTAATATTGATCTTCCTGCAACATAACTAGTGCACAGACAACTACTATTTACTCATAATATCCGTAACTGTTAAGGCGTAGTAGGTAGGTTGAGTCCGGTGGAGAATATATCACTATCAGTTGAGTAAAATACCATGTGGCAATAGTTAAGGTCATACCTTAGATACTATATCCCTGACAGTAAATACTATTTGTTCTGGCTGCGAAACCTTGAAAAATATGTTCATTGCCCCCAACGCCATAGGTCACGGACTTAGCATATCTAAATCTTGGCCAAATGGCTTTTAATCGGTAAAATGTTTAAATAGTAGTAGGCCTGCATATCTAATTTTAACGTAACGGAGCCAGCAGTCACCATTACAACGGCGACTATGAGATAGAATGTATCGACATTCTAGCCCTAGATTGGCATGTTATGAACAGAATAAAAGTCATTATGTCGCTACCTGCGAAACTTCGCCGAGTCGCACTGAACACCCCTTGCTGTTTCTCACATCTACTAAGTACCACCTAAATATGTCTTCAAGGCCGTGGTCGCGAACACTGGTCATGCCCTCGGACATTCCTTAGGAAACCTAGGATTCGTGGCTTTTGCTTTGACTCTGGGTGTCACGGTATGTGTTTGCTCTAGTGGATGTACATTGGCAAGTAGAATGGCAACGAATGAATATGACCTACTGTGTTCATCAGAAATTGAAGGACAAGCGATTATGTCTTTCAATAGAATATTGAGGACTTAGGCTTACTTTTATAGCTCGCCAGGCCATCATGATGACAAAAGCAATATAGATCAGGTAGCCACGGGTAGATATTGTGGCTGTCTTGACTGACCTTTGATTGGCAGCAAGCTGAACAAGTAAAAGATTAGCGATTTATCATATATATAACGGCCGAGAAGGTGCCTCACGTCAATCTAATAATAGAATCTATTGTAGAAGCGATTCCTCTTTATGCTCGATCACCGGGTCTGCAGGCCGCTCTTGCAACTGCATACACCTTTGGGATGAAATACAGTGCCCTCCGCGCTCTCGACGATCGCGAGCGCTTCGCCGCTCCAGCGCAACGTCTCACTATACCTATACTATTGTAAAACCTGCTTTATTCCTGTGCATCGTGAGAACTTTCGGGACCCCGATGGCTTTTGCTAGCAGTAGCACCCCACGCGACTAGGGCTGAACTGGCTGCGTTGAAGGGTGTGGTGTCACCGATTGGGGGTTCTGTGTCTATTCCTGATGTCTTGATCTGGTTGACAGCGAGCAGAAAGTAGGTACTGGAGATTGGGAAATTTATACAGGAAGTGTTCAGCAGGGTGTTGGATGATGCAGAGTCAATTAGGGTATATGGCTCGTTGATGGCGTCAGCAACAGACCTACTAGTGGTAAAGATAGACCTGACAATACTGTTATAATATCTATTGTCGGGATAGACCAGTAGTCTGTAACGGTAATTTTCAGCCCTTAAAGCTTCTATTAATAAGTTGCAACTCCCTAAATTTCCACCCCACCTCCAGCCAGATACTCCGGAGTAGACCATATAACCTACGTTCAACATCCACAATCGAGAGAACCTCACCCAAGATGGAAGAATCCTTAGTCCTCTCCAAATTTGATCGCCTCGTCGAATCCGGCCTCGTCCTATATGATGACAAACAACAGATCGTCGAGCACATCGACGGCGATCTCACAGTACACCCCACTTCCCAGCCATCCCCTAGCAAAACACTTACTGATAATCCTCCCCAAGTTCCAATTTATCCTCACCACGGCCCTCGCCAAAAAGCCCACTCTAACCACTGCCCAACACCAACCCGAGATCATCCCCACCCAAAGGCCAGAAAAGCAAGAAGGCAGCGACATAAGCACGACCGGGTTCGAAATCATCACGACAGACACCCACATCGTGATCGCCAACAAGTTCAGTTTCGCGCGGCCCCACCTCATGCTTCTAACACTTGACGGGCACAGACGACAGTATGAGCCGCTCGACGAGGCTGATCTAGACGGTGTGTGGCGGATCCTAAACGCGACGGAAACGGACTACACTGCGTTCTACAATTGCGGCCGGGATGGCGGGTGTAGTCGGCTGCATAAGCATCTGCAGGTGATGCCTTTGCCGGCAAATAATTTCGCAGCGTTTCTGGATTCTCCCGAAGGGTGGGAGTCTGAGACTAAGGTTCCGTTTGAGTGGTTCTATCGGCGGCTTGGAGGCGAGGTGGACTCAGCTGCGTTAGTTGAGGTTTATAATGACTTGCTGGGGGAGGCGACGGAGGTGGGTGGGGGTCGTGGAGAACATGCGGCGAGTGTACCGTCTGGGGCGGCTTGTCCGCATAATATGATACTTACCAGGAGGTGGATGATTGTGTTGCCGAGAAGACGGGGCGCGATTAATAAGGAGGCCGGGGTGAATTCGTTGGGCATGCTGGGGGTGATCGCCGTGGCTACGAGGAAGGAGATCGATACTTGGGTCAGTCTGGGGTTGACGGAGTCCCTGGCAGAGTTGGGAGTGCCCAAGGAGATATAACCACCGACGAAACAGCGCAAGATGGTTACAGCGAGGGCGACTACAGGAAGCTGCTGGTTGATTCGCAGTTATCGCAATTACAGCTCACTTGAGGTTTCATCTTTGAACGGAAAGCATAGCATATGGGACGTTCAGTTCCACTTGTCCCTTAATCTGCCAGCTTCTCTACCCTAGCTTCTTTTTCCACAAAACTCCACGGAACAATGCAGTTCGGACACGCACCCCTAAGGCTTAGCTAGCCTGTCCCCTAATACTAGTAAGCTGGGAGCTTCCTCCCTGGGGCTGTGTCCGCTACGATCAACATCGCCTTCTACGAGCAGCTGATCTCTCTTCCGCATCGCGAACTGTTCCTCGAGTAAGGGAGGAAATGGCAGAGATATGCATAAGAAGAAGCTATCGCTAAAGAATTGGATTCTGTGAAGCCTGGGTGTCCTTCGGAGATCATAAATTTATTCTGGTGGATTGGTGGCTCTTGCGATTTAGTCAGGAATAACTAGTAGAACCGGGGTGGAGATCCTTTGGGAACAACCGTCCAACCCTAGGGAATAAATAGTAGTCATGAATCCGGGCTCCTGCCCATAAAAGCCCAGTATGTTGTTATTCGGGGGAACCGACGACTTGAATCAGAATCCGGTCCAAGTATAGGTACGCCGAAATAGACCAAAGATATGCGAGGTGATCTTGAGGGTTTTCTTCTGGGTTCTCCGTCGCGTTTTCGTGGTCGATGTCCTGCAGAATACAAGTTCAAAAATGTCGCTAAGACATGCTAGTATACTTATGAACAGATATAGCACGTCGTGGTGTGATATCACACTAGAATTGGTATGGAGAGAATACTTATATGCACTAAGCAGAAACAGTCTACGACGGCGAATCAACTCTTCAGAGGTGTGCACGATATCCTATCTCTACCTTGAGTCACTGACATGACTCGCTTTACGTTGTCCAACTCATAATTGCATTATTCTTGCATGAACCCCTCTTTTTTCCGACTTCCCAGCGCTTCCTACCTTGAATATGAAATCCATGAATATTAAATAGTCAACGTATTCATCTTTCAAGTGTTTATTTCCTTTCCACTACTATTAGTCGCTATCAACTTGTCATTCGCATTTTCTATACCCTTCAGACGAAGAAAAGTTGGAGAGTGTCGTAATGGATCCAGCTCCTAGAGAAACCATATATCCAGCAACTCCCGAGGGGTGCTCTATAATTGACTACAAGCAGCCCAGCTCATCGTAAGCTTTCAGAACAAAGCCGAGATAAAGTATATCATCGAATAACTAACTGCCTTTCCACCGACAACTTACAGTCCATACGAACGTCCATTTGCCACACTCCAGATAGGGCGTAAGGAGTACACTGTTCCGGAATGCTACCTTAGTAACTACCGGAAATTTACGACTATATCGGGCGACAGCTCATACGTCAGGCTGCTGGATATCGAGGAAGATATTGGACATACTATTATCCACTTCTTATACACTGGTAGATATCAGACAGTCAACCCTGCTCCTACTAAACGTATACTTGATGTACTATAGGAGTTTCGACGAAGTATCCAAGTTTATCATGCCGCTTTGACATATGAAATACTTGGGCTCGAAGTGCTGGCCAAGAAATATATTGAAATACTTGGCCGTTCCGTATCTATCTACGATATTCTGGACACAACTAGTACAATATTTTCGAAACTCCCCGGTGACGATATCTGGCTGCGCAGCTACCTCAATACACAGCTTCAGAGGGCGTTTTCTTTGGATGAGCGTGTATTCCACCGTGATCGGTTTCATCAGACACTTGGGAATGACCGACTGTTTAATCAGGCGGTCATAAAAATGATCTTCAGTATCTATGATGATACCATATCCTCCCTGCGATCTCCCAGGAATCTAGAGAGGCAAAAGGAAAATATAGCAAATCGCCCAGGTAAGTCTGAAAGCATTCTTGAAAATCAACAGGCCAATCAGGAGACTGTGCTAAAACAACACCATAAAGTCTACGTTTTAGCTAATTTGTATACAGCTGAGGAACGATCTACCGCAATGCATCCCATCGAAGATAAACAACCTACTAAACAACAGCAGTTCACCAACGGGATCTCAGTCGGAAGTGGTGAAGAATATATTGAACAGTATTCAACCCAGGGCCAAGAACAATGTGAGGTCAAGGAGAGAGACAAAGACGACGACAAAAAGGAGGATAAAAGCAACCACGGCTGGCAGGACAACGAGAACTGGGACACGAAAGACAAGGGAGACAACGAGAACTACGACAAGAAGGAGGAGATGAAAGAAAGCTGGTGGAACAACGGGAACTATGACGAGAAGAAGCAGGAGGAAAGCAAGGATACCTGGCAGGATGACTGCAACAAGGATACGAAGGCCGATGAGAATGAAAGCTGGTGGTCCAACAATAACTACAGCCAGATGACCAACAAGAAGACCAGTAAGAAGGCCAGTAAGAAATCCAGTAAGAAGGCCAATAAGACCGACGAGAAGACCGACGAGAAGACCGACTGGCATGACGACTACAACTACTTTAGGAACGACGAGAAAAAGATATAACGGAGAATAGGAGAAGGCCGAGAAAAAGGACGAGTACTATAACGGAAATGAAAAAGACAAGCAAGGGAAGAAATACAACGATAAGGGAAAAAAGAAACAAAAGAAAACATATACATTTATGTGGAGACAGAACACACAGTTCTAAGGAGAATGAAATGGAAGATAAGAAGGACGAGAAGGACAAAAAGGACAAAGAACATGAAGGTCAGATGGAGCAGCCACTAAATCATACATAGCTCTGGTTAAGGAATGCATTGTTGAAGGCTGATACAATGTGTGTATCCATTCATACACTGACCCTTCGCCTTGGGTGATGTGCAAGTAACCACTATTCTAGATCCATGATGTCCAAACCGCACACAACTACACGGACAGGGGTTAGGAGACACTCCTCATGCGAACAGTTTGTACATCCCACTGTTTATAGTGAATCTGTGCCGATGTACTTTGACTCCGAATATCAATAGAGCGGACTTTTACGCGCAAAAAACATTGATAATAGCAAAGGACGACTTGTATTACAGTCTTCAGCTTTCAGTGCTTATGATACTGACAAGTTTATTGAGATCGCTTATACCTACGCCCACAAGTTTGAGAAGCTTGCAATCTCTAAAGTTTGGATTTACATCAAGATGCCTTGCACTGGACCGGGAGCCCTATACTGCTGAAAGAAGGAATCCGTACCCTGGGGACTACACTTACTCACTGCTCCAGGCTTTTGCGGTAAACCCGGCACAGTGACTCTCTAATAACCCGTACATGAACTACGAGTGCAATACAGGCCCATCTCACAACATGTCTGTGCTCTTATTAAAACAATTAGTCTCCTGGCCTCATAAGAATTTGAAGTCAGTGGACGGATATTGACCATGATGCTTTGCAACACCATATGTTACCCAGAATCATGCCTATCCAAGAGGCCGATGCCGGCTTGTGCAAAGATACTGGGATGGTAGAACCGTTTGTCCTGCCCCTGGGCCCACTACCAGACGAAGATGGCTAGACTGAATCCTTGAACCACAAATCGATGAACACACTTCGTCCACAAAGGGAGGCTCTTGTCCGTATCAGATGGTCTTGAAAATACGTCATTTTAGGCTCTCCTCATAAGTTGCATGTTGGTACATGAAGGAGCTGGACTGATCTGGGATAGATTGGCGCAGGTGGAAGGGCCAAATGGCTTGGAAAAATACTCTCTTTAGCGTTAATTGACACCTTCATTCACCTCGACTTTCCACCTTAGTATCCAACGTACTCTTGGCTGCTTTAGAGGAGCTATTTCCAGAGGAAACCATTGAATTCTTAGCCACACAACACAACTGAATAGTCATCTTCGAGGGTTCACGTATAAGTATAATATAGTCATGACATCATCCATGTCTTCTGCGTCGCCTCTTGCGCTCAAAACGATTAAGATATATTGGGTGAAATACCACCCAGTAAGGCGTGCAACGTTGCCCGCCGCGGGCGCTCAAAATTAATGTACGTCAACTGTCTATGATTCTCGCATGGTCCTTTCACTCGCGTCAAGCCCGGAATTTCGTTAATCTATGATTCCACCCTCTAAGCTGCGCACCTTGTGTGTGTTATTGTTGCTTGATTGGAAGTCTCGACTCTCTAGTGAGAGAGACCAGCGGCTTTCGCGCATCAAGCTGTCAGTTTTAGCCCCACACAGAGTGGCTGAGAGATTTCGTGAACAGTCATACCCAATTCAGGTGCCTGCATGGCGATTGAAGTGGCCAAAGCGTCATCTGGAGTGCATTACGTCCTAACAGATTGTATTTAGCCCTACTAAGAATAAGGCTGGGCCCGTCAGTCCCCACCAAAAGCTTCCATGTAAAACTTCACACGCGTCACCCGCGACTACACGTTTCTTCTACCTACTGTTCATTTCTCCAATCAATGGCTCCCAGAACGCTGTTTTGGAGATTTCATATATGTCCTACACTATACAGGGGGCTCTATAGCCAAAATCAGGAAGATACTTTAAATTCTACCATTCTTAATCTTAACCCTATTTAACATGCGGAGGCGAAACTAAAAGAAACCACATATGAAAGGTAAAGGGCTGCTATACTAAGTATTGGTCATCAATAACTCTGTTTTCAATATATTTACTACTTCTCTATATATATTTCGATCTTCTAGTACATTACTAAAACAGTAGAAGAATAGTGGTGATTTTAGAAAGCTAGGTCAGGGTTATGATTTGGGCGGGAAAAGCGGTATACACGCGCACGTTGGACGTAGAATTGCAAGTAATTCAGCAAGATGGCGGGGACCCCACCACAGCTGAAACATTGACCGTAGGTGGTAAAGTTTGTGCCTGAATGCCTTTAAGGGGGAAAAAGAAGAGATTCTCGACATAAAAAAAAACTGTGAGTGGTCACCGATAGCAGAGTCAGTAAGCCGCACAATGTGTTGTGCATTCATTGCGGCGATTCACACTGCAATCACTCACATCCGATCTTGCCGACATATTCTGGAGTCCCTCCATTGGCCTACGTCCCATTGTCGCCTATCCGCCTGTCTCTCATGCCTTACTATTCTCCTACCTACCTAACAGCTATCATGCATCGACCGGAGATTTTTTCTTTCCCAAAGACAAGGAGCACAAGAGATGTCTCCGATAAAAAGGTGGCCAGCAGCCATGGACTGCGAGAGAACTTCCAAGACTTGACCTTTTCTACGGCCGTAGTATCCTATCTTTAATCGAAACGGCAACTCGTGTCCTCCGCCCTAGAGCCATTCCTTACAATATCATGGAGATCACGTTCGTTGCATCAATCACCGGCGCACTCATCACCGTGGGTGGGACGATCTGCGGGGCAGTAGTGTCCGCTTTGCTATCACGGACCCTGACACGGAGGTCTACTACCATTCAGGAAGAACTTGAAACCGGTACTACTATTGACCATTTTCCCCACGTCGGCATAGCTAACCTCGTCCGTAATGTAAGACTGCGCTGCAACCTCCGGCCCGACTTGGGGCCCCGATATCGAATCCGGCTGCCCCAATCCCGAGCGATTTCGTATCCCACCACTGCGACGACAAAGCTCTTTCAACATTCCTACGCTTGCTGTATCCATGATCTGATAACAACGGGAAGGACCATGAATAGGAATGGTCTATTCGTGTAAGATCGCGATCGATGTGTCAGCACCCTCCCGATATACGGCGGCTATTCACCGGTATGCCATCGGGATGCGGGTGGCCAACGCTCGCAGGGTACTCAGTACCGGGGATGATCGGAGGTGTTCTCGATTCTATGAACAAATGTATGGGATTGGAAACAGGACGAATCGTTTAGGGTCTGGACCCCTGAGCGCTTCGGGATATACATAGGTCGTGGGGCAGCCAACATCGGACATCGCTGGCGGTGTCACCGTGGGGTAATTAATGCCTAAGGCAACTGCGCTAACATAATGGACATATAGAACAATTGTATGTTTCTTATAACTATGGCCTGCATAACTATCCCATGTAATTCAAAGACTGAAGAGATTTGAGACTGAAGTTTTATACAACGAGAATACTTTTACTAATCCTTTACTAATACTTTTATTCAATCTTTTTTTATGGCCTCAAGCCTCAACATGTATGGCCACTCACTTATATACAAAAGGTTCTTGGAGACATCACCCTGTACCGTTTTATCATGTCTTCATATTATTCGTCTGCTGCCGGAGGATTCTAGTCAGCACTCTTGATTGGTCCAGTAGAGAAGATATGCTAGATAGTAGGAATTTTATACAAGCTTAAATAGTGGAATATGGTTAAACATTCCATGCCGAACACTATACCCTTATTCATAACGAAGCCGCTATCTCGAAGGAAACCGGCTGCCATATTGGTTCTTCCCCTTGTCATTCTCCCCCCTCCACACTTGGGTGTACGGCCTAATTCATCCACAAGGACATGTCATGTAGCATCGAGAAACCAGGTTTGCAAGTGAAGTGGAGAGGCGCTGGTATTCATTTCTACAACATACAGTAGACTGCCGAATGCACCACACCGGCAACACCAACCAAACATAGACACATCTTTCCATGCAGCTCCAGACAATAGAGTAACCGTCCCATCCCAATCATCTGCGCCGCCTTCTGTGCTTGTAACGGTCCTCGACTGACCGCCGAAAAAATCTCTCCCACCCGTCTTCCCCGCTGCTGCTGTCTCGATGGACTAAAGATCAGCGTCTCACAGGTGGGCGGCAGAAGACTGGCCTGGACCAGGATTAACACCATATAAGAGGGAAGGAGGAGAAACAGCTGGGCAGAGAGCATGAGCCCCGAGACCAGGATGTCAGATCTCACGATGTACAATAATCCCGCTATTGGGACTTCCTCGTCCGGCGGTAGAGCGATGCTACTCTCGAATAGGGCCGGCAGATATATCATTACCGTTTCAGCCACGGCATAGACCAAAGTGGGAAGCACCAGCGCTTTCCATCGTCGGCGGTCTCCGGGGTTGGACACGAGGCGCAGTTGGTCACGCGGAAGGATGGTGCGCGCGGTCCAGAAGAAATGAGTCTCAGCGAGCAGGACTGATGCAATGATATACGCGACCGGACTGGGAAGCAGAGTAGTCGATAATTTTGTCACCGAAAAGTGCATCGCCCAGTATGTACAGGCGGAACCGATGCCATTCAGGAGAAGACGGACAACCCCTTTGCGGTAGAGGATGGCACCGGTTCGGAGCAGTTGGCGACTGGAGGGAGCTGTCTTCTTGTCCCCCAGCTCAGAACCATTGGCCTGCTTTTCCACAGTCTCAAGGATTAAGGTAGACATTAGCACATGGCCAATAATATACCGTATCTGAATCCCATTAGCCTCTGCAGAAAAGGGCGATTCCTTACTAGTCGCTCACTAGGAGGTTAAGGATAAGCCCTAGAGTAATCGGTACTAATAGTAAAATATTATTTGTTTGGGCAGGTTCTTTTAGGAAATACCGATGAGTTCGCGCAAGTAGTGGATCATCTCCTGTGGAATGGATAAAGGTATTGAGGAGTTCACGAAAGAGGGTCAACAAAAAGTGTGCCATCATAAGCTATAGAGGGTATCCGCAGGACGTGGGAGTTATTCGCTTTTCTTTCCGCTAATGTGATGGCAGGACGATAGGCATTATATTGTCTTCATATATTGCTGCATCAACCCTCTTCCAAAAGTCTGTCTGAGACTACCAAGGTCCAAGAAATCAAGCTAAAGCCAAGCTATTTCAGCTAATGCAAAACTAATTGCTTACGGTGACACTAAGCCCCTTGATCTTAGGTCATTTATGCAAGAGTCATAGCTATAACAGGCAATTGCAAGACCCGTGGATTGACGAATTCATGCCCGACTTAGGCAGAAGCGAAAGGCATCGAATCGTGGATCTTTAGTGGTATTGTGATAGGATGCGAAAGGAAAAGGCCACCGTGGCAATGTCACCACTATAGTCATATTGATAAGGGTAAGAATATTACATTCTTTTCCCACCCTACCACGGTTCGATGATGAACGTGTTCGGGCCCTCATCTGGACCCTGCTCTAGGTATCATCCGAAAGACTTAGCATCATGTTGCCTACAAGGTAGCCCCACTCAATTCAACCGGGTATCTTGGAGTCATCGCCCGAGTTCCTGCAGGGTAGATACTAGATATACATGCACAATTGCCTGTTTCTGCTTTACGAAGCTGTATCTCTGTATATAAGATCTTAATCTACTTCTTCTGTCTACATTGAAGGGAAGCATATGGAGGTATCAATGCAGGGGTTTAAAATTTACTGAGAGCAGGAAGATTATCCCTTGAGGATGTCGAGCGCCTAGTTTCGGCTTTTTGACTGGGTTAGAGGAGGCCTAGACTTCGGCAAGGATGCATGCTTTCACTACACTATTTATCCAAAAACATGAGCTCGGGGGTTTGCGAGGCGAGACTATGCTGCTTGTATAACGTTACTGTTCATCTGGCTTTTTCATTCCTATCGTAGAGGGAGCTTTGTAGAGTTTAAATGATTACATACTTTAACATTGCAGACATGTATTCAAACAGTAGCAAGCCCCATAGCAGTACTAAACATGATTATGGAGAATAGATTGTGTGTGCAGTTTCATTGCATGGATATGGAATAGACTACGTACGACTAAATCAAATTCCACATGGGATTCTTGATCCATAGCTCCTGGGCATCCCTCGAGCAAGTTCAATATATTCCGAAGACCAACGTTTTGCTCTTTAGTGGGGTAAACCTGACCATTACTTCTTCATGGGTGGCCGTGATGTGTATCAACAGAGGTACAGCTTTAGTAACTCGTCTGTAGCGGCTTCTTACTTCAACATGTGGTAGTTCCTATACTGTCCGTCTGTACTAGTTGAATAATAGTGTAATTAAAACAAAATAGGGGTGTGATTCTTCGCCAGCGATGAAGTTCCTTGATGAACGACTGGAGGTATGGTGAATTTGGTAAGTCATCAAAAGATGGAAATCGGGTTTTCCCAACAACTAAGTCAATCTCATCCTGGACTCTGTGAGCGGCTTCTAGATGCAGACCAGCAGCCATGACGAAAATTCGAAGTTTGACAGTTGTCGTTTCTTTGAACCCTCCGAAGAGCTCAAACATAGTCCAACATAGTTTACCCCATGTTGGAGCCGGGGAATTGTTCTTCATCAGCTGAGCTGACCAATTCCATTGACGCTCTACTGCTTCTATCGTTGGCTTAGTATTGGTGTCAACGACTTTCTGGTGCAATTTCACTCCACAGCGCCTCCATGGGGAGATACATCAGGGCAAGTAGTCGAGGAGTGGTAGCAAATCGGGGAGAGAATTAGAGGAGACGGACAGAAATACTTCCCAGAATGAATTCTGAAGATATCTTTCTTCGGAACTATCTCGGCTCGACAGGTGTTTTCTGTAGCCTAAATCAAAAGCAATACTAGAGGAAAAACACTCCAACGCATCACTGCAGTCCTTTGTAGAGAGCATTTCGAAAAGCATTTCTATGCTTCCGATGTCTTGGAAGGGTCGATAAGCAGGAGACGCCCTGCTATTTAAGAGAGAAGCCGTATGCAAATTATGGGCCTTCCATGCGCCGTTGTATGGCATGAAAGCCTGAATATGGCCTTGGGACGCATAATCTAACATATAAAGCTTTGGACGAGAACTGAATTACATCACTCTTTGAACTAGGGTGTCAATGATTGATTGTCGCGAGCCGAGTGAGATTATGACAGTGTGACCCAGCCTTAGGTTAATTATAGGGCCGTAGTTCTCGTGTCAGGCTTGAATTGACTTTGAAAAAGAGACAACACCGCAACTCTTTAAAGCCCTGAGGACAAACATTGTTGATGGCCCTGGAGGAAGACGTCGTGACTGGAATTTGTAGAGGCAGAGAAATATTACTGCAATGAGAAAAACATATATCGTTGCCATGGCTAGCCTTCGAATGTAAACTGGCCTCTGAATAGACCAGGAGAAGCCCGTTCACTTCGTCAGAAAGAAAAATATGAGAGTATATACAGATAGAGTATCGGTGTAGTTGTATTATAAATTCCACTCCCATTGCGTGCACATGTAGGCATGTGCATGAATAATTTAATGGCTCCGCGATATACCCAATCTTATATGTCTTAGATCCGATGCATGAGGACTGGGCCGATTAGCGCTTTATCAACATCTCATTCAGTACGAGTTTTACAGTTACAAGATGGTAAGGAGCCCTTGACCGACACATCATATATAATACCACAGGGATACCTTTTGCGCAATGTCGCGAACAAAACTTAAATCTGCCTTTATATAATATGTTTTACAGCCAGTGGTTTCATTCCTTACTATACATGGGTACTACTGCAGAAGCAGAGATGCAAATTTGATTTGCATAAGTGTGAAGAATCGTACAGGATTGACGTTAACACGAACTTTTACCATGTAGAGCATGCTTTAGCCTAGCTATGCTAGGCCCTGGGCCCTCTGGACCAATACTAGCTACACCGAAGATAATTGCCTCCTCGTTCTGGGGCACAAGCAGTGGCTGATCTTAGAATTTAGGAAAAGTTTCTGAACTTGACGTAACTGTCACTTGTCATTATGCCTTCGTTCGTGACGACCATTCTTCCTTTCTCTTCCCGCGAGATCTTTATTACCTTCAGACTGATGAAGTCAAACTTTTCAGGTGCCATTTCTTTTTCATGAACGCGGTTTTTACTCGTACATTATACGAAACGTTTTGTCTTTCAATTATGGATAGGGGCTGTCATAAATGGACTCATTTTTGGCTATGTCTTTGACATTATGCAACAATCCTTATCCGCTGAGGAAGACAGGTATAATAAACCTGGCCGTCCAATCCCAGCTGGAGCTCTTACAGTCGCAGCGGTACGGCTTCGATGGCTTTTAAGCTGGGTTGTGTCGCCGTTTCTAGTAACATATCTGTCGGGACATCAAGCGGCCTTTTGGCTCTTGATGTGGCGGTTTTGCTGCATCTTTTTCTATGTTTGGCCCAAGTTTGAATACTAATATACGACTAGTAGAAAGCGTCAATATTATCTAAAAGATATTCTTGAAGTCTCGGACGTCTGGGCCATGTCCCATGAGACAACGGCTGGCATAACAGACAATTGAGTTCTTGGTTCAACTCTATCGAAATTCTATTGCCATCCTGTGACGCCGACGACATATAAAAAGCAGTCAATTGTCCCATACAAGTAATATTATCCGGCCACGATAGCAGTCGGAACCTGCACGGTCCTTAGCAGGACAGCTCATGAGGTCAGAGCAACCCCGCTTGGGGACCTTGAGGGCCTACACCGACAGGTCCCTTCTATAAATATACGTCCGGACCCAGGAGTGACACGCTACTCGACTCTTTTCTTTGCTGGGTTGCAATTGCTCTATCATTCTTGGCTTCCTATGGCTTTCACTCATACATAATTCATCACATTGATATCATCAAGCGAGCATACAGATTAAACACTTTTCGGAATAATTTATTGACGGCAGTCCAGGACGCAGCGGACACAGTCACCCTTCTTCATCTGCTCGAAGGCAGTATTGATGTTGTCAAGCGACTCGCGGTGGGTGATGAACTCGTCAACCTTGAGCTGGCCGTTCAGGTAGTCATCAACCAGGCCGGGCAATTGGGTACGACCCTTGATACCACCGAAGGCACATCCCTTCCAGACACGACCGGTGACGAGTTGGAATGCTGGTTCCAGTGAGTACAAGGAAAGACATCGTGCAAAGGAGAAATGGCAAACTTACGTCTGGTAGAGATCTCCTGTCCAGCAGCAGCAACACCAATGACGATACTCTCACCCCAACCCTTGTGGCAAGCCTCCAGGGCAGCACGCATGACGCCGACGTTACCAGTGCAGTCAAAGGTGTAATCACAACCACCGTCGGTCATCTCAATCAGCTCCTCCTGGATCGTCTTGCCGTTGAGCTTGGTGGGGTTGACGAAGTCGGTGGCACCGAACTTGCGGGCCCAGGCCTCCTTGTCATCGTTGACATCGATGGCGATGATCTTGCCGGCCTTGTTCTTGACGGCACCCTGGAGGACGGAGAGACCGACACAGCCGATACCGAAGACGGCAACGTTCGAGCCCTCTTCGACCTTGGCGGTGACAACGGCGGCACCGTAGCCGGTGGTGATACCGCAGCCCAGCAGGCAAGAGCGGTCGGTGGGGATCTGAGGAGTCACCGCGACGACAGAGATGTCGGCGACAACGGTGTACTGGGAGAAAGTGGAGGTGCCCATGAAGTGGAGGAGGTCCTTGCCGCGGGCCTTGAAGCGGGAAGTACCGTCGGGCATCACACCCTTACCCTGGGTGGCACGGATCTTGCCGCATAGGTTGGTCTTGCCGGACTTGCAGAACTTGCACTCACGGCATTCGGGGGTGCTGGTAGAGGTTAGTGGTGCTGTACACCGGGGTCTCGGGCGGAGCGTACTAAAGGGCAATGACGTAGTCGCCAGGCTTCACGGAGGTGACACCCTCGCCGACAGACTCGACGATACCGGCACCCTCATGACCGAGGACGACGGGGAAAGCACCTTCGGGGTCCTTTCCGGAGAGAGTGTAGGCGTCTGCGGACGGTCAGTTTCCGCCGGAGCAGCGGGGGAGCGGGAGCGACGAACCGGTGTGGCAGACACCAGTGTGGTGGACTTGAATGCGGACTTCGTGAGCCTTGGGGGGAGCGACCTCGACGTCCTCAACGGAGAGGGGCTCGCCGGCAGCCCAGGCAACGGCGGCCTAACAGATGGTTAGTGGGACTGTGACGGAATAAAACTACGTCGTCAGTCCGGTATTATTTACCTTGCAGGTGATGGTCTAGAGAAGTTAGCTAAGGACAAGTGGGATGGCGGGGTAGGTACTAACCTTTCCAACAGTGTCAGCCATGGCAAGGGTATCTACAGGGTATGAGAAGACTGAACGGAGGAAGAGAAATTGATCAAATCAAAAGGGGATGATGAAGGAAAGGAAAGGAAAGGAAAGAAAAGATAGATGGATGGAAGAACGAACCCGAAGGTGAAGAAATGGTAGGAAATGAGTTGCTTAAAATGGGTGCGTGCCATGGTGGGGTCTTTTATTTGGCGATGAGGGGAGAGGGGGTGGGGGGGGGGAGGAGGCCAAAGGTGTTGAACCATGAGGGGAGAGCATCGTTGGAGAGCTATCTTACATCGATATCTAAAACATAGGTTTCATCTATTGCTTCTTTCTTTTTCCCAATCCCCTCATCCTCTCCGCATGGTGTTGGGGGGAAAGGGGCCCATAATGCAATCGATATTAACAAGTACTATGTATGTATTCCAACCAAACCAACATGTTCCTGCGAGGATCTACTACGTAGAATTCCCAGGAGAGTCGATTGCCTCTTATGCTTATCAGCATGACTTGCAGACTTGCTAGACCAGAGGCATTCCCATTTCGGTATACTATTTACTCCCCGATCCGAAGCTGTAGCTCTAAAAGGGAGGGAAGAGTGAGAGCACCGCCTTATCAGGTGTCGGCGCGGAGTCCCGATTCGGTAAAGTTTTCCACGTGGTCCGTGCTCTTTTCCAGGACGAAAATGATGAAAAGGACCTTCTCTCTTCCGCTGACCTGAGCACATCGGCTGAGGAGAAGTTCTGCTCGGAAAACTACGGCTCTGAATGGTTCATCCTTGCGGTGGATCGCTGGTCCACTCCCCCCCAAAAGGGTGATGGTTTCCATTTACCGAGTACTAGCCGACCTGCTGTCCTTTACCCGCCTCGCAAGATCGTTGCTCCGCCCCCCGTCACCAGTATCTTGTTGGAGAAAGAGTTGATAACAAGTGGATGATATTGAGTTGCCAGACTTGTTATCTTGAGTATGGCTGACTTACTTGGAAATTTGCCCTTGATCTAGTTCCCTGGTATCATTGGCTTGTTTGCTGCTTTATCATCTACAGAAATCGTTGGTATGAAAACAACGCCCGATGGTGTCAATTAAATACTTTTAACATACCCATCAAGGGTCCATTGCACGTCCATAATCACTATATTGTACAGTACATTTCCCAGGGTACACGCTGAACAGCAACATGGATACATACTTATTGAGTTCTCGGGACTCAATAAAGCAGAAGCCCTACTTATCCAGATCATAGCCGAATCCCAGACCAAATGCAATCAATGGGGGTCATCATTCGAAAAATCTAGTTTGTACACGAACCCGCCGAACCCAGAAGAACAAGCAGATCATTCAATCAATCCATTACCGGCCGGGCATCTGGCCACTCTGCATCATGGCGGCATTCTGCTCCTGGAAGCGTTCGTTCAGGCGCTGAGAGCCCTTGAGGAACTTGTCCACGCAACGGAGGGTGCAGCCCTCCTCGCGGGAGATCAGGGACTTGGTGGTAAAGTCATTGACACAGTCATCGAAGCAGCGCTGGACAAGCTTGGAGTACATCTAGATTGAAAAGGATTTCAGTTAGCTAGTGTTGGGAACGGAGGCGCAGGTAGGGATAGATGTCGAACGTTTCCAGGAGAGAACACATGTTCAAAGTTGAATTGAAAGTGGAATTGAGATACTGGCATCACATACGGTCATGAACTCCTTCAGCTGCTTCCTCTCCATGCGAGCGGCGAACTCGCGCTGTTCCGAGGCATTGAGTCTGGCAATAGTTCGTTAGCATCAGCCAGCAGTCTATTGTCCGCACCGGAGCCATAAACACGAAATGAAATAAACAAAAGCGGAGGCAAACAAGGACAGACGTACCCTTCCATTATGATCTGAGATTTGTATGTTTTGAATAAAACGGGTGATGGAGAGTTTGACGGCGTGATAAGAAATAACAATCTTCTTTTATTCTTCTGGGCGGTCGAAGCTTCGGAGCTCTCAACAGACCGCAGGCTCTGGTCTCACATGACCTCATGTGACGTCCGATTCACCTGACCAGGACCTCGTGACGGTCATGTGATATGTTCCATAAAGTTGGCACCGGCTGAGTCATCCAACCTCGGGGCACAGAAACGTGACGACGTCTACCAACCCAATTCGGCAATGGTCCCGTCAATCACCAGAGTAAAAAAAGAACAGACTACCCACAGGGGACCAGAACACGGTCTCTGGGCGCGGTGGCATGAAGGGAACCACGGTTGGCTCATGGGCAACACTGCAGTCCTCGGGCAATCACTCGCAGGGAGAGCCTGGAGAGGCTCTCTCCAACCAAAAGATCGGCGGTGGGCAAATACCGGCACCACGGACACCAGGGGCCTTCAACGCCCTTCTCCTGCCTTCATTGGTCATTGCGTTGTCACGGATTCTGATCATCCCTGACTCGTCAGAGAACAGCGAGGGGTTGGTTCTTCTCTTTTCCTTTTTGTTTCGGGTTGGCATCTTGGATGACACGAGAAAGAAGATGATTGCTGTTGGGGAATTCACCCATGGGCGCTGATGGTGCGGCAGTTATTTTGGACACAACGTTGCATTTTTTTAGGATCCATTCTTAATATAGATCGACAGTCATTGTCAGCCGAATCATAGTCGTCTACACTTCATCTGGTCATCGTTTGTTCTAGGACTGTTTTTGTTGAAGTCTCTCCCATTCTTTATCGCCATGCAACGAGGTACTCCGTAGACGACGATGTATAGCTTCGTCTCTGTTTCCTCACGGGACCTTCGCTTACCCTGACTAGTCCTATTAAACTCTACCTTTTCCGTTAGGGAATCCTTTAGTTTCAGATAATCCTACACTATAGTGAACCCTTGTTGGGTCCAGAAGAGACTCTGGATCCTTGGGTCTGGGTCATCCTCTCTAAACCGAGTGATTGACATGAAATTTTGGTCTGACTGGTTCCTGGTCTGTCTGACGGATGGATTAAATTCTCATCTCATCAAGAGACGGACCTCTGAAGAACCACCGCCTTTCTTTTCTTTTTTTTCTTTTTACCATTTTCTCTTTCTCTTTATTTTTATTTCCCCTTCCCCCTTGTGATTCTGGGGCCTGCGGTTTTTAGCGTGCGAGCTATTGATTTTTTTTGATACACTTACCTACACACTTGCCCTGGTTGACACTGTCGATTATATTAGTGCCAATATGTTGTACCCCATACCAATAACCACCACCGCATACTAATCCCCAATTCGACTTCTAATTATTATTAGAAGAATTCTATTATATTATTTGATTGAATCCACCAACAGAGGAGAAGTGTTCCAGTCTCCCTTTTTCTCCCCCAAGTTGTGTGTGTGTTCTCCGATCGATCATCCATCAAATTACCGTTTTCCCTTCTTTTGCCCCCCCCCCCCAAATTCATTCATCGAGAGTCCATTCAGGTCATTTCCCCATCCTTCTTTCTTCATCCCCTCTCCCTCTCTCTCCCTCAATTTCTCATTCTCCTCTCCTTTGCACAACCTCCCTCTCTTACCTGAACCCCCCTTTTATCGTCCCCTTTCTGTGTTTTTTTTATATCCTCCTCCGTTCCACACTTCAAGATCCCTCGTGCCGTCCATTAGAATTATTTTTCTGCTCGTTCGGTCGTACTTGGTTCCCAATTCTCGTGGCCCACCGTGTCTGTTCTCGAGTGACTACTTGCGGACGGCGCGGCACTTGACCACCCGCTGCCACGCTGACTAGTTCCTCGTGCTATTTTGGGGACCGTTAAATCCCCCCCCAGCCCCAGAATTTCTTGCGCAAACAAGAAGGGCGGTGACGGATCCCTCGGTTCATCGGTCTGGACCATATATTTCTGTCGCATTGTGCTAGTCTCCCGTTCCCATCGCACAGCGTCCCATCATGGTCACGGACAAATCTCAGGGCGCCCAGGCGTTTCAATCGCTGCCTCCCGCAACCACCCAACCTAGATTTATTGCCGCATCACCGCCGTCGAAACGCGACTTGGCCTCGTGGTGGAGACAGTTTAAGAGAAATACCAGGAAAGAGGAGCCCAAAGGTACGTGTGTATGCGTGGGGAGGCACATTACATTACCTGGGGAAACCTGCAGCCCGGGGATGCGACGGGCGATGATGCCTTATCTTGGCCAGTTTCGAATCTGAAGGTCGCATTTGGTCTTGGCTTTCGACAATATCTTTTAATACAGATAGTTGTCATACGTCATGACTCCCAATTTTTGTCACCGCAACCATCTCCTGGACCTGATTACTGACCTACCGCAGAAAAACCGCAGGGTATCTTCGGCGTTCCCCTCAATGTCAGCATCAAATACGCCAACGTCGCTATCTCCCTGACGAACGACAATGGCGAGAGTTTTATCTACGGCTACGTGCCCATTGTAGTAGCGAAATGTGGGGTCTTCCTCAAGGAAAAAGGTACACAACCCGGGTGAGAACTTGTCGGTCAGTTGGCTGATCTGTGGGTTAGCGACGGATGTCGAAGGCATTTTTCGACTCAACGGATCCGCCAAGCGCATCAAGGATCTGCAGGAGATCTTCGACTCCCCTGAGCGATATGGAAAAGGTCTGGATTGGACGGGCTATACCGTACACGACGCTGCGAACGTCCTCCGTCGGTATCTAAATCAACTCCCCGAGCCGATCGTCCCCTTGGAATTCTACGAGCGCTTCCGCGAGCCCCTACGCATTTATCAGAAACAAGTCCAGAATGGTGGGCCTACAAATGAAGGCGAGAAATTCGACCATGCGAAAGCGGTCGCCGCATACCAGCAGCTGATTAGAGAATTGCCCCCATTGAACAAGCAATTACTCCTGTACATTCTCGATCTGTTGGCGGTCTTCGCTTCTAAGTCTGACCAGAATCGGATGACATCAGCCAATCTCTCTGCTATCTTCCAGCCCGGACTGCTTTCCCACCCCCAGCACGACATGTCGCCGGAAGAATACAAGCTGAGCCAGGATGTGTTGATATTTTTGATCGAAAACCAGGACCACTTCCTGTTCGGCATGAATGGAACCGCTGCAGATGAGGCGACGGTGAAGGAAGTGGAAGGGGGTATGCTGCGCCCAACCTCCCATTCCACAGTGCGGCGCTCCGTCTCGAGTGCTAGTGGCGGTGCAGAGAGTTTCCGAAAGTTTGGCAGTCTTCGCCGAAACGTCTCGGTGTCTTCGAAGAACTCTCGCAATTCGAACAATGCCAGTCCTGCAACCCCTACGTCCATGGGCGGCGCGGGAGTCCACCGAAGCAACACACTACCATCCAAAATGTCACCGGCCATTGCGCAGGCTAGATACGGCCGAGTGACCGAGGCTACTGGGGGGAACACTCCAGGACGAACTTCAACACAGCGCTCGCGGTCACCTAGCCGGGCACCGCTTGGCGCCGAGCAGAACACCGAACCCGCGAAACCTCAACCCGCAACACAGGGAGGGGCAACTGCCACCACAGGTCTCGTGTATGTTCATACATCTACTCACGGCCCGATCCCAGTTTCCAAGGCCACGGCCACCCCCCCGCCCATTAGAGAAAAGCCTTCGCAGGATACTCTGACGGTGCCCTCTTCGCCTCCGCGGGCCGTTGTGACGCCGACAAAGGAGCGGAAATTATCCAGTCTCTTTAGCAAATCGCCGCCTTCGGGCAGCGAGAAGGAGCCACGGCAGCCCAACCGACTCAAGAAGAAACGAATCCCAGGAAGCGCTAGTGCCAGCGCACAGAGTTCATCACAGTCCCTACAAGCTGCCACATCTGACTCGGGAATTGGCATCCCACCACCCCGGGCGTCTGAACCCAACGATGCTGGGGGAGACACCCCGAAACCTTTGAACGTCCCTAATGCAGAGGATAATTCCCAGCAAGAGGGGAAACCGGAGAAACCAGCGATTCCGAGCGAGCTGGACAACCAACCGATACTACTCTGAGGCCATATGGCTCACGTACTCCGTCGATGAATTCGCGGTCATCATTCACCGACCTCTCTGATGCTGACCCCGTTGACGACACCTCTCGGGCAGACCGCAAAGAGCATCGGCGGAGCTGGAGGTTTCCTCGGTCGTCCAAACGGAGTAATGAGCAAATCGGACTCGGACTAGGATCGCCGCCACTCTTGGCTTCGAACCCGGGAGCGGATCGCAGTACAAGCTCGTTTGGCAGCTGGCATCACTCGAGTAAAAGCTCGCCGTCCGATCTCCAGCAGTTCGCCAGCGAGCACTCATTTCAGCCGCTTAGCCTGGACGCTGAAGTGAATAACAATAACAAGGACTCATCCGAGCCGGAGAAGCGCAGCCTATTCGGAAAATTTAAGGCCAAGGTTGCGCAGGTTCGGGATGGAGTTATGGACAGTGAAAGGGATCGGACTAGGAGTCCTCCCGTACCTTCAGACCCAGAGAGATCTACCTCCAGCCAGACGCTCTCTCCCGCCCCTAAGGAGAGTAGTCACGTACGGCCGGCGCCACCGGCGCCAATTGATGTGACAAGAGAGTTCAAGGAGATCCACAGCACGCCAGTATCCCCGCTCCCTGGGTCAGGTATGCCGCCGGCAATCCCAGAAGAACCGCGCACTCCGGACAGCCCTGCTGCACCCGTTGAGCTGGAGGTGAAGAAGGAGAACGGGGCGGTGCAAACGGGATCTGCGGCGAACCTCCCTACTTTTGAGTCTCACCAGGGAGACAACGAGACCTCACAGTTCCTTGGAAACTAGCGTTCCATCATGTTTCCAAACTCATCTTGATCAATTTCCAATCTCCACACCGAGCCTGAGCCTGGGTTTTGCATGTCTTGACCATGTGATTGCTACTGGAGCCAGGGATATGATGGAGAATCCTGGATGATGATTGATGGGTTATTTCATATTTCATTTGTTTTTCATACCCCGTTTTTACTGGTGATGCTTGATGGGCCATGATTCATGTATGTATGTTGCTTCTTTGGCTTGGTGCCATGTTGAATAGGACGGTTAGCGTAAGCTCTGGATAGGATATATAGAGCTTGGATTGGATGGACAGGTAAAGAATAGATGCTTAGGATCTAGACTTTGAATGTCATTATTACTTATTATCCACCATAGCCAATAAATAGCACAGGACGGTAGAAGCTACTCGTAGTTGAGATAACAAAAGCCCCCGATAACAGACACCTCAGGCAGCTCCAACCTCGGCACCCATCAAAGACACCCAAGGCACCAACCACCAACCCTCGATCCGTATCTCCGAACCCATCCATCCACCACCATACATACTTCTCCCCAAACCACCCACAACAACCAACCCCTGAGGCAAATTGGGCGCAAGCCCAAAAACAAAAAGAAGAAATCACCCCAAAAATGTCCTCAACACCCCCCTCCCCGTCCCTCGCCCAGGGCCCAGCAGCGCCCAAATCCACCCCCCCAATCCACGTCCTACCGAACAACATCTCAAAAACCTACGCCCTCATCCACCCGGTTCTCCTCCTCGTGCTGCTCGCCCTCCGCTTCAATGCCCTCGTCGCAGACCCCGTCGCCGAGCTGCTCAGCAACCTCCCCTTCCTGGCCCTGCTGCAGGTCACCTTCGTCATGACCTGTCTTCCACCCGCGGGGTCCGCAAAAGACGAGGACGACAAATCCAGTGCCAGTTCGTCGACACATGCAGGTTCAACCTCGGGCGTGATCCTCAAACCAGGCAAAATCGGGCTCCGACGCAAGAACACCCCAAAGTCCGATTCGGGGTCTCTGTCTGCTAAGCTTCTTGTACGTCTCCCTCAATATGTATCCCGTCAATATCCTACCTATCTTCTCCATCATATATCAAAAAAAGAAAAAAGTCCTATCTAAAACCCTCCCCAAAACACACCCAGAAAGAGAAAACCCCACACCACGACCAAGCCCAATAAAACTAACTAACCAAAAGAAAAAAAAAAATTAAACAGCCCGCAGTCCTCTCCCTAACGCTAACAACCCTCCTCGCAACCCCCGTGCTCACAATCCTCCTCATCCTCTTCGGCGCCCCGCTAACAACCCACCACGCCGAGACGCTCCTCTGCGCTGCGCACATGGCCGTACTGACCTCCACCGCGCTCATCTACGTGCACGGCGTGGACGGTTCCGTCTGGAAGGAGGTCTGGGGCGCGAAGAGACCCGCCGATGCCGTTTGGGGGGCTGCGCTGGGCACGTGTGTCGGGGCTTGGTTCGGTGCTGTGCCTGTTCCTTTGGATTGGTATTTACTCTCTTTTCTTTCCCTGTCCACTGCGCCTTTTTTTTTTTTTTTTTTTTTTT